AAACTTGACTCCCTTCCTCTCTCCTCTCTCCACAATATTCTCATCATCGTACCGTGTCCCAAGCTCTCTAAGTATCCCAGGAGCTTATTGTGCCGAAGGGTCAATATGTGCTTCATCGGTAAAGAATATATAAGACCAAAAGTCTTCCATTGTCTTGTCCTTATGCTTATGTGCATAAGCTACCCGTTCGTCCTTATTCCTGGCCGAGATTTCCTTTTTGACAAATGCACACTTATAAAACTGACCACCATTGGTATACTCTTTAAGCTTGTGTTGTAAGTGGCGCTTCTTACAAGGAATTTTGTGATAGGCAATTTGCGCTTCGTACGGCTGATTTCGGACAGGATTTCTAGCCGGATCGACTAGCTTCTTACACATAGCTTTTGTGACTTTTGAGGGCTTTCCAAGCTTGCCTGATCTCCCGCGTGTATGTCGATAAGCTAAGATACCCATATTTTCACGTTGCTTAAGCCAGCGTCGCGCGGTAGACTCAGTAGTGCTTTCATCCTTTGCGATCTGGCGTAGCGATTTGAATGAGATTTCTTTGTCGTACGCTGTGAAGAACCTAGTCTTTTTGATCGTATCAGCTTCGTGGCCACTAGAAGGGCCTGGCGGAGGGGTAATGCGGCTTGTGCGACGTGTAGTTGGGGCCATAGTGAGTGTTTAGAGTGATAATAGATAAATCGCAAAAATCGCGTTTCGCGATTTTTGGTGTTTTTGGCCCGTGCGCCACGAATTCGGGCACCCACTGGTGCCTGGTGTCGTCTGATGATGTAATCACATGTTCTGTTATTCTCCGTAAGTCGAATGAGATCCTTCCCAATTTCAGCACGAAAGAAGCTGCTTTTCCAGGGTAGGCGAAGGGATTCTGAGATGGATATTGTTATACTTCGGATCCGTCGTAGGAAGATGAGAAGTCTCGAGTCTAGCGATCGAAGTTCGTCCAGAAGACCTCGTCGATTATAGCTTTTCGAAAGCTGCAGGTATAGAGACGTCCATCCAGGTTTGATTGGCGCTGGGAAATCGCACCAGATGGGTGCAATCATCCCCAACGGTTTGCTCTTGTCGAATTTGAAGGAGTAATGTCCTGAAGAGATCCACACAATATCCGCAGCTTTGAAGACAGATTTGAAGCCGATGCCCTTTTCTCCTACATAGCGTGTTGCGTTGTCTCCACCCTTCTTGGTACTTTGACCAACTCTGCAGAGCGCCTCCACGTTTCGGGGTGAGAATCCAACCTCGTTGCAGTCCACTCGAAGACCCCCATTTTCGTATGTAAATTGTACGCTGGGCAGTACTTTGGAATCGTATGAGTTATCGTCCGCATTTTGAATTAGCTCGAGCAAGAAATGTGTCGAACTTTGATACAGCTGCTCCGACAGTCTAGGAAGTCAGTTAGATAGGCAAGGAGCAATCTAGGAGCCTTACGTTGTTAAAGCGTTCTCCAAATCAGCGACATTATGGCCGGGAGGATTGTTTTCAGACAGTCCTTTATCATGCCTAATCTTGGCGATGTGTGCTTCTGCATCTGAAGGTGATATGGACTGAGCCGCCATGGTCGGCGAATAAATAATCACAAAATTCGGAAAATTCGCATCAACATCGAATAGGGAGAATATCAATGTCCAATTTTTGAAACGAAAAGTATCAAGGAGTTTCTAGAAATGACTTGAGGATAATGAAACATGATGACAGAGAAGTAAAGCGGAAGCTAGCAAGTGACAGCGGCACGCACTATACCCAAAATTGGCCTAAATCGAACAAAATGGGTGTCATAAGTCTTCTGGAAGTGATTTAGAAGATGTCATAGAATCGGCTAAGATTCTAGCGTCCTCCTAGAGTTTATATGATCATGTGATTGACACAGCCATAATTTCTCTGTGGGATGACGATTAGCGTCCAGGCAACAGATTTTAGGACCCAAACTTTCGATCCATCTCTTGACTTGACCTTCAATCTACTCAGCCTGGGTACCTCTTCCATCATAATTTTATGAAGCAGTTCCCGTAACTCAGGTTGATTGGCTGTGCTGCAGCTGGTTTTGGTGTCCTGACTTTCTATAACGAGGAATCAGTCGCCGGATCAAGACTTGTCTAAATCGGGGAATTTCATTTTGAACGTACCAATCTAGATTCGTCCCGCAGATCTAACGGTCCTTGCGTCCACTGTCCCATTCTGTGTTGCATTGTTTATCACTCCCAGAAATGTCACTCAACTTGGGCTGCGACTACCAAAATCCAGACCGAGACCGTTCTCTTGATTCAAATCTCCATGAAGATCGAGGTCTAACTGAAACGTTGTCTCTTTTGTATTAAACTCGCTCCAAAAGGTATGACAATCTAGTCAGCTTATTAGCAATCTGCTCATCGTCCTCTAAAATGTCTTGTCGTCTCTCAGCACGTATATGCGGGAAACGGGTACATACCTGTACTGCTATGGAATTCAATGACCAGTCCCTTCAAGTTTGTCTTATCCTGGTTTCTAGCAAGTGCATTTCCCGGCTGCGTTTCGAATGAAGCCATCGTGGCGACACTGCCAGAGGTACTGCGCCGAGCCAAATTCCTAGATTGCGAGAGAGGCTTATCGTCTAGGCTGTGAAGAGTGAGAAGTTTGGATTTCTTTGTAGGCTCGCGAGGAGGTTTGAAATTGTTTACTAGGAAATCAAGTTGTCAGTGACATAAATCAAACACATAAATCAAACTCGTAGAGATGTTCCATACCTGGCCATTCCACAAATCCTTTATGTTCAGGTGTGTGGCGGAAATAAAGAATAGATCGTGTCTTAGAGAAAGGATCGAGGAGTATTCGGATGGTGCCCAGATGGCATTGAGAATGTTTAGACCCAGTGGTAGGATCGATGCGGCACACGTCGCATAGATATTTTACCTCCTTATTCAAGAGTAGACGTTGAAACTCCTTGAAATCTGCGTACTGATTAATGGTGGTATCTATAGCTAGCAATAATGCTTACCATTATCATTGTTGAATCTGTATATTGGTGGAGAATGCATCGAGCCAAATAGCTTCTCTTCTTGAGTTCCAGAAACCGTCATGATTTTTAGATGGTGAGCTCCTTTAAATTGTACTCGCCATTTGTGAGCCTCGTCTGGGCAGACATGGCGATTGTCTAGAAATGGTTTCATGGTGGTTTCCACCGGAGCTGGTGTTTGAAAGTCGATCGAATGGTACACTTTGAAATTTCCGTCGTTGCTGAAAGCTATGATTTTTTCAACCTCTCCTTCGGCATTTCTTCTTAGAGTATGTATTATTCCATTAAAGGTGTACTCTGAAGCGTATCTGAACTTTGTTAGACCATCTAAGCTATCAAGCAGTACAGAGGCGTTGACTTACAATGTTACAGGAATGAACTGGTCTAAACGAATTGACACAGGGCGAGATTGCGACGAGTGAGAACCACTTCTAGAGTGCGATATCGGTCGAGACTGCGTTGGCGACGATGAGAAAGAACCGCGACTATTATCAGGACTGCTGCTCATAGAACCTGGCAAGCCATCATATTGAGCTCGAGGTGAAAGTGTTTGCCTTCGAGGAATGTCCATTGGTCTTGTTGGACCATTTTGCTGGATTGACGTCGCAGCAATTTGTCGTCGGACTGGATGTGGAGGATGTAAGATCTCTCGCTCCATTCGAGACTCTAACAGATCCCAAGCTTCCAGTTCCGCTTTGAGAGCACCTTCTGGGTTATTGACCATCAGAGACAGACCGTTTTGCGAGCTTTGGCGTCTCAAAACACCAACAGCATTGCCAATGCGGCCTCGCATGAGTTTGAGATGCTCAAGAAGCGACTGAATAGATGCGTCTTCGTCCGCTTCATTTTCGGATATGGTCTCAAGTGTTTCGACTCTTTTCACTCTCATAGACAGATTGTCAAGTCGCCGTTCGATGAGGTCTCGGATGTCGTTGTGATCGACACCATTTGCGTTTTGTGCAGCAGAAGTCACTGGCTGAGCGACAGCATACTGAGCATCTACAAGCTGGGACGCGCTCCGGGTTTGCTCCCATGGTACTGGTCGGACTTGTCCCGCTTCAATCGCGAGCATCGGCTGGGGTCTCGGCAACGCTTGAGGAACACGGAGGGCCTGGTCAAATTGCCGTAACATGGGATAGTCAATCTCTGATGCTTGACGTCCCGGCTCAAGTGGGTTGGTGATACGTCTGAGATTGTCTTTGACAAGTGAGACTAATTCAAGGTGTGAAGTAACCAATTTCAGATTTGAGGACATCAGGTCCACATTCTCAGTCCTGCAACGTGGTCAGCACTGATCGTGACAAGAGATGAACAGATGGTACCTCATTTGATGAATCGTATCATTAGTATCTAGTGCAACATCGAAGCTAGCCACATCGAGAAAGAATTGCAATTTGATTCGAAGCTTAGCCACTACCTGGCGCTCAAGAGGCCACTCAACTTGCTGATACAATGCAAGTATTTGATCCGTCGAGAATGGAACCTTTTTCAGCCAAGTTGACCTCCCTTCCCGTTTCGCTATTGTGTTTGGGTTGACTTCTTGTATTAATCTGATATGGTTCTTGAGAAACAGCGTGCACTGCTCTCGAAGTTGTCGTTGTGATTTCGCGAGCAGCTCATCTTTTGAAAACGCTGCTTTGCGACTTTCCCATTTTTCCAGACGGCTCATAATATGAACGTACTCATCGAAGAATTGTGCAGCTTCGAAACGGGCGTTAAGAGGGCCATCAGAAACCGCTTGCCAAATATCCCAGACCACTTTGAGCCCAGAAATGACATCTCCCACCGACCATCCAAAACTCATGATGAATGAGAAAGAAGTTTTCAATATTTCGAAGCCATAAACTTTGGGTGACAGAGTCCTCGCAGACCGCGACGACGAGATGTCGGGCACAATTTCAAGATGCGTTTGCCTGCTCACTCAGTCTCGCGTGTCCGACGCTACCACGTATGCTCATGCAGGCAGCGATATGATGACTACAGACAAGACTGCTGAAGGGATGACCAATTCGATAAGATGTGTCGCGTGTCAAATGTAAGAAATACATATAAAATTCGAATATTAATGAAGGAGAAAATGGCAGGCAGCAGAAGGATGAATGGGTCCGAGACCCATGTCGACGATTTTCTTGGGGTTCCGACTTCCTGGTACAGTACTGTCGAGCTTACCGTGGGGTGATATCACCCAGCGGCTGTGTCTGGGTCGTGACTGAGACCAGCTGAGGTGTAAATACAGTAGTGTCTGTCTGTCCGTCCTTGAGGCAGCGATACGTTGTCACTTGACGATTCATCACCTCGGTGAAGGGGGAAAAGAGCAGTGGCAAGGAATTGATGCATTGCAGTGGAGAGTGGAGAGTGGAGAGTGGAGAGGGGAGAGGGCTGTGAATATGCGGCGTGTTCTGGCAGATGGTGAAGCTTGTCAGAGAGGGACAGAGAAGAGACGTTGAAATAAGCAAATGAGAAGCGAAGACGAAGGCACGTTTTCTTCGCTTGGCCCAAAAGGGCGCGACAAGCGAAAATTCCAAATATAACCCCAACCTCCTCTCCTTTCCTTCACTTGAACAATTTCATGATTCCTACCTCACTAGTCCATATTCCGTTACATCGCTTCCATTGTCTTTTATCCTCCACACTCTACGCCTTGTCAATTGCTGAATATGGTTGAGCTATGAATTCCCATCCACGACGGATACGAAGTGAAATATCATTTACAATTGAGAGATGCCTCAATGATCATTTAGATTCGTCAAAACTCCAGAATATGGGAGATCTGGGATAGACGCCCGGCCCGTGCAGCTCCATCGGAACCGTTCCGAACGGGAAACCATCTGGCACATCCTTGGCCCAGTCTGTGCCCCAAGATGCCATGCCCTGCCATGCCGCTTTGAGACTGTCTTCATGGGGCAGTGCAAGGTTCGTTCCTTGCCCCTTACTTTATCTGTCCTTCTCTCAGCCTCGCGAGGCGTCCTGGCTCGATTGAAGTTTCGTCTGATGTCTTCCCAGGACTTCATAATTTCTCACCACAACGGAGATTTCAAATATATACAACATGAGAGGAGATGTTTTTCGTTGCTGCTGCCATTATTGTCCCTTGTGCAATAATCTATTCTTTACACCAAGGGCCACGAATTTGTAAGGCTGCTGCGGCTGAGCCTTGCCTGACCTCATAGAATGGCGCTGTGGGGATTCAAATGGCTGAAATTCTTTCTAAATCCATTCGGTGACGATGACTTCGAACACATAAGCGCAAGTATTCATTCAGGAATAATTATCCGCACACTGACATTGTGCAGGAGGACGACCGGCGAGCCTACATCGTACATCGACTCGAAACCGCCAAACTCAAGGAATACTCATGGGTAGTAGTGGTAGCTGGCGTAGGCTTCTTCACTGATGCATACTCCATCTTTGCTATCAACATGGTTATACCAATTCTTGGGATCGTATACTACGGCGGAACGATGCCTCACAATTACGAGACAGCCCTGAGCGTTGTCACTCTTGGTGGATCAATAATTGGCCAAATTGGATTTGGGTTTGGTGCTGATATCTGGGGAAGGCGTAAGATGTATGGGCTGGAATTGATTGTCACGATCGTTGCCACACTCGGAGTGGTAATGGCATCGAATGGAACTGCTGGTAGCATGTCCGTGATTGTATGGTTGCTGGTATGGAGGTTCGTGCTTGGAATTGGCATTGGTGCTGAGCAAGTCTATCTTTCTTTACTCTTCACTGTTGATTGCATTCTATTCTGGAAGTGTAGACCGTTTGATTGATGTTCTAGCTCCCGTCTAGCTGCAATTTTCAACTTACAAGCACTGCTAACATTTTTGCCTTTAGTTATCCTTTGTCGGCAGTTATCTGTTCAGAGTAGGTCCCCAAGCCGAGTCAATCCCACTGCGATCTCTAAATTTGGTTCATTAGATTCGCCCCCACCAGAATGCGAGGCAAGATGTTGACCTTAGTGTTCGCATGTCAACCATTGGGACAATTAGCAGCAACTTTGGTCGCCCTGATCGCCTCTGTAAGGCAACGCAGCGGTATCCCAGGAGATGCTACCATCACTAAGTGCAACGAAGAGTGTAAAAGGACACTGGACAGCATTTGGCGGTGGATCATTGGAGTGGGAGTCATCCCAGCAGTGATTGCTCTCTGGTTTCGCCTCACAATCATCGAGTCGCCGAGATATACTGCCGATGTTGGGGGAGATACCGCTAAGGCAGCTTCAGAATTGAAAAGATATCTTTTGGGTTCGCAGCAAATTGGACTTGTTTCATCGACGTCAATTGATACACACAATCGGTCGGCTTATCGAAGACCGCTTCGGCGTAGAAGCACGTCGTCTGGAGCAAGATCTGGCCCTGTGAACCATACAGGCCTCGATAATCAGCAGCATGAAACTCAACCGCTGTCAAGAAGATCATCAGGTGCATTGTCTGTCAACCCTTCTCCGGAAGAAGCGAATACAGAACAACACGAGACTCATCCTCTGACACGCAATTCCTCCGGAGCGATATCTATCGAGTCTGGCGCCAGAACCGACAACGGGGATGAAAATCATGATCTTCGAACAGAACAGCATAATTTAATGCCTGTCGACCTCCACGAAGCCGAAGGTTCATCTACTGTGTCACCTCTACACGGAGGCTTTGACTCACGCCAAGCTGGAACTGATTTCAACCTGAATGATGGATCTTACGAGCCTCAAAATGTCGCACGAGCGCCTTATCAAGATGATCCAGAAGCGAATATCGATTTTCACACGAACAGACTGACGCAAAATCCGTCGAAGCAGTATTTCATGACGTCCACCGGGAAAGCTTTTCCTATAACGCCGTCGAATGGAAATGTTGCGAATTCGGATGACAACAAACAACCTCCTCCTCCAAACTGGGAAGATTTCAAGGACTATTTCTGGCATAAGGGAAATCTTCGGACCCTGATAGCCACTTCTGTCTGTTGGTTCTGTGTTGATCTTCCTTGTAAGTCTGCTCTCATTTTGTGTTCAAATCCCCAATTGCCAGCTCTTTACTGCTCCTACTCAGCACACACACTAATCTTTCCATAGTCTACGGCCTCGGAATGAACTCACCACACATCATAACCGTAATTTGGTATGGCAAGAACCCTCAACCTCAAACCGTATACGACCTACTCGTGCACAACGTCTGGCAAAGTCTCGTCGTCGTCTCCATTGGTGCCATTGTCGGGATCTCGATCACCTTCGTCGCAATCGACAGGCTCGGACGGAAATGGATCCAGATGATTGGATTTTTCTGGCTTTTCATCCTGTTTATCGTTATTGGAGGTTCCTTCTACCACTTGTATGACATCGGAGGCCAGGCTGCTATTGTTGTGCTGTACATTCTCTGTCAGATCTTTTTTAATTTTGGTAAGTTCTTTGATGTTAAATGCTTGCGTGGAGCTAATGATATCAGGTCCTAATGCAACCACATATATCGTTCGTCTTACTTAGGTATTCTTCTATAGTACGATGGTCTGACTGACCCCCACTTTCGCAGATGCCAGCCGAGCTATTTCCAACAAGATACCGAGCCCTCTGTCACGGTATATCCGCCGCTTCAGGCAAACTTGGATCCGTAATTGCGCAAGTATTCCTCGCCTACATCAACTACGGCCACGGCGACAACTACAACGATATCCCAAAATGGCTCCCGTACTCGCTCCTCATGTTCGTTCCAACCCCTTTAGCACTTCCATTCGGTGCTTTCTTCCTACTCATAGCAAAGAAACTAATCACGTAAATAGATTCTCGATATTCATGCTCATCGGCCTCTACACAACCATCGTTTGGATCCCCGGCCAAGAGCACTCCCCCTCCGGCGCCGTCAAGACGCTCGAGCAATGGCAAAAGGGCCGCGTGCCAGAGAAAGACTACTCGCACACCCGGTGGGGCAAAGTCGTGGTGAGCGTATGGAGATGGATCGGTAGTGTCGGGGGGTATATATTTATGGTGCTTGATAGCTTGAGTGGTGGGGAAGAGAAGGAGAGGAGGAGTGGGAAGGTGGTTGTGGATGGGGAGAGAGAATTGGATGAGGTGGATGATGAAAGAGGGAGGAGCGGGGCGGATGGTGAGAGAGCGAGGCCTTTTGTGAATGGGAGTGTGAGGCATGCTTCTCGGTAGTGGATAATTATCTCGTTATTCGTAAGAGCGGTTCTAATTGAAGCTTTGCTCTCACCATTTACCAATGCGGGCAAGACGTGAGATTTTAATGTACGCATAAGTAGTCTGTAGGCTCCACGTACTTTTTCACTTAGCTACCACGACAATGACTGTTATCAATTGCTTTTGTGTGCTTCAATTATCGCTTTCTCCGCATTCCGCGCGATTCGCGCTACACGCGCCCTCTTCGCTATCCTCCCTATTCTCGATCTCAGCCCTATGGTAGTACTTATGTAAAGGTAAACACGGATATGAGGATTCCTCTCGGTCGTAAATGCTTCGTTGATACACTCCGATTCGACATCTCCCAACCCCTGAACTTCCTCGACTCTCATCTTTGGCAGCTTGCACGCGATGTTTTTGTAGCGCAGCAAAGATGGCTTTGATTTCTTTACCCCACACATTCACCTAAACCTTAAGTCTCGTCGACTCTAGTTTGACCGAGTGCCCGGATTCCTTCTACCCTGCGGCGGCGGAGCGTTGGGAGATGGAACGCGAGTTGACGGTCGGCATCGCGGGGCGAAGAGCTCTGATTTTGGACGGTGAGGTGTTGAAGGAGATTATTATAGAAATGAGTTCATAATTTAGGGAGTCGCGTTCTATTTAAGTACCTAAGCGCTTCATCTTGAGCTCAAAAGCACGTACAGAACCAGCTGAAAATGGATCTTTCAGGAGCTTTCTCACCATCTCCTAATTCTTTAGCGAGCCGCTAAGCAGAAAGGGGGAGGAAAAGCGCAGACAGCTGCTTTTGTGCATATTAAAGCCATATTTCTCTATACAATGATAATACGCGAGAGAGTAACGAAAGTTGAAAACCGTTATATATCCTCAAATCCACCGCTCAACAGACGCCAAACCTACGGCCACGGCAACTGATCAACCACATCAACCCCCTTCGTCTCAGCCCCATGATCAATCAAAAGCACCATACACGACAATATCTTCGCATACAATACATCATTCTCCTCCTTCTCCGCACGCCACAGATACCCGAAGACGTGTTCCAACACACTAGTCTTATACAGACTCTTGGTATTGGGATTCGCGCCCCGCTCGAGCAAGAGTACGACGGCGTCTCGAAGGCCGCGACGAGCTGCGATGGCTAGTGCTGTGTATTCGTGGCAGTCTCGGACTTGGACGTCGGAGTGGGTGATTAGTTGTTTGAGGTACATCGTTGTGGGGGCGCCGAAGGGCCATTTTTTGAGGACGGACAATAAGAGGGTGTCGCCGTTGCTGTCTCGTTCTAGGATCGAGAGTTTGGCTGTTTGGACGGGCTTTGTAGGCTTTGAGAATGTAGATGTTCTGATGTTGGTCTCTGAGGCTGTAGTGACTGATGGCTGGAGTTTAGAGGCAGAAGATGTGGGTGAACTCATTTCTACGGTACCGAGATAGATTCCTTTTGCCTCATCTACTTCTAGTTCTTCGTTGATGCTCGGCAAGGCCCAGGATACAGTCACCGACCCGAGTAGAGAGCTGCTCATCAGATTCTCTTCGGCTTTGGGACTTTGCTCGAAAAACTTCTTGATTTCAAGCTGTTGCGACCTATCGAAATTGCAGTCCAAGACCAATTGCTGCAGCTTCATCTTAACAGTCGAGCCTGAATGATCGCGCTCTGACAATCGCACTCCTTGTTCCTTCGCATGCTGGAGAATGGTCATGAGATCTGGGAAGTCTTGAGGATTCTCGATGCGAAGCACGTGTAGGTATGTTTGTCCGTCGGCATTCCGGTGGTGCAAACCAGGAGTCAAGATCCTGCCAGCCATGGACATGAGTTGTATGACCCGCAATGTGTTTCCCGCTGCGGCGGCATGATGAAGAGGAGTATTTCCAAAAGCGTCTTGGAGCCGGGTGTCGATGAGGTCGAGGTCGTCGCTTAGTGAGAAGCGGGCTAAGTGGTGTGCTTGAGAATAGCCGCATTCGTGGCATGTCTTGTTCTCAGGGGTAAGGCTTTGGCCTTCGAAGAATGAACAGCATGGTCTGTGATGTAGGGATCCTGGACCGGATCGTGGGGTGTGTGGAGAGGTAACTTTTGACTTGTCGATGAACTGGTACATCCAAGAACTTGCATTCATGCTCGATGTCCGCCGAGATAAAGAACTCATCTTGGAAGCTAGATTCGATCGCCAAGATATGCTGAGTGATAGAACGGAGTTGACGTAGGACCAACTTGTGGTTGGTATTCTTGATGGGCCACGCCAGCTCAGGTTTCGCCTTATGTCCATAGCGACGCTGGTGATTTTCGAGTAGGAGCCTTTTACTCCTTGAGATCCAAGAAGAGCAATCTGGTCGTCGCTGACCAGAAACTTGGACGTGTTTATCATTTCAAGTTCTGCCATGGTTGGCTTCTCCCCTTGCGACGATGCAGATATCGAGGCTGTTGAGCTGGATCTGGTTTCAGAAAGCGTTTTCTTTTGATTATTTGTAGGCTTGGTGATCTGTGGTGGTATTTGTGATTGGCCCTGGTCAAGGTGTTGATAAGATCTCCGCTTACTCAACAGCTGTAGAGAGCAATGTGAAGGTAGCCCACTCGGCGTACACCCTTCGTAATGGCGAGTGGGATCATAAAATGGAGAAGTCTCCCGCGGTTGGTAATGGGTAGCACCGTCGTTCAATGATTCTGTAGATGGATCAGACGCTGCTTTCCGTCTAAATTTCCTGTCTACTCGAGACTTTCGACAGCGTTTGAGTTGAGTGAGTCGCGTCTTGCCATGGATGATCCCCGAAGGTCGATACAGTCGCCAGGCCTTATCGTTGTCCTGTAGCAGTTGACTGAGTTGGGTTTGAATGTTTCGAGTCCTATGCAGGACAGTGAGTGGATATATAGGTAAATATTGGTAACACATACCCAGGAGCAAAGCCGTCTGCTGCGAGAATATCTTTAATGTCTGATATGGTGAAATCAGTCATCAAATACAGCCGCACCAATTTCCGCCTTCTCGAGGTAGTCCAAGGTATCCTTGGGCGACCGCCTAGGTTACTTGGAGCCATATTATGAGGCGTTCTTCCTTCGAATCTCTATATAATTTATAAATTGCCGAACAATAGTGGCAATCTGCACAAGGCTAAGAGGTGTACGATGCCTTCGAATCAGCTAAACATTGAGGCAAACTCGTAGTAGGTAGCCACGGACAGGATGTTGTGACGTTGGAGGACCAGAAGATTGTAATTGAGCATTTTGAGGTTTGATGGACGTTGTACGTCGAGATAAAGCGTATGGAGTGGCACATGCTGTAAAGGCAAACCCATGTTTTTGCGCGATGCTCACGCCCAATTATTTTCAGCCGTAACCAGGGGTTTGCAGCAGACGAGACATTTTTGGATACGTAAGGCTGACCTACGACCGGCATGTCAGCCTGCAGACACGATGCCTAAAAGAGAGTGCAAAAACCTAAACGAGAGCTTGGCCGAGTAGATGTGTTTTCCCAGTAGTTCCCACCACGTGATTTGAGAGTGCAAATACCTGGTCGCAATCCAGTGACCAGTAGGATCTTTGGGGTGATATCATATCGATAAACACGTATTTCTGTCATGGAAGTGGTGTTCCCGATAAAAAGGCAAGGAAAGTGATTGGGCAGACCATCGTGCAAAAACTCCTGGGCGTTTGAGTTTGAGTCGAGACATACTCACTAACGTACGACATGGATAATTTTGGTAAGCTCAAAAGAGCGTGCAAGAACTCAAAAATTTTACTTGCATTCACATTGACTAATAGACTTTGTGAATGTGAAGAGAAACGCGTCCCATCGGTGCTTCAGTGGAATGCGCAAAAACTGTGTACAAAGTAAGTAGAAATATCACATCCCAATGGATACATAGCCAAACACATTGGGATAAATAGCTTGTGGACTATCACATTCTGCTTCCAACAAACCTTTTTCCTTCGGCATGATTAACAATCGTGTCATCCTCCGCCAATGCTCTCAAAACACCATGAATAACTCGGAATTCAACCATAAATTGTCACAAATTCAATATTCGCAGACCCCCATGTTGCAGGAAGATCCTCATGTACTTCCTCGGCCGAGGCTCAAGTATCTTTCCCTCACATCTGACCAAGGAGGCTCAATAGCCTGACGATAGCCAGCATTCCGAAGAATCACTTCTTCCATCGTGGAGATTCGCTCCTTCATCACCAATGCCCAAGTCCAATGCACCACGGCCTGCTTCGATAAACACTCACTATCCACAACCGTATCAATCAAGATAACAACACATAGAGGTAAGCCAAAGACCGATGCAAGAAGACAATGGCAGAAACTGACAAAAGGCCGTACCTAGAAGTCAAGGGTCACCGACAACTTTTAGCTTCTTCAAGATTGAGAAAATCAAAGAAATGGAGCGGTCGACACAGGTTTGGACGGAGAACATAAAGAGCGCGTCAAAAGTATAAAATCAAGTCCAGTTAGGGCTTGCTACAGTACCTTTCACAAGCGCAACAACCATGCACTTCCTAACTTGAATCAAATGGAGAATGGCTCATTTGCATCTTGCAAATACCACAAACCACGATCCAAAAGTGAATTTCACCTTTCCTCTATCGCGGCAAATCATAAGCAGTCCAATTGTTGTTGATCATCGCAAAATAACAACAACAAATATCCGCAACAATTGAACTTCAAGAACTTATCAAAGCTTGAGGAGTCAAGAGATTTCCGCACTAGAAGTCTCTCGGCCAATCAGAAAGCAACAATAAATTTGTTTTGTATTTTGTTGTGATTCTGGAGATCTCCTCAACCTCTATAGTAAAATTTTAGTCCGAAGCTAAAAGTAAGCTTAAAACCTTAAATGAAACCTTAAATCTTTTGTTGCATGTCGCAAAAATAATTGTTTCTCAAAAGTCAACGAAGAGACCTTGGGAAAACTGTCACAATTGCACATTCTGGAAATTTTCGCGCTAAGAAGCCTTCAGCCAATCAGAGAGCAGGATTTATTTTGTATGTGTTTCTTGTTGAGGAGCTCTGGTTCAGAGGACTTGAATGAGGCAGAAATTCAGGCAACCATAAATTTCATATTTATCTTCACTCCTCTCTCAAAGAACATAGCCACGAAATGTTTCACCCCAATCAACTCGATCACGTCCGCAACCCTCCCACTCACAGGGCTACTTAAGAACGGTCCTTTTTGAACGAAGGCTTTGGCTTCTCCAGATGTATCAACTTGCTTCTTCCCCTTTCCTCAATTGCAGAGCGAAACTTGGTAATGTGCGATTCCAAGGAACAGTCGTGCTTATCAACCCACGATGAAAAATGCTATCCGCAGCGAAGTCCCAGGATACAGTCTACACTGATCGACTATGTAGCATCGAGACTTATCTTCAGCTCACAAGCTCTGGATTTGGTGTTCGTTCAGACTACAAAACTTGGAAAATTATTCAATACACATACTGGACAATAATCTTCAATGGAGCTTGTCAATTTCAACCTGCTCAAAATCTTGTCTTTCCATGCTCCCCATTAAACTCATGACTTGGAACCGGTATCTTGACCGTATTTATAATGTTTCAACCTCCTCTCGGTACCCCACCGATCCCGATCAAGATGTCATCCTGCTCACTCCCTATATCGCTAATACTGCTCGTATTCCCATGCTTCCTCCCGCCCGTCCAAATATCCTCAGCTCTATCCTCTGCTCCAGTCGTCCCCAGATTGGTCTGACTACTCAGCTTAAAAGCTTCCTTCGTTACCGTTCTTTTACCAGTTCTAGTTCCGCTCGCATAGTTCCCAAAGTTACTTGTGTTCTTGCTTCGATAAGCACTGGATAGCAATCCCGGTGCAATCTTCCGAAGAAGAGGCTTGAAACTGGGAGCAGAGGCGTAGAAGATCCCAGTGTTCATTTCGACCGAGGTCCAGATCGTGAGATCGTTGCTGACGTATGGAATGTCGACAGTTGACTCGATTTCGTATGAAACGCGAACGCAACGAACACTGCCTGCGATTATGACGAGGATACTGAGGCCGAGGATGAGGAGGAGAGGAATCTTTTGGCGTTGCGCGATTTGGAGTTTGAATTTGCAGATCTTGGGTAGAACCCAGCCAAGTAATGAGATATCGGCGAGGATGTTGAATACTACTCCGCAGATCACGATTGGCTCAAAATGGCATTGAGCGGTACCTCTTTGTTGGCGATAGTCCCAATTCGGGTTAGCTCGCAGTCGCAAAGCTTGACTTATGGAACCAAATAATCATTTCCTCGTCGCGAAAACCAGAAAGAGTGTATATGAGCAGTAAGGCGGCCGAATAGTCGAGTCTATAAACAATCGAAATTAGATTCTTGTTTCCTGCGAAGATGCTTACTCATATATGACTCGCTTGAATCTGTTAATCCCTCTAGATACTCTGGCTGGTATCTAGGAATGGTTTTGCAATTTTATTTTGTCCTCTGAATTCGCTCAATGAATACCTTCTTCGAGCAGCGAAAGGCGGATGATGAAGGACCAAGCAACTGACGTCAGAGACTTTCGAAAACACACGAAGGAAGAAGCATAGTGGAAGTTTTTCCAATTTTCTTTGGGATCCGTAACTTTTGAGCAGCAGCAAATTAGATTGAAGAACTGGATGATGCAGGTTGCTGCTTGAATAGTGTATGAGAACATTATACCCGGGTGGCAAAGCAGGTCTAACGATGCATGAATGAACTAGAGGGCATGTATTTCCTTGGCAGGCATCACAATTACCAACATTTTGATGGACAGCGCATGCAGGCTTGATTGGGCTCCTGCAGGCTGACACGCATGTCTTCCCACCTGCTCCAACAGAGGCACAAAGAAGGCCACCGGAAACAATGGTAGTGATTCACGTTGGTAAAACATCCGACAGAATCTCCAAAGTCTCATTGTCCAGACAACATCTCAGCTCTCAGGAGTTGATCAACCATACTCGACATATTTCGTCATGGACAATCCAAACACGTCACTGTGGCGAACTGTCGCTGTTGCGATTCTTTTGTACTTTGCAACTCGTACATTTTATCGTCTATTTCTCCACCCCCTTGCCCGCTTTCCAGGGCCAAAGCTGGCAGCCGCGACAAGATGGTATGAAGGCTACTACGACGTTATTGAAAACGGCCAATATACATTCAAGATTGAGGAGATGCACAAGCAATATGGTAAGTGACCCTATCGCATCGCATGCCTATTGGTGTTATGCTTCTGTCTGATGCAAGAGCTCTTTATCAATACACTTCAGGGCCAATCATAAGGATCAGCCCCTATGAGCTTCATGTTAGCGATCCCGTCTTCTTTGACGTTCTCTATTGCCAAGAGGGGCGTTGGAACCGATACCCTTTTGCGTGGGATGCGTGGTAAGTCAATCTTGCCCCTAACTTGGGAATATTGTGGGGGGTTCATCTCTCGAGACAGCTTGAATTTCGTCTCAAACTGACTTCCCTTAGGGGCGCTGAAGGCCCAACTATACACGCTACCCAGCATGACCTGCACAAGGCTCGTCGCCAACCTTTGGCACCTTTCTTTTCCAAGGCCAAAGTGTCAAGCCGACAAGACATGATCAGCAGGCATGTCAGTAAATTCTGCGATCGCCTTTCCAATATTGCTGAAGCAGGGAAAATGGTCAATTTGGGTGCTGCCACCACAGCGTTGGCCCGTGATGTAGCTTTCGACTTCATTCTTGGCAAAAGCTATAACAGTCTCGACAGCGAAAACTTCGATGTTGCGGTTCTCCACGCTGCTCAAGGAGCTGGATCTCTTTGGCGGCTTAGCAAGCATATAGGATACGTCCTTTTCTTGCTGCAAGCAATGCCGTTGGACTGGGCCATGAAGATTGCGGACGATGATATGAAGACATTCTTTGCGCACATGAAAGCTGCTATGAACGATACGAAAGACATTATGGACGAAGCACTATCACCTTCACCACCAGAAGGAGTCAAGCGGACCATCATACACGAAATACTTGATTCGAAGCTCTCTTCACATGACAAGTATTTCAAGAGAGTCTTTCAGGATGTGACATCTGTGAGTGGTGCGGGTTTCGAGACCATTGGCGGTGCTCTACGTTTAATATTCTTCCATGTGTTCAGCAACTCCGCTATCCTCCAGAAACTCCGTGAGGAACTTGACTCTGCAAAAGCGAAACATCTTGATGTCAACGAATTGAAAGTCCTCGAGCAGCTTCCCAACCTCACATCGACTATAAAAGAAGGACTACGCTTGAGTCCTGGCATAGGTACACGTATGGCACGAATTGCTCCAGACCGAGACCTATTCTACAAAGAGTGGCGAATTCCTGCTGGGACTCCTGTTGGAATGACGACCATCTTGATGCATATGGACGAGAACAACTTTCCAAATCCTCGTTCTTTCAGCCCTGAACGGTGGATGGATAATAATAGACAGAAGAATGCCGAGAAGGCATACGCACCGTTCTCGAAAGGGACGAGGATGTGTCTTGGGATGCAGTAAGTATTTCCGTTCGGCTTATATATGATATAAGCTGCATATACTGACAGGTGTGCCACCATCGTCTTGCATGGGCAGAGATGTATTTAGCTCTTGCTGCCCTTGTACAACGTTTCGATTTTCATTTCGAGAGCGCGAAGGCTGAGAACTTTGAATTTGAGAGTGATCAATTTGTCATCGGGACCAAGGGAAAGGGGCTCTTAGAAGCTCACGTAAATCTTCGTGAATAACGAAATTCAGCAGTAAAGCTCATGTCTATCTCACACATTGTCTTAAAGCTTCACCGTTGTTCTTTCGGTATTTTGGTGCCACTTATCATTTGTGATGTTGAAGTGCATCGTCTAGAGCCACTTCCTGTGAAGTTGACCAGAAATTACTTGCTTTCTTGCCTCGTGTGAGAAAGTCCAGATCGATGCTGGCGATCCGGCTAGCAAAGCCATCATGTTGCAGCAGTCCCTACACAAGGAAGCATGGAAGGGTTACGGCACAGGTGCATTATGCTGACACGAAATGCAGCCAGTAGCACTTTCTCCGGATTTCCCCACGCCACCACCAACAGTTGGTGTTGGTTGGTGTACTGGCAGACTTTGACAACTTCAGACTCAAAGACCCATGTCATTCCCGCCCAATCGAAAGTTCCATCTACATTTGCCCTGGCGAACTGGACGCTGATTGAAGAATCCTGGGGTCCACCCGCTGATCTGAACGACGCCGACACCATTGCCGTAAAGACAAACACCACCTGCACTCTTCCCAGCTCTGTCTTACCATCATGGATTGCAATTTCCGGTCTAGAAACTGCATCAGGACTCGGGTACTACAGCATGAGTTTCACATGGGGCAGCACGTCCTACGGGGCCATCATTTCTTTTGGACGGGTTGTTCACCCGTCACGAGTTTGCATCAACGGATATCAGATCCCGCCGTTGGATCTCGCTGATGCAAAAGCGGATATTAGTTCGTACTTGGTGAAGGAAAAAATACGCTAGAAGCCATCGTGGCGACGAATTTGTATAATGTGTCGTCGAAGATTTGGGCGGAACTGAAGACGGCGGGAGAAGGACCGTCTGTTGACATCGCGGCTTCTGACCCGCTTGTGGAGGCGGGGTTGGTGGGAACGGTGACTATTCTCCTTATGTGAGTGTTAAGTTGGGTCAGATGAAGGTCCGCGGAATATAATTTTATAATAATCTAAGCGGAAAACCGGACGATGGAGGAATGCCTCGCTGATTAGCAGAGGTGGGTCCTTGGCTGCTTGAGATGTTCGGAGATTCAGGCCAATATTTAAGGTAGGCGCTGAAAACAAGGTTAAAACCTTAAATTATTTTGTTGCATGTCGCAAAATGAGAGAGATTTCAAAAGTCAACGAGGAGCTGCACCCAAGAATCCCAAAATTTCCACGCTAAGAAGACTCTGGCCAATTATATTGCCGTATTTCTTTTGTATGGGGTTCTCGTTGAGGAGCTCTCTTGAGCTGTTTGAAAGTCAAGGAAAAAGGTTAAGCCGGCGCTAAACCTTAAATAAAACCTTAAATGTTTTGTTGCACGTCTACAAAATTCAATTCTTCTCAAATCTCCAACGAGAATCTCTCATATGTTAAGGCAGTCAGGAAATTTTTACGCTAGTAAAGCTCCGGCCAATCAGGAAGCTAGAATTATTTTGCATACAATTCTCGTTGAGAGGCACTTTCTTTGCGATGCACAGCAAATATTTAAGGTTTTCAATGCTTGCCTGAATTTCTGCCTGATACTCAAATACTTTCGTCATCGAATGGTGAGCCTTTACTTCTACTAAAAAAAAACCTAGAAGCTATTCAGCATCTCTCTTTGCAGCAGCAGCCAGCAACCTGCACTCATGGCCAAACGAGCACTTCAAGCGCTCTCCCTCACAAAGCACAGCGGAGATATCTTCGACGCTCCAGATCATACGGTCTTAATTCACGCCTGCAACACCCAGGGTAAATGGGGCGCCGGAATCGCAATCCCGTTTAAGGATGCCTATCCTGATGCTTTCAACACCTACCACGAGCACTGTCTCTCCGATCCTGTTCAAACAGGGACTTGTCTGCTCATAGAGCCCTGTGGGCCCTCGAAACATTGGATTGCGTGTCTGTTTACAAGCGCAAAGCATGGACGTGGGAAGGACAAGCCGGACGAGATTCTCGAGAACACGAGGCGAGCAGTTGAGGATTTGTTGGAAAAGGTGAAGGAGGCCGAGGGCAAGGGTGAGATGGTGGGAAGCTTGAGGATGTGCAAGATTAATTCGGGGAAGTTTGGGGTGGAGTGGGAGAGGACGGAGATGGTTTTGAAGGAGGTGGAGGTGAAGGAGGGGCATAGAGGGGTTGTAGAGGTTTGGGATCGCGAGGGAGACTTCTCATAAAACAGGTCAGTCCTGACACGAGATGTCTCGATCTACTATTCCTTGCTTGCTACTACTATCTCAAATCTGTGTCGTATTTAGTGTTGCAGCAAAATTGTATTTCAAACACCCAGCAATCCGAGTTCCACCAGCTCCGCCGTTGTTGCCTGGAATCATAACATCAGTAACCGCTCATACACTTACGAAACAAATCTCAACACTTACAGTTCCGCCAGTTCTCCTTCACCAGACTAACACAAGTGACCGTGGAATCACCAGCAAGTGGTTGGTCCATACTCTGCTGCGTTGCCGTCGTCATACAACCATCAAGCCAACTTACGGTATAATGATACGGTGTGAGTCCATCTCGGAATATTATTGACCCCGCGTTCCACAGCACGGGAGCTGTCCCAGAAGTAAATGTTTGGTCATTGGTGCTGCAAAAGGTGGTAGCATAAGAACTCTGCACTTTTCCAGCAATATCGCTGTGCTTTCCGAAACTGTCTGCTTCGTAACACTCCTGATCTTGCAGTCCTGGTGGAGATAGTGTTGGAGTTGGACTGGGCGGCGGTGGAGCAAAGGTTGTGGACGAAGTGGGAGCTAGAACGGCAGACGAAAGCGATATTGCGAAGGTGCCGCAGGTATCCTGTAGACTTCCTGACCCGTAGATAAGTTGGCTGTTAAATTCGCCTGTTGTTTCATCAGTCGAGTTAGAAATGAGTAAAGACATGAAACCAGTGAGACTTACAAGACGTGATGATCTGTGTGTAGCTTGAGTTGCAACCAAGAGCACAGATATCGGCTGTTTGACTGAAGTTGAAGAATACAGAGGTTGCGTCTGCACCTTGTGTGCCGGACTAATTTCCTTGGAACAAAACACTACTGCCCTCGGAAAGATCAAGACCAGTACAGAAGATATCTGCAAGTGCCTCAACAAGCTCAACAGTAGCACCCACGTCGTATGAGCTGCATGAAGCTGTTGCTAAGGGAAATGCTGTCGAGCTGATGCTGGCAAAGTCGTCGTCCGTCGGGGTGGGACCTGATGCAATCAAAACAAATTGTTGAAAGTCCAGGTAATCCGTATATGGTGTATCGACTATTGCTGTGACCGTCTCGACAGCACTGGAGCTGGAGATGAACAATGATAGCAATACAGGGACAAGAAGGACTTGAAGAGAAGAAAGATGAGGAGTGAAAGACATAGTTGAAGGGTCTGGAAAATGAGGACTATAGCTATAAATGTTGTCGACTAACAGTGAATGATGAAGGAGACATATAGCATATTGAGAAGAGAAGGGGAGAGACAAAGCCATCGTATCAAAAGTTACACAGTTATGACTTACACTCACCAATGCCAACGTTGGAATTCCATAAAGAGGAACAAGAAGAAGAGACTGTATGCAGCCCCGAGAATAGATTTCAACTGTCAATGGACTTTCTCTTGGTCACAACATTTGAAATCACACAACCTTCCGCCTTCTCACAGTGCTTTCCGACGCGGTGTGGCGAGGATTATGGCTCTCATGTAACTACACGCTGTTGTCTGCTTTCTCTTGGTCACAACATATGAGACTGCACATCAATTGAATCTCTCACAGTTGCTTCCAAATGCACTGCCGCGAGGATCATGATCGCTATGTCGCTACGTCGCTACGCGCTGCTATTTGCTATCTCTTGGTCACACCATATGAGACCATGCATGCATTCAACCTCTCCCGACTCCTTCCACGCTGTGTCCAGCGCTCTCGATGGGTGGGTTGGGCCGTTTTTGGCCCTGAACCGTCACCTAGTACGGGTTGGAAGAACTAAGAACCGTCACCATAAGGATCCTAGACAGTTCTAGACAGTTATAACTGCCAAAACAAATAAGAGCTTTTTGAGAACTATAATCAGAGTGCGCATATAAGTTATTGGAGCATTGGCCGAGATATATTAAATTAGGTGAAGGACTTTTGATGTTCTCGCTAGACGAAAAGCGGCCACTTTTTTCTCCGCCTCCTGATCTCCCCTGATTTCCCCTACGTAACCGGTCTAGACGGGTGGGTCGTGTCGGGCACGCTAAAATCACCCATCATGATCTTTATGTCGTTATGCGCTGCTGTTTGCCTTCTGAAGTCTGTCCCTGGCTTCCCGGACTTCCAATGGCTCTGAATAGCTAACGAAGTGTATGATCCGATTGCGCCACAACGTTCGTCCTGTTTAATGTTAATGATGGGAAATGAGAATATGAGTGTGACTGTGGCTACCTACCTTCACTGTCTTTCTCCTCAATCCATGCGTCTGCCTTGGCCCAGTCGGGTTCCCAATTCGGATCGAAAGGCTTTGACAGTGGCTCATCGAGAAAGTCATCTTCGTCTGGATCTGGCAGTGGACCCAAAGCTGCTAAGCGCATACCCTCCTGCCATATAGCCAATTGTTCAGGTGTGCAAACAATGGTTGAATCACCCGGTCTCCAGGTAGCGACGCAGTAGTTAACACCTTGCTCCGTTGATGGCGCAGCTTGGTCTGCATGATTACCCTGAGATGTTGGAGTACTCTGGCTTGGTTGATCCTGAGGTGGTGGTACCGTTGGCTGACTGTTATCATTCTGGTCACCTCGAGAGGATGCCATACTCGTTGAATGTTCAGAGAGAGTGGGCATGAGTGGGATTTGGTCGATTGCTGCAATTCTGATGGCGAGTTCGACAACTCATATCATATCCCCTCAACGGCCAGCCGGGAATTATAGCGTGGAACAGAACGCACGGGCCATTCCTAAGATAGGTATGATTGGCGAGGGATATGTAGGCCGAGATAGGTTCAGCCCTGTAGTTTTAGAAAAATCCACTGAGCTGATTGTTAGGACTTTTGTCATGAGATTCAGTGTGACACCAACAAGCACAAGGACAGGCAGCTTGCCGAATGACTCCGTTACATCCAACAACAACATGAAGTGTCAACCTAATCCTATAGCGACTTGGGAAAATAATAGCGGGGCATACTGTTCATAATCATTATCTTAATGTTTGCCACATACCAAACATCTAGAACACACACCAAAATGCTTCAAAAATAGATTTCTACTCCGTACGCCTACGAGATGCGGTGCACCGCAATGGAACTGGTGATCAAAGTGGTTGCAAAGTTGCACAGGCTTCAATCCGAGGGCTGTTGGATGATCCAAAGATGCAAAGAATTAATAACAGTGTGTATAGTATGCCGAGAAGAAAGTGGGAGATCTTCTAAAGGCTCTATATTGTCCGAAACGTGCCCTTTCCTCCCTTGTATACAGTTTGCTGTTAAGCATGTCTCCGAATGCTCCGACGAGAATCTCTCAGCTTGTTCTTACAGTCATCTGGATGATATCACATTCGTCAATTTTCTGTACAGCGTGGAGTATAGCTCCCGATTGTGCGAATTTCCCCGAAGTTTCAGCACAAATGACCAGCGCACTCAATATGGCAATATACGCGCAGAAACGAGCATATGGAAGTCCACTGCTTCTAGGCACATCTATGGTCGACTTACTTGCTGCGCCTAATGAAAACGATGAAGCTACTCTTGCTTTTGTGAGAAGTGAGTCTATCAATTTTCCACGAATTCCTTCCACAGATATCTACTAACATCTTCCTCAAAGCTTGGTTTGGCAATGTCGTCTCAGCTGCCACGATTCCCAGCCCAGGTGGCATACTTATCCACTGCTCGGATGCTCATTTGATCCCAACCAATCCAACGAGCAGGCAATATCTCGACAATAGGGGGAATACGGTGATAAATGCTCCAAGTCCTCCCCCAGGTATCTCATTGACGGCAAATGCTTGTGGAGGCTTTGCAAAGGGCTTCACATACCAAGCTGCTGCGAATCAAATCATCATTCTATGCTCGGACAGTGGCAAAGGGGCATTGATATCAAGTTTTACACCTTCACTCGATAACTACCGTACGTCAGGAGATTTGAGGATTGGACCTGGTGTTTCGGAAAATGGGCTTGATATACTTGGAATGTGGCTGAGTACAGTAATATTACATGAGCTTATGCACGCTGCCAGCTTCGCGCAGCAATTAGGTACGTTCCAGCTTGGACAATGTAAGTTATTCCCACGGTAGACAATTCAATATCATTATTATTGTGCTAACCACTACAAGTTCCGGCAACTCTCCCAGATATGGTAAACGGGGCCACTGTCGGCGAAATGTAAGCCTACCAAAATCTCTGCAAATAGCGGGAAATATACTTAACAAATTTCAGTTATCAATTTACTCCGATCTCCGGTAAACAACTCGGCGCTTCAACATCAACCGGACAATCAACTGCTAACAACCTCCAACATAATGCGGATAGCTTTGCTCTGCTGGCAGCAAGTACGTATTCCTCGATCAGCTCCATAACACTTATATATTTCCAATTGCTAATAGAAGTCATCAGGTTGGTATTTGCCTCCTTACGCATGGGTCAACGGACAGTGTAGAAAGATAAGTGCAATTAACCAGGCACCACTCGTATACACCAACACTCTTCCCCCTCCTGGACAGTCATGAACTCCATTGTTGGACGTTCAGAAGCGGTCTGCTCACTGGAAGGAGAGAGAGTCTCTGACATTTGACACCTTGGAATTGTTTATGGGACGAACATGAAGTGGTAAATGCCCTAATATGCTGGTGCGTGCGACGTTTGTCAAATAAAAGTATGAATTCAAAGAATAGATAGCTATAATGGTTCCAAAAGAAAAGTGACCAAAGGTTGTCTACAGCAGCGAAGGTTGACTCTGGTATTCTCATAGACTGCGAATAGCTTGTGAATATGACCGAGTCTGATTGGATTTGTTGGAAAACAATAACGTAAAAGTCTCTACCCATAATCCGTCTACTGTAGCCCACCACACCACACCCCATTGAGCTCAGATTAACAAACGCTATGCAACCCTGATCATATGGAGTAATCTTGAAGCTATTCATAAGGTGTGTCGAATTTCCAAGCTATACCATCCCGAGTGAAGGTGAATCGTGTACCAAAAAACCACCCCACACTTGAAAACCTTCCAAGCATACTATAATGAATTGTCTCTAAGATACATAGGGTCTCGAGAGATTTGTCAACAGTATGTGAAAGATGCTTTTGTATAACTTTTTATATAGTGAAAGATTTTAGTTTGTCAGGTGATTTTCCCCTGTTCAAGTCTCGCTTTGGATGGGATATATAAAACTATTCTCGGCAACAGAAGGCAATGACAGGCACTATTCAACTACTGTAAGCACCGCACAGGGTAGGGAGATCTGGATTCCAGAAGTTTTTGAATAAACCACATATTCATCGCAGTAACCCAAACCTAACGCACTATCAAGTTTCGTGCTGGAACTTTTGCCCCTCACCGCACGAACAACATTTGCCTCACTTTATATTCATTAGGCTTTTAATCGAGAATATCAAGGCAACATTGGCACTTTTCAATAAAAGCATGATCTTGAACAACGCAAAACGAATTCACTTACTAGAAGAGCGAAACTCTCTCAGAATTAAGAAACTCCTCATCTACTAAAGTCAGGGAAGAAATATCATTCACTCAACCACGAACCCTTCCACTAAACATCCCCAAAATCCACCTCTCCAACCCTCACAGCCCAATCCCCTCCCCCTCCCTTCCCAAACCCCGCCTTAATTTCAAAGCTTAAAGACTTCAAAGAGACAATAAAGATAAAGAGAGAGACTTGATACCTATTGTTTAAATTGTGTTGCAAGGGTATGAAAAAAACGTGACTTGCGATTGAGTCATAATTAGACCTACCCCACCCTCGGAGAACCTTTAAAATTCGTACCTCAGTCAAAGGCAAAGGACAAGTGTTTTGTGCCCGAGGCTTGCGCGTGTTGCGAGACAAACCACAGAATTGACCTTACCCCCCCTATCAGCACGAGAGTTCATCTCTCCAGTATTATCTCGAACCAGTTTCTTGCATCTAAGGATTCCAACGTGCCGTACCTGGGCTATCCAACCCACTACGAGGAATACACCCAAGTAGATATTCCTTTGGTATGAAGGTATCTGTATTCAAAGGTATCATCCTTTGCACATAGTGCATACTTAGGAATCCTCTCAGAGGTGCTTTACTTCAAACTTTATTTTTAACCCCCCATCTTCATTCCTTCCAAACCATAACAGTCTCAATGGCATCTCGCTTTCACCATAAAGTCCTCGAGGAAATAGGTCTCTCCTCCCTCTGGTCATCTACCCTGGACACCAAGCTCCTATGCATGCAAAGATTCGCCCGCCACTTTGCATATGGTGGAGTAGCGCTCATTCTCGTCGCCTACCTCGACGAGCTCTCCATCTCCAAGACGAGAATTGGTCTCTTTATGACACTTACGCTCGTTGGAGACACCATAATTAGTCTTTTCTTGACGGCGTTCGCAGATGGCTTGGGTAGGAAAGCAACGCTGGCTGTGGGGGCACTGCTGATGTCCGCGAGTGGAGTCACCTTTGCTCTAAGTGGGAATTATTGGGTTTTGTTGCTTGCTGCGATCTTCGGGGTCATAAGTCCCAGGTATGTATCCTTCTAAGTGACTATGAAAGCGTAGGACGTAGGCTGATTCGAGGAAGTGGCAATGAAATAGGACCATTCCGAGCAATCGAAGAATCGATCTTAGCACAACTCACCCCAGTTGCGAAACGCAGAGATATATATGCCTGGTATTCATTAACGGGCTCTGCTGCCATTGCGTGTTCAATGGTTTTGTCAGGATGGCTCGTAAATCATTTACGGGAGGATTTGAAATGGACTGCTATAAGGTCATATCGAGTTATTTTCTGGGGATATGCTCTTGTTGGGATGATCAAGTTCCTTCTTGCAATATCCTTAAGTAAAGCAGTCGAGGTAAATAAGGAGAAGGAAATACCTACGGCTGTAGATCCAGAGACTACCCCGCTTCTGGGAAATAACTCAGATGAGCCGGAGCGTAAGACGAAGTCATCGATTCGTGCGTTGCTGCCAAATATCAGCATTGAAAGCAGACCAATTATCCTGAACCTCTGTCTCTTATTTGCAGTCGACTCCTTCGCCTCAGGGCTGTCACCCATGTCAGTTTTCTGCGTGTTGCCTTCCTCTTCCTTGTGTTCTAACGAGTTTCAAGATCATGGATAACCTTCTTCTTCAAAGACAAATTCTCTCTCGCGGAAGGAAAACTAGGCACCATTTTCTTCGTCACAAGTGCAATTAGTGCAGTCTCCGTACCCCTAGGATCCTCCATCGCAAGGCGCTTTGGAAACATAAAAACAATGGTGTTCACACATCTCCCTTCCGGCATCTTCCTGGCTCTCATGCCTATCCCCTCCTCGCTGCCTCTCGCTGCCACTTTCCTGATCTTACGGTCCTGCAGTATCAGCATGGATTCGGCGCCACGCACTGCGTTTCTCGCTGCAGTCGTACTACCTCGTGAGCGGACCGCTGTTATGGGATTGTTGAATGTGGTCAGGACTTCTGCACAGTGTATTGGACCTCTGATTTCCGGTGTGCTCGCTGGGAAGAACGCTATTAGTTGGGCATTCGTCGCGGCGGGATGTTTGAAGGCCGCTTATGATCTTGGTATGTTAGCTGTGTTTGCAGGGCATAAGATGCGGGAAGAGAGGAATGAAGGGGATGAGGACAATGCGCCTGAAAGGTGATCGCTGAGGCGGGTTCTACTACCCCGAGCAATAGAGAAGAGGTGCGTGAAACCTTTGTCAGATCGAGTTATCTTGGAGCGATATACGAGCGTCCTGTCTAAAGATAGTCGAAGCATTATGAAGAAGGAATTACTCTCGACTACCCTTCTCACCTCCTCTCTCCATAGCAATATAATACCATTTGTGGCTATGTGAACTTTTAAGAAGTCATGAGAGCCATTAACCCAGCCAACAGGCAAACTTAAAATCCAGCAAAAACCCATCAAACATGCACTGAATCATGAACTCTCCCACTACACATCCCCAAAATCCACCCCAATCCCCTCCCCCAACCCCTCAAAACCTTCCCCAGCGCAGTAAACAATCCCGACCAATCGCATCCCCTTATCTCTCTTCTACCCATTTCTTTCTTGAAGAAACAAATTTGCTTCGCTGCGACACGCAAAAAAGCAACCACCCTACACGCTAAGAAATAAGCTTAAAACCTTAATTATTTTGTTGCATGTCGCAGTTTTTTCTTCAGGAAATTTGGCGCTAGGGAGGGGGCGGCCAATCAGAGGGCTCGGAGGGAGTTAGGTGGATTTGTTGTTGTGGTTGGAGTTGGGAAGTGGATGTACTAGTGGGAAAGGGATATTGAGGGTTGGATTCACTTTTAAGAGGGAGAAAAGGCAAGAGCATAGAATGAGGAAATATTTATGTGTTATTGGGAAAGGCATTAATTATCTATCTGACTACGTAGAGGTAAGTAGGTAGGTACACGTATGTAATCCACCAGGTATCATGTTGAGGCCGTCAGCATCCATCCATCCATCCATCCATCCAAACCGCCGCCCTAGAGAAGAAGCAGAAGAAGGTAATCATACAACGAAATGCGTGAACAAAGGAAAGAAAGCCGCTTGGAAAAAGCTACATCCTAATAAATAGGTCTCCCCTCCGCCCACTGTTTCTGCACCATCTCCGGTCCGCCGTCGCTCCCTGATACGGGACTACTCATCTCGTCATAAACGCCCCAACTAACTCTCCCCGATTTCCTCCGTTTGGCACCTTCGTAACCACTTTCTAGACTCGCGACGTTGCCGACCCATTCCCAGACCTTGGAAATCTCGCCGTTTCGGCTTTCTCGTTGCCCGATTCTTACGTTGGAATTGTGTTCCACGATCCGCTTGACGCGTTCCCATAATGCGGCACGTTTTTTGATGCTGTGTTCATCGCGAAGGACATCATCACGTAACTGGCCTATGCTGATGAAGTCTTCTGGATAGGCGTCTTTGTCTGCTGCGTGGAGGGCGGCTTGAGTAGCTAGTCTTTCAAGAGTGAGAGAGACGAGATGAGGAACGGCGGCGTTAGCTGTAGCGCGTGAATGGAGGGTGGAGCGAATGTAGGCGATTATGGAGAGGAAAATGGCTATAGAAGCAATTTTGAGGCGATGTCTTGCCACAGTGAGTCGGAAGGATCGTCTGATGGCACAGACGAGGGGGAGGCGTGCGAGGGAGGAACTTGTAAGGAGTGTGTGGGGTCTGCAGTTGGGGCGAGGAACCTGATTAGTGCCGTCCTGTCAGATATGTAGTTGGTAGTTGTGGAAGAGGGACAGGTGCAAGGAAGCGACATTTGAAAGCCATGCCAGGAAGAACGGAAAACAGGAGTTGCGGAACACGAGGGGGCGATGAAAAGGAGAATAGACGAAAGACTTACCCATCAGCAACGCTCATGACCTCGTCTCGCCCTTGAATCTCACCAATCGCTCCACCCCACAACTCTTCAAATTCAGCCTCACTCATACCCTTCCTCCGCTTCTTGCTGACTTCTTTCTTCAGCTCTTCTGCATCAATCTCAACAGTTGGCTCTGGTTGCCCAGCTTCATTGGTCAACTCGCCACATTCAAACTTCGCTCTTCTCTCTCGAAGCTCCTCGACTGCGCGATCAGCCACAGCTTTCACTCTGCGCACCTTTTCCCCATCTGGTTCACAAGTTGGGGGCAAAGGCACCAGGTCTCCAAGAGACATAGGGTGTGGCTTCTTCACGAAGTCCAATTCGCAAGTGGTCTCCATATTGGCGGAGCAGTAAGCATGCTGAGGACAGGGTTCGCATTCCGGTTCTACCAGAATCCTAGCCCAATCTGGGACCTCAACTCCTGCTGGAATGACTGGTGTTGCATCTCGGCCAACACCACAGTATCCAACTGCAAGTTTCTCTTGTCGATACCAAAAGCCATAACCACTAAGAAGGGCGAATAAGGCAAACGAGAGTGGGCCTTTCTTGCTGATTCCTCTGTTTTGTTTTCTCTTTGGTCGTAGTGGTCCAACAGCACTTTCTCCGTTGGCAGCAATATCTTGGACCAATGCTAGTTGCTCTTCGGGTGTAAATTCCTCACTGGCCTCAACCCCATTTTCATCGACATCCTTCATGCCATTCAATGCGCTGACTGGTATCTCGAATGTTGAAGAGGTCGGCGGGTGAAATCCATCCTCCGCTTGTGGTCTGGAAGTGCTTCGTCTCGAGTTTGACATGCTCTTCCTCTCTCGGCTTACACTAGAACCCAGGCTCTTTCGCAGTTTTCTTTCGCCACTGCTTAAGCCTGGTGGCGGAGAGCTACCACTCTGGAATGGGTTATCGTAGGTGAAAGCACTCTCCCTTCTCGATACGCCAGCTCCGTCATCCACAATCTCAGGTCTCATCGGCGGGAGTGCTGGAGCGGCGGGAGTTGGCGCCTCGCTTTTCCGTGACTTCCGAATAGACTTATGGATAGCATCAGGATCAGTTCCAGTCTCAGTATCGGAAGCTCTGGGGTGTTTGGTGCTAGGTGTTCTTGTTCTCTTTGTTGGACTCCTCGCGACCGAAACATCCGACTCGCTCTCCTCTGACTTCACCCGGGTCGTTCTTCTAGATGCTCTGGCTCGTGGAGTGGGAGGCGGTGGCATCACCTCCTCGTCTGCAACCGTGCTATCCTGAGAATCTGCATCTGTGATCCCTCTGCTTGTCCTTTTCGCGCGCGATCTCGCTGACAGGATCTTGCGTGATTGTGGCAAGACCTTGTCGGTGAAGATCTGGACGAGCTGAGGCTTCTTCGCGCCTGAAGGGTATTTGATATCATGAGAGACTAGAATCGATCGCAGTCGCGGGACTGTCAAACTCGATGGGTCGAAGCCCGTTTGGAGGTAATCAAGGCTGTCGGTGTCAGACATGTTTGCTGTTGTCGCTCGAGAAGTGCTCGAAGCTGTAGACAAGTGTCGCAGGTTGGAGATTTCTAGGCTCAAGAATAGCTTGCGCGAAGTCTCTTTCAAAGTCCCTGATATTGTTGATAGAGCAACGTATCCTCGCAATATGTTGTTATCATTCGAAGGAGGGCGCAATGACGTAAAGCGTTTGTTGACACCTGATCTGCCTACCAAAAAGATCAACCACAAGCCGCCAGTAACCCGTCGCGGAGATGATCTTGAAGTTTCTTGACAGCAGTGGATGAGCGGTGTTGCAGATGGGAAAAAGCAAAGGATGATGGTGGAGGATGAAAATAAATCAGTTGGAAGGGCAACTCTTAAGGTGGATACTTATCGTAGCCGAAATGCGATGGAGCTGCCTGTGGCGTAAAACTCTGCACCGCCACAGTTGAGGGGAGAAGCGAAGCCGAGGCGAGCCTTTCTTCCCGTTGGTGGCGAAATTGGAGGGGTGAAGGCAGCAGCAAATGTTCACAGGGGGATTTTCGAGTTGCCTAGATTTCACTATGTATCACAATCACATGTCAAAGTTTGGGAGCAGAAGATTTTTTAATTGCCAGATGGCATTTTTTTGTATTTTTTTCGACCATTCAGGTCATTTGGTACCATATCATGAAATAAAAGCCGCAGAAATATCAACAACAAATCCAAATCCTAACGCCAGCACTGGCTGTTCAGCCATAAGCCATAAGCAAGTTTGCTCCAACCCGTTACTCAGTTGATGTCAACTCTCTTGACTTCAGTCCATTCCTTCTCAACCTTGGGCACCGTGACCACGAGAATACCATCCTCCAACTTTGCAGTGATGGCATCGCCATCAATTTCTTCCTTCTCCTCATTTGCGGGTGGAAGCTTGACACTGCGATCAAAGGCACCCACCTTTCTCTCGCTCTGGGTGAGAGTCTTGAGAAATTCCTCATCACCTTGTCTGTAGACAACGCCAGCGATGTTCAAGACACCCTTGTCGGAGTCGAAGTTGACTCCAACATCGTCCTTCTTGGCTCCTGGGAGAGCAATGTGCAGAATGTATGCAGCTTCCGTGGAGAAAACATCAATGGGTGGGACGAATGCTGTCTCACCGTCTTCTGGTACAAGTGTATCTGCTGAACGTTGAGCAACACCTGCTTGTTCGGCATACTGACGGAGCACTTGCGCCCATGGGTGTTGTCCAATGGGGTGAGCATTCAAAGCCTCGAAGAGACCGCTCAGGTCGAATGCTCCCATACCTCCCATACCTCCAGGGCCACCTGGGCCACCGAATGGTGGAGGTCCCCTACGTCCATGATGTCCCCATCCTCCTCTGTGTCCACCGCCTCCACGTCTGCCGAAGCCTCGTGGTCCATGTCGCTCACGTCGTTCTTCACGTCGTTCTTCGCGCCGTTGACGTCGCTCATCTCCTGATGGCCCTTCTCTGGCCTCACCTTCTGTGTGCTCACCACTTGGGGATGCGGTTCGAGAGCGAGATCTCTCGCCAGATTGTTCACGATCGCGGTCACGTCTGCCGTGGTGACGTCCGCGTCCTCCATGTCCTCCGCGACCACCATGCGGGCCCGGGCCGAAGCCTCGAGGAACCCAGAAGCCTGGGCCGCCCCATGGGAATGCTCCTGGTGGTGGTGGTGGTGGTGGTGGTGGGCCTGGGTGAGGGGGAGGACCGAAGGGGTGTTCTTCAGAAGGGTGGTCAACACCAGCTCCATTCTGATCGAATGCTCGTACAAAATCCCAAAAGGGTACTTGTTGATAATTGTTGTATGCCATGTTGTATATGTGTTGTATGATTGTTGAGAGAGTAGATTCTTCTTGTGTAAAGATGAAAGAGTATGATGAAGGAAAGCAAGAACCGGAGAGGCAGATCAAGGAATATATAGAAAAAGTATCAGAATGAAACACGTCAACGGCTTTAGTTCTTAGGCTGCCAAGAACAATTCAGTCAACAAGAGTCCACGCATTCAATCGAACAGTTCCGAAGAGACTCGAAAGCATGTCTCCAATATTGCTTGCTCAATGGCTGGCTCAGCCGCGCGTCCCACATGTGAAAGAGATTCCGCCACAATTGGGGAGTGAAGTGTGGCTGATCCCTACCACTTGTCGTCGCAAGCATATGATTTTCCCCTCTTTGGTGACTCAGAAACCGTCCAGATTCATACTGTGATTCGGGACCGAGACATCTGGAACTTTATTTTGGATGCATCATCGCCACGGGAGCTTTGTTTTGATGTTGCCTGATGGTCAAAGACCGAGAACCGAACTGTTTTATCACGGCCCCGACGGAGAATTAAAAGCTCTTCGGATCCGAGCCGAGAAGAGAAATGCGATTACATAATGATCTTAAGCTTGAGCGAGCTGGCGAGATCTTTCCGGCAGAAGTCTCGTCTCCTCGTCCGAGTTTCTTGGACTTCGTCAGACCATTTCAATGGAATCTGGAACGCCATCGTAGCTGGACAACCATGTTCAAGACAGCTTGGAACTAAAGGCTGGGCGAAAAATGCGACGTGCAACAAAAGAAGTCTTTTCTTGTATCGTACAGGTGGAGTCTGCTTGAATTCATCGTCGACCACAGCTCATGAACGGCTGCTATGAGAGACGTTCAGGCCCGAGTATGTCTGTGCAGGTATAATTTTGTCGGGACATTCGTGCTGCTTTCAATTGATCCAGTAATGGATAGACCCTGTTCAGCGTTGTGTAGCCAAATGCTCAATTGCTCACGGGCACTCAAGCAAAATAATAGCACGTGACACGACCACATCGTCGTGCCTTCCTCTCCTATGTACATTCTCTTGAAGACTGCTCCTTCTCAATCAGCACGCAAGTATGGCTACTTCTTCGGTCAGGGTTTTCTCTTGCATCCTGCAACATCAACACAGCTCCATTTCCACCAGCAGTGCATTGCAACATTGCCTGCCTTGGCCTTTCCAACTTGGAAGCTATATTACGGTTTTGGTTTTCATTTCCTCTACTACAAGCATTCTTCATCACTAAATACCAGTTGCCTACCATGAGTGCTTTCAAAGGGCATCTTGATACCTGGAGCAGGAAGATGTTGAGACGGGCCGGCGTAAGGCAATCCGACCAGGCCGGAACATGCAACTAACTATAACAGGAACCGCATTTAAACGGCGTCCTCAGAACGAATGGCTTACTTACTCCAGAAGAACTCGGTCAAAGGAACCCTCAGCCTAACGATCAGGTTAATCACCAGCCCACTGCTCACTCCAACGTTCCGTCCAACGCTCAATCTAATGCTCAATCCAATGATCAGTCCACCGTTCACTCCAACTTTCAGTTCAATGCTCAGTCCAACAACCAGTCCAACGATGAAACGGAAAGCAACATCTCGCCCATGAATACCACACGCGATGCTCCCACTCAACCTCAAGATCACATTCAACCACATGTGGCTCACGTCGAAGATTCGTGCGATGGCTCTTGCAATTGCCGTGGATGCGACAAGCGGGCTGAGCGGAATGCCAAACGCTCTGAAAACAACGAACACGCCGTGGCCGATGGTAATGCTGCTGGAAACATCTCGGATGGTACGAGTAGAAGTAATAGACCAGTGGAAGTCAGCCAAGGAGTTGAAAATACCGCGCCTGCTGCGAACAACGAGAATCAGAACGGCAACAAACAATCTACAACCAACGATGATGTTGAGATTTCTCGTGATGCTCGACATAGTCGAACTCACCGCCTCAAAGAGAGAGTTCAGAACCGACTTTCAATAGTGGGCTCTGCGATGAAAATACATGGTCCTTCTCGACGTTCGGACAAGAATCAGTCAGAGGATGGACGTGCTCCAAATAGCTTACCGACCAACTCTGTCAGTTTGCAAGATCTACCCCACGGAGAATTGCTGACCCAATTAGGATGATCTTCAATCCCGTCCTGTGGTCTCTGTCCAGACACGAACCTCTGACGCTGGGCAGAGTAACCACAGCCAACCTCCTAGGCTATCCGTGAGTATCCGATCTCAAGATGAATATCGCTTGATGCTAATTGTGCAAGTTGATTGATGCTTTGGCGAGTACTCCTCCGGAATCCGCTACCAACAATCCTCTCACAACTCACGAGCCAAGTGAGGCAATATCTCGACGTGCTACAGCCGGGTCAGTGATCAGTAATGCTTCAAGTGAGCACCAACGTGTCCTGCCTTGGGATGCTGGTAATCCGGAGACTCGTATCACCCCTTATGCATCAGGCCAAAGAGCTTCAAATCTGGTAAAGAGACACAATACCAAGACTCGCGCAAATCCTGACAAGATCATAGGTTCATGCGGGCAATGCTCCAAATCCAGACTACGATGACAAAAAGACCACCCATAGTCGACCATCTAGCTATATTGCTAGTCCCGATACGGACAATATGGCTCCCGCTGCCTCACAACCTTCGAGCATCACAACCAACTCTGAAAATGCAAATGCAGCTGTTACTCAGCCCGCCCCTGTCTCAAGGGTCACCAACGGAACCAGCAATGCTGCTCAATCATCGACACCAAATCCTGATGGCATGCCAGCCCAGCCTGAAAAACATATTGTCTTCGAAATCCGAGAGACAAGTAGACCGGGTGCCACCAATGGCCCAACGAATTCAGCCAGAGGACCGCAACCTGTTCCAATCTCTCAGCAAATTCGTGCTCTAGGACCACTGAGTGGCTGGGCAGATGTTGCTAAAAGACCTGTCAGCAACACTACTACGATGGGAAGCCAAACCAAGCAAGATGCAAGCCCTGAACGCAACAGCTTCCGTTGACGTGCTTCTAATGAGGTCAAAGATATCACTAGTTCGCAAAGATATCCCTAACTAGCGCGTTCGTTGCTTGAACCTGCCCTCGAGGGTGTACCTTAGCGAGCTTGTTTGTTCTGTAGGCGTTGACACTGTATAAATTATTGAAGAGCGAAAAAGGAGGTAGTTAAGCAACAAGTATGATTACCCCGCTCAGATGAGCCTATTGTATGCAGTATTGAGTATCAAAAGTTTCTGCTTTGAGTGTTTCTAATACCGATACTGTTGTGCACGAAATCTGTTTATGCTCATCCTCCTGTGTGATACCTGTTATGACTTTATTGAGCTGCATCGGACGAGATCTCGACCATACAAACGCCACACTATTAGGATTTATCATACCAGACTCCCGCTGGCCCAGATGCAGACGCAGTAGAAAGGCGAGCTGTGGCCGGTTTATAACAACACACTTTTGACCCTTTATCTATCCTATACATAAATCATACAGGCCTACTAACAGGACGCTTCCTCGCTCCCATATACTTCTTCTCCCACCTCGCTCCCACAAAACCCTCTAACCCCGTGGGCGACTCACCCTTCTTAATGCCCACCACCACATCCCTCGCCGCCCGCACACAATCATTCATCCCCACCCCCGTGTAACTATTCCCCGCCACAGCCAGCTTCCCCTTAAACACATCCTTGACCTCCTCATGACCCTTCCTCATGCGCGCATCGTGTCCCACGGTGTATTGCGGGATACAATCCTTCTGCAGCGAGACCCGGATCAGGGCAGGCGGGACATCGATATTGAGATGCCGTTTCAACACAGACATAGCCATAGCGGCGCCTTCGTCTTCGTCCGGGTAGGCGTCAAAGCCGTCCCACCAGTGGCCGCCCATCATGACGGTTACCTTCGTGCCGGGCGCGGTGTCCTGGCCTTGGATGGCGTCCGAGTCGAAGACGACGCCGAGGGCGCATTCGGGGTTCTGGGCGTAGGGGATCGAGCGCGGGATGAGGTAGCCGAAACCTTGCTCGGGGAGGATGGTTGGGTCGGTGTAGTAGAGGTTTACTACCATTACGGTGACGGCGGGGGTTAAGGCTAGGCTGGGGAGGCGGTCGGCGGAGAGGGTGGAGAGGGTTCGGCTTGAGATGGTGGAGATTGCTTGGGTGTAGTTTTGGGTGGATGCTGATTTGATCTGTCTTTGTGTTAGCTTGATGTCTAGAGACCAAGTGGCTGAGATGATACCTTGATGCTGTTGCTCTCAACATCGTGTTCGAGAGATGTGATCTTGTCATTCGTCCTGAATTGAACATTTGGATTCGCTCTTAATGAATTCTCAAGTGCATCGGTGAAAGAGCCAATTCCCTCTTTAAACGAGAACACACTGGCCATACGCAACTCGTTCAAAAGGTCCTTAACCTTGGGCTCCATTTCTTTCCGCAGCTCTTTGTCTTTACTCAAGGTCCAACTATACATATTCTTCCTTGAGTCAAAGTAGCCTTCGCCTACGCTACCAAACATTTTCTCATAATGATATAGTAAGGCAAATAAACTTTTAGCGCTGAGTTTTTCAATATCTCCTGCGTAGATACCATGGAAAACAGCTGAAACTAGATTATTTCCGATATGTGGTGCCCCAGTACGTCGGGTGAGAAAAGAGCTGACGGACTCGTCTTCAACGCTGGCTGGTCGAGGCGGTCGTTTGTACTCATATAAAGAACTAAGTAATCCCTTAAAGGCCGGTTCCGTTATCACAGTCCACAACATATCGTAAATACTCTGCCCAGGGCCAGGCATTCTGACCAGATGGTCGGGGTAGTAGATAAATCGGTTTTGTGCAGCAGGAGACGTTTTCCAGCTAACGAGTAATTCGTCCTTCATCCCAAGGTTTTGGATCTAAAACTTAAAATTAACCCTGTTTCTTCCTCAACGATATAGGCTTACCATGTCCAGTGTAACAAGAGCAGCCTCAGTATTCGGTCGTAGAGTCCTCGGTCCTTTCTCCAACAGTACCTTTCCATCCTTAACATCAATATATTCGCTCTGCAGCCATCCTCCCACCCTGCTCCCCGCCTCGTATATTGTGACTTTGGCATGCGACAGCTCCCTCGTTATATAGTGTGCGGCAGTGAGTCCTGTGATTCCACCTCCAATGATAGCTATCCTTGTGTCCTGCTCGCGTCCTTGACCATCGTGTCCATGCTCCGCGAACAATACTGACGAGTTCGAGTCCTGGACAGCATCACTGCCTATCCTTATCGCAGATGGGCCTCGAAGCTCCGCCGCAAGTTTTGTATCCGCGTGACAGCTATTCCGTTGGCTCCCACGCCGAGGAACAAGTCGATGCCGCGGTCGACAGCTTGGAGGGACAGCATGGAGAGCTCTCGTGGAGCTATGTAACAGTCTCGTCGAACGCGTTTTAGAGGCTTGACATCGTGGGGTGATATAGCACTGTCTCAGCAGAGTTACCAATGCATGTTCTGGTAGAGGAGAAGGCATTGCCTGCAGGAATTGGCGGGTTGTGTTGCAACGTACGTTTATTTCTTTGGTGATGATGTTGTTAGTGCATTTCGGTTAAAGTGGGTTGGTGGATAGCTCCGAGCCCCTCCACGAGCTCCCTTCTTCCTACTGAGATCACAAGTCGGGGTGAAATATTACATGTATACATATCACAGTCATAATAGCAACGTATTTGTGGAGGGCTTCCCTCAGAGTTCGTGCTCTGAGGTGCCAAGGAACAGATGTCCATTCTACCTAAGCAATATCTCCAGCCTCATTCAGAGTGCGATGAATCTTTAACACAGTACATTTCCCAAACGCCATTGCAATTCCACTGTCCCAGAAAGCATAATGGTATACAGTTTTGTGCCCCTCCATCTAAACCAATACATGTCACCAGTCCTTCCCTACGTGATTATCTCCGTCTTTATCGACTCCTGGCTTAACGGTGCCTCCGATACCCCGGGGACAATGAGCTCCTCTGGTGCATTCTCATCCACAAACTTCCTCTCGCTAACGTGCTCCTTAGCATTATTTGGTGTCCAGACCTTGTCCTTGTAGACTCCTCGTTGGCCTTCGGCGTGCTTGAATGGACAATCGGGTCTTGTGCAAGGGGTGAATTTGCACATGGTTGTAGTGTGCGCAAATTTGCAGTTGGGAACAGCACAGTCACCTCCGTTGCGGCATTGCTTAGCAGGATGTCTGAAGGCGCATACTGGGTTGGTGCAGTTCGGGTAGAATTTGCAGGATTGTTGAAGATGCACGGCAGGAGAGGGATGCTTGGCCGTACACTTCTTGTTCTTGCATGCTGCTCCGAAGGAACAAGTATCAGTGAAGTCGATAGGGGTTCCGGATGGTGCTGCAGGCGATTGATGGGCAAACTTGCACTCCGCAACTGTACAAGCCAGGTTGAACTTGCAAGCCGTATTTTCCGGGTCGAGTTCCTTCTTCTCTTGCGACATCTCGACATCCATGGAAGAAGAGGGTCCGCCATCTTGAATTTGCTGCTTGTGTTCGTTGAACTTGTTCGGTTGAGGGCCCTTCTGGAAACCATTGTTTGGTCCACGTGGGGTCTTGGAGACTCGATCGAACAGAGATCTCGATGGTTGTGGCTGTTGTGGAAACCCATTTGGCATACCATTCCCCATTGGCATACCCTGAGGGTTGAGCATCTGGGCCATGAGTCTTGATTGCTGCTCAAGCATAGCATACAGATCCATTTGTTGCTGAGGTGACATATTCATGATGTTGCCAGCAGCCCCACCCTGTTGCATGGGCATACCAGCCATCGCGTTGTTCATTCGGTTGTTAAGTGTTCGAGGTCCTCCACGTCCAGCCATTTGTTGTCCTCGTGGTCCAGTCGGTGGTCCGCGAGCGTGAGTGTTGATGCGCTCATTGCCATTCTGAGGTCGTACACGATGGAGGACAGAATCATTTGGTCTATCCATAGCCTTTGCTAGATGACCAAGCATACGCTTGTCTCTACCTCGAATAGCACCATTTCGCATTGACTTTGGACCCGTGGGTCTGGAGAACGTTAGTGGAGGTCTTGGGGGAAGTCTGAGGTCTGGACCTGACAGGTCTACAGGTGAGGCTACATACACGTTGCTGTCTCCAGTTTCGGAGACTCCTTCCATCTCTGAATCATGCACGCCATTGCCCATGTCTACAGATACATCTCCAACCGGTGCGACAACTCCTGAAGCACTGCCATTTTGTTGCGCACCTAGGACCTCAACCTGCTGGAATAACCATTGTGAGAAATCCCTCGCGCCGGGATCGTCGGGTCCAAGACTGAGGAGATCTCCAGAAAGCTCAGCTGCGATTTGTTCCTGTGTCTTTCCGTTGGCCAGCATGAGGATGATGTACTCTGCCAGTGCATCGTCGCCACTACCTGTACTCCATCCCACTTCTACCAACTTTGGCTGGATAGCAGCACTCAGAGCTTGCGCCAGAGGCGTATCAACGGAAACCTCGATAGACATGATGGCGGGTCGAAGCCTTTGTAGTATTGTTCTTGTCTGTGCAAGATGTTGAAGTCGACGCCGTATGAGGCTCGCAGGCGATTTGCGTTGAAAGCAGCGAGATTGTCGTATCGATGAAGAGCGTCGCAGAGGTCAAGAAGTTGCCTTTGTTTGCACTCGTGATTTCTTGACGCGTTCGGTCAATAAAGAGTGTCGTCGTCAAGTTGAGGTCGACGAAAGGTTCGGAGGGCTCAAAGAAGTTGTTGCTCACGCCAAGAAGCCGAGCTGCGCACGTGACCATGACGCAGAATCAGCTGGAATGATGACTCAGGCAGAAACAATTGTCAGGCAGCAGCCACCAAAGTCCCAAAAGTGAAGAACATTAAGGCGACCTAAATTCGGGATTGCTACACAGGAGTCAGAAGACAAATATCATCTATATCTACGAGACATTCTCGTGAGCACCCAGTTCCGATCCTGCCTGGTCAAGACATTGTTCGTCTTGTACAGCACTTTATCTCCAGTTTCGATGTCTCGCTTATTTTGGTGCTTTCAGCCACAGCGCAAACTGCCGTAGTCTATTTTGAGAACACTCCGAGACTCTCACCCTCTTCGCCTTTCAACATCATACGTACAATACAATGATCTGAACATATCTCGTACGGTCATAGACACAGCCAAGGCGGCTGCCGTGCTCGAGTTCTTTGACTTCATTTCATGAATACGAACGAGAACGAGATTCAAGACTTTGTTTCCTTGGCCCTAATCTAATGCAAGCGTCCGGAGATCGCTACCATGCTGCAAGCACATTGGAATTGAGACTGTGATTGATCAACTATTTAACATACTTTCCGTTGGCAATCATCTCCGGGATTTCACCTATTGCCACGACATCTCCAGCTGCTGCCAACGCCCGGAATTCTTTTACCTTTGTCTTGTACCAAGGGATCCATACCCCGGCACTTGATCTCCTCATAAGATCGCAACCAGAGCCGAGTCATCACAGCCAGCCATCAGCACGCCTCCACAGTGGCTGAACTTTCGGAAGTCCGCCGCCATACAAATCCCAAGACACAGATCTGTATGCTACACGCGGAAATTGTGAGATTTGTACTGTTCATCGCCTTCGAAATTCTGTGGCCGTTGTTTGCATCCCACTTTCGAGTTGAACGAGTCGATCCCGTTGTGCAGTAACGTTGCAAAAAGCGCGCTCGACTACAGCTTTCCATTGGCGATTTTTCCTCGAAAGGGTCAAGCTGGGCACAAGCTTTGGTAACTTTTCACTACATCATACCAAGATCTTCCACATCACTCGGATTCGCGATCCTCGGAAGCTGACTGGACTTTCGAGTGGCTGCACTCCGCCTCTCACTTTGGTTCCTGAGCTTGATCCCTGTGTTACTCACAGCACGTATGCTGCATGACCATCACAGAGCCTTTCGAGCACATATTTAGTCTCCTCATCCTCTGAACTGTATTTCCTTCTCATACACTCGTTCTCTCTTTTCAACATCAAAGACAACATGTATTCTCCTGTTCACTTAATTTTTATTCTTGCAAGCCTGGTCTTCGCGATCTGGCCTGCTCCTCAGTCCTACACGACTGGCAATTCTGTTTTGTGGATAGAGCCTGGTGTCAAAGTTTCGTACAATGGTGGCAATGTAGGATGGTCTCCTTCTTCTTTTGATTCTGTGGATACTGAACAGGTGATGGGGATACAGTCTTCAACTTCTTATGCTGCGGGCAATAGCAGCTTTTCTTCCAGTTCCATCGTCCAGTCCGCCATCTCTCGAAACCTGAAAACTCTATTCACAAAAGGTCTAGTCCCATGGAAGTTGGTGGCCCGCGATGAACTTTCTCAATTCGAGCCGGATGCGAGTAGCTCAAAGATATTCATCACGAATCTTGATATCACTCAAACTGCCCCGGATCAGATGAACACCTACAAACCCTTGGCAGGTGATGTCGACGAATCATACAACCTTACAATCACCACCGACGGAAAAGCATCAATTTCTGCAGTGTCATCCACTGGAGTGTTGCACGGCTTACAATCATTTATTCAATTGTTCTACAAGCAATCTACTGGTGCTGGCATGTACACCAACCTAGCTCCAGTCTCGATCATCGATGCACCAAAATTCTCTCATCGAGGATTGAACATGGATGTTGCCCGAAACTGGTACGAGGTATCTGATATCAAGAGAACCATCGACGCGCTTGCGATGAACAAGTTCAATCGCCTACATCTTCACATGACTGATTCTCAATCATGGCCCATGGATATCCCTGCCCTTCCAGATTTGTCGAAGAAGGGTGCATACGCTACTGGCCTCTCGTACACCCCGGGAGATATCAAAGACATCCAAACTTACGCAATCGAACGTGGTATAGAAGTTATCATCGAGTTTGATATGCCAGGTCATACCACCGCAATCGGCCTTTCTTACCCAGATCTGATCGCTGGAATCAATGCCCAGCCATGGAGTACCTACTGTAATGAACCCCCTTGTGGTTCTTTGAAGCTCAACGACTCGGCCGTGGACGACTTTTTGGAGACGTTATTCAGTGATGTTCTCCCAAGAGTTCAACCGTACTCGGCTTATTTCCACACTGGAGGCGATGAGGTGAACAGTCAAGTCTACCTCTTAGACGAGACTGTCAAGTCAAATGACACTTCAGTCATCGGACCCTTGATTCAGAAGCTGGTCGACAGGAATCACGCTCAACTCAGACAAGCAGGACTCACACCCATCGTATGGGAGGAGATGCTTTTGGACTGGAACTTGACTCTTGGCTCCGACGTGCTAGTCCAGAGTTGGCTCAGTGATGCCTCAGTTGCATCCATCACAGCTCTAGGCCACAAAGCCTTGGCTGGAAACTACAACTTCTGGGTATGTCTCCCCTGCACTACCAGATTAATCACGTGCTAACTTCACTCCAGTACCTTGACTGCGGCAAAGGCCAATGGCTCGACTTCTCCAACGGTGCATCATTCCAAACCTACTACCCCTTCAACGACTACTGTTCACCCACCAAGAACTGGCGTTTAGTCTACTCCTACGACCCTCTCGGCGGTGTCCCAGCCAACCAGACCCATCTCGTCCAAGGAGGCGAAGTGCACATCTGGTCCGAGCAAACCGACCCCGTCAATCTCGACGACATGGTTTGGCCCCGTGCTTCGGCAGCTGGTGAAGTTCTCTGGTCCGGGAGACAAGATGCAAGCGGACAGAACAGAAGTCAGATTGAGGCTAGTCCCAGATTGGCGGAGATGAGAGAGCGGATGGTTAATACGGGTGTAAGAGTCGGTCCTGTGCAGATGATATTCTGTACACAGAGTAATGCAACGGAGTGTTCGCTTTAAGTGTAATTGCTGGCGTTCTTGGGGGATCTGGGTGGGAGGTACATCAAAATATGACTGGCATTGTAGCTACAGTACATGGAGCGGATAGGATTGCATTGCGTTAGGAGCAACATCTAGCAATTTCACACTTCACTCTGTTCACCGTTTTGATTCTTTCTCCCGATGTACTTTTCTTCCCTGTCCCTGTTTAACAACCGGCCGGTCATCCCATCACCCTACCGGCCGGGTCCCTGTATCATCCCAACTTCTTACACAACGTCAGCCCATCATATGCACCGAACTCAAAAACCCAAAAAGCAAAACTCGGCTCATTACCCCACAATCTCGCATCGCATCGACACACATGTGAAAAGCACCCTCGGCTCCTCCCAGCAGCATGCAGGGGGGTTTCACACCAAGTACCGTTTCAAGATTTACGCTTTGTTTACCCCGCTAACTGGGAGCTAGGAACCAGCAGTCGGAGCTCCTAAGTTGCGACGTGGGAGAATTTTGGTCCGAGGGCAGGATACTTATACTTTGTGGTTGCACAAACTTCTTTCTGAAATAATATCTTGTAAGTATCAGGAGCAAAGGTGGAAAGGAGGAAAACATGATCGAAGAAATCCTAACCCACGTCAAGGGCAGGACGTTGCTTGGTGGCATCGTAGTGGTGGGGTTGCTGTGGAAGATCGTGCAATGGATTGATACGAGTAGGAAAATTAGAGCGTTGGGTGAGAGGGCGTATAGAGTGAGGACTTGGCTTCCTCTCGGTTTGTCTCTCCTTCCCTATTGCCAGGGATTCTCACTAAATGTCTCGAAAAATAGACATCGACCTCATCGCCCGCGCTGTCCACGGGACCGTTACGCACAAAAACCTCGAGACGTGGCTCTATTGTACGTCAACTTCTGCCCTTTTCTTATGATTGAGCTCCTTCTGTGTCAAAAGGCCATACTAATTCATCTATCTCCAGGGTTCACCACACCCCAAGGCCCAAACTTCACCGTCGAAGCCTGCCCTGCCGGTCGCCGCGTGATCTTCACCGCTGATCCGGAGAACATAAAAGCCATCCTCGCGACCCAATTCACCGACTACGGCAAAGGAGAGCCCTTCCACCGCGAATGGAAGGACTTCCTGGGCGACTCGATCTTCGTGACCGACCTCGAGACCTGGCACAACAGTCGACAACTCATTCGTCCGCAGTTCATCAAGGATCGAGTGAGCGATCTAGAGGTCTTTGAGAGGCATGTGCAGGTTCTGATCAGGGAAATTGATGGCAAGAGTTGGGGGGAGAAGGAAGGGGGCGAGGGCAGGGAGTTAGATGTCTCGGATCTTTTCTTTCGGTATACGCTGGATGCGGCAACGGATTTCTTGCTCGGGCGGAGTGTGAACAGTCTCGAGGTGCCGGAGCAGGAATTTGCGGAGGCGTTTGGGGAGGTGCAGAGGGTGCAGAATATTATTGCTCGAGCAGGGTACGTATATTTTCTCGTCAATCAAGAGTTGAGGTGAAAGCTAACCAAACAACAATAGACCACTCAACCCCCTCGTCCCCCGCAGTACTTTCAAAAAAGGCATCCGCACGATCAACGAATTCGTCAACCCCTTCATTGACGACGCGCTCCGTCTCTCGCCCGAAGAACTAGCCTCGAAAACTAAATCGGAAGAAGGATACACGTTCCTGCACGCCCTGGCTTCTTTTACACGTGATCGAACCGTCCTCAGAGATCAGCTTGTAGCCGTGCTACTTGCTGGCCGAGATACAACGGCTAGTACGCTCAGCTGGTTATTCTACGAACTAGCCAGACACCCGGAGGTCATGAAGAAGTTGCGGGCTGAGATAGAAGAGCGAATTGGGTGGGAGAGAGCCCCGACTTATGAGGATTTGAAGAATATGAAATATCTACAAGTAAGTCTCCTCGCTTATTCCTAACCTCTCTCTGTTAATGGAACCCAGAACACAATGAACGAAACCCTCCGCCTCTACCCCGTCGTCCCCTTCAACGTCCGCCTCGCCCTCAAAGACACCACCCTCCCCCGCGGCGGCGGCCCCGACGGCCTCTCTCCCGTCGGAATCCTGAAAGATACCCCTATCGGCTACTCAACCCTCGTCATGCAACGGCGTCCGGATCTTACTCCTCACATAACCAGCCCTTCTTCCTCCTCCCCTCTCACAGTCGAGCACTTCTCCCCCGAGCGCTGGCAAACCTGGCAACCGAAGCCCTGGAACTACATCCCCTTCAACGGCGGCCCGAGGATCTGCATCGGGCAGCAGTTCGCGCTGACGGAGATGGGGTATACGGTTGTGAGGCTGCTGCAGCGGTATGAGGGGTTGAGGAATTTTATGGGGGAGGTGGATGGCGGGAGGCCGTGTTTGAAGGCTGAGATTGTGTTGCAGCCTGGGGAGGGGGTTAGGGTTGGGTTTTCGAGGAGGAGGTAGGGTTGGGTGTTGCGTAGGTGGAGAGGGTGGGAGGGGTGGGCGGATGATGTTCAACTGGTGAACGTATCAAGAAAAGAACTGGCTGTATACTCATGGGTATAGCTCGAATGTAATTCTGTTTCGTTTGCGGCTCTGCTTCGAATGGAAAGATTCGTAAATGCAGAGCTCACATTGCTAGTGTAGCACTAAAATGATGAATACAGCTTAACCTAAATCCAACTTCCACACCTCACAGCACGTTTGCATTCAGCATAACCACTACTGACCCCTACTCTTGCTGCATCGCTATCAAAGAATCTTGCGTAAGAGGAAAAAAGTCTTTCCCTCGAATGTAATTTGGCAAGTTGAACGGTCCCTTTACGCTCTAGGGTCCTTGTTAAATCGAGGGTGTGCCATGCTCGGTATGTTTGAGTTACTTTTGTGATTGTAGATATGAGGTGGTTATGCGAGACTTACCTTGGTATGAGGTTTCTATTAGTGCATGTAGTTAGCATTTGTAGCATGATAGTTCCGAAGGGGTGGTGAGGCGGACAGTCACATGGAAATTCGGGCTTTGAGGGGTTTCTCGTATTTTGCCGCAAAACTAGAAACTGTCACGGAGCGATGTGCAACAAAGTTATTTTAGGCCGAAGATGAGCCGGTAAGAGGATACTAGTATTTAGAGAGCTCTCTGACTATCAGTTATAAGTGAATAAAGTTTGGGTAGAATAGGTCACGTGTATCATCTTTCAGGTCATCGTAGGTTCCTTTGTTAACCTCTTTATCACTCGTATGTTTCTTTGAAAGGTACTTGCTTGTAAATAAAATGGAAGAGCGGATGTTGAACTTGACACACCCGTGGACACCAATTGGTGACACCAATTGGTCAGGTGATATATAAACCAGCCTAAATTAGCAGGAGCAACCCTGGAAAGTCTAAAGTATATCCCGACTACAGCAATTGATTCGCACCCAGATTTTCAATCACTTCAGTCTGGAATGTTTCAACAAACTCGACACTTGCTGTCTGGCCTCGATAAGTGTCATCGAGACACGCAACCACGGCTTCCATATAACTCGTTCCCATCTGATACGGAATATTCTTCCCAGCCACGGCCAAGAATCTCTCTCTCACCTCTTCCTTGTTGATACTGATCTTACTGAGATCAAGCCCCTTTGCCGCTGAAGCAAAATGATCCTGGGCCACTGTCCAAGTCGCGATCTCGAGAAGCACGACTCCGAGAGCATAGATATCGTGCAGTTTCGTGAACGCCATCTTTGGTCGATCAGGATGCAGATACAGCGAGTTGATATCGGTTGATTGATGGTAGCGAGCATATGTTCGGCCTTGCTCTGGGCAAGAATAGCCGAAGTCAACGAGGTATGGTGATTCTAGCATCAGACCTTCCTTGTTTCTCTGGTTGAAGAAGACGATGGACTGACTGCAGACGCTCTTGTGTACCCAGCCGTCAGCGTGGAATACTCCTGTCGTCAGAATATCGAAGTCAGTAAACCTTTTTGTGTATATTTCGGAAGTCAATATGCAGGCCTCTGGAGTGTATTCAGAGCACCAACTCCGAAGTATGATTCCCGCAACAGCAAGGAGTAGGAAGTTATACTACAAGGATTGGAGACTTACCGATGCTTTGTGCGATCATATGAGCGATGCGGAATCGTGTTGCCAGAGGGAAACGTTTGTTGGCTGATGAATTCTTGATGAGTTCGTAGAGCGAAACCGGTTGAGAGTGCTCAGCATGCAAGGGGTAGCCGAAGATGAAGGCATAACGTTTTTCTTTGGCTTGATGGATATAATACTTGAACGGAAGAGTTCGAAGTTCTCGAGCCCCAGAAGAGGATATCTGAAGCAGTCCAGCCAAGCGACGGACATTGGCTTCAGTCTCCACGTCAGGCCCATCATCCTCGTCATCCTCCAGGGGCGGATAGTGTTTCAATTCAATGAGGACTGCTTCGCTGTCGTTATTCTTACTTCCTTGTCGTTTGTATTCGACCATGCCTATGTGCAATTCAGATTCTTGCGAGTTGGTCCTGACAACGTAGTCTTTTCGTTCATTTTCGTCAGTGTAGCTATCCTGGTCTGCTTCATTCAGCTCGATGAGCTTCGCATGAGGTACTAAGCCAAGTCGGTCTGCATTTTGGTCGCGAATTGTTGCGGTAAGTGCAGCAAACTTGTTGTCCAATATCTTGGAGAATTGCGAAGATTGCGCCAGTGGCAAGAGGCCCCTCAACTTCTGCGTCTCCTTCTGGAATGCCACTACCGTTGTTTCGAGCTTCTTCTTGTCAAACAACACCCATTTGGCTGACTTGCCGGCAGCCATAGATGTATCTTTGACTTTGGTGAAGAAAGAGCTCAATGCTATCTTTTTGCTCTTGATACCAGGCTCTGGTATATTTTCGTCTAGTGGGAACTCTATTTTATTGGTCCCGTACATGTTCTTGTTCATGTAAGGGGAGTATTGTAGGTATTGTGGGTCGCTATAGTATCAAGACGTGACCCTTCTATTCTGATTGTGTTGGAGTCCTGGGTCAGAGTTACTCGTGGTTTGGATTGTCCGGCAGCCCTGAACAAATGCGTCTGCTTAAACCGAAAGTATCTTTGCAAAAACCCTCCTCCGTACTTAGGAAGTGACCAATCCGGGACATATGATGGCAGCTTGATATTTGAGATTTGTTGATGTCGAAGAATGACGGCCGAGAGAATTTGAAAGTCAGAACGAATACTCAGGACCGTTTTGGCAAACTGTATGTAGACAGTCTCAATTGAGTCGTTGTAATCAATTTTGATACGTGACCCTAGTGCTTTGTTGGTAATTCCTTGGAGTGAGTAGATCTTGTCTCGAGGATCGGCGGCTATCCTGTCACGAGAGTCCACGAAAAGTCGCAAGTCAAGAAGTTCTCCTCTGTCTGGAGCGTTTGTTTCATGAAAAGAAGTCCTCCACCATCCGATGAAGCTCAGATTTGCAGTATCTGCTGAGAAGGGATAGAACCCAGAACCGGTCATCCGCTGAAATGCAAGGCGCATTTTATCATAGTCCAGCGATAGAGCTCCGCAGAAAATGGTAACTTTTTTGGCAGCGACGACTTCTTGGACAATCCACATGCGGACGAAATAGCCTCGCTCAACGAAATTTTTTATAGCTGTTCGTTTCTTTGCTGCATCCGGTAGTTGCCGGTACGTCGCACTTCCTTCAGTGGTGCCATCATCAGCCGCGAATTTTTCCAGTGTATCAAACGCAAGAGCGCTGAGGTGATCGGGTGCCCCGATCCAAGCGAGCACTATATTCGCTTGGGAGTAAATGTCTCTCATCAACAACACCTGGTGTGACTTCTCTACGTTGTCGGACTGGTTTATGCAAATTGCGTCAACCCACAATTTCAGCGGAGAGCCTGTCGTTCTTTGATCGTATATCTGCCGTAAGGCTGCAAAGAGATTCTGCGACACGAGAAACACTTCATCTTGGAGTGTTATGTGAGCTGACAAGTCTTGCGGACCCCAGGCATAGGACAGAGCGTTGTAATTCGGATTGTCCCGTAAATTGTACGTGGCTACACTCCCTTCAATCATCTCAGGGCTATCAACTCGATTGCCGTCATTGATGAGTCGAAGCTCGAGCAGGCGTATGACCGAGCGATCCGCAGATGAAGGAAGCTATTGGTAGAATGACATGGCTCAAGAAGCACAACTGTCCGCTAGAAGGACTTGAACTGCGATCCAAATTCAAATTGGGCATTATAGAAAATCAATTGCCTCTCGAGGATTGCAGTCCCATATATAGATTCACACGCTTCCTTGCGTTCTTGGCGTTGTTGCACTCAATTTTGTACTGCATAGCCACACTAGAAACCCGCTAATGTAACGCTAGTAGGTCGCATCTGCGAGACCTCCTTCATTTTCCCACCGCGATAAAACGATTGTGGACTCAATTGAATAAAACGCAGGTTGGAAAGGCGCATTTGCAATTCCTATTTGCAGTGCTTTAAAGGGAGCCAGAGGACAGGTACTGGAACAGACTCTTTTTGATCTCTACAATCTATAAACGTAACGACTCCATACCTTGCTCTGAATTCGGGTCCCAGCTCTGAATGAACTTGATTTCTAAATGTTCCAGTGCGCGGTAGTAAGGAAACTGCGGACGCCAACGCTGTCTGATTCTCTCAATCCTGTCAAACTTAGGAATGGAACAGCCAGAACGCTCATCATAGATAACCAGCCATGTAAAGGCATCACTTCCCTGAATGATCGGCCAAGAATGTCTCGCTTGACCATTTGGACAAGGGCAATTGAAATCTGCTGGAGGGTGTTCACCGACTTGGGTTTGGTCAAGTGGACGGCTGCCGGATGTGGGTATGCCTGCTATGTAAAATGTTTTCAGACGAGGAAACAGAGCGAGAAAGGCGGAAAGTGGCTCTTTTTTGCAATGATCGTTGCAATCCTCAGTTGTGCACTGGCAGTCTTTTCTTCGTGTGCGCCAAAGATTGCGTACCCAATTATGTCTGAATTTGAAATCATTGACTCTGATGCCAACATGGCACATTTTGAGAAATTCGTCTGGAGGGGAGCCTCTGGACTCAGCGATCTCGATAGCAGCTTCCTGATCTTCCCATGCTGCGTCCAAGATAACGATGTCCTTCGCGCCATTGAAGCGCAAAATGTGCTCTGGACAGCCTGCTCCGTCTGGACTTCCCAAGTACACGCCTTTCATAGAATTGTCTGACATCCAGCCGACTGGCAGGTAGCGGAATTTAAGAGTATCGGGATATAGGTCGATAACAGCCTGTCTAGATTCCATGCAAGTCGCAGAAGCAATCTGTCGAGCAGCTATGGGGAGCCTGAGAGCTTGCAGACTCTGATTCGGCTCTCTTCCGAAGGGAGATGGCTGGAGAAATATTTGGTCTCCAGCACGCAGATCGGTGCGCTTTAATCGATAAGCTGCCCGAGGAGGCCAGCGGAGCTTGAATCTAAATATCTGAGGCGCCGCACCCGAGCTTGTAAGATATTCCAGCCAGATCTTATGACGCAGCCTAGAAAAGCGAGAAGTCAGCTATCGTCCCCCACAAGGCAACGCTGGTGGTTGTTGAGCAGCGGGGCTCACAGTAAATCATATACTTGATAGAGGCTGTTTTCATAGGAGGATGTACTTACTCGGGCGGTAGGCGCGCAAATGGGTGGAAGGTAAAGATGTCATTTTTACATACGACATCTTCCCCCTCCGCCTGACACGAAGAACTTGAAGAAGCTGATGCCATTGCACACTCAAAGTTTTATTGGGTAGATAAGAGTGTTACTGCTAGCATTCGTAGACTGACGTTGAGTTGGTGGTCGAAAAAGGGGGCGGGGCTCGAGATATGTCCGCGGGAAGGTTCGGTTCCGGGAGGCGCAGGAGAACAACAAAGCCAACTGTTTCACAATCAGCAAGAGGTTGTCAAGGGAAGATAAATTCAGGACATCGTGAACCAGTGAATCATGTCAGACTCCTTATTTCGGTAAAACCAACAGTTGAGTTAGCGCCAACCTATTATGCAGCCTCTCCGTGAAATTCGTGGCCGATTTGGCGACAGGGCCCAAATTCACAAAATGTAAAGGATTGCGCACAATATATTAATATATTAAGTTTGTACCTAATATTTTTTAATAAAGACGTAGAATAGCTTCTTGATAAGTCAGAACGGAAGTCTAATTAGAAACAAACTATATAGTAGTGTACAATGCTGGAGTTGGTATAGGACATTTTGGTGTTCTCGAGTGCTGAAATCGGCTAATCGTCCGCTCGCTTATGGCTGGCTCTCCTACACTCGTCTTACTCCCAGTCGGCCAAAGCGAGTGCGGACAGTAAGCGAGTGCGGACAATTAGGTGTACCCAACCAACTTTTGTATGTCACTTTAAGGCAAAAATATGCGTGAAAGTACACAACTCCAGATAAATTCTACACTAGATACGACAATTATTCTTCCATATTTACATCCGATTCCGAATTGTCTGAATCGCTGGACACTGAGTCCCATCTATTATTCTCCTTTTTTGAGTTATTACTTACTCGAGCCAACGAATCGTCTGAATCTCTATTATTATTAGAGTTAAAACTATTATTTTCGACATTTAGGTCTTCGAATCGGGGCAAAGGTATAAAGTTAGCTTGAAGCTTAGAATTACCTTGAGTATTAATAATAATCTCTATATTATCGTCCTTATTATATTTAGGAAGAGAAAAGAGCTTAGGTCTCTTCTAGTTTTTTTTAAGCTTCCTTAGAATCGCACGGTCGGAGGGCTGTAGAGACCACTAAACGTCCTTAGTATCTATAATAGGACGTAGTATCGGGTTATTATTATGGATACGTTCTTTTCGAGAAAGTCGAGCTTTGAGTAGCTTCTTTCAGTCTTTTTACTTTTGCCTATCTTCAACACCAGCACAATATACAATATCCCTCTCTTAGCGCTAAACTTTTTAACAATATTTTTTGGCTGCTTTTCGGGGTGTCTTTTCAACCAGTCTTTAGCATTCTCCAGGCGGATTCGTAGCTCTTCACGCTCCTTAGGATCCTTAAGAACGCGTTCAAGAACTAATACATCGATAGGTAGCGAGAGCCCAGCAAATCGTGTTAAATATCGAGGTGCTTGCTTGCGCTTTCGAGGCATAATTATTACAGAATTCTGCGGGGATGAAGTATATCGACGCGCTTTTTGGTGAGGTATGCATACAAAAAGCGCGTCGCGGTACTTATTGTCCGCACTCGCTTTGGCCGACTGGGAGTAAGACGAGTGTAGGAGAGCCAGCCATAAGCGAGCGGACGATTAGGAATTTCACAAATGGAGAGGCAGCCAAATATTTAAGCGAGGCTTCCCCCTGAACGAGTCCTCAGTCAGAGTATGTGGCTGATGTTGGCCCAACCCCGGAAGTAATCCGCTCAAATTCCGTTCATAGTATCTCAGGTTTCTAAACGTAACAAGAGTATTTGCGGGGTCTCATAGAAGCTATTCAATTCGTTGCGGCGTACCTGAAGTGAGCTATCAACATTCATTTATGTCGATAGTCGCACGTCCACGATCATTGGACTTAGGACTAAAGACAATTAATTGTATCCGAGAAAATCTCTACCTGTACAAACCTTATCCCTAAGCTCACAGACTGAACATCAAAGGTTAGACAACGAATGGAACGATTCAACAACGACACGATGCAATCGAACGCCTCCCATGATGCCGAGTCAAATGAGATTAGAACCATTCACAATGCTGAGGTCCGTGATAAAACATCAAATTGATTTACAAAGCTCATAGAGAGAACGAGAAGGTAATAAACATATAACGAGCGACATAGCTGTTAAAGCTAACGCAAATGCACCTAGCCACGCGAAATTAGGGCAAGAAAGGGATGACAAGGACCAATCCAACCACACCCAAGAACTCCGATGAAAGAAAGGTAGCTAGTTACTGACAGCGTCATCTCAACCATCGCCTGTATCGTTGTGCGGGACCACCACCTTCGATCTGTTGTAAACCCCCCAACGTTAAGCTCTCATCACTGAGTTGCGGATCATTCGTGATATCCGCCATCGGTGTAGAGAGCTGTGCATCACCATTTGTCCAAATCACATTTGGGTTAGCGTTAGCGATGTTCTGTTGATATGTGCTCGCCTCCCAGCGAATCATTTGAGGAATCGAGGATCCAGGAGCGGTGACAATGGGCATTTCGGCGAAAGATAAAAACCTAAGATCAGGGAGATGGTTGCCATCGGCTACGGAATACAGAACATGAACTTGTTGAGGACGATTAGCGAGCAACTCAGCATACTTGATTGATAGTATGGAAGTTTCTTTCCAATCTTCGTAGGAGGATGACTCCTCGTAAATCTCGAAGTAATCATCCCAGTTCGAGGATTCGATTGAGGCAAAGCTGTCTTTGAATGCTATGCCCGGATTCTGTGCAGATAAAGCCTGTTTGAACTCGTTCAACGCTTCGTAAGCCGCTGTACCCTCCCATAGGATAAGTTGGTCCGTGTCAGCAAACTGAAGGGGATCATTCGTCAAGGAATTCCAAAGTGTAAGTTCGTCGGGGCCAAGACCAGCAGGCATCGGAGCGACGACTCGAACAGGAGCTGGTGGCGGAGGTGCTGTATCGGCTGGTGTTGTAGATGAAGCTTCTTCTCCTCCACCAGATTCTGTATTGTCGCCTGTTTCGCTGGCGCCAGCACCTTCGTTCGCTCCTGATTCCCCAGCGGGAGGATTTGAAGTGCTACTTCCTTCACCCCCACCACTCTCACCAGCACCATCGCCGGCCCCCTCCCCACCTTCAATAGGCTCAATACGTTTGACATGATAGTTGACGACTTCGAGAGGATCATATATGGTGATGCCGCTAAGATCTCTTACTACAAGTCTGGTCAGGTTTTGAGATCAAGAAGTATAGATGGGAATGTCGGACCTTCTTTAAAAGCATCCAGCTGATCAATTTGCCGCTCGCGGAGCAGCTTGTCCTTTGGAATACTTCTCCCATTTGACACGTTCGTAACAGCGAATAGCAACACAATAGCTGGGAAAAGATTGATCTTCATCTTGCTAGAGCGTTAAGCTATACTACCACGAGAAAATTGAGACAGCAACGCTTCGTAGATTAATGAGAAAAGATGACAAGAGGGTATGTAGGAAGCAAAGTAAAATATTCGAGAGTGCAGAAGAAGGTCCTCTCAATGCTCAAGTAATGCCAAGGAATGATATTATGATAACGCAAATCTGGTACTTCAAGAGAATTCAAAAATCGGAATTTGCTGCTGAATTATATAGCTTCGACCCAAGCAACGAGTCTCTCTAAAAGAAGTACAAAATCTAATCCTTTCGCGTGATAGTTTATTCCTGGAACTAACAGTAAGCTCAGCCACGTCCTCGGTCGTGGTCTGGTCGGTCTCGGTAGGAACGCCTATGTTGGCTACAAATATACAACTGCTCAATAAACGTGAAGATCTCTTTACCAACACAAGTCTAAATAGACCATAGACGTACTGTCTGCTTGACGAAATTGGAGCAGTGGCATGATGCGGCTATCAGAAAGGCTGGCAGGAATACATTTGTTGTATACTTCATCGGTTGTTATTTGAGAATCGTGAACACTTCCAACAGAATGCGGCAAAGTTAAGCGGCAAGGGCCGAAATTGGGTTTTGGCGCCAAATCTAGGCTCTCTTGAACCACAATTATACCAGAGAGGCTTGACATTAAAAATAGTGTAGTGGCGCGCAAAACAAAAATAAGCAAGAATAAGGAAAATGTATAAAGCGGAGGGGCGTTCTTGCTTGATTTCTCACAATAAGAACTCAATACCGATTGTCCTGAAAACACCTCTCAGATTCTGACCTCTCTTCTCTTCCACACCACTTCCACTTTACTTCTACTGTCACCAATATACTCCAAATTTTCTGCATATTCCAAGACCATGGCCGTCAATATCTTGGTATTGGGTCTCACGGGCATTCTCTCTATCCCAGCTCTGACCAGCATGTTCTCACCACCCGTTCCAGACAAGATTCTCATTAATATTGGAGTGGGTGCCAACAACAGTCAAGCGAATATCACCGATCCGAACCTCGGAGGCAACACTCCCTCCGTGGCTCTATTCGACGTCAACGGAGTTCAGCTCGGCTTTGCAGACGGATCCGACTCCAGCATTATCGACGGAGGCACCACACAACTTTCAGTTGGCGGCGCTGAAGGCTCTTCAGCTTCCGAAACTCCTGAATATGTTCAACTCTATGCGACTGGTGATAACGCAATATGTATAGCCTGGTTGACGACGACATCGTCGGCATCAGATGGCGGCGACTTTCGCACATGGAACGGAGCAACAGCTACCTTCTGCGGATTACCTTGGTATCCAAGCACAGCTCTATTTCCCGGTGTCGAGACGCCATATACCCCGCCTTGTTTCTGGATGAGCAGCGACGGTCGCTTCGTGGATGGCTTCAGTGCTAGACTCACTGACTTCTTCTTTCCCGGAAATTCTGGCCCTGCAAATTCAACTTCCACGCAATGGGCGGAGTTCCCAGATACACTCTGTAAAGCTCCTGGTCGACAACAGTTCTACAATAGTACCGGCTCGTGCATCCCATTCTACCCATCGGGGCTGTCGAAAGTGAACGATAAAGATCCCGAAACAGGGTTCGACATTGACTTTGAAGCAATCGAGTCCAGCTTCACTATGAGCTGCTCCAGTGCGGGCACACCCTTCAACAACAACGTTGATCTAGGCCAGCCAGACGCGGGAGTTACTATTGCCGACTTGCCAACTACCAGTGCTACTATCGACACAAATCCGAGCGTGACGATACCTGCCGGTGTCACCCTCCAAAGCTCTCTCGAGCTAGGGAATCTGAAGGTTCGTGATGTTGTCTTAGAACCGCCGTCCATCACGGCAGCGCCTGAGCCAAAGCCCAAGAGAAAGCGTACCGCGCCAAAGAAAGAGCCTGTTCTCAACAGACGCGTTGAAAAGAGATCTGAGCAGCCGCACCAATGGTGTGAAGAAAACAAGCTTGTGGTTAGTGACTTTGCTAGCCACAGTGCTATTGAGGTGTGCGTAAGCGAAACGTCTTGGGGCCCGGATTTTGTGTCTACTGTCGAAGCTATCTTCTGCGACATGTGCCAGCGTCGGACGTATCCTCTGTGCGGCGAAAATGGAAGCAATAGCTCGTACATGGCACCGAATACGACGTCCACAACGACGTCCACAATTGTAACGACCACTATAACGGCAAGTTTGTTGTCAAGTACCTCAGCGATTGGATCGAGTGCATCGAGTGCATTGGCAAGCTCATGGACAAACACTTCGTCAACTGCATCAGAGCAGTCTGTGCAGATAGCGGCGACATCATCTGCTGTTTCTAACGAGATGATGAGCACGAAGGTCAATAGGGGAGAGACAATTGAGATTTGCTTTGATCTAGAGAAGCAGCAGCTGAGAGCGCCTAAGAGACTTCGTCGCACTACATTCGTTCCTGTAAAGGAGTACACTGACGTACAATACTGGAGTTGAAGTGTCAGACTTCGTGTACAACGATCTAGATATATTTTGCAATCTTGCGGCTTGGCGTTTTGAAAGGTATTCTGGGGATGATGAAAGCGTTCTTCTGTAGTCACTATTCAATTTGTTTTATTTTGCTCCCAAGTTATGCATAGGACCAGGGCTTCTCGATTGAAATGACTTTCTGCCAACTGCTGGGCATCAAACACTTGTCTGGAACTAGTGCAGAAGTATCTCGATACTAGTCAATCACATAATGTGACGACGTCCTTTCGCGTGATGCTGTCAAATGCGGGGTGCGATATGTTGGTGACTTCGATAAGACACGAAAATCGCTGTACCAAGATACGAGCATATAATAACAGGACTTTATTTGATATGAGGTACTTCTGGAAATACGTAGAGGTTGTGAGTCTTGCCTCGTCTGATATTGTTCATGAACCCAGGGATAACTTCGGAGCCGGAAACCTTATGCTCGCTGGAGCATTATGATTGCGATAGGGAGTTCAGCATACTGTGGAATCAAGATTGACCGCGTTTAGATGTGCTTAACAACCAAGATGGCAGTAAGCGCGATAGGCAAAGGAGAGCTTTGGTAGATCTCTGACACATGGTGCAGCAGCAAGATAAGACCCTCGGATTTCTATCCGAGGATATTCGGCAGAGCCAAACATCGTCTTGTATGATACTGGTTTATCTTAGATGAATACATAGGATGAAACACCTGTCAGTGAAAGAGTTGGTCACACAAGGGATACTGTAGTTTTGACCCCGCGTTCGACAATCGAAAACAGAGAAAGCTAGGACAGATTGGTAACTACCATTCTTATATTGAGTTTCTCCTATACAGATACCCTTGATGGCACATGAAAAAATCGAAGATAATCTTACAAAGTGTCAGCGTCTTGACGTCGGAAGAAAGTTTCGTCTCTCAAGCTTCTGTGCCTGAGGCAGTGAAATGGCTAGCGCGCTTCGGCACTCCTTCGTGTTCGTTCTCAGCTCAGCCACCTCCAAAATCATCCTATCCGACGAAAGAAGTTTCATGCTTTTGTTCCTTAGAGGTCAGTGTTCCTGACTTGGTGTCCCGGCCAGCGCCGAGCACGACCCAACCGGGCCCAATACGCACGACCGACGATCGGGTAAATCAAACGCCATTTGTATCAAATCATGATCTTCAAGAACATCAGCCCCATCAAGTTGGGGATCCGATGCGAGATATTTTCCATGACGAATTCGAGTTTGTATCGTCTGTTTCGATATGCCTCTTTCCCCAATTGATCTCCCTTGATCGATTTGTCCCTGAGCTTATTCTGTCCCCGCAATTTTGCCGCTTCTCTCAATGACCTCCTGCCAAGGGCATGTCATTTCATATATCAGATTCTTAATTCTGTTTTTGCAAATTTTCTGTACAACAAGACGAAGTGTATACTTTTTGGCTGGCCAAAATGTCTAGTCCAATGAGGTTCCGGACTTCCGCTCTTTTTCCTTTCGTCACTTCCATAATAGCTTTTGCACTCGTTCTTGTGCTGGTTATCTCTGGTACGAATCCAGGTTCAGTTCCAGATGCCTATCTCATCAGTGTAAGTTTGTGAAAAACACTTTGCATATTCGTTCACGTTGTCCTACCCGAAACGTTGTCCACTTTTACAACATGCTAACCTTTTATAGTTCAACACCACATCTCTGGGCTCAAATTTGATAGAACTCAATCCTATAGATCCGGTTGCATCTGCAACCCCTACTGCAAATGCTGCAAGAGATGTTCGTACGAAATTATTAAGCATGATCGTAAGACGGTCAATTATCAAAGACGGACCGGATTCGAGTTCAATAAATACCAACTCTTCTATCACGGGCTCAACAAACTCCAATAGTTCAATCTCGAGTTCATCAGCCTCAAACTCATCCCTCTCGGCTGCACCTAGTTTGAACATTTCTTCGTCGGCAGTATCAAATTCCAGCTCCACCTCGTCAGCGGCACCGACCCTCACCATCCCACAGGCAGCGGTGGTGAACCCCGCCGCCATTCCTATATCTCTAGTTGGCGTAGCTTTTCAGCTCATCTTGAATACTCTGGCCAGTGGAATGGGTCAGACATTCGAGAGTCTGATATCGACGGTGATCACGACTCAGAAACAATCATTCGGCGTCAGTCAGTTCTATACCATACATGTCTCAGGCATATGCCAAGGTTCTGTCTTCAACGCAAACGCAACAAACTTAACGACTCCATTGAATCTCACACATTGTATTAGCTATGCTGATGCAGGTTCTTGTAAGTAATTTTGTTTTGTCTCGTTAGATTTTCGCAATACACTGAGAATCATAATACTAACTTGTATCCAATCAGTTGTTTCGAACCTTACCAGCAACGTCTCGGACTCTGCACTTGTTGCAGCCACCAATGTCACCGTCCCCGCTTTGAGCAAAGTTCCCAGCATCGGGAAATCCACAAAATCTCTCATTGACCTTGCTTCCGGCATCGTTCTCTTCGTCTTCATTGTAGGTCTGATCGGAAATGGATTGTCGATCCTCCTGTCGGTCGCAGCATTTGTCCTGCCCAACAATGGCAAAATACATGCTGCCGGCGCGGGAATCACTACATTCAGCACACAATTACTGCAAGCAGCGGCATTAACATCAACAACGATTGCAGTGGGTCTGAGCTCCTCTATCAACAATTTCAGTGATGTGCTCGGGCTGAGTGCCACGGTTGGTGGGAAATTTCTAGCGCTTATTTGGTTCGGTTACATTACGGCCCAAATGGCAAATGGATATTGGGTCGCTACCTGGTTCGTGAAGTTCAGGACGACAGCTTATAAGGCGAGGCAGAGAACTCCCCAGCAGATGCAAGCAGGATATAAGGGAATCAAGAAAGAGGTCTTGAGTGATTTGAGGTTGGAGAAGGTGGATTATGAGGATACTGAGGTGTTGACCAGCACGAAGGGTCAGATAGAAATTCAGCATTGGCAGGACAATTATAGGATGATGTAGGTTCTTCAGGCAAGAACCCTTTATTCCATTAGATAGAGTTCAACACTTATACCAAATCTATGTATGTCAAATCCAAAACATGTTCCGCTTTCGTATCCGACTCGTGACTTCACATGACTTTTTGAATTCCATATCTGTATGGCTTCCTCTACCATGAATGATCTTCCTAGCAAAGGCCTAGCTGCTGATCTCAACTGTCTGATGGGGTGGTGACGATCACGTGGAGCTTAGCGCCAGCTTGGCATCTCGTCTCATTTCCCGCTTGACAACGATCTGTCAACGTCAATCAACCATTTCATCTAATTCAACAAAAAGGCTCAAGTCCTGCTGAGATTCTTTTGAAACTCTGTGACGTACACGAAGTGATGAGAGGTTTGTGATCATTGCTCTAATTCTAGGTTTTATCTCGACTGTACATGTCACTCCTCAAGCTCACAATGCAAGCAAAACAACAGGATATAATGCAACTGAGCCCCGTACGCCGATTATCGCCGTTCCAATGCATATGTAAAGATTTTTCTTCCCTGCCTCGTCGAGCCCGTCGCGAATGGCGTCTCCAGGACCGCAAGCCGGAAATTTCACCTGATGGCAACTGGGCAAATCCACGTTGCTTCCAATCACCGGTATGTCAATCGCACTGCCCCAAACCTCAACTCTTCGGGTCCGTATGACGAATCTCATCGTCCGTATGAAGTTGATACTCCGGGCTTGGTTGCTTTTGAGGTGTCTCAGCAGGAGGTTGCGTCTCGGTTTGCTGTACCGGCTCCTGTGCCGGCTGTTCTGGCTGCGCTGGCTCTGGCTGTGCTGGCTGTTGACTGGCTTCCTGTTCCTTTGCAAACCCTCGCAGCTGCTCTGCACATGCTTCAAGTATTTCATTCTGCTTTCTGTCTGCTTCTTGTCTTTCTCCTGCTGCCCTCTCTGCTGCTTCCTTATCAGACTTTTCTTTGAGAAATTCATCGTGCACTGCAATCAACCTCGCTTGCTCTTCCGCGGGAAAGCTAGGAAACGAAGCTTTGTTTGCGTCCCAAGTGTCCACGCATTCGCGATTCCAGTTACATTCTTCGACCATTCCGAATGCAGGATGACTGTATCGTGGATGTCGAGAAGGCCACAATGAGGCATGGTAATGATGCTTCACCAAAGCCTTGGGAGAATCGTGGTTTCCAGAGTTCGAATGGCCTTGTCCTGCAGCGAAAGACTCGACAGTAAGGACCAAAATGTTTCCGACAAGTTTCGCATCGCTCAAGGCATGGAAAGAATCCCAAGTAACGATGTTGCCTGTTTGTCTCGCCATCTCGGCCAATATCAATCCAGTGAAGGCCGAGGGACCCGTACCAGTTATCACCTCGTCAAAATTAAGCACAATCTCGCCAATTGGCTTCTGTTGTTTCGCTGCTACGCCCTCAAGCCATCCCAAGATGTGATCCACGAGTCTGAGTAACACTGGAGCTCTTGGCTTGCTCATAAAGGTCCACTGGCAAAAGGATTGGGATTTCGGACCAAGAATGGTATGATTCGCATATCTGATATTGCTGGGTCAGTTTCTGCTTCCCTTGAAATTTTCGGGTGTATTACTTACGTTGGTTCGTCAATCTCAACACTGATCACCAAGTCGACATCATCCTCGTCAATGTGTGAGGGAATGAATTGGTCCACAGGCTTCAGTGCCTCGACATCGATATCCGCGTATACTCCTCCTTCAATGTACATCATCAGATATCTCAAGAGGTCTGCCTTGATGATTGTCGCATTCAGCGATCGATACATGTTCACAATATCCGGTCGGTTCAAGCCTCCTGGACCAGGGCCAAAATGCGTTTCTACATAGTGTAGATCATTGCTATCGGTCAACACTTCATATCTGTAGCCTGGGTTCATCGATGTCCAGGACCTCGCGCGCTCCGAATCTCGGGTCTCGAAATCCAATGGGTCGATCTTCCAAGTTTGCCATATTTTTCGGGGGAATGCGGATCGTGTCGATTGTAGTGGTGTTTGATATGCGGCCAGTACCCGCTTGATGACTTCTGAGGCTTCCAGAGGCGACTTATATGGGTTGGCCCTGGCGAAGAAGAGTACAAAGAGGACGCATGCTACATATATTGGTAGTATCCTCCGCAGTTCTTTGGGCAATCTGCCCCCAAGCATAAGCATTGTGTTCGTCCTTTACGCGTTTGTATGGACAGGTTTTCAAGTGAAGCTGGGCTCGCGGGATTCAGCTTGTTGTATATGTCAACTTGAGGTGTCAGAAGTATATTTGAAGATTTATGACAGGTGTGTTGAGAAAGTGAAGAGCGGGAGAGCTTGATCAGGTCTTCTATCGACAGGGTTAATACTCGGATGATCCGAGTTGATTCCTCGGTATCTCGCAAATGGCATCTGATTTTTGTTTTAGTGGCGATCCAAGGATGTTCATGAGTTTCCTCTAAGTAGACCAGTTGAGCTCTCTGACAAGGTCACGCTACCATGGTGTAACCTCCAATCTGAAGTCTTTGACGATATGAAGGGCTCGAGTCAAAGGTCAGGGTCAAATCTGCTACAACGCAGCCGCTGAGTGCCAGTGGCGGAGTCCTTTTGATCGCCATCTAGTCATGGATCTTCAGTGACCTTCCCGGCTCTAAATTCATGCGACACCGATAAGCTGTCTGATGTTTCTCAAAAAGCGACTCGCATCGGAGATATCGACCGAATGAGACGTGGGGGATTGGTCGCCGCTACATGTTCCGAAACTGGGGCTCCCTGTTCCCCGTCAACCTCAAACCTAACCTTTGTTTTGCGAAAATCTAAAATCTTAATTATTTTGTTTTTCGAAACGAAACCCCTCGCATTGATATCGAGCTAGTCCCTGGAACTGTGCGTTCGCCCCTCGATCGCGTTTCACATTTCCACCCCCAATTAAGCGAAGTGTCAGAAGGTAGCGAAAGGTCGGTTCGTCTCCATGTTCCATATTGCGACAGTTGTAGATCGTTCTTCGGATTGAGTAGTAATTCATGCTTTCATTCTTACTCTCCTGCTTTATTTCGTTGCTTTCTCTTCTTATCTTCAAAGGCATTGCTTTAATTGCGATCTTCGGCCGCCTCCATCCAACTTCTACCAGCTCTTCCCGCTGTCACAGAGCTATACCTTGCCCACATCTTCCGGGACAATTGGCACACCTCAGAACTATATCCTCAAAATGTCTCCATCGCAAGGAGGATTGCTGGACACAGGGGATTGGGATGGGTATCAGAAGCAGGAATTCTTGACAACAGCACACAACACCGCAAAATGGACAGTCGAAGTAATACGGCCATCAGTGATGACCAGGCCGGGGATGCGAAAACAGGTTCGGGGTACAGCTTATCTAGACGGCCTGAGGGGCTTCGCTGCTATGCTGGTGTACTGGCATCATCATCAATTATGGCCACGACAACTTGCCAGCAGCTTCTTTGAAAATGCGTGGGGTTTCCAAGACAAGTACTTCTTCTGCGCTATGCCAGGTGTACGGACGTTCTTCTCTGGAGGCCATTTCTCGGTGTCCGTCTTCTTTGTGGTCTCAGGCTACGTACTATCCGTAAAGCCTTTAGCACTGATATACGCCGGTGAGCACGCCAGGCTGGGAGACAACCTCGCCTCAGCTCTATTCAGACGTTGGATCCGCCTCTTCATCCCCGTAATCTTCGTCTCTCTCATCTACATAACCTCCTGGCACATGTTCGACATCTATACTCTATCCCCAGAACACAAACCCACCTACCGCGAAGAACTGTGGAACTGGTACCTGGAATTCAAAAACTTCAGCTTCGTCTTCCGCAGCGGCGGCGACGGCTGGATGCTCACCTCGCAATACCACGCCTGGTCGATCCCCGTCGAGATGCGCGGCTCCATCATCATCTACACCGTCCTCCTGGCCTTCTCGCGCATCACGCGCAACGCGCGCCTCTGCGGCCAGCTCGGCCTCATGTTCTACTTCATCTACATCGTCGACGGCTACTTCGGCGCGCTCTTCATGGCCGGCATGTTCCTGTGCGAACTAGACCTCTTGTCCCGCATGAACAACCTCCCGCAGATATTCAACAGACTAGCGCCCTATAAGATGTACATCTTCTACACCCTCTTCGCAATTAGCCTCTACCTCTCCGGCGTCCCCTCCGGCTCCCAAGATATCCTCGAGCTCCGCAAAGCGAAGGGCTGGTACTACCTCTCCTTCCTCAAACCCCAGGCCATGTGGGATTTCAAATGGTTCTACCTCTTCTGGGCGGCCCTCTTCCTCACCTCCTCCGTCCCGCACATCGCCTGGCTCAAATCTTTCTTCGAGAACTCCTTCAACCAATACCTAGGCCGCATCTCCTTCGCGCTCTACCTGGTGCACGGCCCGGTGCTCTGGACGCTCGGCGATCGCCTGTATCAGGCCGTCGGATGGTATAGAGAAGAGCATCTGGCGCATACGCCGAGCTGGATTAATTTCTTCCCGTTGAGCCAGGCGGGGCCGTTGGGGTTGGAGATTAGTTTTTTGGCGCCGCATTTGATTTTGCTGCCGTTGACGTTGTGGGTTGCGGAGGTGGTTACGAAGTTGTTTGATGAGCCCAGTGTGAGGTTTTCGCAGTGGGCGTATGGGAAGGCGTTGCCGGCGGATGATTAGTTGGTGGTGGTGCATTTGATAAGGAGTTTGGGGCATTGGTGGAGTTTAGCTGTTATTGATGCCTTGATGGCTTAGAAGAAGAATATATGGTTACAGTTTCAAGATCAACTACATTAGATGTGTGAAAATTTTAGTTTATTTTGTGGACGCTGTCTTGTTACTCGAATCTATTGGGCGTGTTTCCTTTTTTTTTCTTGCTATGGTACTCCTGAGCTTATAGTATGAAAGTCTATGAAGAAGGTTGAATTCCATCAAGTTAATAGGACTATAGCCTATTCTCCATAGCAACATTGGTGACTCCGAACTTGAGAACATCAGGCACTCTAGAAAAGAAGATTACCATTAGAGAGCAATGTGTCCTTTCTATCTAGTTGCGAATTCCAAGGCAAACCAAGGATATGTCAAAGATTGCCGCTCTAGAGCCACTTTTCTGACCTGTCTCTGTCCTTGCGTTGTGTTATATGCTAATCGGGACATAATTCGGACACAATCGACAAAACGCCACTAAGATGTGACCAGTGAAGCTTAAAAAGATTCATACCAGCCTCAGTGTATTACCCCCCACAAGCCAGAGAGCACCCAAGACCGAGGACACCGTATTCCACCACAATACCCTCCTACCCAGCCGTAAACTTAACATGAAACTACAAACCCATCAGTCAGCCTCTCTCTCTCTCTCTCTCTCTCCCTCCCTCCCTTCCCCTCCCCTCTCACAAAAACTCAAGAAAAAAACTCACCATCTCAACCCCCCCATGATTCCCCCTTATCAAGCCCACATTCTCCCTAAACGCCCCCGTCTCCCTAAACTTCATATGCATCTCGACACTCTCCCACCCGACCAAGAAAACATACGCCTTCCCTTCCTCTCCCTTCCCCTTCCCATCATGCCTCCTAACCCCCTCAACAACCCCTCCCCTCGCCCACCCCACAACCCCCTCCCCCTTCTCCGCAATCGTAAGAAATTCCCCCAGCGAATCAGCGAAAGAGGGGTCCGGGTCGTAGAACGTCGCGAATTCGACCACGGGCGCGGAACCCAGGATGGTGGGCGGAGAAGGGGTGGGCGTGAAGTGGTGGAGGTGTACTGGTTTGTTTTCGTCGTCGAGCAGAGGTGAGAGGTTTTTGAGGAAGGGGCCGTAGGTGGGGGAGGAGGTGAAGGATTTGTGGTTTTCGAGGGATGTCCAGTCTAGGGTGGGGTTATTTGTTAGTTTTTTTTTTTTTTTTTTTTTTTTTTGGGAGGGAAGGGGAGGAAAGGAAGGGAGGAAAGAGAAACAGACCGATCATAAGGATGAGCAGCTCGGGAGACTCGAGCGTGAGGCCCCAGTGCAAGCGCTGGAAACCGGTTTGTTGACGGATGGTAGAGAGGGTTTCTTGCCAGGCGGTCGCAGTGGGGGAGGTGCCTGTGAGGTCGATGTCGGGTTTGAGGGTTAGGTAGGCGATTTCTGTTACCTGGGGCATGGTTGGTAGCTTGATTGATTGATGAAGGAGGGGTTGTAGATTGTGGATGGTTATTGAATAATGGGCGGCAGAGGCTGTGAATGAAGTAAGAAACAACGGAGAGGGCTGTAAATCACAATAAATTCAAGAAGTAGAAGTAGGAAGCTGAGTGAGAGCTTGAACCAAAAGAGGAAAGCACGGCGAGACTCAATTCAATGGTCGTTCTGTCAAATTGTCATGCAGCTTTTGGATGCTGGGGCAAGGTGGGGTTACTGTACAGTAGGTTTGGCGGGGTAGCTTTCGTTGGATTCGGAGATAAACCAGGTAGGTACCAGCAGTACAGTCAGCTCGCGAACCTCCCATACCTAGGTAGGCATCCTCGCAAAGAGCTGCAATGGAAAGAGAGAGGCATCGCAGCGTTTCGCTACCGATGAAATCGAACCCGATAACCACCCCCCACAGTAATCCAAGCAGATATCAAATTCCGCTGCGAAGGAACTCTGGGGCAAAACTGTGGGGGTACTTTTAGGTCGAGACCTCCTTGATTATTTATTCTTCGGCTTAGAGTCTGCTTTTCAAGACGAGGAATGGTTGTGCCGTCCCTTCATCTATTTAATCTCGGAAGACTCACATTCTCGCAAAGAACATTCCCCAACGGATAAGAAGCTCAAAATCTTACCGTGAGACATTGCATCTTTCAAGCGAGAAACATCATAAGGGATAGCCTAGCGAAGAAACAGGTCATAGATCACAGAAATGCATTATTTCTATGCTAGGTGAATACATGTCGAAAAGGTTCCACCCATCACCTGCCGACCAAAGTATGTAGATGCCAGGAATCGAGCGAAGAGCCACCGTCTCAAAGGCCGCACGCTCCCAAGCTTTTGTTTGGTGGTAATGAACCCCGTGATGCCCAGCGCCGCTGAAAAGCAAATCCCATAAGCATACCGTGAAGTGTCATCAATATTATATCCCCGCTCTAGATGCGGTGCTTTTCACTCTCTGTTGAGTTACGTAAGCGTATTGTCGTTCACGTTCATGAGTTTTCTAACGTACCAAGTCTTGAATACAACATGTATAGGGCCATTTGATTGCATTCGGCAGTTCCAGTGATCGTAACCAGTCTCTCGTTGCTGTTGTCTTGGGGTTCGTTGATCTTGATGACGGAGCCACTCAGTTGTCGAATCTCATTGATCTTCGCACCACCTTTGCCAATGATAGCGCCAACCATGTCGTTTGGAATGAAGATTTGCTGAGTTAATGGTTGACCAGGAACCATTCCTTGCATTGGCTGAGCCGGTGGGCCTGCATGCGATTGTGGTCCGCCAACATGAGGTTGTTGTGGCTGTTGTGGACCAACTCCGCCATATCCGCCAACGGCGGGTGAGCCACCATAGTGCATGGGAACTTGGGGTTGTTGTTGTTGGGGAGCTTGACCATGAGCAGCATATGGTTGACCATAAGAATTGGCGGGAGTGTGGTGACCACGGTCCACATGGCGGCGATTCTCGGGGTGACCATAGCTTCCACCAGCTGGTTGGGGAACATATGGAACTACTTGCATGCCTCCTGGTACAACGCCTGCTGGTCCACCACTTCGGGAAGCATAAGCTGAAGCAGCAGGGCCACCGAATCGTTCTGAGAGCTGCTCATAAAGGGTACTGCCAACATAATAAGTTGCAATGTGAGAAGCATCAGCGACACCGAGAACAACAAGTGAACGCTCAGTAGACAGGGGAAGGCAAGCATCAGAGGCATTGAGGCGTGCACCTGAAGCTTCTTGAATCTCACGGATTCTCATACCTCCCTTGCCGATGATTGAGCCAATGAGGATGTGTGGAATAAGCAGGCGGAGAGGATAGGTCTTGGACTGAGCAGTCGAGGGAATGTCAAGGGGTTCGTTGCTGATTGTTCTGACAATCAAACCGAAAGCCTAGTTGAAGTCAGTTATGCACATACACATATAGCTGAGTGACGTACCTTTGCTACAGCATCAACTACACCACTGACTGTGAGAATTCTCTCTACTGCACCCTTTTGGTAGTCGCTGACAGTACACTTCGCACCAGACAGCTTGCGGATCAAAGACACATTTTCTCCACCCTTGCCAATGACGGTAGCAGCTTCGGGACTAGTAATGACAGCACGAATATGAATCCAACCACTTTCGTCGTGTTGGAGAGATGAACCACTGCTCGGGAGATCTTTGGTCGATGTAGCAGTGCCCTGGGTGATTTGGGCACCTGCATCTGGGACTACCGTATCGCCTTGTCCGTCCTTCTCGTCAGTCTTCGTACCATTGGTAGCCTCGGTCGTCTTGTGTTCACCGTTGGAGCTCACAACGGGGGGTTCGAGAGCTTCTGGAACCTCCTCTACATTGTCGCCTCTGACAACCTTGTCGAGAGCGGGTCGCTTTGCCTCTGGTTGATCATTGGGGGCAGATGGAGATGAGGGATCTTCGAGAGGTCGCTTCGTCGACTGGGTAGGGGCTGCTGTAGGTGAGGCAGACATCTTGTTTTCTATTGGTTAATCTCTTCACTCAAGCTCGAGAAACGGTCGGGAAGGAGGTCGGTATGGTAACAAGCTTTGGATTGATCGTTATGTACACCTGGGGTCTTCGAAGGAAAACGTGCTGGTGTTGTGTGTGATCGGAGTGAGGGGATAGAGCGTGTGCTAACGGGGGTTGTTGAGAAGTGAATGGATGTCGCGGAGGGAAGATGTTGGATGATGAAGACGAGAAGACGAGAAGACAAGTCTTGAAGAAAGATCTGCAGGCTTGTGGAGAGTAGAGTGGATGAGGATTCAGATTCAGGGCGAACGGGTGGAAGGTAGTATGGTAGAGGTGGAGGAATGTGTGATGACGCAAACTGGCTGATTCAAATCCCTCTTGGAAGTGGAAGAAAAGCAGTAGTAGAGACCTGTATCCTCAAACCTTTGGGATCCTTCACGAAGAGCTTGTGTTGGCGACAAGTCTTTTATTGTGCCTGTCTGTGTGCCGTGCTGTGCCGTGCTGTGCTGTGCTGTGCTGTGCTGCGCTGCTTTGCGTTGTCCTGTGCTGAGCAGTGGGGGGCCGCCGATTGCTTAATCTGTGGTGTTTCTGTTTCGTTTCGGGAGGAGGCAGTTTGGGAGGAAGGTTAAGGTTATTCCGCTCGAAATCGCAGCTTCCGTTCGATCGATTCTGCTGTCGCGTTGAAGTATCAAGCCCGCGGAGGAGTCGATAGAAGAGAAGAAGAGGACGAACAATTAGTAGATCCCGATACGGAAGATGGGGATGCGGAGAAGGGAAGGAGAAGATATTGTTGAAGAAGGGGGATTGGATTCAAGAAATGTTGGAGAAGTGCATCACAATGCGCACGACGAGGTTGCGGTCGACGGGAAATTCAAGACAAGCGAGAAAGCCACGGCACATGATGAGCCAAAACGCGCTAGTCGGCTCACCAGAGCTCATCGCGTCTTCCCAGTGAAGTGGTGAGTCCCAATATTAAATCTTGCGCATGCAGGGAGAACAGTATTTGCTTGGCTTTCTTGTCACAAATTCCTGTCACAGCATCTTAGAGAAGAGAATTTTATTGTCGATCCATTTGTTGGAATATTCATATAAGATTAAATCTTGGCAATATCCCCTTTCAACGATCATGGAGGACTCGAGAGCGGCTCGCAGATCGAATTCGTACACAACGCGTCTCGATCGCACTCTGAAGGTACTGCAGGACCGAGTCAAGGAGCAGGAAGCTCTGTTGGAAGAGGTTAGCACGTGCACAATTTAACATTATGCTAGCTAATGTATTATCACAGCTTCGAGCATCTATAGCACCCGTCGAGACCGAACCTTCTACCGACCCGAAAGCCCACCTCCTTCAATTGCGCTCTTTAACAGCAGCTTACAAAAGCCTCACGCCTGCAGAGCCATGGCTTCCTCCTCGCGATTCTCCTCTACCTGCACTCATAGCTCTGCGTACAACGGATAAGACCATCACTGAGACTCGAGACACAATAGTGAAGACGGAAGTTGATTTAAAGGAAACAACAGACAGGCTGGAAAAAGAGAAGGCTGATCTCAGTGATGCGAAGCTTATTCAAACCGAATTAGAAGCGCGCATATCATCACTGCAGGTTGACATAGATGAGCGGACACAGAAGTCGCCTAGTGAGATCGCCAGAGATATGATCCAGGAAGTGAAGAAAAAGCAGACAAATTATGATGCCCGAACAGACAAACTGATGAAGGCTTTCGATCAATTCATCGACGATAAATTGGCAGCCATGCTTGCCATTGAAGAGCTTGGTGGTCCCATTGTTGGAGATGTCCTGGATGTTAACGAGGAAATGCTGGAGGGAGCATTCAGTACGCAAGGAAAGCCGAAGAGAGCGAAACCAAGCGAGGACAAACGGCAGCGTCGAATTGATCAAATCTGGGGTCCTCGACCAGAAGATAATCAAGAGCCAGAGGAACCATGGGACGAGAAACGAGCTGCGGCAACAGAGATGCGTGATTTGACAGAACAGCTGCTGAACAGTCTCATGGAAGCTGAAGGCACAGGACCAGGAGCATATGTCGAGCTCAAGAGAGAATCAGCAGCTGCTCGATTTCTAGTGCGTTCGAAAGTCGCACAATTCCATCCTAATGATGCGAGGAAACTTCGACTTGTTGATTTTGGAGGCGAGATAGATGATTGATCAAAAGATACGAGCATGACACAAAATGGACGAATTAGAGCATAGGTACTTTTTCCAACATTCAATGAATAGCCATAAGCCTCTGATTCCTCTGACTTTGTTGCATATCGCAGTTATCTGCCGGGAGATCCCAAATGCTTGGATTAGGTTGTCTCAACTGCCGGTGACAAGGAGCAAGGTTGTTCAGTACGGCACGTGATGCCGCAGGACCTCCAAATCCGTTGCATGATGAGGACATCCTTCGAGGACCTTGATCTTTTGCTAATGTTAACAGCTATGGTCTACCTCGACTGTATTACTATGACGGCGTAGGCTGTAATCGGAGTTGATATCAGTTTATCACTTCGCTGCTCCGATAGTATCGGGAAGCATCCGATGGAGCCCACTCTTGGCCATTACGTGAGTATGTCATGAATATCCAGAGGCTGATATATCTGTTTCTATGAACCACTTCTCTTTCGTCCTTGGAGATTAATCTTTCTCTTTCTGTGTTTCTATCTTTCACTTAAAGATACCCAGTGTACCACTCTCGCTTGAAACCTCTCCAACCTTTTCTCAAAGACAAGTTTCACCACACCCGCAAGATGACTGAGCCATACCGCCTCACCGCAAGCGAGGCTCTCGCCCAAATGCAATCTGGTAGCCTCACAGTGGGGTCTTACGCCAAATCCCTCCTCTCCCGAATCAAAGATCGAGATCACGTGGTCAAAGCATGGGCATATCTCGATCCCGAATTTGTTCTCGCACAGGCGAAGAAACTGGATCAAATACCAGCCGAGAAAAGAGGTCCTTTGCATGGTATTGCCGTTGGTATTAAAGATGTGATTTTGACGAAAGGTAAGTGCAGCTATCTGAATTGAAAACCGAGACTGAGACTTATTTGGGATAGACATGCCAACAGCCCACAACTCCCCAATCTACAAAGGCGAACCCGCACCGTTGGTTGATGCAGCGCCAGTAATCACTCTGCGAGCAGCGGGAGCTCTAATCTTCGGCAAAACAACAACAACCGAATTCGCATCCACAGTCGATGGAGGACCATCCACCAACCCTCACGACCACACCCGAACGCCCGGCGGCTCGTCCTCAGGCTCCGGTGCTGCAGTCGGAGATTTCCAGGTCCGTGTCCTAACTCTCTTGAAGAATAGAACGAGATTAACGAAAAACAGGTCCCAATAGCTCTCGGCACCCAAACAGGCGGAAGCACCATCCGCCCCGGCTCCTTCAACGGCATCTGCGCCTTCAAACCAACCTGGGGTGCCATCTCGCGCGAAGGCCTAGCGCAATACAGCATGACGTGCGATACACTTGGTCTCTATGCTCGTTCGGTCGAGGATCTTCAACTCTTGGCTAAAGTCTTTCAACTTAAAGACGATGAAGCGATTCCTGAAAAGGGGTTCGAGATCAAGGGGAAGAAAATAGCGTTTGTGAAAACGCATGTGTGGCCGAAGGCGGGGAAGGGGACGAAAGAGGCGTGGGAGAAGGCAAAGGGGTTGCTTGAGGGAGAGGGGGCGAGTGTTGAGGAGGTGGAGTTACCGGGGGAGTTTGAGAAGGTTAAGGACTGGCATGCTAATGTGCTTTCTGGGGAGGGGAGGACTTCGTTTTTGGGGAGTACGTCTTCCCCTTTACCCCCTCTGGAAATTTAAATTGGAACTGATGAAAAACAGATTACCTCCTAGCTAAAGAGAAAATGCACCAAAGCTTCCACGACCATGTCGAGAACGCAACGAAGTTATCTAGGAAAGCGCAATTGGAGGCTTACGATGGATGCGCGAAGTTGAGACCCGTGTGGGATGAGATCGCGGCAAAGTATGATGCAGTTTTTACGCCGAGTGTGGTGGATGAGGCGCCGGTGGGGATTGAGAGGACGGGTGATGCTGTGAGTTTTCTTCTCTCTTCTTTAAGGAGGGGCTTAGACTGACATAAATAGTCATTCTGCTCAATGTGGACCATTCTTCAGTGTCCAGCACTTAATGTACCAGGTTTTGCGGGCGAGAATGGGTTGCCAATTGGGTTGACGTTGGTTGGGGGTCGGTATATGGATGAGCATGTCTTGTATGCTGCGAAGGCGATTGGAGAGGTTTTTGAGAGAGGGGGAGGATTTGTTTCGAAGTTGGTGTAGGGTTGAGGATATTATATGGGATGATTGACAACAGTAAGAATGGTGACAACAATATCACGCAAACCACACTGGAAGGACATTTATGTTTCGTCTTGACGAAGTATATCCACCCTTTGAGTGGAGTAACGGTCGCCATGGCCCGGGCAGCAGGACATGTGTAGAGGTGATAATTCCAGAATCAGATGTTGTTGTTTAGAAGTTCGAAAAGTAAACTCTTTATATACTTCGAAAACAACTCGAATCAAAATAGTGAATTTTGTGAATATAGGTGAATTTGCAATACGTATAGATTTGTGCGTCGTAATTCTGATTCACTGTTTGGTTTTCGGGCGTTAAGAGGTGAATTAGAAAGAGACATGGTACGATAGTTCTGATTCACTTTGGTTTTCGAACTTTAGTTGTATATAGAGATACCGTAGCTTTTGCCGGTTGAATTTTAGCATCTTGGATAGAGTATTCGTTATTTAAAAGGGTGTAGGAGGAGTCTACCTTGCTAGAGAAGAACAGAAAAAGCCTTCTGCAAGACAATCCAGGTAGGTAGGAAAATGAGGTCACGTGTTCACGAGAGATTCCCGTTTCTTCAGTATCTCAATTGAGATGCTATTTGGCGTGCCAGAAAGCAATAGTTTGTATCCCGTTTCCGGGAACGATCAACAAGTAGCCTTGCATGAGGATCCGGATGTGGACTGAATCCTTGCCTCTGATATGCAGGGGTCAAAAACACGAGATCTTCAGCTACCAGTTTGAAGTCTCCAACTTGAACATATCCAAACCTTTCGACTTCCCTATTGCCCCTCGCTTTCAAAGCAAAGAAAGTTACGAATCCTTTGTTATAGAGAGCCTTTGTGGTCAGATATTATCATCACGAGGGCGGGGTATCATTCCACAAAATTGAGGAGGTTGGGCACCCAGACGAAGCGCCGCCCAGCCTTGTCTCCATTCCCTCTTCAGCTGCTGTCAAAGTGCACCCATCTGCAGCCACAAAATCCTTCAAGGCACATTCTAGTGCCACAGCGCTTGTGGCTGGCCGGACCGTCTGATACTTGTATCTGGCCATTCCACTGACGGCGCATTCTCATTCTTGCGACTACAAACGTTGGATTGATAGCCATGGCTGCAGAGCAACCAAATGTCGTCCCGGAGTCTGTGGAGAATCCGGAAAATGCACCAGAACATGCCCCAAGGCCAAAGTTTCTGGGACGAGTCCAGGATGGCAAGTTTTATTGCGAGTGCGACGGTATGAGCCACAAAGCTCGGTGCAGGACTGTTACCCAAGAGACTTCGAATAAGGGGAGGAAGTGTATGTTCCCCCAATTCCTTGTCTTGATGAAATCGAGCTAATTATGTAGTCTGGCTGTGCCATAAAGAGGGGCAAGGACAATGCAAGTTTTATGTTTGGGTTGATGACGAAGAGGAAGTCAAGGAATGGCTGGAGGAGAATGGACCTCCACCACGTGCGCCGGAGACTCCTCGAGATAAAGGCAAGGGAAAGGAGGTAGATAGGTCGAAGGCTACGCCTTGGACGCTGTCAAAACGGAAGAGAGGATCGGATTCGGGATCGAGGGAGGTGTCTGATGAGGAGAATGGCGGGCCTTCTGGGGCCAACGGCAATGAGCAATCGGATGCTGCTGAGTTTGAATCGGACGAACTGGTGGAGGTTGGAGATGGTAGTCCGTCCAGGAAGGCGCCGAGAAGAACGATGCTCGATACACCTGGTCAGGTTCTCGAGGAACGATTGAACAATGCAGCGGCAACTCTTCCAACGCCCGATACTGGCAAGAAACCGGAAGCAGAAGGCGTCGCATCCGGATCACGGACTTCGAAACAGTTGACACTGGCATCTGCTCGATTAGGCGATGTGATCGACCTGACAGAAGACACGCCATCGGCCCTTACAATAGCTGTCATGGACGAGCTTCATTCGGCAAAGGTCCGATTGAATGACTCGACCAAGGCGTATATTGGGCATCTGATTGATTCGGAGATCGACCAGCATGATGCCAAGATGAGGAGAAATCAGAAGACGATATCGAAGATGAAGAAGCGGCTTGATGAGTTGGAGAGCCTGGTGCTTGCTTTGACAGGAGATGATCCCGTGCAGTTATCCGATTGAGGGGCCGTAATTTTATATGGGTTCGCAACGCGATGGAACTCGACGTCGGGCATCGAGTTGAGACATGAGAGGTCCAGCTATGATGCCGCCCCAATCTCTGATGCAGAATTTTGGAGTCAAAGTGATACCCTGGGAGCAGCAACAAGCGATGAAGTAGCAGGCAGACAGTTAGCAAATACATAAAGTTGCAGGTAGCTGAGAATTTAATCTTTCATCGGGAGCCTGACTGGCACTTCTTGGTCTCAACTTTGAGCTGCCAATTGGGTACTTTATTGTGCAATTGGACTAGATTGAGATACAACATTGTCCACGGCTGCGGTCGAGAGTCATCGAAGCAGGCGTTCTCTGTGTTTGAAATGAAGCAGAGAAAAGAACAAAGAAGCTCCCAAATATGAAGAGTACGGTCAGTCACGTGAATATATGCTAGTTATTTTGGCCGAACTTTAACCATTCCACAGTCTTTCCTGTAAGTGGACCTCAAGCAGGCATGTTCTACATAAGCTGATACTCGCCATAAGGACGATTCAAGATGGATGTCATGGTCTGCAACAGGTCTTCTTCCAGCCAAGTACAAAAGCCTGCTCGCCTCCAAACTCCTTCTCCAATCTGTAAAGCCAACACTCCAGCCCAAGCTACCATATTGCTGGTCGACGTTTCGTTTTGCCGCGATAGTTTCCCTAGGATCAATATCTGCCAGTTGTATCCTTCATCATTCAAAGAAACCAGATCTCTACCAATCTCCAGCGGCCTGTCGTATCCCATACCTAGCTCAGATCTCTCGTTAACGGACGGAAGGTCGTCAATCCATGGCCCTTCATCCAGATAGATGGAGTGTTGGAGGTCATTCAAGTCATGGATATCTTTGACCATGTCATCACGCTCATGATCCCCGTCCTCCTTCTCATCGCTAACAGCGGGAGGTCTTCCAGTTCGTTCTTCTTCTGTGAAAGATTGAGCAGTCTTCCAAGATTCGACGAGTTTCTTCAACGAGAGGGTGGAGCCTTCAAAGACTACTTCGTTGGTTCCCAGGTCCCTGCTATGGAAGACTGTTATTCCAGGAACTTGTGGCGGCCTGATTTCGACAACTGAATAAAGCCAAGCTGGGATGACAACATTCTCGTCAATCTTCCATCTATCTTGATGAGCCACGTCGGTAATATGGACGAAAGTCTGGGCCAGAATTGGATATTTCTTGTTCAACGCCGTTGCAAGCTCGTCCGTTAGGTCCTTGAAAGCGGGTTCTCTTGCGTCCAAACTTGACTTTCCAAGCTTGAGTCCATATATTTGCTGAATGCCGTAAACTCTATCTTCTTCGAGTCGACAAGAACGAAGTCCAGCGACGTTGAAGACAGTAAGCGGGTTCCTCGAGAAGACTTCACGAAACCCCGATCGCTTCACAGCCTCTAGGACTTGATCATCGCACGAGTTGGTGTACTCCGTAACCCAGAGCGTGGGCAAGTATGCCATATCACGAAGATTGGCGTGCGTATCTGGCCACTGGCTATTGAGGGCTAATGCCGTTCGACCAGACCGCGAGACCAAGATCCCATCTTTTCTCAGGAAGGATTCTTGCAAGGTCCAAATGCTAGAGAAGAACGAGTCGTCGAGAAAGTCGTTGATAGCGTTGTTTGCAATATCCGCAAGCTTGGAAGACGGCCGATACTGAGAGTTGGCGAGTTTCCCGACAATGTAGGAAAAGTCTTCCACGCATTGCGCTAGAGATTCTTCATCGTGCTCCCATAACCAGATAAACGCTTTGCTAGCGCGTCGGAATATACTGGCTTGCTTTCCGACCTCTTTGGCCTCTATCGGAAAATCAGTATACGTTCTATCAGAGATATAGGAGTCGAGCAAGCTCTCTAAGACGATGCCGACGAGTTCGGCGCCTAGAAAGTATTTAAAAGAGGGTAGAATTCGACGTACTGTCTGCAGGGCTGCTTTGATCGATGCAGGCAACATCGAGCCAAACGAAATCAACTTCCTCCCCAACAACTTTCAACACGCTCTCAAGTTCTTCCATAGAGAATGGATACACAGAGCCACCTCTTCCATTGTCCTGTCGAGTCGAGTTTATGACAGGCAACTTCCATGATCCGTCTTTAAGGGCCACACTCAATGCTTTATTGCCACTAGCTGCTTCGCGATCTTCATATCGTCCCCATGTATACGAGATGATGTTGTAAGCAGGCTCCAAAATTCCATTGTAGCTTGCATGTCCTTTCCGAGGATACGAAGTCATGGTGCGGACGTCAAGTAGACGGTCTGGCCATGACGAGGTCTCTGGTCCGGGTGTGATGGCAAAGTCGTGGTTTCCTGTTGGGTATTCTTCGTCTTCTCTGCCGGAAGGGTCCGAATCGGAGGTGTAGACACTACCTGAGAAGCATAAGCTTGATTGATCGATGATGCTGCTTTACTTACCACCGTCACTGTCACTATCGGACGACTTGTACCCAGAGCTTGGATGGTGGCTGTAGGTTACATGCCCAAACCTGACACTTTGACTACTCATGCTGGGCAGTTGAATTGGAGCACTTAGATGACTTGAATTGTTCTTTTGACCTTGACTCATTTTTTACGATGAAGATCGAGTGTGATCCTCCGTTTTAACACCATATCGATGGCAGCAATCTAGTGCCATAGCCAACAGAATCGACAAGGCATCGTTACGTATGATCCATGGAGCCTGAAAAATAAAGCTCAACCCCCCCGCACTACCAAATTCTCGAGTGGATGTTATGTGTTGCGTTTCGAAAGGCTCACTGAAGAACATGCCAAACGCGTGTTGGGCTGTGATTTGCCGGGGATAAGGATTGGTTACCAGCACCTCGCGTGAACGCCTTTCGATGGCAATATGCCTTACCTGCATATCCAATGGGTCCTTCCATTTTGCCCAATAGTATACCCTCGTTCATTTGCATGCTGATGCATGAGGCTGCATGAGGCTTTCACGTTATTCCAGCCTCTTTGAGGCTATGCAGCTTATCTCGCCTTGATCTTATTCTACGCAACTTCATCATTTTCTAATTCAAACGCGACGAAAACTGTTGCCTTCGAGCCATAAAAGCTTGAAGACTTTGAAACAAGCAATGGACGGTCTCAGCGCCGCAGCGAGCATCATAGCCGTTATTCAAATAGCCCAAATAGTAGGCTCAGAGCTGAAAGACTATTACGAAGGGGTGCGCCAAGCTAGAGAAGAGATCCAGAAGCTATACAACACGATAAAGAATCTCGAGGTCATTCTCGAGCGTCTCCAGGAACTCTTCCAGTTGCCTAGCAGTCATCTGTCTGTGGTGGACCCGGTCTTCGTTGATCAGGCTGGGCCACTGAAACAATGCCAGGAAGAGCTCAGCAAGTTAGAAGCTGCACTTGAAATTTCGACTCATCGTGGGAGAATACGGAAATCGGTACAGTCGCTGAAATGGCCATTCGAGAAAAAGGATGTCGAGAAGCGTGTTGTTGTGCTAGAGCGGCACAAATCTAGCCTTGCATTGTGCATTGGGGTCGAGAATCTGTAAGTTATCTTTCATCATATCTGCTATTCTCGTCTGACTTATTGCGAATAGACAGACACAAATCGCTTGACATCTTTGAGATAGCTGCAGATATCCGGTCGGACATTAGGGCAGCCAGAGATGATGAAGATCGACGGCGGATCGTAGCTTGGCTAAGAAAGGAGTACCTGATCCGTCAAAAGAGCACAACGAAGCTCGTTTGAAGCACGAAGAGACCACTGGGTCATGGCTTCTCGAGAGCGAGTCTTTCAGAAAGTGGACTGAAGGGAAGAACTCGTTCCTTTGGTTAAACGGAAATGGTGAGAATGATTTTCTAAGTACTTTACAGTTCTGGTGCATGAGCTTGTAGAGATATACTAACGACTCAGTGAAGCTGGGGTAGGCAAATCGATACTATGGTAAGATCCCACTAGGCAGTCTTTTGGAGAGAGTTTAATTTACTACGGTTCGACTGTGATCGACCATATCCAGAAGCGGAGCATCAATGAGTCGAACGTGGCGGTGGTATACTGGTACTTCACTTTCACGAACATCGATAAGCAAAACGTTGCCAATGCGCTCTGTTCTGCTATTGCAGACATTTGCGGCAATCGACGTGATACCCCCGAAGAACTTCAGAGAGCCCACGATCGATGCAACGCTGGTCAACAAAAACCACCTTTCGATGTACTCAAGTCAATGCTGAAAGTGGTTTCCAATGGGTTTGATAATATCTATCTAATCTTGGATGCGCTAGATGAATGTCCGACAACTGATGGCCAGCGAGATACGCTCTTGGAATTCCTCCACGAAGTTTCTTCATGGCAATTAGACTGTTTACATGTCTTGGCGACGAGCAGACGAGAGCTTGATATTCAAGAGTCTCTTACCTCATCCCATGGAAAATCTTCACATTTTTTAAGTGTTCAAGGTTCGCATGTTGAACAAGATATCATGAAATATCTTGGTCATCGCCTCGAGCACCACACATTTCGATCATGGAAGCCTGCATTGAAACAGGACGTGAAAGAAGATCTGGTGAAGAAAGCGAATGGGATGCAAGTACATTCTTTCGAAAGTTGTAATCACGTGCTGACATTTGCACAGGTTCCGACTCGTCGCCCTTCAGCTCGATTATCTCAGCAGCATTAGAAACGAAGGTAAGATTCGAGAGGCTATGAATGCACTCCCGAGGAGTCGGGAAGCACTCTATAATCGGATGTTGCAGAGCATTACCGACGAAGACCAAGAATACGCTCAAAGAGCTTTTCAGTGGCTTGCGTTCTCTGCTCGTCCCATCACCTTGGAAGAGCTCGCAGAAGCAGCCATTATCAAGCCTTGCGCCGAACGCCCGGAGTTACTCGAGGAAACTCGATTTTTGGACCCTCAAGATCTGCTGCATATCATTCCATCTGGGCTAATCTCAGTAATCACGATAAATCCATATGACTTTGATAATTCTATGTCTGAAGAGGATATGATCAAGTACATAGACACTCTTTTTGGAGATAATGAATCCATGTCCGCCAGTGCCAACTATCCTTCTGGAAGCGACGACTTTCATTCTGGAGATGACAGCTCTGAATTTGTTTTTGAGGCGGGTGACCTAGAGGATCCAGAAATCAGATAGCTTGAGGAAACTTTTCGACGAACAACTAAAGATCGCAAAAGACCCCACAATCCATTCTACCCTAGAAGGATTGTGCAGTATGCTCATGCCTCTGTCCTCGACTATTTGCTGTCGTTTCAGATCTCGCAAAGCACCCAATTTCAATACTATATTACAGCAAACACGGCCCATCAAGATATCTCAGCAGTGTGCCTTGCATATCTAATGCTCGCAGGACAAAAATTAGACCTCCAGCACTTGTTTACCCCTGCGAGCACTTTTAACTTTCCACTCTTGACATACGCTGCACACTGCTGGACGTGGCATATGCAACAACTTGAGACGCAGATCCCTCCGAGATACATATTAAGTTGATGCTGGAGCTCATGCAAGAGAACTCCGCTGCATGGACGATATGGTCTGGCATTTCTTTCAACGACGCGCGTTATCATTCTGATGGACGATTCCAATGTCCAGTCGAGCCTTGGAATAGGAGGCCATACAATAGACTTGATACTCAGCCCGACACGGATGCTCCGCATCCTGTTACGTGGATGTCGGTCGCGGGGCTTCCTATGCTATTAGATCACTGTCTTCGAAGTCTCAAGCTTGATATAAATTCAATCGAGGGTACTCATTATCTCGGCAATCCTCTCTATGCTACAACTCGGGCGAAGCAGCTTCTATGTGTAGAAGTCCTCATCAAACATGGTGTAAGGTACAACCATGATTCGCGCAATCGCCATAATCCTCTAAGAGCCGCATTAGAATTCGGTCTCGAATTCGATGGTCTGTCTTTATCGGCGTTTAGAAGAGCCTGGGATGTGCCATTGATTCAAGCCTTGTTAACTGCGACTGTCTGCACAAATTATAGTGAATATTTAGACTACATGGATAGTATCCTAAGTAGTGGCGGACCCATTGAAGTTGTCGAACTATTCCTTGAACATGGAGTTGATCCAAATTCTTCTCTTATTAAGGCCTTCCGCAGCGAGAGAACGGATATTGTTAATATTGTTAGCTTACTAATAGAAGCTGGAGCAAATGTCAATGTCTCTGACAACGTCCATGAAAACCCTCTTCAGGAAGCAGTACTCGTATGGGAGAATTCTCATAAATTGATACGGGTTCTGATAAAGGCTGGAGCAGATGTCAATGCCACGAGCCGTGCAGAGACACGGACACCTCTATTGATCGCAGTATCATATCCATGCGAAGACGCCGCTGAAGCCCTCTTCGAGTCTGACATGCATGGACATGGCAATTGGAATCAAGCATATTCTCAATCTCAAGCTATAGTAGAAGACAAGCTTGAGGCTAAAGAGCAGTGCGAATATTGGGGCACAGCAATAGAAAGCGAAAGAGCGATTTCAATTCGAGATATGCTTCTGGACTATGCCAAAAAGCATGGAATACCGATACCAGAGTCTGAAACTTGGCCGGAAACGTACTGTAACAGGACTGCGGACAACGACGAGCAAGCCATCATTGAAGAATTGAACGTGCAAAGCGAGGCAGAAGAGGAGTCGGAATTTTGAGTATTATTTAGATTCCTCTCAAGTCTGAAGCAACCAAGCCAAGGAGCTCTCACGTTCTTTAAATCGTGGAGAAACGCGGTAGTTCTCAAGTTGAGACGTAACTTATTGCTTTTCTGCAAGGGGTAGGCTGCGTCAAGCACTTGATTGGCACATTGCGTGACATTGCATTGATGCATTCTTGGAGTATGTTTGGTGGAGAGACATTCATCCAACACTACGCGCCAACTTTTCGGGATCCTTTGATCACGATCATCAAAATGGAGGTCGAAACCATAGCCAAAGACGAAGAGGTGGTTGGACTCCTCAGCTACCATTCAGATGACGACCATGACAACAGTCTTACTGAAAAAACTCACCAGATATCTTTAATTATTCAAGTCCTTCTCTCCACCTGGGCAGTAATTTCTATACTCGTTCCCTCCTTTCTGCTTCCAGGAACACCAAAATCGAAGATACATAAAACATCTTACCTCGATGGTCTTCGAGGTGTCGCATCAGCAATCGTATATTTTCATCACTTCTCGATTGATTGTAAGCAGTGCGAGCATGTTTCCCAACTTTTCTCGATGCTCAAACCCCTATTCTCGTTTTATTGAACCGTCGCTGACATTTTACCAAATAGGCTACCCTTGGACCCAGTATCCTTATGGCTCATCACCCTCAGATTATCACATTATACAGTTACCTTATTTCAATTTCATCATACAAGCGAGGTCTATGGTGTGCATCTTTTTCGTCATTTCGGGCTTCGTTCTCACTAAGAAGGGGTTCACTTTAATGCGAAATGGAGAAGATGGACTTCTGTTCGGGTCCCTCTCATCTTCTGTCTTTCGCCGTGGGATGCGATTATATATACCGACTATCATATCCACTTTCGCATCGATGCTTATGACGAGGCAACATTGGTATTTTGAGCACCATTGGACCCCGAAGCTATTCCCAACCTTTTGGCAGCAGTTTGACGATTGGCTGTTTCAAACGAAGGTCATGACCTGCCCTTTTCAATATGTTGATGGTAATGATGTTTTCATGCCTGAGTATGACTCGCATCTCTGGACGATCCCGGTCGAGTTCCATGGATCAATGATAGTGTTTATGTCGATGATAGCTGCAGGAAAGATGCCGTACGGATCACGAATTGCAGCATTTGCAGGTTTTACCTGCTACTCATTGTGGGTTGGATTTTGGACGGTATTCCTCTTTCTGATGGGGGCCACACTGGCAGCGATCCATGTCTGGCAAACAAGTTCGAAGAATACTCCAAGCCACAATTTGGTGAGATTTCCTAGCCCGACGCAGGAGGATGCACCAGTACTTAATCAGAATGGACGACACGTCGGAAATATCAGATCTGCTCTCTCTTTTTACTGGTCGAAGTTCGCTGAACACCACATTGAAAGCGTCAAGTCGACTCTCTCTGCACACTCCTCACGAATCACATCTGTTACCTCATCATACTCCGAAAGATACTTTCAGATGATACCGAAGAGATTGTTGAGATTAATTGCCTTCATTAACATTAAAGGCATTATGGTGACAATGGGAGCTTTAATAGGGATGTATATTATCTGCTTTCCAATGGCTAGACAACTAGACCATCCCTGGGGTTACTCCACAATCATGTCATATACACCAGCGAACTTTTCACGACCAGATATACCAGAGAGATTTTGGAGGTCAATAGGCGCCGCCATTTTCGTCGCAACCATGACACAAAGTCCGATACTTCAAGCACCTTTTACTACTTCATTCGCACAATATCTTGGCAAGATATCCTACTCGCTTTACCTCATTCATGGACCACTCTTGTTTACTTTAGGGACTAAGATGTGGATGCAGGCGAGAGAGTTCGAGAATTGGGGGTCGGAAGACCAGAAACCCATTGATACCCATCGAACGACTATGTATCATGTCCGGTTCTGGTACACATTTTTAGTCCTGTCATTTATCCTCGTTTGGGCCTCGGATGTGTTTTGGAGACTAGTCGACGTCAAAAGTGTGCAATTCGCATCATGGCTAGAGAAGCAATGCCGGAAGAAGGAATAGTGAGGGTAATTATACAAGAGCATTGATTTGCAATAGCGATGAGCTGGTGAATCTTGAAGTACCAAAAGTTTCAGCGGCGTGTGGTCTAAGATGGCATCGGAGTTTTGACTTTACATTAATTTTCAAAGATCTTTCGTTTTCCAGACTTCGCATAAATATGGAACTATGGAACAATTGAATCGAGTGGCAATCGCATATTCATCTAATCTGAAAGAAAATTCGCTGCAAAACATGATCGCTTCTGGATTCAGCATTCAAGCAGTGCTTTAGCCATGCCAAGTCAACTTCTTGGGGAGCAGCCGACGAATACTATTAATGCATCACGGACCACTACGTGAAGACACCTTTAAGAAATGGGATGGTTATCCCCATCGCTGTGTCATGTCATGTACTCATAAGACTATTTCATCAATTCCCCGTAACGTTTCATCTTCGAGCTCGCATGATCAAGCGAAGTGAAAAGGGGTATTATCCGTTCGAATTTAAGTCTACACTCCAATATCTGGAGGCCCAAATGGCAATATAGGATTTATAATATATTTATGAGATCACACTTTCTTCTTCAACCATCCACCTCTTTTTCCCATCCACACCCACAAACTGCCCAAACGCATACCTCTTCCCCGCTCTGCCAATCCTCTTCTCCATCTCCTCACTACTCAACCTCTCACAACATTCAAAGTCCGCCAGAAAATGACTATCACACAGGTAACTCATCACTCCGGCTAAAGTATCAGGTTTCCTTGGCATGTCCTTCAATTTCAGCTTCCAAAACAAGAGTCCCACTACGACAAGAACCATTATGCCCAAAATGGCCATAGAGGTATACGCACAGATCAGGAGCTCGAGGTAGATTTCGTTTGGGGAGTAAGGTATTATGGCGAGGGTTATTGTAAGGATATCTGCGAGGAAGGTGGTGAATGCTATAAGTGCGGCGAAGAAGTGACCTCGGATGAGGGAGGTGTAGAGCACTAAAGGTGGGAGACTGTGTCGTTGGAAGAGGATGCTGGATTTTGCTGGCGCTGATGACTGTATGAGTCGGCGAAATGGTGTAAGGGTCTGTACTTCTGTCACGACTGTCAATTGTCTGTGCTCCGTAACCATAATCTCAACATCGAAGTAGTGAAATCCTGGCCGCGGAAGCGCTTTCTGAGAAGAGACGCGACGAAAAGGGTTCGGAAGCCACTTACTTCGTTCAATACCCTTCCAGTACATAGCTATTATGGTTCCCATCGACGACTGGTACTCTTAATCAATCACGTCTGCAAATATTTAGGCGCACTTACCATGAAGAAGCGAGGTCCAAACAAATTGCTGTTGAAAAAACGGTTGAAACCAGAATTGGACCCATCCAAGAAATACGCTACAACTACACCTAGCAGCCCAAAAATAAACGTCACAAAAACAATGTCGATGATAAAAGAAATTCGATGAGTCTTTTTTTCAGGCTTGATAGATTCTGTAGCAGGCTTCAAGGATATCTGTGTCCAGCCAGGGGAGTATGTCTGAGTAGCAGGAATGATACCATACCTCTGTACTCTATCTTGTCCCTGGTACATGCCCAGCTGATATCGTTTGTCACCTATGTGTGCTTTAAGACTTTTGGATGATATGTTGTCATTCATACTTCTGAAATCGTCAAGGACTTCGGGATGATGAAGTAAGCACGCGATAGAGGCAATAGAAGATGGGTTCGAGTAAACTCCCGTGGTACTCCGGTACACCATGAACATTATGGTAAGACTCATGATAGCGATGAAGGAGAGAAGACCTTGAAGAAGGCGAAGGACTGTCCCATCAGCGGAAAGTTTAGGAGGCCAACACATCTCGGAACCACATCCATAGTGCAAGTCGAGGAACAAAACCTCAGATGCTAGCGGTGCCAAGAGTCCGACTACTAGATACGCCGAGGAGGTCCAGAACATAAGCCATCGTCCTTTGAAAAGTGCCATGATTGGATCAGGTGTCAAGTTGCTGGAGAGATAAAAGGTGTGGAGCACATCACTAGCGAGAGCACCATCTGGATGTGATAGTTGAATGAAAGGCTCTAGAAGCTTGACGTTCGCATAAAGAGATGTCCAGAAGATTTTGACGAAGATTGCTAGGAGCAGAGGTAAGTATCCTGCTACAAATACCCACCAGAGTGGCCAGGTGATCAAGACAGTCTGAAATTTCGAGTTATTATCCTGGGTGGAATCTGGACTTGGTTGGAGCGTTTCCACTGACGTGTACGGTACGGTGGCTGTCTGAGCGTATCCGGCAGAGTTGGTTGTGATTACTGTCGAGAGGCCTGTCTGCGTGATAATTTGCTGTGTTTGTGTAATTGTGTATGTATTAAGAATGGTGTTTACTTGACCCACAGCATCAGTGCTGAGAGAAGTAGAGACAAGAACTTTGGTAGCAGTAGCAAGGTATGCATTTGTTGAAGCAACTCCTGTAGAGTAGCTATTGGTAGTGACATATGCCCCGGGATTGGTTGAGAAGAAGGTTTCGGTCAGCCAATTGGGCGAATTGATCGTGCCGGGACTGATTGACTGGGGACTTTCGGTCAGTGTGCTGGTAGTTGGTACGTAAGCACTTGGAATTGTGGCTGACGTATACGCTGTCGAAGTGGAGACGCTGCTGATAGCCAGATATTCGCCTGGCATAGTAGTTGCTGTCTCTACTGGCGTTGTTGATGCAGACGATGGCATTGAAGTAGGCGGAGTTGTAATTGCCGGAGATGTGCTTGGCGAAACGGTGCGAGCCGCAAGATTTAGTCTCCATGGTCGTTCGAAGGGCTTTGCGGATGCAAATAAACCATTATCACCTGACATAACATTCGTGAGTATAGTCGGGAATGTGCTCGCTGCGGACACTTCAAGCACTTCGAAGCTGCTCTGGGTATCCTGACGTCTTTGCAGCAGGTTACTGAGCTTGGAAATTTCCGGAACATGTATTCTGTTCTCGACAAGGGGTAGAGTCCGTGCAGCATATTCCAGGATCGCAATGAGCGCGAGGCATATTGCAAATATGAAGAGTAGACCGGGTGCTCGGAGAATGAATGGCTTGTAAAATCGAGGAGGAACACTGGTTAAAGCAGCTACGCACACATTAGCTTGAGCGCAATAATCGACGAGAAGAGAAACAGAGGTGTTGACAGGTAATTGCTGAAGCAAGTACGGCGTTTGTCATCTCGAGCGCGCCCAAAATTTGAAATCCAGATGAGTCAAGCTTACATGAAGATGCACCCTGTTGGGACATTTTGCCAGATCGATATTGTGATGTACTTCACAAAGCCGACATTTGACTTTTTTCAGTGGTGGGGATTAGGTAGCTTCTATGTCTGAAAATCGACATCTCATGGTGTGGTGCTGGCTCGACTCCTCAGCCTCAACTGCCTCCACATGAGGAAAAGACATGTCTGGGAAATAAGCCTGGACAAGCATATGCAGGGGATCGAAAATAGAAGCACAGCAATTGCTTGATTGGGTATAAAGTGATGTTGTTTTTCTTGGCGCAAACACGGCTTGGGGGCCAGGCTTTCGAAATCTCGATGTTTCACGCACTGAGGCTGAGGAATGGCTCAATAGCCCAAAAGTTTATTCTGTACTTGGATCAAATCGCGGCACACGTGTCAAGAACGGCTGCACTTTGCAGACCGATATTTCATGGCTAGGCTATGCTTAGCAATGAGTAACAACACTCAGAATTAAGAGATAAAACAATCGACACTCCAACAAGAACGCCCAATGCTTGAGAAATTATTATCAAGTGCTTCTCTGTGAGCGGAGCAGCATTAAGTCCTCTGCTTCAACGCCAATTTCTGATCGATTCCCTTTGAATGCAAGCAGCTTCTACTGGTCAGAGAAGATTGAAGCTCCCAAGTGGTTAATGGGAAGTCAGGTGCTTACTGCAGATCATGTGACACATGTATCGTGACGTCTTGAGCTGATCCTTCAGGCAGGGTAGGCAACAAGTCGAGCTGAAGACTAGTAAAAGGATCTTATATTTCGCTTTTCCTCAACTGACTCCGTAAGTCTATGAGTATTCTTTATGCTGCAAAATGGGATACAGTGAAAATTGCTGTCAATTATGCGCCGTCTCGATAAATGTCGCCCGCCTTCGCACCAAGAATGAGCCCCAGTCGGCTGGATGGGGATACTCGAGTGGAGAGTACTACTCCGGCGATGCAATGGGTGCCCGATGTACAACCTTTGCAGAGCGAAGTGGGTGCGAGAATATTCCTCACGAAACAGCGGAATGGATACATCTACCTGGACGATGGTGTGTTTTCGAGGGTGGGTATAATGGATGGAAGATCGGAGCTGAGGAGATGAAGGGTATGAATCTTCCACGATATATTATGAGGAGACCGAAGGATGCGGATTTTGATGGCGAGGGAGCGGATTATGAAGAGGAGTCGGATTACTTTCTTACATCGCAGACTACGTGCCCTCCGGATGATTTCGAACCGGGAGAACTGGAGCACGTGCGTTACGGTATCGATAACTTCTTTCCTCAGAACTATGCTGTTTTGAGCAGTGATGATGACATGGACGTCGGTGTTCCAGTCCATGATTCTTGTTGGAAGATCTTTGAACGTATTTGCAAGATGAGGTTGGGTAAAGTTGATCTCCAAGGTTTCATGTTGTTGTGGTTTGTGAGTGTCAGAAATTGAAAATCGAGGAGTGAGTGCTGACGTACCATACCAGAGACAAGCCTGTGGGAATTGTGGCTTTCAAAACATGAAGCAGGAACCTGTTATAAGAGAATGTAGGGAGCAGTTTTGGTGCCACTTGCCTGGGACTGAGGTTTGTTTCTGCCTGTCACTCTGAACGGCAGTACTGACACATACAGTATTTGGGTGCCAATCCTCATGACATACCTGGCCTGCTACTCGGAGTCTCAGACCAGTACAGATCTTACCCCAACGGCGATAACGTATTTCAGGCTCACCAACCAGGAATTGGGGATCCATCAGTTTACGAAAGCCAAACAGATCCGTTTTCAAAACTTCCAGCTGAGCTCAAGAACATAGTTCTATCCTATCTTTCATCCCAGGATATAGCTAGACTTCGTCTAGCTTCGCGATCCTTTCGACAACTGCCGAAACAGCTTTTCCTGCGTCTCTTACAGGATGAGTTACCATGGTTCTGGGAATTCGACGAATTGAAACAGCTGGACGATGACTGGTGGAAAGAGTGGTTCAAAAATGACGACCCTGAGAAACAACACGAGGAACATGCGAACAGAATCAGGAAAAGTAGGGAAGGCAATTTCACCGAAGATGTGAATTGGCTTATGGTGTACAAGCAGCTTTGCGTGTTGAAGAAAGGTGTTCTCGGAGTGAGAAACAGAGCGAGAATTTGGTACATGGTGGAAGAGGTAGTGCGAAGAATTGCAGAGCTGAGGGAGAGACTTTCTGATGATTCTGGTTATGATCTCAGAGGTCGTGAGACCTTTCCCGTTGAGCCAACAGAAGATGAGGTCGAAGCGGGACTGGTCAAGAATGATCTTTACTGTCCAAGGTGCCAGGTCTTCCAAATTCAGAGGGAAAATCCAACTTAGATGGGTTCTGGAAATTAGATATAGCATAGAATACCAAACGATCGATCAATCTTGCTGATGAACGTGGACGGAATAGTATCGCGTGTGTCTTTAAGGGTGCTGCTGCCTTGAATTCGAGGCCGCTAATTTATATAGCTTCTCAGATTCTCGAATCTGGCAACACGAAACCCCGCCAAACTTCATACCATTCCACCACAACCACATACCGACAAGATGGCTCCCTCCATGGATATGACAGCCGTGATCGCGATCATCATCCTCAACTCAGAAGACGGGTCCCGCATCTACGAGAAATACTACAACGTCCCCCACCGCAATCCCCACGGAGCCAGTACATCTCTCCTCCCTCCCTGCATACATATCCACCAGCTAACAATACCCCCAGCCGTGCGCTCACAAGCCTATCCCGACGTCAAGTCCCAAAAAGCTTTCGAAAAGGGCCTCCACGAAAAGACCGCCAAGCAAACCTCCGATGTCATCCTCTACGACAACAAAATCGTGCTCTACAAATCCGAAAGCGACGTGATGATGTACGTCGTTGCAGGCCTGGAGGAGAACGAGATTATGCTCTATAATGTGATCTTGAGTTTGAGGGATAGTTTACATTTATTGTTCAAGTATGCGCCTATCACTTCTCGGTACAATCTGCCCCTCTTCCTCCCCCTCCCTTTTTCAGGAAGAGGATCATCTTGCAGGGCAGGGCTGACGGGAGATGAATAGGCAATCGGTAGACAAGCGTACGATTATCGAGAATTACGATCTGGTTGCTCTCGCCATTGACGAAATTGTGGACGATGGTGTTATTTTGGAGACGGACCCGACGATCATTGTGCAAAGAGTTAGCAAGGCGCCCACACAGGATGTTACGCAATTGAAGGGCATTGATTTGAGTGAGCAAGGCATGAATAATTTAGCACAGTTTGGAAAGGCGAAGTTGGGTGATTGGTTGAGACAAGGTCTATGAACTGGGTGGTATTCTTGCTCTGGAGAGATTGGTCCTGTGGCAGACCGATATCTAGGCGGTGACTTGAGGAAAGGCAGCTCATAGAGTCTCAGGAGTCTATATCAGAGTCCATAGAGTGGCTACGGGGCGAAGTCATAGGTGACATACGAAAAGCTTGGGAGTAGACTGGAGTTCTGGTGCAGCATTTCCTGGCGCGGAAAGCTCGATCTGAATTTAACTGAAGCATTGCAATCTGCAATAGCTGGTATCTATTCTATTACTTCTCGATGACAGTTGCTGCCTTGCGAAGCCTATTCATAACTGCAGCAGCAATGTCTCCTTCGTCCTCTATACCCTCGACATATATAACATCTACAGCCTTCTGATCCAATTCTCGAAGTGCAGAGAAAAGCCCGTGAGCGATGTCCTTCGTCCCCTTGCCAAGCGAAATTTCAATGATGTTTGCAACTCTCTCCTTTTCGGGCAGGTCCCAGCTGTCAGGAATTTCACCTTCACCATGTGGAGAGGATTCAGTCGCCGCATTCCCTTGCCAGAGTTCCCCTTGCTGTATCTTGTACGAATTTGTAGAATCCAGTGGTCGGACGTTTAGGACTTTTGTGCAGATGTTCTTGGAACGGTCTTCCCGGCTCCATTTGGCATTGTGAAATCCTGCCCACTCAGACCAGTTCTTCGTACACACGATACCAATTGTTGCTGGTCGGCCAAGATTTTCGTACCCAAGGTGAGATATCCGTCTGTGTTTTGCCTCGATGATTTTCCACACTTCCAGCGGAATTCCTGCTTTGAAATCTTTGAGCGCACCAGATTCGTAGAGGACAACCTTAGCCTTGGGACTGTAGTGCTTGTATTTCATCCCAGGAGCCCTTGGTGCGCTAGCACCTATCTCGCTTTGGTCCTTGTAACCTTTCACCACCCCAGACCAACCCTCACATTCGCGGATATCGTCAATACTCACACCTCCTGGTCTGAGCACGACTGGAGGATCGCATAGTCCGTCGACCACCGTACTTTCGACCCCAACTTGACATGGGCCACCGTCCAATATGATCTCTATTCTTCCCTTCATGTCGTGCAAGACATGCTCGGCGGTCGTAGGAGATGGCTTGGTAGAAGCATTTGCTGAGGGAGCAGCAAGAGGAACTCCAGCGATGTAGATGAGTGACAGTGCTAGAGGCGATTCTGGCATTCGTGCACCGAATGTTGTTAACCCGGCTGTGACCTCTGGAGCGAGTTTGCTTTGCTTCGGGTTTGGAAGCAGGATTGTCAAAGGTCCTGGCCAGAATCGTTTGATCAGAGGTTTGTATATAGCAGGTATCGGATCTCTATGTGCCCCGTTACCATTGATCTGATCAGATGGGTGGATGAGGTCTCGTAGCATAGTAAGGTCGCAAACGTGTATGATGAGTGGATTGTCTGATGGGCGACCCTTCGCTTTGTAGATTCCTTTGACCGCATCACTTCTCGTTGCATCTGCCCCAAGTCCGTACACGGTCTCCGTTGGAAACCCTACTGGTATACTGGTTTCTCGGAGGTGCTTTGCAGCTATCTGCAAGGGCTCAAGAACCGCCGAAACGTTTGGCAACGTCCACGTTTCGAGGGTCTCGCGGTCTTCGAATTTGCCCATATTACTCGTATCAACAGGGAGGACGCGAGTGTTCAAAGACGACTCGGTATCCACACTACTGACAGCCATCGTGGAATAGTCGTGGGAAGTCAAGTATCGTAGAGGTTTGCAGTGTGTAAATTCGAAAGCCAATCCAGACCAGTGTAAAATTCACCGTGGTATTCTTCGACTCCGGCGCTTGAATGAACCTGTAAAAAGTATGTGAAAGCTGTTGGACATGCTTATTGTTCCAAGGAGTATGTTGTGTAGTATTTCAATACATTTGTAGAAAATGGTCGTTGTGTGTGAAGCGTTTGTTATGGAGATGCGATGACTCAAGTCGAGATAAAAATTTAAGAAGGCTGAGAAGATCATTTACGGTAACCTTAGCGCGAGGCTGACATTTTTAGCTCCACCACCACATCTTTCGATTCCGAGGCCTTCAATGCCAGAAACAAAATATGTTTCTCAACTAGTTGCGTGATTCAGAACATATTTGGAACTTAAACAAGGCCACAATGGCAATACCTCGAGTTTGTTGATGTCATGAGCGACCATGGCCCTGTTTTCTAAGCTACCTATCGACTGCGATTCCACTGGATCTTCTCAGCCATGGATCGACACTAATTTGATCATGATACACGCTTTGTGCACGCTGCATTGACGAGTCTTGAGGAGGGTCGTTCCGAGGCTCTCGATGACATATCACGACAGGATAGTTCTGTTGAGAGAACTCTACATACAGCGAAACCTAATATAATCGATACTCAAGTTGGAGTCGCATGAACGAAACACATGGCAGCGTTCAAATTTCCACGATTTTTCTAAGCTTATGAAGCTTCTGGTAATCTTGGCTGTCTAGTGTATGATCACCTTAGTACCAGTCACTTCTTTGACCCTTTCTTCTCTGAAGCCAAAGCTTGCACCGCGTCTTCCAATGTAAGCTTAGTTTCCCCATCGTATACTCTGAGCTCTTCTCTTGCAATTTTCGCTTCTTCCATGATTGCGTGTTTGATCTTGTCTGATCGTGGTGTGAATCGTGCTCTGAATGGTTCTGGTCTCATGTTCTCACAATCGGTATAGGCAAAGATATCAAGTTTGACCTCATTACCCTATCCTAGTCAGCCACTTGTTGTTTAACATCAGAATGATACTCACATGCTCATCTAGACTAGGCTTGATGTTAAAAGCCCATATTAATCTTGTCAAAGAGTAAAGTAATCCTTGCTCCGCCAAGGGTTGACCGCTGCATTGTCGTCTGCCCCAACCAAATGGATTCATGCCTTTGTTGTTGGGGTAAGCTTGCTCCAGACCGTTAAGGAATCTCTCAGGCCTGAAGTTATCAGGTTCTGGGAATTCTCTTGGGTGTCGATGTATAGCCCAGATGTTACCTAGAATGTTGGTTCCAGCTGGGAAGCGGTATCCACGGTACTCGAAGTCGACAGTGTTGGCATGAGGAATACCTGCTAGAACAGTGACTGTCCTCCATCGTAGTACCTCCTTGACCAAAGCGGTACAGTAAGGCAATTTACCATCAACATCTTCCCAGGTAGGAGAGGTGTTGTCACCCACGACGGAATCGATTTCAGCTTGTGCCTTTCTCTGTACGTCCGGAAAGACGGCCATCGCGAGAATGCAGCTGATCATGGTGCTTGAAGTTGTATCAACCCGGCCACCAATCAGATTCGCTGTCAGCCCCGCAACTTCAACATCGCTCAAGCCGTATGTCTCCTGGCCGTTTAGCAGAACCTTGGAAAAGTTGTTCCATTTTGATTCTGCGCCTTCCTGAACAATGAAATTTCCAAGTCAGTATGCTTCTCTAAGATGGTAAGGTGGTAACTCGAGAGTTATTCGCCCTAATAAGAATACGAGACAACCTGCGTATGTCTTTTCAGGCCCGTGGAAGTCACGTACTTGAGATAGCATATAGAAATACTGCTGAAGCACTGTTGTTGTGTCTCGAATCATGCTTGGTAAGGCGTACACCCATGAGGGTAGTTTCGTCAAAGCTGGCACAGCTTCCATCAGAAACTTCCCCGGGATGACAAAGTTCACCCCTTCCATGATCGCAAGTGCTTGCTGGGCGACATAGTCGTTCTTTGTGTCAATTCGGCGACCCCATCCAATGATCGATGTTGTCGAGACAGAGTATCTCTCGATGGACAAGACATAATCTTCAGGATCTTGAAGGATGTCTCGAATCAGTAACTTGGACTCGTTGGCTTGGATGCTTCGAAGGTTGCGAACTGCTTGAGAGCCCACAGCAGAATGCTATCATACTCTGATCAGCGTCAAAGCCCTTCATATGATTCATATTTACGCACCATTAGTTTTCTGTGTATTCTCCACCTATCACCATAAACTAGCGTTGTCTGATTCGTTTCTGTTGCATTGATCAAGTCACCCATAACAATCAAATGTGGCCTCGAACTCACACATCAGCTCTCTTCTCCATCAGCTCGGATGCTACCCACGCATCCTGCAAAATGATTCGAGGATGTCGGCCCACCCAGATCGTGGTCATAGGATTATTGTAGTACTTCGCCCATTGTTCCTATTCTATCCAAGGTCTAGTTTTTGGAAGCTGGAAATGATTCCCAACGATCGGGAATGGAAAAGGTCCAGGTGGAAGTTTGCGGCGGAGGATGAGCATGCGGCTGTAGTCGACTAGTATGAGAAGACATGATATGAAAAGAAAGCCGAAGAAGAGACTGGGTATTCGGTTAAGAACTTGAGTAGTCAACGATGAGATATCCATGATTTTTCTTTTGTGAATTGAAATGAAGATCCCATGTCCAGAGTATGATGCTTTGTACTCTTAGATTTATTCATAGAGCATGGGGCTCTCTAAGACACTAGATCGCAAATTGTTGATGCTGCCAAGTCCCTGGAGTAAGCTCACGACCCCACCTTCTGCAATGTGGGGTCGTGCCCACACTCACTACACGTCTCTATCTACACCAGAAGATTCTGAAACTATGCTTGTGTTGGAGCTTTCATGAGTCGTGGTGGTTGCGGGGTAGCCGAAGTTAGCCGATAAATCCTCTGCAGTGACCACTAGTACTGTAACAAATACAAATGCTCAAATTCGAATGGCATGGGGCTGTATCATTGTAGTCCCAGTGGGTTGCGGCTCTTGGATTTCTTTCTGAGCACTGTACTTGCAGTGCTGAGATTAAGCCACAGTTCAACTTCCTGCCGTTTCACAAGTTCTGTTCTCGAGCATTTCGACAGACTTGGAGATCAATGTCATAGTTCTTAATGAAACAGGTTTGCGCCATCTCCAGATCAATAACTAATTGACATTTCCAAAACATAGAAGAAGAAAGTCATTTTGACGTAGGCCGAATAGTCTCTACTCGGAGACTCTGTCATCTCATATGTATTCGTTGACTTCATCATAAGCATCTTCCTCGAAGTCTTCTTCTTCTTTCAAGTATCCTTCATCCGAGTCCTGGTAATTGCCGTCATTGGTGTGCTTTCTCTTGATCGCGGGCCACGCCATTAGGTCTGGCCACGTTCTGATGTCGTCCGAGTGGTACGGACCATTCTCGGGCTCTGAAATGTCTGCAGCACGACCTCGTTTCACAACTACCAATACTTCTCTCTTGGTCTGGTCATCACCCACAAGCTGTGCATCTTCTTGTACCCCTAAGTTCCCCAGCGAAGCAATACTTCGGTTCAGAGGACGACAATTCTTCTCATTCAAGGGTGCTCCAACTACCTTTTCCTCGGTCGCTTGGTGTATGGTGACATTTGCTTGGGAATCGATGCCGTCGCGCGATAACAACATATTCTCCAAGTATCGGGCTGGGGCTCTCCCCAGTAGCGATCACCCTTAAGGATCTGATCGCCCTTGAATTGAAGTACGGTTGAGTCTTTGGAGATGTATCGCAACTCTTTCCATCCGTTTCCATGTGAAATTAAGCCGTTCAGATTATCGCAATCTATATAGCCATCCCATGAACCAAGAACCGTAAGAGTGTCTAGTTGCAAGCTGGGAAGTAACTTGAGTGCCCATACAAGTCTGTCATGGACACCGTGGTCCTCGTGGAATATCAGGACCAGAGGGTATCCTCTGGTACGGACATGTCGGATTTGTGATACGGTATTCGAAGGAATGGATGAGAACTTGTCTAGAAGGCTTTCGACTCGTTCGAAGTTGAATAAGACTCGTCCAAGGCAGACATATTTGGTTTCCTCGAAGATTTGGCGGCAGACGTGAAGCAGAGCTAGGAAATGCGTCGCTGGCTTGATGCTTTTATGGTTATGTCGGCTGATAGGCCTTTGACCAAATGTTACTCGAGTCGACGTAAATACAGAGTCGTAAACCTTGTCGCGAAGCTCTTGAGGGAGCTGGTTGCGGGGCAAACGCAAATCTCGGACCATTGTTTTTCATTGCTAGCGTGCATGCATTCCCCTCGTTCTTCATCTCGAAGTACATTATGGAAAACTCAGGCGACGGACATTCGCAATCTTAGTGTATAATTGGTCTTGTGCATAAGGTAAGATATGAGCCCAAGCGGGGCATAAACGCCCGTGTGGTTTGGATGGCAGCCTACCACGTGACCACTCTAGGATCCGCTGCACCTCATGCTTTCCAAATTTATTCTGATGTTTTGGAATATCCTATCAAAGTATCTGCATTGCTTCCATTCTTATCCAACTTCGCTTATGCAGACCTCCACTCCTACCTTCAGCGCAAGATGATAGTGTAGGCCTAGGAAAGTGAACTCGATTCTCGAGTCCAAAAGCAAAACCGCGCAAAAACGAGCGCCTTAGCTATCACAGGTGGCTTCTTTTTGGATGGTGTTCCAGGATCATTGCAGTTTTCGATTCCTTGCAACCCAAAAGCCATTGCAGGATGGCAGAAGGAAAGACATTAGTGCAAAGTTGTGATAAGGCTGAGGAATGTCGCAAGCTTCAAAGCCCTATCTCCAACGACTTCTATTTCTACTTCAAGCTTCAAGAGCGTGGCTGGTTTAGGCTTCTCGTCATGGAGCCCTCTCTTGATCCACAGTACCGGATCTCTTGCAGTCTCCTTCATCGATGCATCAATGAGAACGCGGATTTTGAAGCCTTGTCCTACGTTTGGGGCACCGACAAGGCTATCGTTCCGATCCTCGTCGACGGTGCAGTGCTTCACATACGATCAAATCTATATCTTGCTTTGAGAGCCCTTCGCTTGCCTGATAGACCTCGCATTTTATGGGTTGATGCACTTTGTATCAACCAATCCGATGCTTTGGAACGTAACAGTCAAGTCTCGCAAATGGCAGCGATTTACTCTGGTTGCCATCAAGTCATTGTATGGCTGGGAGAAAGCAATGAATACGCGGATCGTGGTATCGACTTCCTTGGAAAGATGTGTGTGAAGGCTAAATCAATAGAGAAACGGGTTCTCAAGGAGAGCGAGGACCGCCATCAGCTGTACAAAGAATGGCTTGATCTCTACCTCTCAATGCTTTCTTTACCTGAATCAAATGAATGTTTCAAGGGCATATTCTATATGTTCTGTGGCGATTGGTGGAAGAGGGTTTGGACACTTCAAGAGATCGCTCTTGCCCAAACAGCAGTGGTTCAAGTAGGAAAGAGATGCTTTCCCTGGGAACACCTCGAGATGTTATCTTTACTCGCCACTGTATGCGCCGTCCATACGTCCAAGCAGAATCAGGCAGTTTACACGGATATATCTTCTCGTATTCAAGTCAGTGGAGCACAAATATTTGTCATGGCAGACACAATCAGGATTATCCGGATGAGACGACAAGAAAACATCGAAATACCGTTATCCTTAATGGTTCAATATGCCTTGACCCGCTTTGCAACAGATCCTAGAGATAAAATCTTTGCCATACTCGGATTGGTCAACTGTGGACCGACCATCAGCCCTGATTACAATCTTAGCTGCAGAAAGGTGTATATCTCGGCGTTGGTGGCAATGTTAGAGTACTTTGGAGACCTCCGGGCTTATAATTTCCTTCAGATCAATTATTTCCATGCGCAGGAAATGCCTTCCTGGGTTCCAGATTTCAAGTATTTGACCACGAACAACAACATAAGTAGCATGTCTTTCATCCAAGGCAGTTCACCCAATGATCCTGTTGATTCTCAGGCAACTAATGTTCTGTATGGTGCAGCTTCTTTGCAGCAAGGAAAAATCATTAAATCCAGACTAAGTTTTGAGGAGAATGGAGATATTTTAGTTCTCAAAGGAGTATCGGTGGATAAGATTAGCGTTGTTGGCCCTCCAGCTCGAGATCGGGTAGAAACTCTAAGCTCTATAGGACACAGCTCACTCGGTAGCACTATCATTTTGTGGAAGGCACTCGTTTCGGACAGTGACGGTAGCTACATAGCACGCGGGTCGCGCAAAGAGGCTTTCTGGAGAACAGTGGCTCTTGACTGTAAAGTCATCAACTACCACAAAGGACTCACACTACAGGACAATCCTCGTGACAGAAGACGGAGGCTAGATAAGCTTGACGACCTTATCCCTCCCTCCAATCCAAAGTCAGAAACAAGACTCTTGCAAGCTTTGAACGAACAAGCCGTTGTGGGAGAAGGTGCGCAATGCGGCCGAGGCTTCTTCACTACCGAAACAGGTTATATGGGAATGGGACCACCTAATGTGCAACTTGGAGATATCGTCTGTGTGCTATTTGGCGGCGAGGTACCATTTGTGTTGAGACCCAGTGAGAATGGAATGTACAAGATGATTGGTCAATGGTTAGTCTGTTTATTTGCCCTTCATCATTGACTTGAGAGATGCTGATTTGACAGCTATTTGCATGGCGTCATGGATGGAGAAGTGATTCAAGGTGTCTCGAGAGGGGATTTCTACTATACCTATTTTGCCATTGATTAGCTGTATCTACCAGTCATTACGTGCAACGCATACGGATATGGTCAAGTTCATTTTCTGCGAGGTCAACATGCCTCGATCTCTTTTTTTCTCGCTTATTTGACTAATGTTTTTGGGGGGAAATTGCAAAAATCGTTGCCCGGATACCAGCCGGAGTATCCTGGTAGTATCTAGGTGGGACAAACAGATTCAGTATATCACAAGAAGTAGCTGAGTACATCTTCGCAGGAAACAAGAGCTTAATGGATTGTTTTCGGACTCAACCATAGTTGGCCTACTAATTATCTACTACTCTCTCTGTTTTCACTGGCAAGAAAATACTTATTTCGTTTTATATTTCTCCACGATCACAGAGTTCAAAGACATATGATACTTACACTCTGTTTGGCAAACGTTGAAAGTTCCGCAAACTTTTTAATGCCTTTGTTTGGCCTTTGCACCACATCAAACGCCTAAACCCCAAGGTCTTTATGTGACTGTGTTTGATCTTGAGTCATACTTGTTTCTGAATCACTGGCAAAGTGAATCTTTCTCTCACTTGAAGTCCTAGAAAGTCAAGATTCCAAATTCTCTTCGCAGAAACTATGAAAACTCGCCAGAATATTTCCTTGCCTGGGTGGTCACATTCCTGACAACATTCCAATCTACATTGCACATAACGAGGCACTACACCACATCAAGACAATACTTACTCAACCACTCTTCATCACACAGTACCCCAGAGCCGCAAAACCTCATCAGCATGGAAAGCGCCTTGAAGAAAGCTCCACGACTCCGAACCCTCCTCACAAAATACTTCCCCCACTACCAGCTCCTCATGCTCCTGATCCTCACCACCACCCTCCATCTCTCTACTACCAGTAAGTCCCCCCTCTCACTCTTCCTTCCACTCTTCCTCTCACCTTCCTCCCTGCCAGACTAATAACCCCCCAGCATCCCACCTTCCTCCCCTCACCAAACGCTGGGGCCACCCCACAACCGAAAAGTGCTCCCGCCAAGAACGCACCGCGACGCTCCTCGCACTAATCTTGGGTAGTTTGGGCGTTGATCAGTTTTATGCGCATCACTGGGTGTTGGCGGTGTTTAAGATGTTGACGGGTGGGGCGATGGGGATTTGGTCGCTGGTTGATGTGATATTATGGATTGTGGGGGGTGTGTATGGGACGCCGGGGTGTGAGGGTGGGTATGGGGGGTAGAGTGGGGGTGGGGTTGGATGTTTGAATGGGTGTGAAATGGCATGGATTTTGCTATAAGCGGAAGGGGTAGTGGTGACTTTGAGGATTTGGAGATTTGGAGATACCTTTGGTGATGGTGGTGGTGGTCTTTATATGCCTCAATCCTCTACTTTTTTCATGTTGATCATAACTTCTATGTATCGTCTATCTACTTCAATCCATACGCTTATAACGCTTTATCAGCTCTCTGACTCGTTCAAGAATCCTGTTTCTATTTTTTTGCGCTCTATTCTTTCGACAACCGTGCTGGAACAGCAACTACATTACCCTTTTCACCAGAACCACCACTCGAGACTTCATCTTCCGATGCGCTCCTCCCTGTTTGCTCCGCGCGTGGCTTCTTCCGCAAGGCATTGAAAATAGCAACAATTTGCCGCCGTCCATCAATGATCGGGAAGAACCCCGCAACGAAGAGCGTTGCCCACAGCCAAATAATAGCTATCACAAGCCAAGCGGAGTAGAACTGCGAGCAAACCGATTCTTAGAAACCGTTTTTGCGTTATAGAGATCATGGGTAGACTTACATTCTTCGAAAAAGTAAACCTCGCAGCATACATCGGCAGCGGCCAAAGAACCCAATGTCCCAGAAAAGTAGCAGCACTCCAAATAGCAGCAATCAATGTCCATCTCCGCATATACGGCAGCCATCTAGGATCCGTTCTTGAAGTAGGCTCATCGTCTTCGGATACGGATACCGTTGTATATTCCTGCTCCACCACTTCCGAAGATGAATCTCCAAACGCCAATTTCTCTTTCAAGAAGTCGTTCCAGTCAAAGTTTTGAGGCTTGATGATCGTGATCAAGACCGAGTATGGAAGAGGAGAGAATGTAGACGCGAGACAGCCGTACATACAAGGAAGCAGTTCGCCGGTACTGGCGATGGATACAGATCCGTATAATGCTTTTGCGCTGCCGAGCCAGACGGCGAGCCCAGTTGCCATGCCAAGGAGAGGGGCGATGATTGCTGCGGGACGACTTTGTTGGTTCCATAGGATGGTGAATACTGTCGGGAAGATGCCTGGACATGTGACGACTCCTATTCTAGGTATGAGCATTATATATGTAGAGAAGTTGGAGTTGGGAGTCTACCAAGCATGTATAAAGTCCAACCAAGATCAACGCCGACGTAATGTAATATGGTGCTAAACGCAGCAGCAACGATACCAAAGATGATAACACCGTAGTGACTCCAACGAATGACATCTCTGTCCGAAGCATGGCGATTGAAGTACTGCCTGTAGATATCAAAACTAACGATAGACGAAACGGCAATGATCTGAGCAGACAATGTCGAAGTAACAGCCATAAACGTGATCAACAGAACAGCGATTGCTCCACCTTTGCCAGCAATCGCAATAGCAGCATAAGGCAACACCAAGCCCGCACTAACTTCTTGCGATGACATGGCTCTAGGATAAGTTGGCCAGATGGGCTGATCTTGAATTCCCCATGCGACGCTGGACATTAATGTTCCTAATGCCCAGGGAATCGCGAAGTATGCGATGCCACCGATCACGTAGCCGGGAACTACAGCTCTGGGTGAAGCTGCGAAGGCTTTGACGAAGAAGCCGGTATCCATGATTACCAAGCCGAAGTTGGTGGTGATATGGATGATACCGAAGAAAATCCCGCTTGGAGAGGTCATCGTCATGTATGTTCCATCATGATTCCCGGATATTGGGGTCTTTGCAGATGCCGCGAGGACAAGCTCGTAGAGATTGCCGATTGATCCGATTTCAGGGACAGTAAAAGCTTTTACTGTGAAGAAGCAGCAGATGATGAGGATCGTGAAGGTGTGGATGTAGTCAGTCAGAAACCTGTTTACTATTAGCTCATTTATTCTGAGGTGTACTCCCGGGTCCATACGTTGCTTTAATCCCACCAACAAAAGTATAAACCACGACTCCAACGGGCAGTAGAAACGTTGCTGCTATAATATGCATCCCCGTAAGTGCCGAGATTGCCGCCGAAGCTCCAAGAAGCATGTTCGCAACAGCAAATAGATTGTTCACCAGACATAAAAACATAAACACCAAATGCGCTACCGCTCCTAAGCTTCCAATTAGCCAATATTCTGGTCATGAGAATGACTCCGTACCATATCTTATCCTAACAATCTCAAGAAGTGTATGCGCCTCGGGGATCTTCAACTTGCAGGAGATTCCAAGTAAGGAGAAGAAAACGATCATGGGGCTGCAGCCAGCGGCGAACCAGAAGGGACCGGAGATTCCATAATCGTAGCCTACAAGTGAGGAGCCGAGCATGGCGGTACTCCAGAGCCAGGACTGAGTTGTTGTTAGATGGTACCTGAGACTGAGTGAGGTACACTTACTGATATCACAGCTGAAGCAGTCAATCCTGTCCGCACGCTCCGGTTTGCTGTCATGAACCTAAATCTCATCAATTACTGTTGCTTCCTTTAGATACCATAGAATGTTACATTTCAGTCTTAGAATTATCTTCTCCCGCAGTTCTCTTCAACACCTTCGTAACGAACACCATCGCTTCGTCAAAATCAGTCAATTCTCTTGTCTCAAGCTGAGATAAGTAAAACATACCAAAGGCAAATACGAGTCCAACTACAATAACAACAACATAACCTCCAGCTTCAGAAAGCGGAGGAGTGATACTCGTAGCATCATCTCGTTTGAAGACCGACATTGTTACAACAGTTTAAAATTCCGATCAAGGTACCAATATTTTTTCACCTCCAAAAGAACGGGATATACCACCCCTATCTACCTTCCCCTCCGTCGTTCCCCCGTCCCCACGAAGGGAATTCCCCATCCCATCAAGCCATCAAATGACGTGCTCTTGCCTCAACCTTGCTCTTTGATGCCGATCCCATGTAGTATGGAATCTAGATCTCCCGTCATCTTGGAGAGTGGGATTTCCTGAGCTTTGATATGCACGATACAATCTATCGCATCGTGTTATCCCCTGAAAGGGATCCACAGGAGCTCGCACGCCATCGAAGCGAAGTTCGCGTAATGAGGACACGTGATTCGGGATGTGTCAGGGGGAAGGACCAACCTTGGGCTCTTCTCGTGCGATTGGAAACTAACATTTGTCTCACTGAATCTAAAGTGAAAGCATTCTTTCGATGGTATTTCCAATTAGTAAAAGTTTTGATAATCAGAAGAATGGCATCCAAACACACCCTCTCCAACGGCTCCTCCTCTAACGAACACCATGACGGAGACAACAAGCGAGCAAAAACAGACTCAATCCCCAAGAAGACAAAAAAATCACTAATCCTCAATGCCTTCGTAGAAATGTGTAAGCAACCCTACCACCCCACTGGCCCAGAACTAAAGAACCTACAGGTTCCGGCCATCAATCCCCCGGCCTCTGGCGCCATCCTGAAGACCAATCTCACCGTTTCAACGACCTAGAATACTGGACCTCACTCGCTCAACGCCTTGAAGCTGCGAAGTTTCATGGGATGTTTATTGCTGATGTACTTGGTACTTCCTCCCTTTTCCTTCAAAAACTCAGCTCTTCGAGTTAAATACTGATAAAATGAATTCGAAGGAGGTTATGATGTCTACAAAGGACCAAAGAATCTGGAACCAGCAATTGTATCAGCGGCTCAGTGGCCAGTCAATGAGCCCTTGGCGGCCATCCCCGCGATGGCGGCCGTGACGCGGAGTCTGGGGTTTGGGGTTACGGTTGCTACGACGTATGAGCAGCCGTATCATCTGGCGAGGAGGTTGTCGACTGTTGATCACTTGACTAAGGGGAGAGTTGGGTGGAACGTAAGATTTGCTCGAAACTAAGATGGAATTTCCGTCTGATTATGTATAGATTGTAACTGGATATCTCGACTCAGCGGCTCGAAATCTGGGGCATATGGAGCAACCTCAGGTAAGTTGTCGCTCTTAGCTGGTCTGGTAACAAGACTGACAATAAGCAGCACGACGAACGCTACGCAATCGCAGAAGAATATCTCGAAGTAATGTACAAACTCTTCGAATCGTCCTGGCGCGACGACGCCGTGATTCGAGATGCCAAAACAGGCGTCTACACAGACCCCACTCGCGTCCGAGAGATCAACCATGTGGGTAAATACTTCAATGTTCCTGGCCCACATATCTGCCAACCCAGCCCCCAACGTACTCCTCTCTTACTCCAAGCTGGCACGTCGTCATCAGGGAAACGATTCGCTGCCAAGAACGCTGAGGCCATTTTCGTAGCTGGGCACAGTCCTTCTGTTGTCAAGAAAAGTATCGAGGATATTAGGACTCAAGCGAAGGAGTTTGGGAGGGATGAGAAGAGTGTGAAGTTCTTGGCGATGATTTGTCCGGTGATAGGCAAGACGGAAGAGGAGGCGAAGGCAAAGTATGAGGAGTATTTGACGTATGGGAGTGAGGATGGGGCTTTTGCGCTATTTGGTGGATGGACGGGAATCGATCTTGCGAAATATGGCGATGATGAGGAACTGAGGCATGTGGAGAGTAATGCTATTCGTTCGGCGGTGGAGGGGTGGTCGAAGGCTTCTCCTGGGGTGCCGAAGTGGACTAAGCATACTGTTGCGAGACATCTGATGGTTGGTGGGTTGGGTGCAACGGTTGTAGGTACGCCAGCTCAGGTTGCGGATGAGTTTGAGAGATGGGTTGATGAGGGTGATGTTGATGGTTTCAATATAGTAAGTAGTTCTCCTATTGTCTGGCTCTCTGATACCGTCCTGAACCATGATGTAGGCATATGCTATCACGCCTGGATCGTTCATTGATGTGATTGAATTTCTTCTGCCAGAATTGAGAAAGAGAGGGCTGTTCTGGGACGATTATGAAGTGCCGGGCGGAACATATCGAGAGAATATATACAGGAAAGAAGGTCAAACTGGGCTGCCAAGTGACCATCCGGCACATGGCTATCGTTGGAAGGCTGACACATAGTGGCTATATACACTTTGTTCCGAATCGGTCGTGTGCCACCAGAGAAGAGTTCTTTATGTCATGTTGCTCTTCGTTGAGCTGAGACAATCACGACATGTCGTTCCATGTCCATCAAAGCTACATCAGGAACTAAATCACCGACATAAGCGCACGCAATCCCAACTCGAACTCAGAAACTTACAGCTCATCAACGCGCCACTCCCATCACCACCTCTCCCGATCCTTTGTCTCTCTATCCCTTCGCTAATACCATCTTCCCCTAAACCTCATTTCTTCCCAAGCAACCACTTCACAGACTCCGACACGCTCGCGCCCCCAAACAACCAATCATCACCATGCCTCCCACACTCCGTAACCCCATTCACATGACCATGATGCTTCTTCTGCTGCTCATCCGCTTCCCGCTGTTCCGCACTCTCTTGTTCCCTCTCCCTCCTCTCTATTTCCACATATGGCACACTTTGTTTCCTATCGTGAGGAAATCCTTCGCTTGCGCTTTGATCGGGGAGTGAAAGGTGCGAAGGAAAGTTGGCGCTGGCGGAGGGGGACTTGGCGTGTTGTGGTGTGCTGCGCGAGGGTTGCTGGTCGGGTAGGGTTATGCGGGAATCGGTCGTGGATAGAGTTGCGAGCGATGAACGAGGTGAGTTTTCCATGCTGAGTTTGTGTTTATCGTGGAATGTCTAGATGATGGAAGGTGGTGTTGATGGAGGAGGAGGGAGGGAGGAGGAAAATCTTGGCAGAGCGGAGGGAGTGAAATGTTTGGACTCGGAGATGTTGCCAAGAAAGGGTGTCAGATGCCGATCCAGAGCATAAGCGGGAAAGGGAGGAGCGGGGTAATTGTGTTCCGATAGTTCTTAGTGCACAGCAACTCGAGAAAAAAAGGTTTCTGAATGATCTTATTGCAATAAATACTTCCAGAAAAAAAGAGAAGTTCTTGTCGAGATGCTGCTGCACTTCACATAATATTCTCAGCCCTGAAGTCCGTTACCCGATTAGTTTCTAGGCAACGAAATAAATCCCCACAATGTCATGTCGGGGAGCCCGAAGTCGTCAGATCAGATCTTCAATCATGGGGTTGGCTTGAAGCTCGGCATGAGTAATTAAATGCCGCACAACCGGATATAATCTTGGCAAGAGGTAGGATCGTCCCGAACCAACGAAATGATTCCGGATTGTCACTAGATTGACATTGCAGCTAGAGATGGAGATTGTTTTGGTGCGGCGTGAGAGAGGTGTAGATTGGCTGACAATAAAGAATATTGGGACTTGACATGAGATTGGGGTTGGGTTGCACGACGCATAGAAAATTGGATAAGATTTTCTGAACCTGCATCAAGATTTTAATTGAGTGCAAACAGTTTTCGTACGCGCTTAGAAACAAAATGTATCTCTTACCCAACGGTATTTGGTGACATCTGGTAACACCTCTTTGCTACCAAACTTTACAACCCCGGACGCCCTCCAACTGATTTCTGACTGTGCTATCTATCGTCAGCTACAAGCATTCCTCGTAGCGACAATAGACCATTCTCACCTCAATCCCAAAGCCAGCAAATCATTCTTGACTTTGCTGATGGTACGGCTGCTGATAACCACCGATCTGAGCAGGCGTATACGGCTGAACATTCACAACACTCTGTTCCCAGGGCTTTCCTGCCTCATAATTCCCCTGCTGCGAGTATCCGTACTGCGGTGGAAAGTCCGTCGCTTCTGCCCGGAAACCACCATATACTGGTTGCGGGGGTGGAAGATTCGTACTCGCTGCAGTTGGATCCCACGGTTTGGTGAAGGGGTTTCGTTGCTCGATTTGTCTCCGTCTTTCAAGCTTGCGCTTCCGCTTGAAGATTACGAAGCCGATGATGCAGAAGACGACTATAGGGACGAATATGACTTCCACGATGATGTTGAGACCGCCTGGCATTGTGTAGTGAGAATTTGGACGCTGAGAGAAGAATTACAGGCTTTGAGGTTGGATGTATATGCTTGGTGGTATTTGAAAAGGTCCTTGATAGCGAAAGTTGGATCCAGACTCTTCGCTCGTGGCATCACCATATATAAAGACCGTGACCTCTTCCCGGCGGTTATTACCCATCTTCTCAAACATCGTGAGGGCTTTTGTGCACTCTCAAGAGTTGACTACTCTGATTGGTTCCAGGGAGGAGAATGGCGCCAAAGAGTGGTGAAGCAGGCATTTGATTCGCTACCAACTTGAGCCTGAAGCGCATTCTCAACAGCCTGTCTTTCATAGCACATGGGCAGACTCGTACTGTACGATGTGAAATTAAATAGATTCGGCAGTGCAGATATGTGTGTGGAGTGATGTTTGAAGAAGTGTGTTGAGGGATTTTGGTAGACTATTTGTGGACTTCCACACCTTTGGTTTTCAGGCTTCTGAATTGCAAGGAAGCTCATGCGGCGTAGTGAGTAATATAATCTTTCTAACAGTAACGTAGAGATCCGATACTTTCATGTTATCTCAAATTTCGCACTCGCTTGAAAGAAATCCAATGTTGAATGTGATATTCTCCGGTAGGTTGGACAATCCTAGCATTGCTTGTTGGCGTTTTGATACTCGATTCTCAACACATCATCTGTTCGCGCATGCACCGCAAACCAATCAATGCTGCAGTCGACGACCGTGTTGCATCTTCAACCACCAACCTTGAACATGTCAGCCTCACAGACCGTTTGTTTGCAACGGAGTGCAGCACTTTAGCGGGCCTTTCGTATCCTGCGAGAACAGTGCGGCTGAGGAGACGCCCTTGTGGGCCTGCGAAAAGATTTGCGTCATGTCGAATGGAGCCTTCAAACATTCTCTGCAACACTCGCAGTTCGTCTGCCCGGTAGTTGAGGCACTAGCATCACTCCATTGTGCGACATGGGAAGAACCATTGATGCCGATTTCGTGGTCAGATTTCGGTACGACGATGAAGGTACGTTGACTTTGACGTTGGGGCAGTATCACGACCGGAATAAACCCATGAAATCTTGGCACTGACGACGGCCCTCATTCGCAGACACATCGAAGTCCGAAGTTCGGTTCGAGAAGCTCGTCGAGGCCCTCCATGATGTCGGTTTGAGTGTCGAAGCTCGGGATGGTGATAACTCGTCCATCATCTTGTTCGTGAAGCTTGCGTCGGAGAAGGATCTGGTCGACGCAGTCTACAACTCGAGGTTCTAATGATCGACACATGGTTCTTGGTGGGGAGATGTGCTAAGGACTCTTCATAGGGTCCAGGACTGGCTATATGGTGTCTGCCATACGGCTCCAGAGCAGGATGCGCAAGCCATGCTTGATTCGACGGTGTTGACACAGGCCGAGCGTTTGCGGATCGTGTATAACCTCATCACATCTCCATGCGATAAGGGCGGGGCTGGTACAACACCCAATGGAGGTGATTGGGAGGCGGTGGATGCTCTCTTACCATTGCACGATCAAGAGTTTAATAAACGATGGCTGAAGGAATGGAGTACGAAGTACGTTTTGAGTGTCGAGGATTTGACGAAGATACGCGATCATTATGGGGAGAAGGCAAGTACAAGTATGAGTACCGCCAAGCTTAAGCTAATCTACTTCTAGATCGGCTTCTATTTCGCTTTCCTCCAATCCTACTTTACATTTCTCCTTCTGCCGGCTATCCTGGGTTCCATCGCATACTTCGTGTTCCCGTCCTTCTCGATTGCCTTGGGTTTCATAACTTGTCTTTGGTCTGTCATATTTGTGGAATATTGGACGCTTCAAGAAGTCGATCTCGCGGTCCACTGGAGAGTTCACGGCGTATCAACCATTCAACATGTCAGACCAGAGTTTAAGTCGGAGCGTGAGACTAAAGATCTCATTACGGGAGAGACTGTGAAGGTATTCTCACCATACAAGAGGTTGGCTAGACAAGCTCTGCAGATTCCATTTGCTCTTGTGGCTGGAACGGCTCTCGGATTTCTCATAACGCTCTGCTTTGGGATTGAGATCTTCATCTCTGAGGTGTACGATGGACCATTCAAGAGTATTCTGGTAAGCTAGCCCAACACATAATTTTCTCAATTATTTATTCAAATATTCAGGTCTATCTACCTACAGGACTACTTGCAACCCTAGAACCCAGCTTGACAGGCATCCTGGAAAAAGTTGCCATCAGACTGACAGACTTCGAGAATTACCCTACCGCAGACTCTCACGAAGCAGCCCTCATTCAGAAAACGTTTCTTTTCAACCTGATCACTGGATACCTGCCTGTCTTTCTCACTGCTTTTGTCTACATTCCCTACGGACCTCTCATGGCTCCATACCTGGACGTTTTGGACTTTCTTGCGCATAAATATGCAAATGATCCTCTCCATCCCGTCAAGCCCTCGATGTCCTTTCAAGTCGATGAATGGCGACTTAGAAAAGAGGTTATATACTTTGGCATTACGGCACAGATCATTGACCAATTCTTCGAAGTCGTTGTTCCGTATGCGAAACATAAATGGGCGAGCTATATAAAATCTCGTCCCAGTTTTTCGACGAAGCACGCTGCGAAAAAGTCTGTGCACACTGTCAACGACTTGCAGGACGAAGCGGTATTCCTGACGCGAGTGAGAAACGAGATTGAGCTGGAGGAATATGATGTGAATACAGACCTTAGAGAGATGTGTATGCAGGTCAGTCCCCTTTCCCTCTCCTCATTCAATCGATACTTCAGAACCTAACAAAACACAGTTCGGATACCTAACAAACTTCTCCATCGTCTGGCCACTGACGCCTTTATGCTTCCTGGTAAACAATTGGATCGAGCTGCGCTCCGACGCCGTGAAAATCTGCTTCGACATGCGCCGTCCCGTCCCTCACCGCTCCGACACCATTGGCCCCTGGCTCTCGAACCTCGGCTTCCTCACTGGACTAGGTAGCATCAATACCGCAGCCTTGATCTTCCTCTTCTCAGGCGAAGCGGACTCCGAGTCTGTGATGTGGAGGATGAGGAGCTGGGGGTTCTTGGCGACCATCATCGCTAGTGAGCAACTCTACTTTGGAGTCAGGGAATTCGTGAGGTATGGAATCAGGCAGTTGGAAAGTAAGGGTCTGTTGCAGGAACGAAGGGCGCAATTTTTGGCCAGGAGAGAGTTGTTGGAGAAGGCGATGAAGGTTAGAGGTGCGGAGCCTGCTAGGAAGAGGTCTAAGAAGGGGAAGAAGCGGGATAGTCAGGTCTTAACGACAATTGGCTGTCGTGATGAGAACGTTGGGCTTGATTCAGCGAAGAAGGATAGCGGGGTTGAGAAGTGTTTGAAGATGGGACGAGATATCATGAGGCAAGAGGCTCCGCAGGAGAAGAAGAAACCATCATGAATCCCCTGGCAGGCTCGCTAAATTCCGAACTTCTCTGTGAGGTACTACAAATGTCGCTACGCACTGCAAGCTGCACAAATGACCCCTATACTTTTTCTTTGTCCTTCTTTCTCTTCCATGCTGCTCTATCCACTTTCCCTTAACCGTCTCGCATCGCCGTTGTCCACGTGGATTGGGGTACGAAATGCGCGGATGGCGCAATATGCGCTGGTTGCGCTGGTTGTGCGGGTTGCGCTGGCTGCGCTGGTCGCGCCGACCGCGCTTCAAATGCCTGAAGCCATAAGTCTCCACAGAGGACACAAGAACTTCGAAATTGTTTGAAGGAGCTCAAAGAGTTGTTGGATTTTTGTTCTGTTCATTTCCGGGATAGGTATGCGAGGGATGGGGAGGGTTATCCAGTGCTGTGCGAGTTGACTTGTGAGGTCTGTTGGAGAGCTCTGGGGATTGGGAGTTTGGGCGTTGGAGACTGGAGTGCTGTGGTGTGAGTTAGATTGTTTGATCGGTTGAGGAAGATATGATAAACTGTTGCATTGGGGTTTTGTGAGCTGGTGGATCTTTGTGAATCGAGACATAATTTGGATCGGCGTAATGTCTCCTGTGGTGTAAGACTGGTTTTCGTAGCTTTCATGGTAGAGGAATTGTTAAAAATGTAGACGTTGGTAACCTTTCGACCAGCGTCAGACAGAGTAGGTAGTGTACGTTCAGTTGCGCTTCTAACGCAAACGAAGAGTCTTCTGGGCTCTTGATTAGTCCAGAATTTATGTTGGTCCAAGTATATCGGGACATGGCCTTTGAATGTTCTTTGTTGTCACACAGCGCGTAGTGTTAACTTGTATGTTCAAAAGGAGGGATAACGAGAACTCTTACTTTAGCGCATCATCAGCTGAGAGGAAATTTCCCGACTTTGTCACATTCGATTCTAACATGCAACTCAACAAACGTCAACAACATCCTCCACATCGAAGGACCATGTTCGCAACACGCCTCGAACGTCTTTGGAACGACTGCCACGTCGACGTCGCGGAGATGTTCTCGTCGAATCAAGGAGATGTCCAGCGTGTCGTCACCATTATGATGGTCCAAGTAATCTGCGGGCTCTTCAACTCCCTCGCTACCGCATTGTTTGCTGTTTCGATGTACAAATACTCGTTCTTCTCTCTCCCCTACCTAATCCAACTCTTCCTCTTCCTACTCCATGCTCTCTACTTCTTTGGCACCGCCGAGACCACGGGATGGGAGTTCTTGAAGGCCAACTCCGACGTCGCCGCAAACCAGAACAAAACCGTTCTGAAGCTGGCTCTCTACTGCTTGAATTGCCTCATTGCTCGATCCTACCTCTTGGGGGCTTTCCCTCTCTCCATATCAGGCGGCATCATGGCGTGCTACTGGATTACCGACCTTGCGCTCGTCTGGATGGTCGTACCTGGTACATGCTGCGCCGGCGTACCCCGTCACTTCTTGGTGTACGATAAGAAGAAACAATCCGGTCAGCTGGTCCGCAATGATGCTCACCCTGGAAAGGATTTGAAGTTGGATGTACGACTACAGAATGGTGAGGCGAAGAAGGGTAGACTTAGGATTACAAATGAGGATATACACGAGATGAGAGAGCAGGGAGGCTTTACGGTGCTGCGGGCGATTACTCCTATTGAGTACCGTCAAAATTCTTGAGTCCTTGAGGTATACACTCTCTGCTTTTGATGGGACGGATCGTGCTAATTGCATCTAGGAGATAACAGAGTAGCTGGTAGGCGAGTCACCCTAGGTCAGAGAACGTTTCTGAGAGTGAAGCGAGGGACGGATTTCTGGTGTCTGTAAATTGACTAAGGAGGGGCTTTGTAGCTACTTCATTCTCTTCCCGCCAACCAGACAATGAAGTTCTTCTTTCCAATACGTTGTAACGTGTCTCACCAATCCATTACCAGTCCCAGGAAGCCAGAGACAGCGTACTGCATCTCTCTTCGTCTAGGTTGAATAGACCCTCGCATCCAGTAGACCTTTGTCGCAAAGCCACTGCAAAGATGGATTAATGCTATACTTCGCATTGTAGATGTTGGTAAATGCTCAAAGGAGTTAATTAAAACTACTATATATGACTAAATAAGGACGATCTCCAGAAGTTTTGGCTATGCTGAAAGTCTAGTGTGGTGCGTAAGTGATGAGATGTGATCTCTTGTCTCGAGTTACACAAGCCTCACGATCACATGCGTTGTATTGGACTTCAATCTTGATAATCCTTGACATCTCATAGTCTGGTGAGATGTCGTGAGAAGTAATATGTAATGTAAAGTTCAAACTTCCACTAAGAATAGAGAACTTCTAGAGATTTCTGTACAATTGGTGGCTGGGCCAATTGTGGGAAGCCACGACAGTGGAGTCACAGAACCTCAGCCTTATTGCTCATTGATGATAAGTCGAAAAAAGAATTCTTCTTTTGCTAACACACGATCACTTTGACCAATTCTCAAGGATGGATCATCTCGGTGGGCCACTGTCGCAGCCACTACTAACACCGAAGAATGTGATCGTTGGAATAGAGATCGGGATGACATGTACAGGTATTTACTATTATCTACACCTACACAATGCTACGTAACTTACTGTTGTGTTGCATAGAGCTGATTAAATGTCGATGCAGGCGTTGCAGTATGGTCCGACCTTTGTCCTATGCTTAATGTCATCCAGAAATGGCCCATGAGGCCTGGATCTCGGCCTACTGTCGTCAATAAAGTACCCACAAAGGTTGCTTATGAAGCTGGAAAAGCTTCCATTGACTCATGGGGCTTTGGATGCCCGGAGGTTGATAAAATTGGACCTGCCATGGCTGTCAAAGACCTGTTTAAGTTCCTCCTGGACCGAGATTACTTCAGGAAAGAGTTCGAGGGGAACTTTGATGCTGCTCCTGGGACCGTTGATGATGTGGCACTATGGTATGGGGACTTTTTGCGAGCTTTACACGAACATATTGTTCACTGCCTTGAGGATGGATGGAATGTGGACCTCGAACTCACCAAAGTTGAATACAATTTCAGCATCCCTACACCTTGGGCGGATAATGACAAGCTGATCGAAATGTTCCGCGATATTGTGGAAGAGGTTGGATTTGCCCATGGTAACGAGAGCGTTGTCATGCAACTGACGGAAGCGGAAGCATCAGCAGTGTTTACTGTTAAGCAGCACAAATTTAGATTCAAGGTTTGGATAACTCTGGCTCTTCAATTTGTGCTGTACGCTAAAATAAAGTTTAGGAAGGGGAAATCTTCATTGTTTGCGATTTAGGAGGTGCAACCACTGTATCTACTACTTATTCCATCTTATCATGTCCCTCACTAATGACTCGTAGGATATGGGTGCTATGCAGGTGGTCAAGGTTACGGACGAGGCTGTTCAACTCGATAATCTCGATCAACCGAAAGGTATGCAATACTCTACACCCTTCAAATCATCCATTAAGTTTGTATAGCTCTTCCTGTTGGCTCTCTCAACATCGACGATCTGTTTGAGAGATATGCCACGAGAATCTTAGACAGGCTTAGGCTCACATATCCACATTTACCGCAGCATAGAGCCCACCAAATCATGAGAAACAGCTTCCAAGTCGTTAAACATGCCTTTGGTACACCAGCAGCGCTTCCGATTTCGCGATTTGAGGTATCAGTGCCGCCAGAGGGCCCAGAAGATCCAGGGGAGCCGCAGTTGCTCGAAAGAATAGAACTGACACAGTAAGCGACACGGATTCACACAATCTTAAGAACCATGCATGACTGATCCACCCATAGTGAAGAGCTTAAAGCTATGTTTGACGAACAGCTTGTCAAGATTTTCGAGTTCATTGACAATGAAATTGCATATCTCAAGTGGTACATCCCTGATAAAAACCTGGTAAGTAATCACATTGCTCCCGTAATTATTCATACCCTATGCAACCGATATTCAAATACCGTAATTACAGTCTTACCTTATTCTGAATGGAGAGTTCTGCTCGTCCCGATATGTTCAAGACGAAATCGCCCGCCGATACAATGAAGTCAAGACACTCTTTCCTCTGCACCCCGAAGATGGGTACGTTTGAAAAACCTAGCGTTTCTTTGAGACCTCGACTTACATCGTAGACCTCTCACCGTGTGCAAGGGCTTGGTCATCGACCGCTTACAGAAGAGAGCCCAAGAGCTTCTCGATACTTCGTGTCAAAGGAGTGAACCGAGACGGCCATACCGCTCGTTGTTCCAAGAAATATTTGATGAGAAGAACGATGCTCAGTTTTTCAAGATAGGGCAACTCAGATGGAATAAGCCCATTCGCAATAGAGTAAGACGCGATAAAAACATGGTCAATGCTGGTTGACATGGCACAAGCATGTAGCGCTATATGCCAGAACGAGAGATGAATCATCCCGACAACCTATCTATATCGGTTGCAAGTTGTTATTCTGATCTTTCCATTAGAACATAGAAGTTTGCCCAAGCGGGAATGATTCGAGCTGTGGTGGTAAGGTGTGCCCAATCGCAATGGCATCCCCTCTTCAACGATGGATGCCCGCGTATCTGCAATTTCCTCTCAACAAATCAGCCGTCTCCTTGCACGGCATCTGCACCATAACGGGAATTCCAATAATGAGGAACGGTTAGCTTCATGAATTGATTGATGATGATGCTGCTGCCAAGGACTGGTACCTGGGATCACGATGCTGTACTACTCCGTACCATTCTTCGAAAGTGTATCTCCGTCCGCACTCGGAGATGAATTCGATGGCCTCGATTGATTGGCGTCCGAGCTCCCGAGATGATACCAAGCCTTAACGGGGCATCTGTGCTCTCGTCAGATTTTCTTGGGATTAGCAAGCGGCACCGTTGATGATTGAATTCGGCGACAATAGACTTGGAGGTGCTTTGATTCATTGGGCAACGCATGGAATCATGCATCGCACCGTCAGCGAGCAGCTCTCACCCCACGCGAGTGGGCGTCCCTAGAAAACCAAAAAGTGTGAGAGCCGAAAGCAATAAATCTCGAAGACCGCGGCAACCGGGAATCACGATAGTGGTTCTGTGACCATGATATTGGAATTGGAAGCACACGCGTGGAATTCCAAATCGCGAATGGAGTACAATAAGGTTACTTTGCGACCGGCCACGCAAAACGACTTACATGAAGAGTACAAGCCTTCGTTGGGTCAGCAGCCCACTCATTCAACACGGATAGATGCCTCCCCTTCAAGCATTTTCCTCAACAAACTCATAACTAACTGATAGACGCATAGATCGCATCGGGTTTCGAATCAGCCCCTATCCACAGCTACTGCCAACTCTAAATTAAAGCTCCAACGTACCAGGGCATAGGGTACCGGAATACGACCCGGGCCGCAGCCGACACCTAATCAGAAGAAAAAAATCCTTCAATTTAATTTCGAATTCGAAGCGATTCAGAAAACTTTTGTCCTACATCATCAGAGAATAAGCGAGAAGAATCGACCTCGAAAAAGTCTCAAAATTTAATCTCCTTGTGAGACATACATCTGGCAAATTGATAAGCCTTTTTTCTTTATAAAGAAAGGGCGTCGCCGCTTAGCAATGATAGCACAACGACAACCCTTCCTTATGAGGCTTGTTGGAGATAACGAATGCCCTGAGAAGTACCAGCACCGGCGTCTTAAAGGACGAGACGAGTAATTTGGAATCGATGTGTGGCCCTGGGGGCACATCAGACGAGCCCTCAGGGCCGCCATCGGTTCCAGTGAACATTGAGCTCGAGCGCCCCCGCGTCGAGTCTTCTGCTCGACCGCGTACGGCTGCCCGCCCCCCTACAGGGACAGAACGTCCCCGAACTAAGCATCGTTCTCAAACTTCATCGGGAGATACCAGGCCTAAATCGCATCGAAGACCGGAATCAGAGCGAAGACATCGACCTGAAAGCTCGTCGGCTGGTGGAAGGCGGAGTTCTCATCAACCTCACAATAGAGACCGAACCAGACGGGATATTCCAACCATCCAGGAACACGGACACACAGAAGACAAAACAATAGTTCGACGACTCGGAGAATTAGGTACACTGATCGATCAGCACGTCGTCAATTTTTACTACCCGCTGCTGGATTCAGCAAACTCCGGCATCTCAGAGGATTTAGACGACCCACGGACAAGGCACCACGCCCTTCGCAGATTCATCATTCAGAGGTTAATAAATGATATCGTGATGGTCGGAAGTGACAGGTACATCCAAAATCCTGCAGCAGAGCTTAAGTCAACTGACAAAACGAAGCGCGCCAGATACTACAAATATCGCGCACGATCTATCAGAGGATCTCGAAGTATATGCAAACTCGGACAACGACAGACTCGACAGTCTCAGAAGCATATGCAAACTTGGCAACAAGCTGCGTCGAGATATAGAAAACCATCCTTCGCCCTGGGAATTCGGCTCGACGGAGGAGGAAGGATATATCGAGGTGGTTCCTGCGCTTCTCAAGGATGAAATCCAGGTCGTGGCAGCGCAGAAGTTCAGGATCTAAAGAGAAGCTCAAACTTTGAGGTTTCTAACAACCAATACGTTATATACTTAGAGGGAGTGCATTGGGATAGACAAAAGTAGTTGCGGGTTATACCTTGTACGACACTGGTCATAAAAGCTGAAGCGTCTTGCGCTTTGTACAATATTCTGCTCGATGGGAAACGACGACTATTTATATTCTCCTCACTATGACACTTGTGCGTATTATATCAAAGAAGAAAGTGAAAGATGTAAAGAACGTTGAGGGGTAAAAGGTGTGGTAGTGCGGATAATCCCGGACCATCAGGGCGCTTAATCTAATTGATGCCCAACCAGAGGGAGCCTTCCGAGCAGCTGCTCGAATTTGAAATATAAAGTGGTTGGAAATATGCAAGTGGTTGAGAAGCTTCCAATCAAGACAAGTGTCTCTTCAAGTCTCGATCAATCTCCAATGCGTATTGCTCGCTTTCAGACACTTGATAAAGCTTGCCATAACAGTTCGTCCGGGAACGAAGAGGAAAAGGAATCAAAGTCGCGATTACTGCTTTGAAGTCATATATTTCTTACCATTTAAGGTAGTCGTATATTATGTTATTCCTTCGTTGCTCTAGTCATATCTTGCAAACTCTGATCTCATGGTTAAAGCCTTTCAACAAAACCTTTGGCCAAGTCTGAAACCGAATCTACCACTGGCAAACTGTAGTAATTGTCCTCACTGAGTAGAGAAATCCAACTTTGATAGCTTTGTTGTCTGTGACGAAACTCTCGACTCAAGGTGCTTTCCCAGCTCGTCATGATCGACACTCAGTCAAGACCTGCGGGGGCAAACCGAGTCTGTCGATCCATTTCCCCGATTCATCACGTTCATCTTGTTTATTCCGACGGCTTAAAACAGTTATTTAGCTTTGCCCACTGCCACAACGATTCTGTTGGTAGCATCATGCCATATCGACCATCGATCGTGAAAGACATCCGTCTTTAAACTCTCATTTTGGCATAGGCTTGGTTTAGTTACCTAGTTTCAACAAAGTTATACGCTCTGCCAAGGGCATCTTCTTGGATGTATGATGGAGTCCGGGTGCCGATTCAGGAATGAGATTAGGTTGGAAGAGAAAGAGCTAGGTTATTGAAAGTGATCACAAGAGATGGCAATGCGGGGTAGATGTGCAAAGGAATTTCATGTTACATGTGCGGAACTTTTCGAGCCGAAATTCCATAGCTGCATGGTCTTCTGACAGACTTGTACCCTACTCTTACAAACAATTATACCTATTTACACATTATACGCCATTAGAATCATGAGAGATCTCCTTCGCAGCTGATGCCGATGATCCTCTCTTACAAGATATCATAATCCCCTTGGTCCACTTGCTGAGGTTTATGTTATGGCATCCAACCAAGTGAAGAAGGAACTGATCCGGCCGGTAGAATACAAGGTCATTAGGGCAGTCATCGAAACCATGCTCTGATTGCAGATGTTCGATACGCACCTGCCAGTCTGCAACACACTCATCGATGTCCTCATCAAGATCATAAAAAATATCCTCCGAGTATTCGCAGCAATACGGACAAACATCTTCAGTTGAGAGAGAAGATGGCGTGGCGTTAGGAAAGAGAAATGCAGCGAGTGGACCATTCTGAAGATGTGTTGCTGTTCTGATATCGTTCTTGGTGGGGCAGCGCCAAGAATCGCGGGGTAAATGCCAGAGCTTCTCGTGCCGCACCATATCTTCTTCATCAAGAAACTTCGCTGTACAGTATTTACAAGTTGATCCGTCGCCAAGAGTAAGGCTAAAATAACGGAGTTAGAGATCAAATCATGTGCTCAGCGATCATAGTGGGCTTACCTGGAAATGGACTCTGACTGTACAGTTAACAACGTCCTTCGATCCATTTGAATTGGTGGTGACCAGCTAACAACGATCCCAGTGCCTCTATCAACTGGACATGATGGTACAACTGGATCCCAAGAGCCCATCGAAAGTCCTTCCTTGAAGTGACGTCCAATATGTCTCGATCGGTCCTCCCATCCGACCAGTGACCGGTCACAAAAGCCGCACTGCCAGTACCAATCAATATCTTCTGCAGCAAATGACCATTTCCGCATGCAATCCGATATGATAAATTGGTCGTGAACATCTTCGAGATGCTCTTGGAAGTCTGCCTTGCAATCAAATGTTCGGCGAGAAACAGATGTATGACAACAAGGTTCATCATTATGCTCAGAGCAATGTGATGAGTCGGGATCAACAAGACCACAGAATACACACACTTCATGTCCATCTTCATTTCTCTCAATGGGACCCCAAGGCATACAGATCCAGTCTTTTTGCATGGCAACATGCTGTGAGCGTTCGTGTTCCTCCCACACCTCTTGAGATCCAAAAACTTTTAAGCAGAAGAGACAACAGTACAACGTTGAGTTCACATGCTGATGATTGCCTGTTACTCGAGGAGCATGCGTAGCAAGACCATCTTCTTCCATATCTCTCAGGTCTGCACAGGTTGATAACTCCAAAGTGCCTATACTCGTCGACGAAGACAGAATTGATGGGTTGTCAACGTAGGCAGAGTCGAAAGAGCTTCTCAGGCTGGGATCCACGCCAAGGTTCAGCAAAAGCGTCCGGTCTGCGCTTCCTGGTTTGCTGAGTCTGGAATATGATCTCCTCAACCTGCTGTTCGATGAGCCCATAAGCGACGCAACTTCTTCAACAACATCATCGACGATGTGAACAGTTTCATCATCAGAGTCCAGACTCGAGTTTGAATCTTCCAGAAGTTTGTCCTTAGCAAGCTTCGTGTCGCTTTCGACGTCTGCTTTTCCTTTCGTACTGGAAATACCAAGCTTCAAGTCTCGACGTCGTCGCTTCACGGCCCACATGCCAACGCGGCCAAGTTTCCGTTTGGTATCGAGGTTGCAGTATGGGTGTTCTTGAAGAGTGTCCAACCAGAACTTCTCCGCTGGTTCTGGCTGTGTAGAGACCGGAATGACTGGGTCAGACCCCGCATCATGTTTGCTGGTCTCATCTTGGACTTGACAACGATGAAGACGAGGCAGACTTCTTCCACCTCGCCACTTATATCCTACTGGCTCATCTTCATTCTTCTCCGATTGGTAAGAAACATCGGTATCGATTCCTTCCGCGACGAAACTGGTTTCATTTGCATCCGATTCGAAATTTGGTGCGTGGGAACACTGCCACTCATGTAACCTCAACAAGCCAGTTGTATCTTCGTAAGTCGTCTTTGGTGCCAACGCGACAATAGTTCTGCTGTCACTGACAGACGTAGCTGAACTTCCAGTGCGAGCCTGACCACTGAATATCGAAGTAGAGCGACTTGCGTGAGCTCGAACGCTGCCCGATGAAGACCAAGTGCTTGATGCAACGCTTCGTGACTCATGGTATTCCGCCGATACTTTGGAGTCATTGTCGTCGGATTGAAGTGCAATCGAATAGAACGCACGCAGCTGTTCTGGGGAGCGGGGCTGCGGCCATCGCATGTTCTCAGTACCCGCCATCGTCGACCAACATCCGTCCTTGGCGAACCTGTATTGGTGATAATGGCATGTCTTGATGAGTCATGAAGAGTGTGAGAACAACCTTGTGCTAGACAGGAAACACAATTAATGAAGATATAATTTCCAAAGTGTTTTATTCAAATTGAAGTTCGAGGCTCTAGAAGGAAAACTGCATGAAACAGAAAACAGCACAATGCAAGATGGATCCCAATAAGCGGTCTGGAATTTCCAAGGCGAACTGCATATCGCGTGGCGCCATTCAATGGAGGTCGCTAACACGCACTCGACATGCAGGTTGAAGCTTATTCGCGGTTGCGCGCCTTGAAAATATACCCCCACATGATTTGCGCAGAGTCCCATGCATGCCATCTCACCATGACAGGAATCTGGGTTTCGTGATCAAGGTGACTTCAATGATGATTTCCCTGCCCGTCTCCCTGCGCATGAACTCCAGATCGTCGTGATGGCTACCGACCTCTTTTCTCTCTGTCTCTTCCTTGCAGCAGTCCTCAAACTCGGGGGAACCCTTCACGCGGCACCTTACGAGATAGATGTCTATCAGGAGATCATTGCCCTCATTGTCGATAACTTCAAGAGAGTCAAATTGATTCGCAAAACGACGTCGTGTTCAAGGTACAAGGGTTTGGAGCTGGACGCACAACTACAAAAGATTGAGGATGTCTTGAAGAAAGCTAGGAGGGCCGTGAGCTGGATCCCACGTGACATGAACGGCAACTCTGACCTTGGACCAAGAGAGTTCGTCGCGTGGACGCTGACTTGGAAGAAAGTTGCGGATGCACATCAAGAACTTTTGAGAATGTGCAGTATTGAGTTGGCAGAATTGAAGATTGAGATGGCCGAGTTGGATCAAGCCAGTAAACGGCACTACCCAGAGACGATTTTCTTCGAGCAAGTACGACAACAAACATGGACAATCTTATGCGACAGAGCAAAAAGGAATGCCAGTCTCTACGTAGGACCGGGAGATCAATTATCTCGCTCGATTGCTGATAATGTTGTAAGTCTTTCGTCTTTCTTCTTCGTCCAGCACACAATGCGCTTCACTTCTACGATCAGCTGGATGTGGACTAACATTTCTATGCATACAGATGGCATTCTAGAGACGACTTGAAGAGTTACGGTGAACAGAACGAGGACAAGATTGGACACCTATGGAAACCGCATTTCGGGGAGTTTGGGTTGCATATGCGTACACAGATTGCATATATTGGTGGCAAGGAGCATTGAATCATTGTTAGTAGTTGCATCATGAATCGGGAGATCCAGTCTCTGATCGTTTTATCGAATACTTTTACGTACTTATGAGTGCTGTTCACGTAGCCAGAATTCATATACATGCGAGACTTCTTTGCTACTTGCGCTGCACATACATTTTAGTGGTTGTTCCAATCGACAGACATCGAAGTGAAGTAGACTGAGAAACCAGGGAAACACAGCCGACGTAATATGCCCAATCACAAGTGTTGTTCTCCAGAATCTTGGACGTGCGAGAAACTCGCCAATAAGCGAGGCCCCTTTACGCTCGACCGTTCTTAGCTTCAGCTTAAGTCGCAAGCGGGGGCTGGACCACGGAAAGCCTGGAGGTGCCATCACTCAATTCGGACATGGCATCTTCGCGAGGATTTATTTTCCTGCCAGCATTCTACCCATTACCAAAGCAGTTGAGAGGGGTACGTCTTTCTCTTACGAGAAAATGTACAGACGAGGGTGAGGCTACTTTCACAATTTGCCACAATCACTTGCGTCTTATGAATATGAGAATGCAAGGATGAAAGTTGTAGAGCAATAAATTGAATGAAAGCACACCAGCGTGGCAGCATGAAATCTCTCTTATCTGAATTACTTTCGAACAATCGAGTGGCGAGAAACTAAGGAAGGAGTCGGTGACTTGCCGAATCAGCAGAATTCTCGGGTAGTTCGGGGGAGACTTGGACATCGGCATTTCAATTCGAGGAGGGTAAGGAATCCACGGCACGATCAATGATAGCACAGGATCGAGTAAAAAGCGATGACTTAGTACGAAGTACCCTTTGCAAATGAACGCTGATTTGGAGCGACAGCAGTGCAAGTGACGCGAGGTAGAGTTCAGAAGTACGCCTTCCACCAGCAAGTCTGTTTCCCACACGCTGACCAACAGCATACAAACTAGTGGATCTAATGCAAAGGACAAACAAGTCTGAAACATCTTTGCACATGGCTTAGAAAATTATTACTATCCCCCCCCATGAATAAAGGGCGTGTGGAGACATTTTGAGGCTGTGTAGTGACAAGGGGGTGTGCCAGTAGGAATCTAGAAATTTCTAAGGTGGAGATCACACTTTTAATTTTATTGGCAGACACCCCCTTGTTGCTAATCAGCCCTATTGTTCTCCACCGGCCCTTTATTCATGGGGGGGGATAGTACAAAGTAGAAAGCACGAGTAACTTGCGGAGAGATTGGTCACGGAACTAGGTTCTCGCTACTTTGGAAGACTAAAGCAAAGATCAGCACTGGGGGGTAAAAACTACTCGTACTAAACTTTTTCGGCAGACTTCTAGCGCAGTTCCCACTCGTGCTTGCACTTCTGATAACGCATACAGGAAGAGCAGCACCATTTTCGTGGCAAAGTATCAACTCTGATCAATGAAAACGATGTTTCGATGGTCTAGGTTTTGAGATTAAGCATTCGGAACGATTGCTTCTATTAGACCTTCTCCATACCTAGTAATCGATGGTTTGAATGATGAAGACCATCTGTACTCGAAATCTTGGAGTATTGGCGACTGTGGGGTAATCCGTACTCAACGGGGAGGAGCGTGCGCATCTAGTAAATGCGGGGTCTATGCTCAGACCAAGTGTTCGCAGCGGTCGAAAATATATCCGTTTCCGGAGACTCCGAACCTGACGTGGAAACGGGAACAACCCTCTTAGTTCAAAACTCGTTTGACAGCTGGACTGACAGCGGTCTTTAACTTGCAGATCCGGTGACTTAAAGTATGTTCTTAATAATGATAGGGCATGAGAACTGAACTTACGAGACGGTTCTGGTGGCTCGTGGTATTAGTGTCCGAGCGTACAGGTTTTAGTACTATTCCTCCGCATGGTGTCAGTCTGGACCCAATTTCAATGTCCAAACGGTTCAACTACGTTTCAGACATTCCGTCTGTCGAGCCTCGTCGTAGCGCTACACCAACAAGACAATTACTAGTCGACGGACAGTTTCCAATCTATCATAATAACGTGGTGGCCTTACTAAATCGAATAGTACTTTCGACTCAACATGGGTTATAGTTGTTTCTGAGATGAGCAGGCTCAAGGCACAGTGTTGCTCTATCAGTGACCTTCTTTGTATCCTCTTGCTAGCCACTAGAACTACGTCCTCTGAATACTTCAGATTGGATTCGGCACTGACCGAAAAGCCAACATTTTGATTTATCCGGTGCTAGTTAATCCTCCTTTGCTGGCTACATCGATTCATTGGCGCGCCGCCGTTGTCTTTAGTATTCTTGCAAGCCACAAGCGGGAAGTTAGGGGCTAGTAGTTGTTAGAAATACGCGGATGATCACCTGTGATCGTCTGTGCATCAAACTCAAAGCTTACCCTAACTAGCTAGAACAGCAGAAGGATTCCAACATTTACGGAATAATGTATCGGGAGGGACGGGGCGGAGGCATGTTGAGGTTTGGGACGAAAACATAGATAACAAGGGTTCCCGACTTCTTGTATCTTAATGAACTCTTACATACTGGTGTACTGTATGTTCCGAAAGTCAAGATGAGGCTATTTTGTTGTCTCATTATTGCATTGCTATCAACGTTCTCGCTTGCAAAACAGGCCACGGATGCTGAGAAAGAGGCGGTTATCTCTACTATCCCACCATGTGGAGTACGTATCACTTTGAAGTCCTGGAACTTGGCTGACTCTTCAGTTGGAATGCATATTACCAACTATGACGGAGGAGAATTGTTCAATAGGCAATCTGACCCAACTCAGCGACTGCTTGTGTCTCCATTTAGAAGGCTTGTCGACTATTGCTACTTGCATCTTCAAAAAATGTAATTACACAGATCTTGTTGGTATGTATCTCCACGAACAATTGATTCTTCCCCTGACATGCAATAGTGGTCGAGAAAGCGACGGAAGTGCTGTGTGAAGGCGAGCCAAGGCCAGACCGCAAGCCCGAACTTCTTGGCACAACTATTGCTCTCGCTATTATAGTCCTTGTCTTTGTCGGTTTGAGATTTTGGTCGCGCTTTACAGTTTCAAGACAATTCTGGTGGGATGATTGGTTCGTATTGTTGGGTACAATCTGCCAAATCGGGACCGATTGCGCCATGTTTTGGGGTATCTCAATGGGGTTTGGGGTGCATGTCTGGAATGTGGACTCGAAACTCAACGTTCCTCTCTATCAGGTATGAATTCTCGTTGTCTTGTTTCTGGCTCTGACACTCTTAGTTTGAATGGATCTTTGAACTTCTTTACGTCGTTGTTCAAAGCACCACGAAGGCGTCGATTGTGTGCCTTTACTGGCGTCTTTTCCCTCAGCCTTGGCTACGAAACGTGGTCAGATTCCTGTGGGTATGGATAGCTATTCACTTCTTCACATTCTTTTTCACCATTCTGGTCCAATGTACACCAATCGCCCTCGTCTATAACCACGCTTTAACGGGGCATTGTCTGAACGCCCACGCTATCATCCTAGCAGCTGCAATTTTAGTAATGGTGGAGGATATTATCCTCATTATACTCCCACTGCCGTTGATCTGGAAGCTGAATGTAAAGCTTTCCAGAAAGCTAGCCATTAGTCTAGTTATGAGTGTTGGGCTGGTGTAAGTGTCCCAGCTTCGGTGTATCGTGTGCTTTAACTGACCATTAAGCGCCGTCGTCGCTAGTGCAGTTCGACTTAAATACGTCGTTAGCTTCTACTACGATATCGACCAAAATTGTAGGTATCTTCCTCCTTCTTCCTCTAACATGCTAACTCCTCCAGGGGACGACGTTCCTGTTGCAATTTTGTCAGTTGTCGAAACCTCCCTCTCTATCGTCTGCGTCTGCTTCCCTCCTGTCAAAATCCTCATGAGCAAATACTACAAGAAGTACACTGGGAGCGATTCTTCGGCTATGAGAAGTAGGAGCAGAGAAGATCTGCTTGCAAGGCTTAAGGGTCGCTTCACGAGGCCAAATTCACCAGACAAACCTCCTAGGTTCAGTATACCATGGATCCAAACATTGGCGCCGAGGCTGCCAACCATACCTCGGATTGGAAGTCATATTGAGTTGGAGAAAGGGAAGAGCACAGTGACGAGCTCGAGCACAGCCAGTGAAGCTAATCAAAGAAGTATTATGACAAGTACATCCAGTGACTTGGAAGCTGGCCAAGAGAGCACTATGGCAAATACGTCATGGTTAAAAGTCGGTTGAAAGGCTAGGCATAAAGGTCGAGCACGAGAAAGATCGAGCAGATCGACAGCCAGGCATCCTCAGCACCAGTGTTGGACAAGCTGTGACCAACGACACGGTACAGCTCCTCGCCGATTACGAGACACTCCAAGAGGCCGTTCAGGCAGTACATTCAAGCAGCATAGACGGTTTGCTAAAACCAAGAGTGTGACTATAATCTGCCAGCAGGAGCTATCATCACGTCTGAAATTGAATGTGGAAGGATGATTTAGGCAAGAGTCAAAGAAGTGAAGAGGTGGTAATCCAGGCAGGAACAAGTCGCTTAAGTCAATTGAAAACAGCATCGAAATAGATGAATGCCAATCCATTTGTGAGTCAATTACTCTTCCGACCTCTGGCGTCATTGCAGTCATGCTTGAGCTTGTGTTTGTAAATATTCCTTGGGGGAGAAGGAGTACCTATCGACCGAATAAGGTTAATTAAGCGAGACACCTTAATTCGACAGCTTGAGAACATTTCTCCCAGGCTGCAGCTGCCTCGCATTCCAACCTCCACCAGCCTATTTTGTTGGTGTCAAAACACAAACAAAATCTTTTCAACTCGATAAGAAACTTGTCCTGTGTGTCGACAACACGATGGCATCAACAACAGCCAAGAAACAGCTCCGAATTCTTTGCTTCGGGGACAGCCTGACGGAAGGCTACAGTGCGATGGGCTGGTCCATGACACCGTATAGTGGCTGGCTCGAAACATACCTCAATGCCACTATAGATTATGATTATGATAGTCATGTTGAGACAGAGGGGAGAAGTGGTGATTGTGTAAGGACTGGGTTCGAGACGAGGATGAGGAAGCATTGTGAGTCTTCTTCTTCGGTCTTACTCTTCTTTTCATGCTTTCTATGCTACTGCGGCTGTATCAAAATGAGAGAGAACCTCTCCCACGAAGATATTAAACGAGTTGAAGGGGTTAACGGCTCGAACGTAAAGAGGATTGTAAGCTATCACGTGACTCTGACATTCTTTAGATCCTCCAAGTACAACTACCTCGCCTTACGACTGGGTAGTCTTCTTGGGCGGTACAAATGACATGGCATATCGCCATACACCAACTCAAATCTTCGATTCCATCAAGACAATTTTGGATATCCCTCTCTCACGCGGAGCCAAAGTTCTCATCATGACAGTTCCGGAAATCGAATCCCATATCCTTGACGACGAGCGTGGAGAATTGAACGATTTGATCAATAATTGGGCGAGGGAGAAGGATGCTGTATGGGGCTTTGATTTGTGGCAGCAAATGAAGTATCATGGTATTACGGAGGAAGAAAGACGAGAGAGGTGGGATGATAGCTTGCATTTTACGCCGAAAGGATATGAGATGATTGGAGAAATGGTGGGAGCGAGACTAGTCAAGATCTTGGAGGGTGGAGAAGGCGATAAGAAGATACACCAGTGAACACTTCTGCTTCTTGTCAAATTGGAACGTCTGCCTGTCTGCGAAGCTCTGAGAGAATCGACGATGGGTTGCTTGCACTGTAGAAGATAGAGCCCGCGGGGCACGACACTGGGTAAGAATTGAGACCTGTTGAATATAAATAAAAAAATTTGCAAATCTACCCGGGACTCTGCAGCACTACCCAACATTGAATTTATTCATCATCGCAAATCAAGCCCACATACATCCACTGCTCTGGACATAGCTCTTTCTCACACCATACAACGTACTAAGCCCATCACTCCATGTCTCCGTATGCTCCTCCAACGTTCCTGAGATAGGGTCTATCTCCTCATGTCTCTTCAAGGCAATGTTCCAGCTGAAGCTTGAGTGTCCAACACCGGCGAATTCTTGTGATTTCGTCAATACCAGGTAGTCTACCAGTGCTCTTTGATCCCAATTCAGTCTTTCAAGTTCGTCCGCATCTTCCTCCTTCAACAGGTCCTCTTTGTGCGTCACTGCGATATTGTATTCGGTAGCTTCTAAGCCAATCTTGTGGGCTTCGCCGAGATCGCCAGACGCAATGTACATGATTTGTGTCTTGGCCGAAAAGGCTTGCTTCAGATAAGCAGTAGACTGAGCTTCGTAGTGACTGTACTTCACATCGCTGTGTCTCTTTGATTGGGTGAAAGGGCTCGCGGTCTCGAGATGAGCACCGAAGAACGAGGGGTTGATGATTGGTTCTGAAAGGTTCATAGGTAGGTCATACCAATTCGAAAGTTTCATGAGGGTTCTTGTTGCTAATCGTCGAGTATCAGGGCGAAATTTGAGGATATTGCCAAAAGTATGAGCCACATCGTGACCATCGGAATTGATGGGGTAGTGAAGAAATGATTGCTCGAGGTCGATGATTATGGGTTCCTTCTGGTTCTCCTTGGACATGTATGACTCGATCCAAGCCTTTAAACGGATGGGCCATTCTTCCGGCTGCTTCAAACCTGTTATTGGGATATCTGGGAAGAGGCTTTCCGGTAATAGACCTCGTCTTCTTGGAGTCTCGACTGGTTCCATGTGTCTGATCAGCACTAGCTCAGGACATGATTTCCGAAGGGAATCCGCGAAGTGATTCTTGTCGAACATGTATTCGATCCCTTGTCTTGGCATCCCATGACGGCGCTCTACATGCGGTGCATCATCTAGCTCATCGTGGCCTCGGGGAGCGATACTCGGAAGGACGAGAGATCCTCCAGCACCAATTGCATATCTGACACAGTTGAGAATCGAATTCCGTATATGTCCAATCCCACCATGGTTGTTGTCGCAGGTGAAGATCAAGCTAGAGTTCCACTCGACGGAAGAGCACATGTCTCTCATTGCTTGCGAGTCAACAGGAGGGAAGTCGAATACATCAGCCTCTTTAACTGACATGGCTCCAGATGAAATGTTCCATTTCTGCACCCTGTCTCGTATAGCTTGGTGATCGACACCAAAGAAGAGCCATATAAGGAAGAGGGAAATGCCTCCAAAGACAAATGGTCTTCGACTGATCAGTTGTGTGCACTGCATCTTGATATCTTGCTGTTCTCAGCTGAAGAATACGAAGAGGAGGAGAAAGCAGGTGCAACTCTGCAGAAATCTTTCAGGGTCGCCATGATGGTGGCGATTGATCGTGCATGGGTCGAGAGCTGCCTTGATGTATGAGCTTGGTAGTGTTTGAGATGTTTTAGGTTGATCCTAGTCGGGAATCTGTGGGGTGTGAAGTGGGTGGCAACATCAAGCTTGCGAGGTCTACTGTAAATTCACGATCCTCCATTCTTCTGGGCTACAAAGATCATCTTTTGTAAACACGTTCGAGGACATAAACTTCTTTTCGTCCATTTCTATTACTCTTTAAAGAAAGCAAGATCATTTGAAGTAGACAAGCCATTTTCCGGGTTTGGACTGTCGGCTTGGCAGACGCCTGTGAAACAAATGCAGGCCGGGCCCAAAACGCTGAAACGACAACTAAGAAGTCTCGAAAACAAAGTCAGAATATAACACTTACTAATAGAGGCCACACTAACGCTGAAGGACAGGAAGGAGAACCTAGGTAATGCACTATTGCGCAAGAAAGGCCCTGGTGGAACGACAACGCGAACGCACGTGACACTTAGTCACTATGTCTAAAAGTGTCCATTCTAGTACCATCGTCATCTACAACTACCAAGTCCTGGAGGAAAGACGAAACCCTTGATGTTCGGTCTCGAGAAGACTTTTGGAAAATTCATGGTTCGCAGTGCAAGCGATTAAGTAAAGCAGAGCCAAGCACCATATCGCCCGCCTTCTTTGGTCTTAATATCTGAAACTCGGCAGACTCATCGCCCCCTGGCAACTTCACCGGTCGTCCTCGGTTTTGGTCGTGTAAACAGTGACCCGACTGCTGAATTGAGCATTGCTATGCATACTTACTCTATAACTAGACTTGAAAGTCTAAGAGGAAAGAGAAGTTGGGTTGTTGGCATTAGTCATCAAGCATTACATAAGTGTGGCCGGCTTGATTCGGCGAATCGCGCAGGCGACGTGTTCGATCAGGCTCCCAACACCATGCCTCGTCTCTTGTTGCACAACTTCCACACGCCTCGTCCTATTGCTGAACATTTCTAGAACATTCTTTGCGCTATCTAATTTCTATCTTTGGAGTCTCATCTTGGGCGGGCGCGTGGCTTATGGGATACGGACTACTGGGCATCAAGATCGCGGCAGCCCAACTCCTTTACCCCGATTTTCTACAATGAGGAAACATAAGTATTGCGAAATGGTCTTGAAGACTTTATAATGAGTTTTCTATCCTACATGAATGCAAGTTATGGATACAGAAAGTAGATGTTCCATCGAGCAAGTGCTGTCGATTTGGGCATCGATACTCCAAGCCGTCGTCCATACATAATTGCGCAGGCCTTAGATAAGCCCAGCACTGCCACCTTTCCCGAGCATTCCAATTTCTAAGTCATTCATCCAAACAATGCATGCCGGATCTGAGAGCTTTTTGCTACGCCTAGGACATGCTAAAAAAATTCCCAGTCCAGTGCTCTAACCAGTTCGAAAGATTTGTCGAGCAATAACTTGATCTCCATCCTTCGAAACTGCCGGAAACATCACAATGAATCCCAGCTCACTGTCTGCCCACGAGCCGAAAATCCAAGACGAAGGATGGGATTCTATGAGGACTCTCAGTTCGTCGCCCAATTTGCAGAGTTCTTGTATATGTGCGTTGCGTGCGTCTTCGGTATTCGGATCCGCATAGTCTGCAAGTTGTGTGGCAATGTGGTTTGCGACCTCAGATATGTCCGACGAACTGTGGAAACGATTAGTTTCGTGCTACATTTGGCAGATAGTACTCTTACTCTTCCTCAATTATGGATGCGACAATTCCTCTCGCAATATGTCTGCGGATTGCGGCGTGGCGCGTTTCGAGATTATCCAGTTCAGTATCTCCTCCCTGTATACGAGCATTGTGTGGGTAATAGAATTCCGCGTGTTGATCGATGAGAGTTGCAAGATTGGTAATTCGTCTTATGATTGTTCGATCTTCGGGATATTCTGGAATCAAGGGGAATTGAGACTTATCTCTATACGACGAGGTATGTCTTTCTCCACCAGATGTTTTCGGGGCGTGTTTCTGCCTTCTGGAGCTGGAGGGTCTAGCAAAGGAGCTTGAGGGCCTCTGATGGGTAGATTGAGGTCTGTCGCGCCCAGTCCTGCTGCTCTGGGGTCGATGTCTTCCTGTGCTAGTGCTTGGACGTGTACTTGTACGCGGACGTGGTTGAGAAGAGGATGAATCCAAAAGTGCTGTAATTACTCTGCGCGGAGGAGGCGTTGGGTTGTTATCTGCCGATCCACACATGGTTTCGCCTTTTTCCAAGTTGCTCCATCCTCTCCAGAGATCCTTCTAAAGTCTTACTGGTAGATCCCCAGTTCTCACGGAGTTCATCTTGGACTTTCGTTGTTTAACTTGCCTGGCTAAGTTTGCCTGGGCCCTTGAAGTGAAAGGGCTAGAAAGCCTTTCACACCTGTTTAGCAAGTGAACGAGTACATGTTTTACTTGACCAACACACGCTGTCGAATGCCATCGGTCTTGCTTTGTCGGCACCTTCTCGGATTTACCTCTAGCCTATCATTATCCAATCGCAAGTCTGGCGAAAGCACAGAGGTCCGTGGTAGGATTCATATTCGTGGTGAAGGATGTTCTATTCATTCTACGGCAGGGCCTGGCCTTAAAGGCTAGGGCCGCTGACTAAGATTGTGGGGTGAGGACGGCGCGAGCCCGTTTCCCAACAGTCGCCTTACCCAAACCGAACCCACTTAGGGATCTTCAAGATAAACAAAAAAGGAACAAGGCAGTCGGGGAATTATATGTGCATTCATTTGTGTTACATGCTTCTGATAAGGTCACAGTCCCTGTTCTTGTCCTTCGACCAATAAACTTTGAGCACTTGCGGCTTCTCCTCCGCTTGACTCACGACTGTACCAATGAACTCGAATTTTCCCACTTCAATAAGCGCCGATAATCTACAGTTGACTCGAGAGAAATCAGTCTTCCTGCCAAAAAATCCGCGTTTATGAGCAATTCCTAAAGTATGCAACCTTACTTCCGGACTCGAGACCACGTGACCCACAATTTCAACACTTCCTTTGTCGTCCAAAAAGATTGGTAATGACCGTGCATCTGCTGTTGAACGGATTATGGTGAAGCCCCAGCTTTGTTTTTTCAAGGCTGGATCCGCCAAAATTGAGTAGAACCGTGGAACAACTTGGCCTCTTCGTTGCGAGCCCTTCATAATTAACCAGTCAATCTGATTCTCTGCATAGTCCTTTCCGTCAAGCCGATTTCTCGTGCACGATTGTCCAGAATGCTTCTCACTATATAGTTCTTTGTACAAGATGCCATATGATGAGTTACTGCTTCGGATCGGTATTACTGAGCGATCTTGGCAGACATGCTGCACCCTATCGATGACCAAGCCTTGGCATACAGCAAGAGGACTATTTACAACATTAGTTTGGGGAATGTTAAAACCATGTTGAACTTACAGGTCTTCAGGTTTCGGTGCAAATAGTACCTCCATACCCGTTTTTTGGCACTGTTCTACAAGTCTGTCTTGTACATATTTTGAGGACCCAAGGCCCCCAGCTAAAAAGAGATAGGACTAGATCACTCAGTTAGTCAATTAATCAACAAGAAAGGGGCAGCTGTGCAACAGTAACGTCCGCACTACATACCACTCTTACGTAAGGTTTCACACTCCGGAGAAGTGAAAGTTGCTTGTTAATAGCTTCGATCATCATATCTATTTGCGAATCGAACATGGTTTTCAGCTCAGCACTGTTCCGCGAGTATCAGCAAAACGAGCAACTTCTGCACAAAAAGAGACGTACAGGTGGAACGTAATGCTTTCGGTTGAGTCTGGCACTTGTAGTCTTACAATCTTTATCCCCCGAAAGGAATCAGTCCCGAATAGCGTCTTGATGTCTTGAAATTTACCCCGAGACATCTGAAGAGCTAGGTTTTCGACCTTATCATGGGCTACTCCATTAGTAGACCAGAGAAGTTCTCTTGCTCTCTTCTCGAACAGTTCATCGATGTTGACGGAGCCAGCAGGAAGAGCTTTTCAAATACAATTTTAGTAGAGCCTCAGACTTGATGCAGATTTTCAGGGCTGCAAACCTCTTGGCTCATCAACAGTCTCTAATTCAAGTACGTCGTCTAGTGGGCTATTCACCTGAAGGATGCACATATCCTGAGGGAGTCAGGTCTTCCGTGATGGTGGCCAGAAAGACGTTGAAAGACGTACAGTTGTCCCACCCCCGGCGTCGAGCACCATAAAAGCTTCACCTTGCTGGAAATGGTCAGTCTCATCTGGAATGCATAATTTGTATGGATAGCTTACTTGAAATGTGTAGTTAAGCTTGTTAGCGGTGAAGACAGCTGCTGCTTCGCCTTCTGTCAAGTCCATATGGACTTGACCTGTTTTACCAAATCCTGCATCGTCCACGATGTCTCGAAATTCACGAACTAAGTCGTCCTTATCCTTCCACTCTGTCGGAATGCTGAAGACGAACTCGACGGACGTGGAGGGCGAGTCGAAGTCTATTTTCGGCTCGTCTCGAAGTTCTTGAACGATATGGGTGTAAATAGCCGTCAAAAAGTCTTTGTACCAGAGCCTGACATTCTCTGGTTTAGGCGCCTGAGGACCTTGTCCAAATTTCTTTTTCACATATGATGTGTCCAAGAAGAACTTGAACATATCTTTTATCGCTCTACCCCCACCCAGATCAGACAATTCCGGGCAGCCGAAACCCCACGAATGAATACCAAGTTCTCCAGCTGTGTATGCGACTCTTGTGGGCACCTTCTTCACCACGCTTTCAACAGCGCCAGGCCATTGTTCGATAACTCGTACGTGGGTCTCTCTCCCACTCGGGGCGTCAAAATCTGTGCAAATAGCAACACCTGCACGGCACGTCAGCCTCTTTCCCGGAACTCGGTCTCGGCATCGAGCTCGATTCCGCTCATGTATACCTGTGCAGGTCAGACCAACGTCAATCCCTACGATGACACGCATTGACACTTCTCGAATATCTGACATCGTGATTAAAAACTAAGATTATGTATCGTTTCGAGATTTATTCTCGGTTCCCTCTACATCAACAGCGATACTGGATATTAAGTCCTTCCACTTGCTAGACGAGGCTGTGCGGTCCAAACCGGTACAAAATGTACTTGTCGTCGCATATTTCGTGTTATTCTCCAACTGGCTCTGGGGCTAAATGCCTTACCATGCATCACTATAAATTCGTACGTCTCCACGAGACACCGCACAGTCAGGCTTCAGCGTCTTCCGAACATGTTTCACTTTCCATCGTCCATATGGTCTGTGAGACGCGCATATAACAGTCAGCCGACCGACAGCCTCACCACATCCTTCCATATTTACCATACACATATATAGCAGCCCATCATTTGAAGCTTCCAGGGGAATCCATGATCTTTGATGGAAGATATATCGTGCGCCCAATATATGCCCTTTTTACCTGCACCTACTAACGTGCGTCAACGGCGAGCCGGTACCACGTTCGGCAGCCTCATCTGGGATAGATCTCGGTTAGGATGTCCTGTCAGAAATGATACATAAATGGGCCGGTAGCCCGTTGGTCCTCCAGGTGCTGCTTAGTTGTCATCTGCTGTGGGAGTAACATTTGATTGCACAAGAATAATGAACGGAAACCAATAATCGTTTGACTTCCATAGAGTATGCGCAAGTACCCCCCATTTTCCATTTTGACCGATACGACGGTATCTAGTACAGTTTCACCGCAGTAGCTAGGTCTCCGAGTAGAACAAGGAGGAGAAAGGAAGGCTGAGCATCGGTGTAGATATTGCCTGCGTAACGAAGGACGCCACGTATATGGAAGAGTCAGAGATAGTGTCGTGCCCTGTGTTCATTCATTTTCATAAGCCAGATGCTGCTCCGAAGTCGCTGCCTTGAGTAACACGAAAGCGGTGTGCAGAAATGCCCGAATTTTGCATGTTGCGCAAGTGGCCGTGTGGTGCAACTCAAATTCCAAGCCACTATGCGCTTGCTCGTTGATAGGTTTTAACTCGACAAACATCTAACGAATGAGAACAACGCCAAAATTCATCCGAAGTCAGCCCAACATATTCATTTGGGGGCACTTTCTAAAATTTCGTTGTAGAAGGATCATCAGCATGCTGTGGAATATTTGACCACTCCCTGACGTGTGCTATGTCCACCTCACTTAGTGGGCATGCTAAGTCCACGTTCTGTGCTCAACAATTAGATAGCTCCTAGGTTGGTGACAACATATCGGCATCACTTAGATTATGTAGCTCGCTTAGCGAAACATTCTTACCGGCCTAATCAGAATGGACAAGTAATGAGGGCCGACACAGTAGAACAAAAATAACAAGAGTGTGGTACGAAAAGAGCCAATACTGTGTTCCCTGAGCATTTTCGACGTCTGCAAACAACGTCTTTGGAAACCATATCGAGCATTTTGAAAAGTGGAGAACCTCGCTTCTTTCAGGGGCAAAAGTGATGACAAGAGACCTCGGATCGAAAACTCAATTAATTTATTACGAGATTGATGTTGCGAAACAAGAAAATAATAGTCCACTTGGAGAAAATTCCAAGGCGGCGAAGGCGTGGCGCAATCTTGAGATCAAGAAGTCTACATACTCAACTCAACACTGATGCTCGCTAAATACAGCAACGGTCTTTTATGTTGGACAAGCTCTGAGAAGGGACATTCACCAGAGCTACAAAGTACCTTTAATGGTATCTAAGACGCCTGTGGTGGTGGACTTGTGGAGTGCGGGGTCAGTTTGAGGACCCCGCTATTTGGCCCCCAAACTCAACAAGACGGAATGCGAGATGGTGAAACACGGACGTAACTAAACCAAAAGGCCGAGGCTCTGAGCAGCCAGTTCTTAACTGTTTTGCACAGTTGTTCGCCCTGAAAAATCAAGCAGTCGTGAGCATGGCACTGAAGAAAGCCAAGCCAAAGTTCGACATGGGACTTGCAAGCTTGGAGGTCCGCCAGGAGGGGGCTTTAGGAGTTAATCTGGCGAACTAATGAATCAACGCATTGAACCTGCCCAAAAACACAGTTTACAGGGTATCCTTAGATCAATCTCCAAATGATACGCTATAATTAATTCTTGTCATGATGTCAGAGCCGAAAGAAGAATAGCACACGCTGAAACTGTACCTCTTGAGTACGGCTCTTCGACCTAGCACGTGGTGACTGGGGAGCTTGACAAAATTGTATTTTTTAAGACTTGCTAAACCTTTTTCAAGGGTCGGGAAAGATCGCGGAGGGATACAATCGAAAGTCTGAATACTTTCTGAAGATGCGCATCAATCATGGCGAATTGGCAATCTTTGTCTATGACATTGAGCATCTTGCTTTTCGGCAGTTTCTTGAGGGTGTTCACAGCCTCATGATAAGGGACCAGACTGTAAGTGGTGATGAAAAGATAGTCTGGCCTGGAATGGACCAAGCGTTATGCTCGTGACAGGTCTCGGTAACAAATTACCTTCTGCCTGCGTGAGATCGGAAAGAACGAGCCAATATAGTCTCATGAGTCGAAACACCTTTATGAAGTGAGATTTCACTGAAAAAAAAGCATGACAGCACTTATCAGAACCTCAGAACATCACAACGTTGCAGGTGGGGATGAACGGCGAAAGCGCAAAAACTCTCGATAACGTCAGAAAAGTATATCCTAGCAAAGAGCCACCAAACCAAATAAGATCTAGATCATTACGACGTCGCATGAAAGTTCAGAAGTCTAATCTGATCATGCCATTCGCATTCGGATTGAGTTTTCGGGACCCCGAGATCGCAGACCACTAGGAACGACGATTCAACCACCTCTATGCAGTTTCCATCACACTTGCGATAACCGTGCCGAACTTTGTTCAGCAAAATTTAGTTTCTTTAAAGTGTATCACAACAGATCAGGCCGCAATCAAGGTGTGAACTGCTTTTGAAAACAAGAACAATGGTTGCGCTTTCGTGCGCTTCGACCACTTCAGCTACTGGTGTAGGTTTGTTGCTGCTACAAAGTGACAGGTGGAAATTTCCATTGATTTCTTTTGCGAATCTCCCACGGAAGATGGAAATGCCATCTTTCTATTGATAGCTGATGCATCGAAATTGAATCGTTCAGTTCTCTGTTCCCGCCAAGCAGTTTCCGCTATCATTTCTTGCAACGTCGGCTAAAACCCCCTTTCAACACAGGAACATCCGTGCATGTTTCGAACTAAAACCGTCTAAACTTTATTACCAACCACTCTGAAGCCTTGAATAGTCTTGGCAGTGGAAAGTCTCTTAAGTGGTGAAGGAAAAGGAAAGATGAAAGCAAATCCCATCGCAACGACAAGGAACTAGTGATGGCATATCCCATCCATCGGCGAAACTACACAACCGTAAATAGATCCTCATCAACCAGTGTGGCAGAAGGGATAACGTCACTAACTCCCATTATGCGATACCGTATAGTTCGTCATCCATTCGTGCGTATCAGCGGGCTTTGCTTCTTGGGGGAGGGCCGAAAGTCGATCTGGAGAATCGCCTGGGGTTCGCATGAATGCGCCATCGAGGATTCAAAGTTCACCAATGACGAGCAATGAGCAAATACCACATACGGGTCAGCTCCATAGAGCGGGTCTTGAATATTCTACATCTTAAGATGTGGATACTCCCGCTCTCTCTTCGCAGGTGGTACCAGGCTGGCCTTGTCTGAGATGAATAATTCCAACATGCCCATTCCACTCGCCTACAAGTACGAACGCGATGGAAAGTATGATTATGTGTACCCACGAACGCCTCCAGCACCAAATAGATACCAACCTCCGGTATTCGAGAAGACGGAGCCAGTGCCAGCGAAGCAGAGGAGCGAATATGTATCCTGGATGAGCGATGGATTCCGACATCATGTTATTGCCATGCTTGCAGAATTGGTGGGAACTTTCCTCTTCCTGTTCTTTGCATTCACGGCCGCTCAGATTGCAAATAACAAGCCCGATACTTTGCTCAGGACCAACTTCTTGAGCGACCCGAGTTTGCTGCAACTTCTTTATATCAGCCTGGGATTCGGAGGCAGTCTTGCAGTGAATGCCTGGATTTTCTATCGCATAAGTGGCGGCATGTTCAATCCTGCGGTAAGTTGTGAACTGATCATTCATTGTTGTTTGTACTGAGATTATTACAGGTAACTCTTGGTTTATGCTTGGCAGGTGTTTTCCCATGGCTAAGAGCAGTGCTGCTCGTTGTTGTCCAGGTTGGAGGCGGACTTGCTGCTGCAATCACCGTATCAGCATTATTTCCGGGACCACTGATGGTTCAAACAAAGCTCGGCGATGATACTACAACTGCCCAAGGACTTTTCATCGAGATGCTGCTCACCGCAGAACTCGTCTTTACTATCTTGATGCTGGCGGTAGAGAAGCACAAGGCTTCATTTGTCGCACCGGCCTGCATAGGTCTGACCCTGTTCATGGGTCACCTTATAGGTAAGTATTCGTACTTGAAAGCGAGGTTATGCTGACAGTCATTAGGGGTCAATTTCACGGGAGCTGGCATGAACCCAGCCCGCTCTTTCGGACCCGCTGTCGTCCTTGGAGAATTTGTCCCATATCACTGGATATACTGGCTCGGACCGGTTATGGGGGCATTGCTGGCCGTAGGGTTCTACAAATTATTGAAACTTTTGGAGTATGAGACAGCCAACCCTGGTCAAGACGATGACGGCCTGGATACATATCGACTTGTGACTTCGCAGCGAAGGCGGAATAGCAACGACAGCGCAACATCGCTGGTGCCTTTTGCATCTGGGCCATACGGGAGGTACACAGGGCCGTGAATAATTATGAAGGATTGGAGAGTGATTGTAACATTTCCTTAGCGGAGTCGTTGAGCGATTTAGATTGAGGTAATGGCGGCGTTGAATGGATAATGATTGCAGAACAAAGCGATGACAGAACACAAAACTGGTCGAGTAACAGACAGGCAAATGAATTTAAAATGAATGAAAATATGAACAGCCGGTCAGTCAATGAGAGCCTTCAGATGACCGTGTTAGAAAGCAAAGTGATTGTGTCATGGAGACCGAGATCTGCGATTTACCCCCAGAAGTTGTTTTTCAACACTGATAGCATGTCGAGCATTGCACAATTTTCTCTCCAATAACAACTATCTTGATCATCGAACGAAATGCAGGCTTACAAAGCATACAAAGCAGCAAAGGTACTTGGAAAAGTTACAAGGGCCGTCGGCAGCATAGAGCGCCAATGGGAATGTTGTAACATCCTGCCGCAATGTTCTGGCAAGGGTGCTGCGGGGATGAGGCCCAACAAGCCCCAGCAGACCTTGAATTATCCCGGGCAGGTGAGATATTCCACTCGAAACAACACTCTCCAATGCTGAATGACCTCTGACAGTGCGGCCGTATCAACCCAAGCTCGGTCAAGAACTGCAAGGACTGCAAGCATAAGCGGTGTGACCAATGCAAGGGACATCTCAAGCTACCAGATCCCGTGGATCTCTTCAAGAAATGAGCATCAGATGTGAACTAGTGAGGTAGTTTGCTGAGATTGAGGGAGATAGTATCGGAGGATGCAAGTTGCCTTGCGTTGGGCTCAAGGGACAACTCAATATCGAACATCTTTAGATTACTCAAGGATAGAAAGAAGTTATCATGAAAATCAAAACCCTGGCCGACGTCCAAAAATATAATCCTGTGGATCGTGACGACAGGGAAGATAAAGTGTGCCTAAGCTTAACGCAGGCCGACAGAAGCGTCACGTACTTGATTCTGCGTTGCTTTGCCACGTTCTTGTACTTATCTTCCGTATCACCGTAGTTATCAAACGGAGCTACTGAGCTTGCCGCGCGTGCCACTTTTACGCTTCTTCTTGTTCTTCTCCTTCGCCTTCGGTGGCCAAGGCGATATCATCTTCTCCGCCGTCAGTCTTCGTCTCGGTTTTTGCGATTAACAGAATTGAGGAGAAGTCATTCTCGACCAAGAATGTTATGGTGTCCGCGGCCCTTTGATGATCGTATGCTGACATCCCAACGCTAGGATCTTTCGCAAGCAGACTTGGTTGAAATGCTGCAACAAGGCGAGCCGTAGTCATCTTGTTCGTTTTTGATTTGGAGGCAAAAACTTGAACGAGATCAATTATGTACATAAGAAGCATACGAGGCATGGGTTGAAGATCTGTACTGCAGTCCTTGAAGGCGTTAATGGCCTCTTCCTCGATGCCAGCATCGAAGTCAATAGAGGTGAACCTATTATAAAATTCAAATGATATGACGGGTTCCGGGAGGCGTTTCAAGTATCGTAGAAGGCACGTCGCAGCATCATGCACAGAATAGCCGCTCCAATCCAATCCTTTGCCGTAGCGGTCTGGAGTATCGAAAATGATCTCGAGTTGATGTACGCGGTTGGCTGAGCCACTTCGAGCAAAGATATCCTCACTCTCTGTCCCTGAGACAACTTGTCAGTGCTTTTATCGAGGACTGGAACGTCGTGCGTGATACCTTTCTCTTTCAGCAATACACAAATCTTTGCAACCACTATAGGAACATATCCGATCACGAATTTCTCTCCCTCATTATTCACAGCAGTAATCATGACATTGGCATAACAGATGCTTTCCCGTAAAGCAACGCCGAATATTCTCGGGACGTCGTCTGAACTGTTGTCGTTACCACCCAATCGCGGCTTAAGGTGTCGAGTTAACCATGATTTAAGGTTCTTGCTACCTGGCGACACGGCTTTGGTATTGATGAAAGACTGATTGGGCTTCTCAGTTGAGGCGCGAACAAGTGGTTGGGTTGCCGTGAAATCTCCAAACTTGTAAAATTCACTGTTGCTTAAATCTTGCTCGTATATAGGAAGAGCCTGTACTGCAATCACTGATATATTATCTGCGACTTAATCCAGAAAGCATGGACCATGACGCAGTCCTGCCAGCAGAAGTTATAACAGAAAATGCACCATTGTCGGCTCGAGCTGTTGACCGTGTATAAACCCAGGAGTGATTTAGCTCCTCTTCAAAAGCGAAGCCTTGTACGTTGCGTTGAAATGGAGTCGATGTCTCGTTCCGTGTTCCAGATTCCATGAGGGGAGGCACGTCTGCTGTGACTCCAAGTCCCACTTCAATTGAAGCAAGACGTTGAGCAATAACCAAATTGCTTTCCAAAAGATGCTCAATAGTCGTTGCTAGTACATCGACAGAATCTTCAGCAGTTCGAGTAGAGTCACTGATGATTGATGTTAAGGACACCATAATCCAAGAGAGCGCGATGCTTACCAGGTAAGGATAGTCAGCATCAGCGTCAACGTGCTCTTATGTACCTCCAATTTGTGCAAATGTTCTTGAATTGTTGATGACTTCATTGCCCATCTCATCCGATCCAGCAAGCCCATTTTATCGTCAGTCCCCAAGGTATCCACGAATACATCAAGTTCTGAAAACGTCGTCACACACGCCGAAAGAGTAATCACGATCTGGTCCACTAAGATCAACGAGGATCGATGCCGGTTGACTCGAGTGTGTCCTAATAGCATGAGCTGTAGCTGACACAGAACAGTTGAGATAACGTCGACGCTAGATTTCAAGTCTTTGATCTCCTTCGGAGCATTTACAGCCTTGCTGATGATAGGCTGTAGGGTAGAAGATATTTGTTCGCCTGCTTTCAAGAGCCCAACTATAGACATAGCAACGCTGAGAGGATCCATGCTTGGGATCTTGAGCGAGGTTGCGCTTTACAACAGTTTCAACGATTGATAATAAGTGTGCAAATCAATGCACCACGTCAACCACGAGGCTAGGCGGCTGAGACTTTGCAGCTGCTTGACTGGCAAGAACATCGTAAGGGCAGAAGAAGAGCAATTTTTCTTTACGGAATCACAAAAGATCTGCAAAAGATGATGTTCATTAAGGAGAAAAGGAGCTTTATGCAATACAAGAAAGTAAGGAACGAAATCGCCAGCATGGAAGAAACTTCGTATGCTGTGCACGTGACCGGCCGGCCGAAGTCAAAAAGTGCTGGTGGAAACTCCATCTGCACAACTTTGACCATCAGCTGTGTAAATCTTCAACACTTGCTGCCATCCTGGACGGCGACCTTCAATTGCCATTATGTATCAATGGCAACCATCTCCTGCCTTCCCTGGGCCCTCCGCCGTGCTGTTATAGCCAGTCGCCCCTCCATCTTTTCCTTCCAACGCAGATTCTCAACCTCTCTCACAGCCAGCTCTGCTGTCAGAACGTATGCAGATGCCCTCAAGCTTCTCGAGAAGCTGCAATCGAACCGCCAAGTCCGATCTGCCTTCTCCAAGACTTCGGGAGACATGAATCTCCAAGCAATACCTGAAATGCTGGACTGGACGCGCCGAGCGGGGTATGATGTTCGGGATCTTGCGAAGCATGGCCTGAAGTACATACACGTTGCAGGAACGAAAGGGAAAGGCAGTGTATGCGTCATGGTGGAAAGCATACTTCTGCAATACCAGTCGGTAGAGAAGGGCGTTGGTCTGGGTAAGATTGGGCTATACACATCACCCCACCTAGTTCATGTCCGAGAGAGGATACGAATCGATGGGTCGCCAATATCAGAACCTCTGTTTGCGAAGTATTTCTTCGAACTATGGGACAAGTTCTCTGCCACTGCTACATTGGACTCGAATACCGATCCTCAATCTCTAGATACGAAACCCTCGTACTTCCGTTATCTCACTCTCTTGGCTTTTCATACATTCATACGAGAAGGTGTTCAATCTGCAATTGTCGAGTGCGGGATTGGTGGCGAATATGACAGCACAAACATGCTGCCCGCCGAAGCTGTGACGGCTACGGCTATCACACCTCTTGCAATTGATCATGCAGGAATGCTGGGAGACACCATTGAGGATATAGCCTGGCACAAGGCAGGAATCATGAAAACCGGCGTGTTAGCATATACGGCAAACCAGGCACTTGAGGCACAGGCCGTCTTGGATAGGAGAGCTGCGGAAAAGGGCGTGGAGCTGACTGTGGTGAACAGATTACCTCTCCTTGACGAAAGGAATATCAAGTTGGGTTTGGATGGAGACTTTCAAAGGGACAATGCGAGCCTGGCTATCGTTGTCGCGTCCTCACATTTGAGGACTATGGGAATATCGAATGGGGTTCCCAGCCCTCAACCTTTGATCGAGTCTCCAGAAACTCTCTCCCTCCCAGAGAAGTTCATCAAAGGTCTGACAACAGCAATCTGGCCAGGCAGATGTCAATTCGTCAAAGATGGCAACACAGAATGGTTCATAGATGGCGCTCACACCAAAGAAAGCCTCGAAGCCGCCGCTGCTTGGTTCGCTCGCAGAGCATCCGAAGCATTCTGCTCGTCCAAGCCACCCAATTCGACAATGCTTATCTTCAACCAGCAAGACCGAGACGCCGGCGCTCTGATGAAAGGACTGATGGCCTCTCTTTATCACAATAAGAACTCGCCTTGGTATTCGACCACGACGAGCCAGCAGCCTATTCCACTGAATAACAGAAAGCTATTCCTATATGCTGCATTTGTTACGAATGAACCTTTCAAGCCTGCTATCGCAGGTACTATCGACACTGCGCTCCAAACAGAGTTGGCGAAGCTTTATACGAGATTGGATGCGAATCAATTGTTTATGGTGTATGAAAGTGTCGAGGAGGCAGTTGACCTGGCACACAAGATCTCAGAAGGCAATGAAAGGGTCCTGGTATTCGTCACGGGAAGTCTACATCTGGTGGGAAGCGTCTTGAAAGTCCTGGAGAAGAAAGGGGTGGATGTTACTGTCAGCAACCAGGCCATGGTCTAGAGCCCATTGCTGGAACCACGGGCAGCTCTGGTGATACCGGAGCCGTATTTTATGGTTATTTTTTGTTTATGATACCCAAAACTCGATATGTAATGCTATTCAACTTATCCTTGACATCGTTCATCAAGAATACTCCCACTTTCCTCGACCATTTATCACAGACCCCGTTCAGCCAATCACCCAAGCCGAAATCATTTTGTTGCACATCGCTATCGCGCAAATGCTCATTCCGTTTGTCACTTATCTCGTGGTAGCACCACATATCATGTCCGAGATCCTTTCGGCGAATTGTGGATAAATCTCGGGGAAATGTAACCTTGCTCCCGAGTCGGTGTTGGGGGCGAGGGAATAGATGTTGATGCTGTGGGTATTTCTTTGGAGTTGGCAGGATTTGAAGCTCGGTGAAGGTCAGTGCGGCTGAGTTAGGAGATTTTGGATCTCCATGGTCGAGATGCAGAAGTTTACATGAAGATCAGAGGTCGTGCAACAAGACCTCTTCGAGATAATTTTGAGTTTGTTGCACAAGGCGTAGTTGTGAAGATTACACCCAGACTGACGCTTAAGGGTATCGATTTTCAAATTCTACAGGAACATTGAGTTGATGTGAGCTTTCAGGGACCGCTCACTCAACCCCAAATACCGAAATTCTAACCCATATCGAAATCAACGTAATTAGGCCTACATTTAGTTCCCAGTGCAGTCTACAAAGCATCCACGCCTTCCAGGACATTCAGTGCTCTCCCAACCAAATGGATACTCCCCGTAATGAAAACTCGGACTTTTTCTCCCTCCACTCTTTCACTTTCTGTGCCTGTACTGCCTATACTCCTGACATAATCAAATGCTTCCTCTAAGCTAGGCAGGACTTTGATTTCTGTCTTTGAACCTGGCCATCGTTCGGCGCTTAATTCTTGCCATTTGTCGGCGAATTTCTGCTGCACTGTCAGGCTGGCTACGGCTTCGAGGTCGGTTTGGAGGTTAACGTGATCTAAGCTGAGTTAGTATGATGATATATGTGAGGAGGTAGGGAGCTTACCTTTCTTGGTGCTGGAAGCAGGTGGTGTTGAAGGACAGAAGATCACGTGGTCGAATTTGAGTTGGCGTTCAGTGGCTGCGAAAAGACGTTCGAGAAGCTCTATCGTTTCTCGGTGGCCTTGTTGGTTGAATATGAGGACGCGAGGTTCGGGTCTGGACTTTTGTTAGTTGATGGAATTAGGAGAAGGAACGGGAATTTACTTGTCTTTTACTTCGTCGCAGAACCATTTTGAAGCAACGATGATACTGTCTGCTGTATGTGCTCCATCCAGATACCAGACAGTATTGCCATCAACCCTAACTTCACATCTACCTCTCGACGCGATGCTCTCCAGGCCTCGGACAAATCTTTCCGGAAGCCCAGGTGCTTTCAACTCTTCTTCTAGATCCACATTATCACGATTGACTTTCAAAAGCACCTTTCTTGCCAAAGCGATAGCTAGACTAGCATTCTGTCTCTGGAAAGTAGCGTCCGGTTTGATCTTGACATCTTTTAAAGATGGATTCTCGTCAACACAGTGAAAGCCCCTCGCTCTTCGCTGATATGCTCTCTCGGAAAGGACAGCCATGGCTGGCCAAGGTTGCTGAACGGTATACGCAGGAGTTGATCCTTTGAAGATTCCAGATTTGTGCCATGCAATACTTTCGATTGTGTTGCCTAGGTGAAATGTGTGATCGATGCCCAGCGATGAGATGCCGGTCACAGAAGGTCGTTTGATAATATTGGTAGCATCGTATTGACCTCCCATTCCTACCTCGTAGACAGCAACATCGATGGATTCAGAAAGAAATACGTGGAAGCTCATGAGGGTGAGGAATCGGAAATAGACTGGTTTCGGAGACACGGGTTGTTTTCCATCGGCATCTGGCTCACATATCTTGTCCCACACCTCGAAGAAATATTTGGTGAACAGTTCTTCTGATATGGGAGCCGAGTTGATTCGTATGCGTTCTCGGACGGAGATGAGATGAGGAGAAGTGTAGAGGCCGATGTTCTTGTGCAAGGAGATTTGATGCAGATCACGTGTCTCAGAGTCCAGTGCCAATTTTCGGTATTCGCCCAAAATCGATTCGACGTAACCACACACTGTGCCTTTACCCTTCGTTCCAGCAACATGAACTATGTTGAGCTTCGTAAGATCATTCTCCTATACACCTTTAATTTGGGCCAACCAGGACAAACGGGAAAAGTACCGTGTAACCGAGTCGTCCAAGGCATTGTTTTGTGTGATCAAGGTCTTCTTGTCCACGCCTTATACCAGCATCCCATTGTCGTTTAAGCTCTGCGTATGGGGTTTGAAGTGTGTTGAGGAGATTGATAGCATCCTAGGGACGATCAATGGACTGCTTGAGGGTAAGTTGAGGTACCCACATCGTAAGTTCTGTTTTTGGCATCAGAGTAGCACCTCCAAGCTATGTAAGCATGGCCATGTCGGTATGAGACATAACGAGAATTTCTTATTACACCAAGGAGGGCATTCCTCGTTGAGAGCCGCATAATGCCGCTTGCTCTCGTATGTCGAACGAGAATTAAGGTGAGATATCAAAATGAAATCGCTTAGTCAGCACTATTCAGACCCATCGGAAAAACATTCTCTCGGCAGCGACAAGTTCAATTCAACCACTTCATCGTCTTCTCATCGGTACCGAAAATGCGCATGATGCAATTCACAATCGGTATGGGGAATACTGGCCCGCCCGAGTAGGACGGGTACAATAAGTCCGCCGGTAGCCTATCGAAGGCCTAGAAGAACCTGGACAGTTGCCGTAAGTGGGGGATGTGGATCAAAGAGACGCTGCATCTAACTTTTCGTATCAGCACAGGATGCTGCTCTACCAGCTCCTTTGATCTTGAAATTCTCATCAAAGATGGGCTCTGAGAAGCCTCAAGAAAGAGAGACATCGATTGTCGTCGCTGATACTAATGCAAATGCCCCCACAACGTTGTTTGCGCCAGTAAAGTCGGCAACTGAAGAATTGCCACCTCTTTCCGCTGGAGCGTCAAGGGGCAGTGTTTTGCAGGAACCGACAATACGCCAAGTAGCACCTTTAGTTCTGATTTTGACAGGAGCTTCTTTCCTCAATGTAAGTCAATCCCTCTTGAATTCGATTTCTGATACTAAGCGTCCTAGACAACTGGAGTGCAATCAGTCGTCATCATCTTGCCAAGCATTACTCGAGATCTCCATATCCCAGAAACTCGACAAGAATGGATCGTCTCAGCCTATGGCCTCACTTCAGCCGCCTTTCTTCTGCTTTGTGGCAAGCTTTCAGATGTTTATGGGAAGAGGTTGCTGTTCATCCTGGGGTGCTTCTGGCTCACCGCTACTACCCTGGGGGCCGCTTTCTCTCCAAATGAAATCTGTATGTACACGATGAGAGCTTTGCAGGGCTTGGTACGTATGCACGAAGACTGAATACTTTCTTCGTGTGCTCATTCAACCAGGGTGCGGCAATTACTATTCCAACAGCCATCGGAATTATTGGATATACAATACCGCCTGGTCGAGTCAAGAACTATAGTTTCGCTTTCTACTCGGGTGGCGCTCCAATGGGACAAGTGTTGGGTAATCTGCTGGTACGTTGATTCATTTTCTCCTGTTTTCAACTCTGACCGTGTCCTCCAGGGCGGCATCATTTCTGAATACGCAAATTGGAAAGTTGTGTTCTTCGTCATAGCTGGTGTAGCTTTCGTCATTGGAGCTATCGCAATCTTCGTTGTTCCAAAGGAACCGCCCAGTACTGGTGATGCTGGTGAACATCCTCGTGCATCAGGTATTGATTGGACTGGCGCATTTTTGTTCACATCTGGTACTCTTTTGCTACTGATCGCTCTTTCAGAAGGAGTGGCTCAACCTCAAGGATGGAGGACACCCTTCGTCATAGCAATTCTCCTCGTCTCTGTTTTATTCCTAGGCCTGTTCATATTTTGGCAACATTATCTGGAGAAGATATCATCAGAGCCGCTGATGCGTGTTTCTACGTTCAAGACGGGGCGCTTCTCGGCAGCTATGGTGATTGTGTTTTTCTTCTCAGCTGGCTTCACCAATTTCTTGGTGTATTCAACCTACTAGTAAGTTGAAGTACTTCGACCTGAACCCGATCTAACCATCGTTAGTTACCAAGACCTTCAATTATTATCACCAATACAGACAACTCTTCGATACATTCCACTCGGCATTTGTGGCAGTAAGTTAATCTCCATACTCATCCTATGCAATGGACCCCACTAAACATCACAGTCTTCTCAATCTTCTGCTCGGGATATTTCATGGCTCGAATTCGAGGCAACTACATCCTAATCTTCGGATTAGGCTCAGCCCTCATCGCAAACATTATTTTCGCTGTCCCCATTCCGCCATCAACTACATACTGGGCATATGGCTTCCCAGCAATGTGTCTCGCTGCCTTCGGGGCTGACACAACATACCCCTGCATCGGACTCTTCACCACTCAATCACTTCCCAGAAAAGACCAAGGCGTCGCAGGTGCCATGTTCCAAACAATCGCTGGTCTGGGTCGAGCTATGTTCTTGCCGATTACGGCAACAATTCAATCTAGTATTCAGACTAGAGTCGCTAATAGTAGCAATGATGCTAGTTATGCATATCTGGAGGGACTAAGGGGTGTTGAATGGTTTTGTGTTGCGTGCATGGCGATCTCCCTCCTGATCACTGTGTTTGGATTGCGGAATATTGGGAAGATTGGATTACTGAAGAAACTTGGGAATGTGCAGTCAGCTGCGAAAGAGAAGGACGAAGAGACATAACTGCCTTCGAAATCCGAATTGTTGATTTCCGGAACCGCTCAAGGATCGAGAAACTGCTCACGTGACCGAGAAATTCTGTTTTAATCTCCGGAGGTTTGCAAGTGGGAAGTATTTCTTGCAGTGCACATTCTTAAAGATCTGTTCTATTTCATCCTATTCCTTTTCGTAGCCGTTAGTACGGTTGCTGTTCATTTTGTGGTTTTCCTGTTGCTTTCCTGATTTCGCGGAGACCCCTCAAGCACGTGAGCGGCGTGCCATCACGGCCTTCAACAACCTGGAAGTACCCGAGCTTTGAGGACTTTTGCTTGTGAGTATTACATATTTGTACGCAACTCAATTTCAACCACTACCCGCATAAGGTGTTCCTGACAAAAAGTCATACGATCGCTCTTAAGCAAACACAGTCGTATGACTGTTAAGCAAACGCAGCCCGCTTACCGAATACCGAATCTCATGATGCTTCACTCGTCCAAAAGATCACCATATCCCACAAAACCAGTCTCATATAAGACCATGGATCCTCTCCCCGTACTTCTCTACACCAAAAATATCGATACCAGAACCAACGAATTTACATATCATCGTCACAATATGCCACACGCACACTACGCCGCCGACCACATGGCGAGGAACCCGGAAGAAACAAACGCCTACCTAGTCGGAGGAGGAATTGCTTCCTTAGCAGCCGCCGTCCATCTAATTCAAGATGCCCACGTCCCTGCCCCACAAATCCATATCCTCGAATCCGGACCTTTGCCCGGAGGATCCATGGACGGCGCCGGGGACGCAGAGAAAGGATACGTCCTCCGCGGCGGCCGGATGCTGAATTTCAGCTATCTCTGCACCTACGATCTTCTGTCGAAAGTGCCATCGTTGACAGATTCGAAGAAGAGCGTTAAGCAGGAAATCGACGAGTTTAATGCCGTGCCAGAGAATAAGACGGATGCGCATGCGCGGTTGGTTGCTACGACGGAGAAGGGGCCGGAGATTTTAAATGTGAAGCATATGGGGTTGAATGCGAGGGAGAGGGAAGATTTGTTGCTGGTTGCGGGGAGTAGTGAGGAGGTGTTGGGGACGAAGAGGATTGATGAGTGTTTTGGAGCGGAGTTTTTTCGGACCAAGTTTTGGTATATGTGGGATACTATGTGAGTACATTTATGTGTGTTTTCAAGATTGGCAATTGACGAAGACTAGGTTTGCTTTTGAGCCGTGGCATAGCGCGGTGGAGTTCAAGAGGTACCTTCATAGATTCATTCATGAATTTCCGCGCATCAATTCATTGGCAGGAGTCGACCGTACGCCGTACAATCAATACGACTCCATCATTCTGCCCATTGAGACTTACCTGAAAGCTCAAGGAGTAGATTTCCGTTATGGTAAGCACTCACTCTCATTTTCACACACAGTATCTAACACGCTCCAGAAACAAAAGTCAACTCGGTCTCATTTGCACCGTCTTCAGCAATCACCGTCTCAGAAATCCACGTGGTCTCAAAAGGCGGCGCAACAGGAATCATCCACGTCCATCCCCAAGACATCGTAATCATCACACTCGGCTCAATGACCTCCTGCTCCTCCCTCGGAACGAACACCTCTCCTCCCGCCCCAAACCCAGACCTGGCTCTCTACTCCCGCGACGGCTCCTGGGGCCTCTGGTCCTCGCTCGCCGACCCCATCATCAACCCTCACTCCTCCCACTTCGGCAACCCCTCAAACTTCTATTCCCGGATCCCCGAATCCGCATGGCTATCCTTCACCGTAACACTCAAGAACCCCGCCTTCTTCCACCAGATCGAGGAATGGTCCGGCAACAAAGCCGGCACGGGAGCCCTGACTACATTCAAAGACAGCGAATGGCTAATGTCCATCGTCGTCCCGCACCAGCCTCATTTTCTGAACCAACCGGACGGCACGCAAGTCTTCTGGGGCTACGGCCTCTTTCCCTTCAAGGCTGGGAATTTCGTCAAGAAGCCCATGGCGGATTGTTCGGGGGAGGAAATTCTGACGGAACTGTTGCACCATTTGAATTTCCCCGAGCATCCGACGCTGGACAACGCGATTACGATTCCGTGTATGTTGCCGTATGTCACGAGTCAGTTCTTGACGAGGAAGGAGGGCGATCGACCGGAGGTGATTCCGAGGGGGAGCACGAATTTGGGGCTTTTGGGACAGTTTGTGGAGATTCCGCGGGATACGGTTTTTACGGTTGAGTATAGTGTTAGGGGAGCGCAGATGGCGGTTAAGGAGTTGATGGGGTTGGGAAAGGAGATGAGGATTAGGGATATCTATAAGGGGGAGCATAATGTGAAGGTTTTGGTGGATGCGTTGAGGATGTTGTTGACTTGATTGAGCTTCGGGCACGGGAGTTGGTGGCGAGAGGAGATTTTCTTTGCATTGCTTGTAATTAATGATATTCTCAAGGATGTAATCAAGAAACTCAGTCTTGAATTTCCACAGAACGATTTGCTGGATCTGACGTTGACCTATTGCCATCGCTATATGATATGTTCAAGAAGATGGGTTTCCGACTTGATGGAAGTTTTTCTCAGAGGCTTAACTAGACTAACCATGAGCAGCCAGAAGTCCGGATCTATAAATCCAGACCCATATTCGGAGTTTGATTTGTTCTATTCAGATTAGCGAATGAGGTTCTACGAGTAGCGAAGTGAAATAAGGGGCAGCGACACTAGCCCCTGAACAGATTAGCGAAGCACACTAACTGTTCTTGGTTTGTGCATCCCACGGGCACTCCCGTCCTTCCTCTTCAAACATCATCACATCCTTCACCTGCAGAGCTCTCTCTTATCTTCAACCTCACAATGCCGAATAGAAATCATCTGCACGAGTGATCCTTCGGTCATACCTCATGATCAGATTAGGCAAGCTTCACTCCTACGGCCGCGGATCTGTCAGGTACCGTAGTGCCAAAAAATGACCCCTTTCTCCGTCCGGCACATCGTTTCCCCAGATAGATCTGCCCATCAAATATCGAGTAACGTTACAACAAAGTTCTGACAATTCTGACAGAGAAGAGCCCTAAACCCGACGACGTCTGTCTACTCTCCGGGATTGAGCCGCTCTGTCATTTTACTGTGCTCTCTTTCTGGGTGAGGTCGAGGTTGTTGGGGGTTCTGGAATGTCATGCATGCATGTGATGATGGACTGGGCTCTTGCTCGGCACGGACCCTCATTCCGATCGGCACCCCCTTCCCCCCTTGCGAATATCCCTTCATTGGACACGCGACGTTACCACGCGACGCGCTCAATTTCGCATGTCCTGTGTTAGTGCTTGCAGGACGGTCGATTGATTTTCCAGATCCTGTGTGTGCCTTTTTCTGTACGGTTTCTTGCAAAGCATCACAAATCACCAGGAAGTCCTTATCTTGCTCAGGATCCTCGAACATGGGACCCTGATAAGCTTCAGAGCTGGGCGAGGTACCTAGTGGAGATCGTGATGATTGCCGCCAGCGTCGAGGAGAGAAATGAGAAGGGATGCCGAATGATCCTACTGGGTGACGGTTCTCCAGGGACGGACATTGAAGCTGCTGTCATTGGAAAACCACCTAGCAGGAGTATCGTGACTTCCCCTGTGAGAACGGAGATAGCTCTTCAAACTACTCCCAGTTCATCCCAAATCCTCACATGGTACGGTATGTCTTGCATCCAACATTCCTTGTGGTCTATCCGCCTTGTAAGGGGTGGTGGAGGAGGGTTGTCGGCAGGACCAAGACCAGCCCACCTCGAGAATGGAGACTATTGTTACAAGAACATGACTTTGATGCTACCACTGGCTGGTTTGTTAAATTTCTGGTTCATGTTGCATCTGGATTCGTCTAGTCTTTCTACATCCAGAACAGATTGGCTACATTTCTCAATGGACGAGCTAGACTTTGCCTCCGGGATCATATAAGATCAGCTATTCTCCCTCCTCATGGCATTCTGAGTTTCATTCAGCAGCGACGACATTCCCTCTTCGGTCCAGTAGATCGAGTTTATACTATCCTTCTGTACATTCGTCAGCGTGATTCATTCCTTCACATCATGCATTCTACTTCTATACTTGGCTTCTTCGGAGGCTTACTTCTATCCTTACCTACTGCTTATGCAGGCTTCAGTTCATCTTCTTCGACAAATGTCGCTGTGTACTGGGGTGAGTCTTCATATTTGGAGCAAGAATATTCTCTAATCTCCGTCAAGGACAGAATTCTTACGGTCAAGGGACTGGATCTCTTGCACAGCAAAGACTTTCATATTATTGTGCCAGTAAGTAGCCACTATCGCTCCTGAAAGCTTTGCTAACATGAAGTAGACTCCGATTTCAATGTCAGTGCTGTCCTCTGTTGAGACTATTCTTATCTCACTCTCGCGTCTAGATCATCCCACTAGCCTTCCTTATCACAATAGCAGATCCTTCTTTGAACTTTGCAAATGCTGGCAACAACTGTACTGCCATTTCAGGATCTAACTTATTCTCTTGCCCTCAACTTGAGTAAGTTCTCTGCACCATAACCGTGCAAGCAAGTTCTGATCATGTGAACAGAGAGGACATCGCCACTTGCCAGAGCACTTACGGCAAAACCATCCTTCTCTCCGTCGGAGGCTCAACCTACACCGAAGGAGGTTTCTCCACCTCCGCCGCTGCCGTCTCTGCTGCTACCAACATCTGGTCCATCTTCGGCCCAAACACCGGTGCCAACGTCCCCCGCCCCTTCGGCGACTCTGTCATCGACGGCTTCGACTTCGACTTCGAAAGCACCGTCTCCAACATGCCGGCCTTCGCCAACCAACTGCGCTCCCTGATGACCACCTCCACCGCCTCGACCGGCAAACAATACCTCCTCACCGCCGCCCCGCAATGCCCGTACCCGGACTCGGCCGACAACCCCATGCTCGCCGGCACCGTCTCCTTCGACGCCATCTGGGTGCAATTCTACAACAACTACTGCGGCCTGAACTCCTACGTGTCCGGCACCACCACGCAGAACAACTTCAACTTCGCGACCTGGGATAATTGGGCGAAGACCGTGTCCCTGAACCCCAACGTCAAGGTCTTCCTCGGCATCCCGGGCAACACGGGCGCCGCGGGCTCGGGCTACGAGTCCGGCAGCACGCTCGCGTCCATTATCGCTTACTCGAAGACGTTTTCGAGTTTTGGTGGGGTCATGATTTGGGATATGAGTCAGGTGTATGCGAATTCGGGGTTCTTGGCGAGCGTGGCGAGTGATTTGGGGCAAGCTGCTGCTACGACGACGACGGGGACGGTGGTGAAGACGACGACGACGGCGACGACGTTGAGTACGGTGACGACGAAGAGTAGTACCACGACGACGACGAGTAGTGCGGTGAGTACGACGACGGGGACGGTGAACCAGTGGAATCAGTGTGGTGGGGAGGGGTGGACGGGGGGAACGGTTTGTGTGGCGCCGTATGTGTGCACGTATCTTAGTGTTTGGTATTCGCAGTGTGAGTAGAGCATTTGGGGAAAAAGGGGGAAGTCACTCGTTTGTATGTTGGTTTTGTTGGTTTACCTTTCGATTGTATATAGCTTTGAGGTGGGGGGATGAGGGGTTGTTTCTTGTGTATATGGTTTTGCATTGGTATTTAGGTAGGTTGTGCATCAGTCAACAAGCTTCATTCGTTCGCTTGCAATGTGGTCATGCTGTGTGGTGAGGATTATGTTTTAGGGTTTCGTTGAAGTAAGTGCTTTGAATGTTCGAGTCGCGTCAGTGAGGTGATGCTTTATGATTTGATATGAAGAGGAGAGTGGAGCGTCGTAGCTATACTTGGATTTATGAGGACGAAGAGAGTCATTTAGATTCTAGTAAGTCTAATAGCCGTTCCTCTTTTTCAAGTGCTCTATTGTACTTTCTAATGCAGTAAGTTGGTAGGTACCTCACCACCTTCTTTTTCTTTGAACCGAGCTTTCGGGTCTTTCTTTCGAGAGAGATAGCTGCTCTGGCGAATCATATACTAATCTGCCCATAGTCTGATAAAGAATATTTGGGACATAAAAGATATCTCGAGGAGGTTAAGTGATCTTTTAGGGCTAGCGTCTCTCAGAATCGGAAGGAAGGGCCTTGGAAGATGAAAAGCGGTGCACGTGATTGCCTCTTTGGGAAGTGCGAGGGTACGAATTATTCTTTCCGATCTTTTCTTCTTCGCAACTTCAGCAACATTCAAGCCACTCCGGGAAAGGAATACAAGATGCGTCAAAGACGTATTGACGGGTTCTTGGTAAGACCCAGCGCCCCATCTTAACATACGAATACTGATTCTTGGATAGGTACCCTTCGTAAGCCCATCCGGACGCGTCGCAGCTCAATTTCAACGCTTGCCGCTCACGGAGTTCCCTCGATTCAAAGATCTTCCCATCGAATTGAGAATCTCAATCTGGGAGTTGGCCTCCCATCAGCAACGCAACCTCGATATCTGGAACAGAGAATTGTGGACCAGCGATAGCTCTGAGGATGAAGAACGTAGCGTTCCACATCTACTATTCACCACTCAACCACCACCTTCAGTTCTACAAGCATGTCACGAATCCCGCGAGGAGGCTTTGAAATATTACACCTTCGATTTCGGAACCACTTATCATGATCGAGATTGCACAGTCACGACACAAGCCAAGGTCTATGTCAATTGGGCTGTCGACAGAATTTGTCTAATGGAACCTTATGAACTCTTTCAGTTCTCTGATGACCGTCAGGATCCTTCCAAGGGTCGATTAGTGGATCTAGTCAATACCCTGGAGAGCAAAGGAAGATATCTCGCCATCAATGTCTTCACCATGGGGGATATCGCGTACACAACTGCTAGAGGCTCATATGTAGAGCATCCGGCATTCTGCGAAACTTTGCCCAAGATGGGTGGCCTTCAAGAGCTCATTCTCTTCAATACTTACCTCTGCAGGCATAAACTTAAGGGTACCATTGTCTTCGATAGTATCAGCGAGGAAAGCATAGATATGTTAGAGTTAGTCGGCGCGGAAGAAGAGATCGACGTGTATTTTCTCGAACATCCAGACTTCAATGACAAGACAAAACAGTGGTACGAGTCACTCAATGTCGATCTGAGACGTTTCAAAATTATAGCCGGGAATGACGATAGTGGCAAATAAGTGGAATCTTCGCAATGAAGGAATGGTGCATGGAGTAGGGTTCATCTCAAGTTCTCGCTTGGCGGAGCATCACGATCCAAGTTGCTATTTGTTGTTTGTACAATATTTTCAGCAGGGGGCTATGCATTTCCTTAGCGAGCATTGGTGTGGGAGAGGTAGCTCTTTACTTGCTTGAAAATACACATCTGATATCGATTCCTTGTGCCAATACAGTGGGACCGAATCCTACACGTATTGAGCCCCAAGTCCACTTTCCCCAAAGTTCCTTGCTGTCGTGCTCTTCCAAGTGTAACAGACAGGTCACACGCATGGTGTCGACCTGGATTTCCTGAAGCTTCTCTTTACTCTTCGGTCATGTCAACTCTCAACACCACGCAACAACACATTCTCCTGGTCTTCTGCTTTCGAAGCTCGAAAATCATGTGCAGCCAAAGCAGACTACCCCGTTCCAACCTCGAATGGAAATAAATCTCGGGTGATCCTATTCCACCATGACCTAATCCTATTCATCGCTTCACACTCCCCAATAACTCAGTCCGAATTCACCATCTTCAAACGCCACCTCCACAAATTTCCACTCTCTTCCTTCCCTTCCAGAATCTAACTCCAAACTCCCAGGCTGTACAAGCTTCTCATCACTCACCCTGGAAATAAAAAGCCTCCCAAAAAGCCATCCCAAACCTAACCACATCATTTACCATCTACTAGTCCCCATCCAGCCCTCGACTCTTCATCTTGATTACCCTTCACGCCAAGATCCAAATTTAGATCATAATTTCAAAGCTAAGAGCGCCAAGTCCTGTGAACAATATCGACAATTACTAAGTTCCTAGAATAGGGACTTTACATCTTCGTCCGCAAACTTCTATATCTAGTATAAGACTGAGAGCCGCGCAGTAGAATGCGATGGCGATGGAGGGGCTAGTAGATAGATGGTGATTCTTGGATGTGAAGATAGGACGAAGCTCGGTGAGTTGAGGGTCGGTGCATTGAGGGAGTGGTTTGGGATTGGGATTGAAGGGGAGTGTGTAAGGAGACGGGTACGGGGTCGGTGGTTTGTGAGATTGTGCTGGACTTAGTTGTGAAGCGATAGATGGGGTTTGATTAGGGGTGTAGATTGGAGAAGGGAGCAGAAAGGTGGAGTGTGTAAGTTGATGGCTGATTTTGTGTTGAGTGACAATGGGTTGAGAATGTTTGTTTTGAGAGGGGTATGTATATTTCTAGTGTCATGCTTGCAACGACCTTTCGCCATGTACGAATCCGCACCTTGAATCTACCAAAGCACAAGAGAAGTGGAGAACAATGCCTTCCTCAGATCCACCCAAATCATCCATAACCTCACCTCCACCCCCTCCCACCCCTCCTCAACCTCCACCATACCCCTACCGCACCAACCACAACCGGCAACCCAAGCACCCCCAACACCCACCCAACCAACAACCTTCCCTGCCTGTCACTCCTCTCCACCACCTCACTATACCTCTCATTCCCAAAACTCACCCGACTGTACCTCGTCGCCCAGCCTAGACTCGGCACCCACACGCTCAATTTCTCCTCTAACCATTTCCTGCCCTTATACACCGGACTCACGACACTAGCCCGCATCTCGACGTAATTCTGCAGCGCGAGGTCGTTGATAGCGTGTGCGTCTCGTGTCCGGAATTCGGAGTACTCGGCGAGGGCAGTGGCTCGGACTTTAGTGTCGGTTTCTTGATCGCTGTTGGGGGAGGAGTGTTTATCGAGGATGGAGAATAGGAATCGTACGTCTTCGAGGCCGGCGTTCATGCCTTGGCCGTAGAAGGGGACCATGGCGTGGGCGGCGTCGCCGAGGATGACGGCTGAGGAGAGGAAGTGGTAGGGAGTGCATTTTATACTGAGTAGGGGGAGGTGCGGGTTTGTTGTGAAGGAGGTTATTAGGTCTTTGGGTGGGATTAGGGAGGTTACGCCAGGGAAGTGAGTGTTGAAGAAGGTGGGGAGGGTGGAGGGGTTGGATTCGAGGGCGCTGAAGTGTGAGGAGGGCATAAAGAGGGTACAAGTGAAAGATCCGTCCTAGATAATTCATTAGTGGGACGATAATAGGAGTGGAAGTGGGAGAGTAGTGTTACCAAGCTGGGAATGGCAATGAACATAAATTCTTTGCCAGGCCAGATGTGCAGGTGATGTTGAGAAATTGAAAATCTCGAATTTTCGTCCTGGCCTGATTTGACTGGCTTTGCCGTGATTTGAAACTCGCACCATAGGGTATCGATATATTCTTGTTGGTAGTCCATCCGAGTGTATTTCATCAAGTGATACCTCGTAGAAGAATGTGCTCCATCGGCACCAATGAGGAAGTCAAAGTTGACTTCAATCTCTTTATGGCGTCCTTGTGATGCCGTGGTCTTATTGGTGACTTCAAACCATGCTGTATGTTTGCGGAAGTCCGCTCCGGTAAGCTTGTGGTTGAAGAAGAATTTGACATTGGGTAGCGATTCTAGCTCGTCCAGTAATATTTTGTTCAGGCCTCCTCGGTCTGCAGCATAAAGTGTCTGTAGACATGTATAAGTAAAAGATATTAATTAGGTAAAGAAATTAAGACGTACTCGTCCATGAATGTCATAATCCTGACCTTGCTCATACAACTCTCCCGATTTGTCCCGACCGTGGATCATGCGACCCCGCATAGGGATTGTCTCGCCGATAATGCTTTCTAATAAGTCGGCACGCCCCGAACATTTGATGGCATTGATACCTCGTTCTGATAGTGCAAGGTTGATGGACTTTGTAAAGTTGAGTGGAGTGGTGCTTGGATCACGAAGGTCTGGGGTACATGATCAGCCCCGATAAGATGAATTGCTGTTGACATATAATTGGCTAAGTTGTGAACGACTTGAATGGAGTTGAATTGTCAAGGATGACTATATCATAGTGGTATTGGCCTTTACTGTGAGCAAGTGAAATGTAATTGTCTCTTCATTGCCTCTCAACTAGCTCGGGCAAGCGGCACTGGACTTGAAGAACCACAATTGGCAGATATTGAACGAAAGTCAACGAGGCGCTATTAACAAGAAATGGGAGTTTTGTGATGTGAAGAGATCATTCGTAATAAAAGCAGCAATTCTGAAAGCCTCAAATGAACGCTACTAATTTCAAGAGCAAACGGCAAAAGCAATGAAAAAACGTACCACTTCGCAGCTCGTAAACTTCTACTTCATGACCTCTCTGAGCTGCGTAAAGAGCAGCAAGAGCCCCAACAGGGCCAGCGCCCACAACAATAGTCTTTTGGCCCATTCTCTTTTCTTCAAGGTAAAGTGAAAAGATTGATCATTCTTTATGAAACTTTCGGAACAAAAGGGTCGATGACTGTTACAAATCGAGAATACTTGCAAGGAAGTCACTAGTCCGACTCGGAAGCTAAATTCACCCCTCCAGGTCCTTAACCCCACACGCGCGCCTTTCTACCGACAACTTTCTCGACACGGCTGACAAAATTCATTCTTGAAATATTTGCCCCGCCGTAATCCACGAGGCTCGATATCACGGTCTTTACTGTCGCGCAGACTGAAGAAACCATTTCCCACATATTTGAGTTATCTTTGTCGCAAACATGGGCTCCGAATCTCCAGCAAAGCGGAAATGTATGGGCGCAGACTGCGAGAACGATGCAGGCACTCTTCAATGTCCCACCTGCCTTAAGTTAGGTATGAAGGACAGTTACTTCTGCTCGCAAGACTGTTTTAAGAGGAATTGGGTAGGTCTCGACTTTCATTATTCGCCTGCCAGCTCCCTTCGTGGCAGGTTTTGCGTCAAGATATCCAACATTTGAACTAACATTCCATAGTCTACACACAAATCCGTTCACAAGGGTAACTTTCTCAGAAATCTCATACCTCCAAAAGTAGTCTCTGAACCCGACCCAGTCACCGGTACACACAATCCCTTTCCGGCCTTCTCCTTCACTGGACCTCTGCGACCAGTTTATCCTCTTTCCGCAAGACGAGAAGTTCCAACGTCGATAAAGCACCCAGATTACGCCAAAGATGGGACACCACATAGCGAGCTTACATTTAAGGGAAGAACCCAAATTGATATATTAGACAAGAAGGGTCAAGCGGGAATGAGGAAGGTGTGCAGACTTGGACGAGAAGTGTTGGATATTGCCGCAGCAGCCTTGAAACCAGGCGTTACTACCGATTACATCGACGAGATTGTCCACAAGGCCTGCTTAGAGCGCAATGTAGGCCTGATCTCTCCTATGTCGGCTTCTGCTAACGTCCGCAGTCATATCCTTCGCCACTGAACTACAACCATTTCCCAAAATCCGTATGCACATCACCCAACGAAGTCATCTGCCACGGCATTCCTGATCAGCGAGTCTTACTGGACGGCGATATTGTGAATATCGATGTTACACTATACCATGGCGGATATCATGGGGACTTGAACGAAACATATTACGTCGGCGACAAGGCGAAGGCTGATCCTGAGTCCGTTCGGGTAGTCGAAGCTGCGAGAGAATGTCTGGACGAGGCTATCAAGCTTGTGAAGCCTGGCGCTCTCTTCCGAGAATATGGCAATGTTATCGAGAAGCATGCCAAGTCGAAAGGCTGCAGTGTTATCAAGGCATATTGCGGCCACGGCATCAACAGCTTATTCCATTGCGCGCCAAACATCCCGCATTATGCCAAGAATAAGGCTGTTGGTGCTGCGAAGGAGGGCATGTGCTTTACGATTGAGCCTATGATCGCACTGGGGACACATAGAGACAGGACGTGGCCAGATAACTGGACCAGTGTGACGCAAGATGGGAAGAGGACAGCTCAGTTTGGTATATTGCCTAGAAAATTGTCCCTGAATTGCTGTACTAATATTAAGCAGAGCATACTTTGCTTGTGACTGCTGATGGGGTTGAGATATTGACGGCAAGACTCCCGGAGTCTCCAGGTGGACCAGAATCAATGCCAGTTGTTGAGACGAACGGAGAGGAGAAACCTGAGGTCAACGGCCATTGATGGTAACGAAATGACATTGTGTCGTCACCAAGAAAAGTTGAAGGCGTTATATCAAGTGCACGGAGCGTAGCGACTGGGCGAATGGGAGTGGAGAGCATGGACTTGAGCAGACACAGTGTCTTATAACAAACAAATAAATAAATCAACGATGTGTCGAAGGCACTGCTCCTAAGTTCGGATGAAATGCGATATTCCTACCCCTGACATGTGACAAAAACCACACTACTGCCAAAAAGCAGACAGCCAATAGCGAGCGACGATTCCCACAAGCTTGCTTCCAACAAAAACAGCTCCACTCCACGCGAGCCTGGGAGCCTCACACGGGTGCATTTCATCATTCCGCCTCTGACTTCGTCCGACCTCGAAGACCAACAGCTTCACCATAGCTACGAACATCTTCGTGCCACCTCCCCCTCTGCTTCACCCCACTCGGTCTCTGCAGCTCCCAAGTACCTGCACCCAACGTCGTCGCGCATCCTTCTCCGCTTCTTAACTCCACGAGCGAAAAATCCCTTCCGAGCTACTTGGAAGGCCACGACTCGAGAAGAAGAAGCTGCACTGCGAAAGAGCAGTGAAGGAGAGATCCAGAAGAATATTATCGTCGGAAGCGCTAACACGCGCACTTACACACGCCTGTCATGATGTCTGGGGAAGCATGGCTGTACCTGTTGGCGGTATTGATCAACGCCGTCAACCTGTTCCTACAAGTTTTCTTCACGATCATGTATAGTGATTTGGAATGGTACGTTTCCTTGACCCAGAAAATCCTGCTGCGCGAGATAGTGCAGAGATGTCGCCAAGTCTAGACCGAGGTCAATGATAAGGTGGATTTTACGTGGATGTGAATTTGGTTGAGAGAGAAGCATAAAAGCTAATACTTCTTGTTTTACAGTGACTACATCAACCCTATCGACCTCTGCAACCGTCTCAATACATACATCATCCCAGAAGCCGCCGTCCATGGCTTCTTGACCTTCCTATTCCTTATCAACGGGTACTGGCTTGCACTAGTACTCAATCTCCCACTCCTCGCGTTCAATGTCAAGAAGTACGTTCATCCATACCAAGCTCGAAGTGTATTCCCGAAGCTTTTGGGAATATGCGGATCACCACGTCATTCCTGCTGCCTGATAGAGCAAAACTGACGTTTGGTACAGAATTGTGGACAACGCACATTTACTTGACGCCACAGAGATCTTCAGGAAACTCAATGTTCACAAGAAGGTAGGAGACAGTGCAAACCGCTCTGAAATAGCTACTTGAGCTACTTAAGTCAAAAGTGGGGCTAATGTGTTTTGGAATACAGGAATCATTCATCAAGCTTGGCTTCCACTTGATTATGTTCTTCTTCTACCTCTACTCTATGATTGGTGCGTTTCCCACACCCGTTTTCCATGCTGCTGTGTTGAGCTGGTCTTTTCGAGACTATGAATCAGCAGTATGATATATATAGTCTCTAACCTTTCACAGTGGCCCTCATCCGCGACGAGTCGCATTGACTTGCTTCCAACATCAACGACAAGTATAGGATGGAAGCATGAGACGGGAGGATACCAAGGCGTAAGATAGTGAGAGTTGGAAAAGATGGTGGCATGCTGGGGACGAGGAGTTGTGGTGGTAGGCGAATCAAGAACCGAGAAAGATGTACAGACTTTGGACAGCTAGGATAATCAGTATTTGTGGAAATTTTTCGGGAACGACTAGACATGAGGTTTCGGCGGCTGGGAGTCCTGTGCTTCATTTGGTGTGCTGAGCGGCATGGCATTTCCATACGGGGCTTCGTTATGAGGGTCATGCGTGGATAGATACCTGAGCATGCTGGCGATAGCATGCTTCCAATAATGATTCAGCTTTATAATGGTGCTCTTCTCTACATTCCAACTCCAAAAAGTCCCCAGAACATGGGATGAAAAGGTCGGGTTCTCACAGATACAGCTGGATCACGTGCCTGTACGCGGCCGCTAGCGTCTATGAACTTTTGATATCATATCGAGGCTGAATCCGTGATTCTAGAAAAGTTCAAGCTCTCAACAACAACAAACTTCCGGCCGTGCAAGGAAGAATCCCGTCTCGGTCGCCTATTATTGATCGCCCACAATGGCAGACTTCGGCGCTTACCCGCCCAACATGGCGCCGCAAAACGCCCTCATCGTCCGTCAAGCAGCAGGCCCAGACCACGCCGTTGTCCCCTACACAGCAGAAGACTTCTCGCGACCCGCGCAAGGACCAGCGAATCCATTCAAAGACGAAGTCAACTCATTAAAACGCAAGAACGTCCTCACAGGATATGCGGAAGAGACGTATTTGAGCGAACATACTTTCCGGACGCAACTTAGAGCTGTAGAGGGCAGAGAGCATCGGGGCGGCGTGGCGGAGAAGCAGGAGGCGGCGCGGATACGGGCGAAGAGACAGAAGAAGGGGGATGCTACCGTTGCGGAGGGGGATAATGCTTATGTGGGGCCTTGGGCGAAGTATAAAGCCGTGGAGTATGAGGATCGCGAGGATGATGGGGAGGAGTTAGCGAGCGATGAGGAGTATGAAGAAGTTGAGGAAGAGGAAGAGGTTATTGAGAGTGGCGCGGTTGTACCGGCTATGCCACAAGCTCTGGCGAAACGGAAAGAAGCTGAGGAGTTGGGTGCTGAGACGAGTGTTTTTGAGGGGAGCGAACAGTACGATTATCAGGGGCGGACGTACATGCATATACCTCAAGATCTGGATATTGATCTGAGGAGAGAGCCAGGGACGGCGAAGAACTATGTGCCAAAGAAGATGGTGCATGTTTGGAAGAGCCATACGAAACCGATTATTGGTTTGCGGTTCTTTCCTGGATCGGGGCATCTTATGCTTTCTGGCAGTGCGGATACGACGGTCAAGATCTGGGATGTTTATCATCAGAAGGAGCTATTACGAACATATTCTGGGCATAATAAGGCGTTGTCAGATGTCACATTCAATACCTCTGGCACACAATTCTTGTCGGCGTCATACGACCGTATGATGAAGCTCTGGGACACAGAAACGGGACAGTGTATAAATCGCTTTACGACCGGCAAAACACCTCACGTTGTCAGGTTCAACCCAGATCCAGAGCATTCCAACGAGTTCCTTGCTGGTATGTCAGACAAGAAGATCATCCAATTTGATATCCGAACTCGAGAGATCGTTCAAGAATACGATCACCATCTCGCGGCTATTAACACCATCACATTCGTCGACGAGAATCGCCGCTTCATGACAACCTCTGACGACAAATCATTACGAGCATGGGACTACAATATCCCAGTCCCCATCAAATACATCGCAGAACCACACATGTACCCCATGACGCGGGCCTCCGCTCACCCATCAGGGAAATACGTCGCCTACCAATCCTCAGACAACAACATCTTCGTCTACGGCGCGAACGACAAGTTCCGCCAGAATAGGAAGAAAGTTTTCAAAGGCCACAACAACGCCGGATACGCGATCGACGTGGCCTGTAGTCCGGACGGCCAATTTGTGGCTAGTGGAGATAGCGGTGGATATGTGTGCTTCTGGGACTGGAAGACGTGTAAGATGTGGCATAAGATGCAAGCGAGCGAAGGCGCGGTTACGTGTGTGGAGTGGCATCCGCAGGAGACGAGCAAGGTCGTTACTGCGGGTCTGGATGGTGCTATTAAGTACTGGGATTAAGAGGGTCATTATCGGAGTTTTGGTTGGGAATGATTCTCCTGTACGGAGACGGAACGAAGGCGAGGTCAAAAGAAATGGAATGTATATCAGTGTCATCACCAACGATCGAACGTACGATATCGCGCTTAAGTCGGATGATGAGGTGATATTAATGCTCAACCGTGAAGGAGTTTCAGCGTCTGCATTTCCCAAGTGGGATGTCTAGAGCACAATGTTTTTCTTATCTTCTCTTTTGCTGCTTTCGAATCGTTTTACGTCTCGAAGTTAGTTCAACTTTGATCTTGACTCATCAAATCCCACGTATTGTCCAAAGCATATTATTATATTTTGTTTGTGCACAGCTCTGTCTAATAGATTGCAAGCACTAGCAAAATCCCAACACCAAGACCCTGTTCAGAGAAAGTTCTCATCCACCAACCAAAAAAACACGCATATTCCTCAGTCAACTCTTCATCATTCAATCCAATTTTCATGACACACTCCTTGCATTCGAAAATTCTTCTTTGCTTCGCGCTTTCTTGAACACCATCGGAGCAGCGATTAAGATGCCTCCAGCTAGTAATCCCCAGTTGATCGCCAATTCAGTTGTTGGTGCGATTCCGATCGTGTTGATGTGGAAGGCTACGGCTCCTCCTGCGGATTGGATTCCTTTGAAGATCCCGCCGAGGTGGATTCTGTTCTCGTCGTTTGGACAGATCGGTTTCAGTAACCTAGCGCTTTCGTCAATACTTACTTCTTAGAAAAATGCGGAAAACTTACCAGATTAACGACCCGGTATATGAAGCTGCCAGCAAACCAAATCCCGCATACAGCGCTGCGCCAGTGGTGTAGTACACGTGGTCTGTGTAGTCAATCTTACCCGAAACTGCGGTGATGGGCGCGGCGCCTTGTTGCCACAGGAAAGCACAAGTGCAGACACCACATGTAGATAACAATAATATCACGAGACACATCTGAGCTCTATTCCTGACGCTAAAACAAGCATGTTTGACATCCAGCAAAGAACCTGTGATTAAATTCCCTGCAATTTCTGCAAGCCAGTAGATTATGTTGTTGAATGCTCGAGTTCTGATGGTGAAGTGTTTGAGGTTGAAGGTGTTGAATTGGTAGGGGTAGAAGAAGTTGCTGGCGAAGTACATGGGGAATATGAATACGAGGTGCGGTTCTCGATGGAGACATTTCCATAGGTCCAATGTGGCTTCCTTCCAAGTGGGAGATCTGGGAATCTCGACTGAGGTGCCGTCTGACCTTGTTACGTCCTTGGGATTGCATACCAGCAAGGCGAGGATGGCCCCCAAAATTGACAGAGAAATGATGATGCTGAAAGTTGCATCGTCGACTCCGCCTGCATTTGAATTTCTTTCCCGAAGAAAAGCAACCTGTTGGTGGTAAAAAATAAGCCTCAAATCACACAACATTCCCGGACCAAACTCACCAAACTCCCAATACACGCTCCAGAATTATAAATCAACCCCCACACCGCAACCGCCTTCCCCCTCTCCCCATCCGTCGGATACGACGTTATCGTCGCCGTCTGCGCCGTCCAAAACCAGCCCGCCGAAAACCCAAGTTGCGTCCCAGCCGCCACAATAAACACCTTACTCCCAATATGTTTATACGCCAACGTACTCCCAGAGTATAACGCATACCCCAATTCTCCCAAAACAAACGAAAGCCGGAACCCAAGCCGGTTAACCACAATCCCGCCAAAGAAGCCTCCGATAGCGAACGTGGTGTAGAGCGCGATGTTGGCTTCGTTTGCCGGCCCGGCAGAGACCAGACCGGCGCCGCCGATGCCGTTTAGCGCGTTCCACATACCCGGGCCGAGGAAGGAGAGAAGGGCCACGAGAGTTAGTTGGAAGATGGAATTGCGTTGGGAACGTTGAAGACGTTGGAAGAGCGTAAGGGGAGCTGGGGCGTCATCTGAGGGAATGACCGTGTGGAGAGATTTGGTGCTGGGTGCGGTGATGTTGTTGTGGCTGCCGAGACTGGGGATGGCTTCTATCACCAGGGTCTCGAGGCTCGATGAGGTTTCGACTCGGTGTGCATCTTCCAGGTCTTGTTTCTCGGGATCGTTTTTCATTTGGGCGAATATGGTTGCTTGTTCACACTTATTCCCAGAAATCTAAATCTTGGAAATCTTGGTATTTTGTTCTTGATGAATCTTTTTTTTCTTCTTTTTTCTGCCCTTCTTAAGTACCGATTTCGGGAGGGGGTGAAGCAAAGAAAGCAATTCTTACTTGCAGACAAAGGGGGAAAGAGCCAGCACCTGAACGGCCTCCCTTCCTTTTTGTCAACATTCACCACAGTTCGTCACCTGCGTATCAGGCATCTGCATTTTGAGAATGTTGGGGACTGCAATTCACCCCTCTTTTTGGTGATTGGTGCCAAATGTCCGAATTTCTCCTTGGTGGTGGGTTACATCCGTGGATTACACCGGTTGTCTTAGATCTGGTCAACAGAGTGTTTGAGATCCAATCACCGCCACTAACGGTGGGCTTGCAGTTTATCAACATTTCTCTTGGTTCGCCCAGGATGGGTTTTGGATTGGTCTTAAAAGAAACGGTAGCTGATAGAGAGACGCAATGTATTATCAGGCTTGCAGTCTATCACGATCACTATTTTTTCCTTCATCATAAAGGAGGTTTTTTTGGGATTGGTCCCATGATGAGGTGGCTGATTAACGGAGAGAGATGCAATGTATTCGCAATCAGTGGTTACGCGGGTTTGTGGGACGGGAACACGGATTCGATAATCAACGTTGTCATGTACTGCTCGAACCCGTGTTGGCACGTGGCATGCTACTTTCCGCTCCCGAATCGATGTTTCCCGGAGTCACGGTAATCTCGTTCTGTGCAGTGAAATAGATGGAGTGAAGTTGTGCAAAAGTATGAATTACGTTGCCCTTCGCACTCAATAAAGGTTAGTATGAAGTTTGGTTCGGAGCGGTGCGGAGCTTTCTGTGGTCTAGATTTGTAGAGCTCGTCGGCTTCGCTGGCATGCTTTCGGAATTGTTGCGGGGTCAACGTCTGTACCGACTGTGGCCAGCGGGTACAACGTTACTTGTAGCAACGTCGGTCAAAATTGTTTCTACTTGTGAGAGGACAGGCTCTTCGTATACGTTGAAGGCTGTTTACTTTAAGTACGAGGCTTGAAGACGTTGCTCAGAGTGGCGCAACCCCTGAACGAAGCGAGATTCAAAGATTAAACCAAAAAGTCTAGCAAAAGCGACGCCAAACAAGAGTTAGATAGATTAATTAGAAAATTCCGACTGTCAAGAGGAACTCGATTGGAACCATGGAATGTTTTCCAAGGCTAGAAGAATGCAGTGAAACCAGCCAACTCCCAGTAGACCGTTGGCATCAAGAGAACCTGCATATGTTGTGTTCAAACCCTGCATTTGGGACGAGAAGTGGCGTGGCGATCATGACGAAGCACTAAGGCTAGACTTTCGGTATCTTTACAAGTGTTGTGTTATTTTGGGACAATATGGAAGCTTGCATAACGAATATGAAAGTGTCGTGTTGTCGAGTCCGTCCGGAGGATTAAGTTTGTCTGTAGAACCAGAACCAATAACCCTGCTCCGAAATGTGCAAGAGTTGTCTGCTTGATTTGTTAAGGTTTAAGTAGGTTGGAACACATTTTGAGATGGCACTCAGTCTGTTCTTTATTGAGTTTCGGGTTCGGAGAATAGGGGATTGAAGTCACATAACTCGAAACTCGAAATTAACCCCCAAGTTTCAGAGCACTGTAAGAATGGGCGAACATTTGCACCGAATGACTCAAAAGGTTAAATTGGTGAATCCTTCTGAGCGTATATAGAGACGTCTTTCGTCCCTCGCAGTCCTTATTTGTATTATTATCTTTCCTTCACTGGATGAACCCTCCGCAATATGTCCTGTGGGGTCGCGAGCTTCCCCAAGTTCAGAGCATATCAGATGTCCCGCCCCAGGCCGTTCGTGAGCAACTTTATGCCTTAAGATACAGTCAGCTCTGGATTGTGTCGCCAAGAAATTGGAGTGGAGATGGATTCTTCGTCTGAGATCGCACTTCGAGCCGTCCACGAACAGTAGGTCCGAAACTGGGTAAAGTTAGCCTCTTATTGCTATATCTCCATGTTTCAACTCGATGTCAAGCTTTGAATAGGGAACGAACTTACTTTCTCCAGATCGCGAGCTCTGCTATCTCTGGAGCACAAGAATGACGAGCCCCCACGAAATTTCAGGGGCTCGGTAAAATTTTCGGCAAAGTCAAGGATGCCCCTTTCCATCGAATGCAAGCAGTTGCGAGGAAGCCAGAATGCTCATTCAATCTTGAGAACAAAAGCAATTCATCCAATCGAGTCACCTCTCTCAACTGGAAGTGCATGATTGAAACAAACGCCACCACTTTGTGCATGATCCAGAAGCGTCTGAGCTGTGCCGCAGATGTTGTTTCGGATAAGACTATCAGCCTCATCGACAATCATGATAGCCTTAAGGGTACCAGAGGCGCGGGTCTCGTCGATCCGACTCTAGGGTATCCATAAAGTCTTTTCTATAGACAGACGATCAGAGACCCGAGTACTGCCAGACAAGGCGTCGGTAGTGTCAGTTCTGCGACAATGCCTTTGTCTGCTGATAACGGGAGGGAATGCTATTGATCATGAGCAGAACTGATGGGCGTCGTAACACCCCACGGACTATGCACGTCTCTAGGTTTCCCGCTTTCTCTATCTGCTCACACGGCTCCTTGCTTTCGTTATCTGCTTCCTGGAACGGTGGAGATGGTGGCGTATTGTGAGATTCTAATTTGGAAAAATGACTTTATGAAAGATGCCCTTCCTTCGTCTGGTGTGAATTTTGTGATGTGAAGTTCGGAGTCGATTAATAACGCGGAAATCATGGCTGGAACACGATCGGGCCGCAAGGTGGAGAGGACTTCCACGATGGATTCGGATACGGCTTCGACTACGTCTTTCGAGAAGATGAAGTCGGAAACATCGGTCGAGAGTCTCGTCAGGCATGAGACTTGGGACCAGGAGAAGAATGGAGGAGAGGAGGTGGTTGCTAATATGGAGACAATTGCCTTGAAGGCATGTGAGTAAAGCTGTCTCTGCAGACCAGCTTCTGGACTAACGATAAGCAAGTGCATGTTGACGATGACCCGACCTTGAATCCATGGACATTCAGAATGTTCTTCCTTGGTAGATAACAATTCTCTAACAGTCTGCCAGACATCGCTGACCATACATAGGATTTGGTCTTTCTGGCTTTGGCTCTGCTCTCGCAACAATTTTCTTGTTCAAACCTCAGTCGGTCTCGGTGTCTGTAATTTTCTTGACTGTGATCAGCTATGTTGCTGGCAATGCGATGGCGGTGGTCCTGCCAAACAAGGGAGTTGTCGGTCGATGGTTCAATCCTCATAGCTTCAACTCGAAAGAACACCTGGCTATCGTTATCATGTCCAGTTCTGCTTCTGGAGCAGCTTATGCTACCGAGGTCCTTGCCACTCAGAAACTATACTACAACATCGTACCAAACGCTGTTGTTGCTATCTTATTGTTGCTCTCATCACAGCTACTTGGCTATGGTATGGCGGGCGTTTTGAGAAAGTCTTTGGTCTACCCAACGAAGATGTTGTGGCCCAGTATTCTGCCACTCAGCTCTCTCATCGAAACACTTCATCGAGACAAATCAGAGATGAGGAAGAAGTTCAACTTCTTTTGGATCATCTTTGGTGTTGTTGCCGTTTGGGAATTGTTTCCACAATATGTCATGCCTGTGTTGACAGGAGTCAGCTTCTTCTGCTTGGCTAATAGGAACAGCTTGGTCTTCACCAACATCTTTGGAGGCGCCAGCGGAAACGAAGGCTTGGGACTTCTTGCGCTCTCTTTCGACTGGCAATACATCACCACATCATCTCTCTTCTTACCGTTGATTACACTTACCAACAGCTTTATCGGATTCGTGATCTGTACCGCGATGTACATTGGTCTCTACTATGGCAACGTGTGGCAAGCGTTGCAATTTCCGTTCCTCTCACAGTCGCTGTTCTCTCCAAGTTCCAACTCAACAGCTTTCGCCGTCTATAACCAGTCAGCTATCTTAGACGTCAACAACGAGTTGAATGTTGCTGCACTTGAAGCTACAGGCATTCCATTCTTTGCCACAACCAATGCCGCCTACCTTCTGACAACAAATCTTGGCATCACCGCGACTGTCATGCACATCATCCTCTGGAACCGTGAAGCAGTCAATCAAGCTTTCACCGGACTGAGTCTTGCTAAGATTCGTGCCTACAGACCTAACCTCAAGTTCTGGCAGAGATCTCACGCCAACGGTGGAATGGAGAAACTCGACGATGGTACATCAGACCTCGACCCTCACTACAAGCAAATGTTAGCCTATAACGAGGTCCCAGCTCTTTGGTACATCGGTATCCTAGGCGTCTCAACGGTCGTTGCACTTTTCTGCATCTACAACTTGAACTCGACACTTCCATGGTGGGGCTTTTTCATCGCATGTTTGCTGTCTTTCCTCAGCACGCTTTTCTTTGGAGCCTTGGCTGGGTTGATCGGATTCAACGTGCCAATCACCAGTGTCATTCAATTGATCGGAGGATATCTGCACCCAGGAAAACCCGTTGCTAACATGTACTTTGTACTTTTCGGTGCGAATGCTCAAGCTCAAGCCCTCTACTTGGTCGAAAACTTGAAGCTGGGACAATATGGCAAGCTCAGCCCGAAATGTACCTTCACTGTTCAGATCATGGGTACCGTCTTCGGTGCTATCATCAACTATGTTTTGATGAGCTCCATCACCACCAGTCAACGAGAGATTCTGCTGTCATTGGAAGGTACAAACATCTGGTCTGGCCAAGTCATCCAATCGTTCAACTCAAATGTAAGTCCCTCGCCACACCTGCTTCCATGCTTACTCTCTCTACTGACGTTAAATACCAGGCAATTGCTTTTGGAGCTCTCTCGAAATACATGTTCAGCATTGGGCGCACATATCAATGGATCGTCCTCGCTCTCCCAATCGGCTTCGCAATTCCCCTCCCCTTCTACATCGCACATCGCAACTTCCCCAAAGCAGGCTTCGACTACTTTATCACTCCCGTGATCTGCTGGTACCTCGGCTACCTTAGTGTTGGTATCAACTCTTCCGTCATGATGTACTTCGCGATTGGATTCTTTGTCCAGTTCTTTGTGAGGAAGCGGTACCCTGAGTGGTTCTTGAAGTACAACTATATCTTGGCTGCTGCTATCAGTGGTGGTACTGAGCTGCTGGTGTTCGTCACTACATTTGCAGTTCAGGGCGCAAGCGGTGTTGCTATTCCTTTCCCACCGTAAGTCAATTGTCCTTTGTTGCTGGTGTTCATTAAGAAAGTTGTACTGACTCGATGTTTGATTAGATATTGGGGCAATAACTTCCAGAAAGGAAACTTCGATTTCTGTGCCACAAATCCCGCTTTGGCGGGTTGAGAAGCTTTGGAACACTGTAGTTTGGGGTGCCGGTCTCAGAAGAGCACATAATTCAATATTGATAGCAATATAAGAATCGCTGTCAGAAACCTTGTCCTATTATGAAAAATGCCACTAAAGACTCATATTTTCTGCAAGCTGTATCAATCACACAGAACTCCAATGATGCTATTTGAAATGAGTTTTCCAGAGACAATATCACGGGACGTGGGAAACGCGCCAAACGCGCAAAATGCGCAACTTGCGCAAATAGCTGCAGACATCACGTGTGCCAAAGTAGAACTGCGGCTCGATAATCGTTCACCCTATAGCTTCTGACAGTAGAGCCAAGAGAAGGATTAGATTGACATTCATTTGAAAGGTTAACTCATCTAGTTCTGTATCGCTCTAACATTTTTGCTTCACATGACAGCAGACCCAAGGATTGTGTTAAATATCCGTTTATTAAGTACCAATCAGTCTGTTTGCTAAGTGAAATTACGCCACTGTAAGTTGCGGGGAGCGCGAATTATGAAAGATGAAAAACATCCAACTCCGATACCAGTGAAGGACATGTGGACATATGCCCAGTCACATTGATTCATGGCAAAGCCATGAAGACATCCAGAAGCTTGGAAAACTTGGGAGTGCCTAGACCAGTAACTGGATCCCAATCCTTGACAGCACTAAAGCCATTGGTGTTGCAACCTGGATTGCTTCCGGTGGTAATCTGTCTTGTTAGTCGAAGCAATCACCTCAGAAGTCAGGATACTCACATCTGTGAAGGCATGGGGATTCTTGTACAAGGTTGGATTGATGAATCCAACTGTGGTCTTACCCGCAGCAAGACGCTTTTCGTTGATCAAGCTGATGATCGAGGCAAAGATGGGAGCCGAGGCACTGGTGCCACCAACAAAGGTTGGCTGGCCATCGGCGTAAAGAAGGATATTTAGACCGACAGCTGCGACATCAGGATAGCCGCGGCCAGACGAGTTATAGTACGGGTTTCCATATGAAGTGAAATTGTATGGAGGTGGAGTCTTTTTGAAGTAATTCTTCAATGTGGATTGTTGATAGTCTGGGGTTGCCCAATAGTTGCTGAAACCACCTCCAGAGTAATACTCCTCATCAGCCACGGCTACGGCAGTTTCGGTCCTGTCGTCAGGGTTGATCTGTGGAGAGTAAGTAAAAGGCCATCCCAAACTCTGAGCGATGAAGAAATGGTTCTTACCTGAGTTGCCCCTACAGATGTCAAGTAAGGACAGGCTGCAGGGAAACTGGGCGAAAATGCACCAGGATCTCCGTTGTACGTAGCATTGGATGGCACGATACATTCGCCACGATTACTAACTCCACTGTCCCCTGAAGCGTAGACAACAGTTGTGCCTTGCAATCCCAGCTTTAGATACTCGACGCATTGGCGATTCTCATAAAAGAAAGAGAATGTGTTTTCTCCCAAACCGTAAGAGACAGAAATGACATTCGTTGGCTTGTAGGCGCCACACATCTCTGGCAGAGGGTAAGTGATTCCAGTGCCGTTTGCTGCCCCCGGAGCTTGCGCTGTATCGGGATACTGGGGGTCCAAAGTAGGATCATCTCCACCTTCAAACGTACAGTAAGAAGCGTCAAGTGCGTCCAAGAACGTGTCGCCAAATCCTGAAGAGGTTTCGAGTGCCGTCAGATCATCTACCTGGAACAAAACAGCAGTCTGGGGGTAGACTAATGGCATGATGATGGACATATCGAGTAGAGATTCAATACCAATCTGCTCGAATCCGTCGAAAGAGAATGGGGCAATGCCACCATCAATGCCTTCCAAGGCGGGATGGCTGCCGTTGGGGATATTGGGCGAAATGGCAGCAAAAGTCAGATCGAGATCTTGCTGGTCATACCAGTCACCGTCTTCGAAAATGCCGATTTCGTTGCCCTTATGCTTGAGGCTACCTTTGGGGATACCGTACAACGCTAAACTCGTAAGCCACAGAAAGTTTTGATGCCTAGGGAAAGAGCTATGTGTAACTTACTTCGTAGACAGTCAGGGGTCACCGCGGTGTCTGAAAAATGTATAGTCAATATTAACTCTTAGAAAAAGGACAAATTAAAGAGACATCGTTCAGAAAAGATTGAGATAGAAATCGAGCCATTGGTCACTTACAACACGGAATTGTGCTTGCATCCGAAGCGAACGAAGCGGGGTCAAGGTTTAGATTGGCTGGCTTGACGATGGGTGGGAAGCTGGCTGGAGAGGCCTTCGTGGTTTCGCCGCGTTTCTGTTTCTTGGCTCCACGCTTGATCTGAATGGTAGATACAGTTGGGGAGATGAAGTCAATGTGAGGATGAACGCCGAGAGGAACGTGATACGTATCGCACCCGATGTGCAGTGCCTCGGTGTCGGAATGCTCATAGACATGATATTCCGTAGAAAGAAGGGATTCTAGTTCATCGATAGTAGCCTCAAACTTCAGCCATCCACGGCCAGGAGATACTTGGTGGCGATCAATGTCGATACCGGAAGAATGGAGCCAGTCTCTCACGGATTCGATTGATTCACTTTTGGGCCTGAAGAGATCACCAACTTCTTTTGCACTCATATGCTTCCCATAATTGTCTGACATAGGATCAGCCAATTCCATCAGGAGCTCATGGGCTATGTCGAGATTGCTCTGAGAAAACCCGATTCGAACAGGCACCGTTGTTGCTGGTGGTGCTCGATGTCGCCTCACCAGCCCCGCAGAATGTGTCCGTTTCTCATGAACGACATGTCCATTGTGCGGAGTGGGAACTGCGAACGATAGACTTATAAGGAATGTAGCAGTGGCTAAGGTGAGGAGCCGCATTGTGGAGGTGTTGACGCAGGTAGACTTCTGATGTCCTTGACAAATGTTGAAGCTCTGATCTCACAATGAGGGCCACGATCTCTTTTATAGATACCATCCGACATACTAAGATCTTTTCAAGCTCTAATGATCATGTTGGCAGCTTCCCAAGCTTGCTAAGGACTAAGGTAAGGAAATTGACGCAGCTCGTCTGCTGAGAGAGGCTTAGCAGACTACTGACTATCACTGTGATCTGGTTGCAAGATACAATGGTCTGACATTCATGGTCATTATGTGGCTATGAGATAGGAATTCGAAGGCAAAGCGGTGATTGCGCTCGTATTGTGTCCATCTATTTCCCAAGGAACTGTTTAGGAAGGTCTGAGGGTTTGAATATGCGGATTCAGGATGCAGCTTTCTGGGATCACAGTACTTAGTTACGAAGAAGCAGAATTGTTGTGAATTGTATGACTGAAGCTTTGGGAAGGTCCAGGGATGCCATCGGGATGCAGCTGCGACTTTACAACGTTGATCTGCATAAGCAAAGCTGCCAAGAGCCGCTTTGACACTCGGTTTGATTTAAGCATCGATCAAGGACAAGCGAGAAGCTCATTGTGATCCACCTTTGATGGACCCCATGCGCTGTTTGAGTCGCACTCAAGTCTGAGAAGCAGAGCTGGTTTGGCAGCTGCCGTTGCCAGAATCAAGGGAGAAGTTGTCCCATGATTGAAAGCACGTTCGTGCCGTGAATAACTCTCAACACAGGGTCGGGTTCGACGCAAAATGAGACAGCAGATTCAATAGTGGTGTTTGTACCTGGCAAAATCATGGCCTGCTCACTGATGGCATCTGCACCTAGGATTGCGCAGTTGAAGGATTCCTTGGCAACAAGAATATTTCGGGTGAGAGCGATAAGAATTGGATGTGTGTGAGAGCACGATTTTTGATAGAAAGGTTCACACGATACGGACATGCAGTACTCGTGTTTACCAAAATTTTGATTCCCTGGGTCAAGTACCACCACTTGAATTGAGAATAGGCACTTGACCAGATACATCCAAAATTGATACTATCAATCGGAGCCCTCTTTTGGTAATCAACGTTATACATCGCTAAAAGGCAGGTAAAAAACCGAACTAGTCCGATATCTCGACCTTTGATATTCCCAAACTGTCCAGAAAAATCACGAGCGCAGTAAATACTAGGCAGCAGCATTCAAATGACTAAAGTCGAAAGGGCAGGCCAAAGCGCTACTTCCTTCGTATATTGTTCCTTCAGCACTGCCTCTATTAGACTCCTGCCTAAAAAGAACAATTATTTGTTCACTAACGTCCAATAGGTCACGGGTTGCTTATGCTGCAGGAACTGCGGTGATGCAACAATGACCCAACCCAAAAAGGAAGGAGCGCTCCCTCCACTGCGTCGATAATCAAAGACCTCAACTTCGAGAAACGGTCGCCATTTAGACAACAACTCCTGTCAAGAACCTCATGGCCAGCCGGAAAAGTCTCTGTCTGTTCCTAGAAAAGTGCCTTTTATAAGGGTTTCATCATATCAAAACGACTGCTTTGAGATGGTATTCCCAGCTAAAATTTGGGAGAAGTAAAAAGCTCAAGTCTGAAAACCGAAGTGCATTGAGCAGGATAGTATTGCGATAACAGCAGCAGCGAAAATGAAAGATGGAGTAACATTTGCGCCGAGTGGGCCCATTGATCTCTCTGCATGAATCCTTGTCACTTTTTCAGAGGATCAATTGTCAGATGGTGATAAAGCAATCCTTGTTGCGTGATCGTGTTGGGTCTGAGAGAAAATCTGGCGAAACCCTCTTCCACAACGGGCGTTTGTGCAGTTGCATATCTTTGAACAGATGCAATTTCATACGAAAGAAGAACTTTATGGGTGAGGCAGCAACTAGCGTCATGCAATAGGGGTTGCAACTTATTTTTGGAGCCGAACCCTGCATCGGCTTTCCACTTATGGTGCTTACAGTGGCTTACAGATCATAGCCAGGATACCTCGGGTCGGCAGCGACAACCGAGGATCAAGACTGGATCTGGACTTGGGACTCTTAATGTTCGTCGCAGGTTATCGAGTGTACTCTGTCCTCTTTGCTTCGCTTCGTTGATTTATAGTTACCTCATGGTGAACTAGTTGCTCTTGCAGAACAATGGCGGCTAGTCACATGCGCAACCACACCAACGTGGCTCCGGTTTTGAGATGCTCCAGGCGGATAAAGCTTATCTGCCGGCAGTCTTTGCAAACGCAGTTGAACAGTTGGTCCATGCTCTCGTTTTCCTTAATAATACTCGACTATGGCTCGGCTATGCATTTGAGATTGGACAAGTTCACCTTATCACGTGTCAAGTCATGACATTGCTGATGCCATGTGGTTTGCTACCTACGTTACTCGAGTTGTGTTCTAAACCTCAAAAGCAATACACGTAGCCCAGAAAAGTGGGGATGGCGAAGAATGTGCGAACGAGTAGGCCGTTTCAGATTGTGCTTTCAAAGCCCGGAAGATGCTTGCGTGAACTTGTTGCGACTTATTTGTTGTCTCGCTGTGGAAATGCTGGCCTCATGCAAATTATGTCTATGAAATTACTTTGTATGTACGAAGGACTATCTGTGAATTCAAAATCTCGAAACATTGCTGTTGGCTGAGGTCTCAGCCCCCGGCTCTCCTTGCCTAGAATGCCAAAAGGAGAAGCCATTCCCAAGGATATCAATATTTTGAAGGGAAGTTGAACAAAGACAATGAGTCGGTTTCATTTCTGTGCTAGCAATTATGAGCGACGAGAAGGTTTGCACATCCTAACTTTTTGCTTTAAGAAAAGCCGAGCAAAATGCAGCCGAAGTAGTTGCAAGAAAATGAACATTCACAAAGGCCGCAGCATGATAAAATAAGAACATAATTCTTTGTGGGGATTTTATGGCCAAAGTTTTTTGTGGACGCGGCGGTATTGCAACCCCCGCCTTTACCTTTTAAGCCATTTCATTACGCTATTGGTATAGTGTCCGGCATAGGCGGGTCCTACACTTGACATTCACGCCCTTTCAACACCGAATGACTCTTCAAGAAACCTTATTCTTTTCTTCAATTCCTACATATATCGAAGAATAAGGAAGCCCTCTAAATTGAAACAATCTCACTGCGTTTTCTTGAAATGGCTCGTGACGCCCAAGCTCAAGACTCACCTCACGAACTGACCGCCACTTACCCCACTTCTCCACCACTTGCTCGCGATCACCACATTTTCGAGAGAGACGTGGAACCCACAACCACATCCCGCTCACGAAATGATTACACATTCCCAGAAGGCGGTACTAAAGCTTGGCTTGTCATTTTCGGATCCTTCTGCATCATCGCAGGTACATTTGGGCTGATATCTTCCGTTGGCCTTTTCCAAGCATACTGGCAGACGGATCAGCTGTCTTCCTATACTACTCGTGATATAGGATGGATTTCCGCTGTCAATGTGTTTCTGAATCTGTTTCTTGGAGTTCAGATTGGCCCTTTGTTCGATCGTTATGGACCAAGATGGTTGATCCTTTCGGGAAGCGTGATTTATGTTCTTACGTTAGTCTTGCTTGCCGAATGCAAGAAGTACTATCAATTTATGCTTGTTTATGGAGTTTTGGGGGGAGTTAGCAGTGCATTTTTGACTACGACGGCTTTGGCTGTAGTGGCTCACTGGTTTGAGAAGAAGAGAGGAATAGCTTCTGGAATTGCATTTGTTGGGTCGAGCGTGGGAGGCATCATGTTTCCATTGATCCTGAAAAGCGTTTTCGAACATCTCTCCTGGGCATGGTCGATGCGAATCGTGGCACTCATTGTTGCGGGCATGATGATTGCGGGCAACCTGTGCATCAAGGGCAGGTTGCCGCCTCGGAAAAATGGTGGGGCTGTGGATTTGAGATGTTTCAGAGATGCGAGGTTCTCATGGGCTACTGTTGGAGTTTCTTGTAAGTTTCTGCCTCGCTTGACCTGCTTATTCGGCCGTGGTTCATCAACCAAGAGCCTGGAAATCATCGTATCCTCGCTCTCACGTGATGGCATCCTGACTTCTCAACAGGTTTCGAGTTCGTGTTATTCGGTGCTCTGGGGCTGCTCCCCACATATGCCATCCTGCAAGGCTTCAGCAGTCAGACTGCTTTTAATATCATCGCCATCCTCAATGCGTAAGTTTCAAAACTTTGCTCTGTACCAATACCCCGCTCCCTATTTAAGCGAAAGGCCCTTGGAAGCACTTACTACCACAATGCTAAATTCTCACAGTGGCTCTGCTCTCGGCCGATCACTCTCCGGCTATATTTCGGATCATCTTGGACGCTTCAACACCATGCTCTTAACATTAATATGGTCGTTGGTTGTCACTTTGGCACTCTGGCTACCTATTGGAAAGCAGGTTGTACTATTCTATATCTTCGCGCCACTCTTCGGTTTCGGCTCTGGAAGCATTATAAGCATGGCTCCAGTATGTATTGGGCAGCTGTGTAAGGCAGACGAGTATGGACAATTTTATGGAACTTCTTACTCTGTTGTTGCTTTTGCGTAAGTTCTCAGACTTGTATTTGTTCTAACATCCTAACGCTTTATCACAGAGTCTTGATCTGTATTCCCGTCGGCGGTGAATTGTTACCGGCTGTTGGTGGTACAGCATTTGTAGGATTATTTGGTGGAATCTTGGTTTTATCACTAGTCAGTTTCCTCATGGCAAGGTGGGCATGTTTGGAATATCGCTGGCAGTGGATTATCAAAATCTGAAGAATAAGTTGCAATCACAAGATCTCAAAGGTATAAATTGAAGATTGTTCTGAGATAGATTGATGATATCAAACGGCCCGTCACTACGCTACAGTATCTGCATCTTCGCCATTCGCCTTTACTGCCTGGTTCCAAAATTAACACCAAAGCTAAATCTGCGGCTCTTATGAAGCTTCAGCACGGCAGATAACCTCAAAATTGATACCGCACGCAGGGTCCTTAACGAAGGCAGCATAGTAATTCGGACCAAATTGTGGTCGCAAGCCAGGTGCGCCGTTATCTTTCCCGCCTGCCTTCAAAGCAGCGGTATGGAACTCTTGGACTTGCTCGTGAGCTATTGAAGATATTAGCTAAGATTCGCAGTAAGTTTAGACAAATTAAGACAGACTCTCAGCAGTAAATGCCATGTGAGTATGATGTTTCGAGAGCAGGATCTCTAGAGCCTCCCCAAGGCCATCACCCTCGGGAACGGCTTGGATCCAGAGATATGGTCGTCCGTCACCCAAGCCGACGCAAGTTGGGATTGGTCGATAGAATTCTTTGAAGCCGATATGCTTGAGAGATGTAAGGAGGAAGGCTACGACATCCTCGAATTTAGATTCTGGAACTTGGAGAGAGTAGTGATCGCAAGGCATGATGGGTATTTTCGAGTGATGTGAATTGGCTAAAGGGAGAACGATATCGTCTAGAGCCGTACTAGGATTGAACGCTCTGTAATTGTAGTATGATATCAAGAACGAAAGAAAATCGACAACCGGGAGATGATTATATAAGTTCTCAACGCGTCGTCCAAGACACGGTTCGGACTTCTTATCGGACTCCGCCCTATGCAACTAGTGAGGGGTGATAGGCAGCAGCACCAACCACAAGCCTGTAGACCAGCCCTAATCTGCATGTCAGCACTGGCATCTTGCAGCCCGAACGCGCTATCAGGTGATGGCGTACACGGTACTGGTCCCTACAGCAGCTCCAACCTTATCATTGAGACAATTGAATTCATATTCTTAATTCCCATACCCCGGTCACAGTATCCGACCGAGATGGCATCACTACCGCCAGATTTAGAGGCAGTGTTCAATGAACATCCCCAAGATCAAGAAGCATTGCTGAAGGCTTTCATGCCTGTCTTTTGCGACCACGTGCGAGCAGATAGGATCTTTCTTCAACCAAGAAATCCAAGTACTCGTGTGTGTAAGATCTTAAGATGGCGCAGAACAGATAGCATTCCCTGGTAAGATCTCGGGACAGCGTTTTGAGATCGATGACACAGACTGAGTTATCAACAGGCCTGCTATTCCCGGCGATATCAAGGAGGGTCAGTGGTTCATCGAGGACAATTGGGAGAACGAAGACCCTTTGTGGAGGGCTGCTTTACAAGTCAGTCTTACATGAAATCCAAATGACAACCACTGACTCTGCGATAGCTAAAGCCAAGGTTTGCCCCACTTTCGATTTTCAGGATCTTCCTGGTGACCATGAAATAGTATATATGTCGAAGATCTCGAGCAAGCGGCGAGAGATGGGATTCTCAATCTTGACTTTGAGCGTAACTACATGTTTCACACGGCATTGATTCATGCTCATGCTCATTGGCCTCCTCTTCAGACATCCGCATCTCTCTCAATTGCGGGAAGCCCCAATGTTGAAGACAGATGGTTTTATGGTTCCGTCCAACCTGCTGTCTTTGATGGACCTAGAGTGTGGTCTCCAGAGATTCGTGATCTGGTGGAGAAGTGCTTGGTGAGAATTGCGCCAGTCATGAAAGCATATGGGGAGCGTGCTCCGCCTCGGTCGAGCTTCGAAAAAGAGTGATGCGTTATCTTCAACACACAATCTTAACTACGGTCCTGAAGGAGTGTCCACAAAGTAGTCATCCTCAAACAAGATATCATGCATCTGACATTTCAGAAGACTGTTGCATTATGATTCAGAAGTGACTCGGCATACAGCACCCTATCTTATGCGCGATTTTCTATACACTCGTCTTTGTTGCCCTTACAATGTTACCACCCGCTGCTCCATTCTCGTTTATAGGGACTTGCAATTGATGTAGTTGATCATCAAGAGATTCCATATCCTCGTCATCAGAACTCATGCAGTCAAGTCCATCAAAAAGCCTATTCTGAGCCTCTGCTTCCCATCTGGCGCATCGCCTCTCATATTCGTCAACTAGATCTTCCGCGTGCTCAAGTTCTTTCGCCGTCTTCCATTCATCCCACTCTTGGCCCCAACCACACCATCTGACTCGATACAGTGGCCCTTTAGACTTAGTGGGTCTTTTCGCCACTATTTCTTCGATCTCATATTCCATATCTGCATCATCGTCGGTCTCGATCACCTCTGAATGCTTCGCCGACGAGTTCTTAGATGCCCACCGCCCATTTGCGTCACGGCATCTTGTGTTGCCGCCTGTTTTGACTTTCTTGTTTCTCGTGCTGGTTTCCGCATCACTTGTTCCTTGTCTTTTCAGATTCGTGGCCTTTCGATTAGATGCTTTCCCATTCGAAAGCATGGAGTTCCCCACAGTCTTTCCAGTTCGTTCCCCATTCACCTTTGTTACATTATTATGGAGTGTCTCGACACCAGATCCTGTCTTAAATCAGCGTGAGCACAGATTTCTGAGTACAAAACTCACTTTGATTCATACCATGAACCATTAAATTCTTCAAGATTGAACCTATTGCTGCCATAGCCGCTGCGAGTTCATTGTTTGCTGTCTCTGAAGTAACTGTTGCCAATCTATTCGTCAAGTCTGCAGGATTGTGTTGCAACAATTCAATCTCAGATTCCTTCTTTGACGACTCAGGATCATCATTGCACGGGTCAACATTACGTAGTCTATTTTGTTTAGTTCTTCGACGTCTCCTAGAAGGTCCTCCTGCTTTCGCCGCTCCTTGGGTTGCTGGACATTTCGACCACATTGGTATCGCTGAACTGTTGGATCCTACTTTGGTGATCAGGCCTCGCATGTCTTTGGAGAACTTTTCAAACTCGGTATTGCTCCTAGAAAGAGCATTTAGCGTGTTGTTCGCTTCTTCTCCGTTCGGAATTACGATTTTATTTGTTGCGGTATCCGTATATGTAAATAGCGAGGTGTAATGCTCAACGCCTCCAACTCTAGGTCTTCCGCTCGTCTGTTGGGTTGAAAATGCTGTTTCGATCGAGGCGGTACGGCAGGCTTCTATTAGCTGCTGTGGCCCACTTCCAACCTTGGATGATACCTCGCCTCCCAAACATAGTATTATTTCAGGCTCGTTGACAATATAGAAACGCATCATCCATTCAAAGTGATGTGATTTGCTCTCAAAAAGCTCTTCGCCTAGACTTGTATAGATATGTTCGTTGAGGCACATCAACTTTGGCTCCATTTGACGCCAAGCAGTCCACAATGGAACACAAAGGCGCATATACTTCGTACCTTTTGGCAAACAAGGAATAATTTCAAGGTTAGGTGGTGGTGCTCTGAGTGGCGAACCTCTTGGAACAGCGTAAGGCCCATACGCTGTTGAACAGTGGAAAAATCGCCCCGGAAAAAGGATGATTTCATATGGAAGCAAGGGAGTGGTGAGGTTGAGAGACGTGACGTTGAATCTACCAGCAAAGTAATCTTCCGACAGATGAGATAAAGATACCAGAGCTGTGAGCCCAGTTGGGTCGTTCATCATATCTCGATGCACACCACCGTGCTTTTGCAGCCCGTCTTCAAGCTTCTGCCCCTCTTTTGTATAATTCAATTGCACGTTCGTGTACAGGTGATTGTTCCGTGAACCTAGAGTCAATGAAGCATTTTGGTACCAACGATCCTCTTTGCCGGTCCCAACAATATCTGGCATAACTAATCTTGTGATCTCAGAAACAATGTCCGTGAGCTCTTTGAGAAACTGTTGCGCCCCTATTTTGTGCCCTGCCTTGCTGACTGGACCGACTTGGATAGTGTTGGAACCGGAATATGGTTGTGCTGTGAGCCCCATAAGAAAGCGAGTTCCGCATCTCTTCGACTTCACCAAACCTTCTATCTCCTCTTTGAACTTCTCAGTCAGAAGCTGGGCTCGTAAAGGCGCAAGGCGTTGTATGAAATTATGTTTCTGGAGGAAGTCCGCAGAGATTCGCATCGCGCATGGAACTTTCCGACCGGAAGGAGTTTTCATCCAATACATTTTATCAGACTCCAATTCAGTATAGCCGATGCTTTCGATTTCCGTTGATGTGAGCAGTCTTCTTTGCTTGAGAAGATCTGGGACGTTGAATGCTAAATCAATCCTCTTAGGCGTCGACAGCGATTCATTGAGTACCATGGTACATTCTCCATGTTTCCAAATAGGTTCGAAGTTCTTGATTATCTTGGGTTGTATGATATCGGGAACAGTGTCGGTCTGGTCAGCTGAATCCATGATTAACTATGGAGAGGTATGCATTTCAAGCATCAAGGCCTGGGTACACAAACAATTAACCATCCACAGCATTTAATCACCGAGAACTTCTTTGTTCGACATAATAGCCTACTTGGAATGCCAAAAAATCTGTTTTCATATCAAAGAATATTTTTTGGTGGAGATGGTCACGTGGATTTTGATATATTGGTTCTTTGACCAGTGACAATGGAACCATGCAAGACAAAGAAATCCAGTAAGCGGAGATATCTCCATAAGATGGATACGAAAACGGTATCACTTTCTTCAAAGCAAGTACACCAAATTCCCTGATCTATTGCAAGCTCTGTAAGCCTCCCAGGATATGAGGGGCCGATGAGATTCGCCTGAAAGTAAGAGTTGGTGCCACCGCGAACGGCCCACTTGCCATTTTACACCAAAACGCGGCTCTTTTATTAAATTATATTTTTACAATTTTTTATAAAATTCTATAAAGAACGCGAAAATTTATAATGTATTTTGCAAGAGTTGTTTAGAGGTAAAGAGAGAAGGGGGGTAAAAAGAAAGGTGAAATCGTTTAATTTATATGTAAATTTTGAATTTTTTGAAAATCTTCTACTTTAGCTACGTACCGTTTTTACAATTTCTTTTTAATTCGATTTCTGAATTGTACAAAATAAATTTTTAATACTAATTTGATTTCAATTCGTTTTTTATTATTTTTTATTAAAACATTGTAATAATATACTATTTTGCAAAAGGGGTGTTTTGGTGTAAAATGGTGGGGTGGGCCGCTCCCGCTGGCCTCAGCTCTTACAATGGAGAATCTGATTGGCACCATATGAATAGAAATGGCAGATTCGTGTAGAATGAAACATACTGTCAGTTACTCAAACAAACATGACAATCCACCTAATCTACGAAAGAAGCATATGTTCATAAACTTCAGCTTTGCGTGTACGGGCGCAGTCTTGTCTCTGGGTTGCAGTGCACTCACTAATGGTATCCGTCAGAAAGCAAGATGACTTTCACCTGATGCCAAGCATCAGACTCAAGCTTGATTAAAATAACCTTGGATGGTTAAGCATCATAGTTGTGGACTGATGTTTGGGATGACAGCCTGTGACAGCTTGGCGGCGCTCGGTTGACGGATTAACCGAAAAACAATAAGGGGGAGCGAGACCAAAACTGGAGCGTGTTGTTTGATCGCTTCGTTTGATCTTCGGATGGTGTTTGGTTTCCTTTGAATGCATCAGAAAACAATTCGCGATCACGATGTGTATACGATAATAATTCTCTCGATTCAGGGCCGGCGGGGCAGTGTAGTTGCCTAGCAAAGTCCTTGCTTTCCTCGAAAAGGCTTTGTATGGTTTCGTCAGGTTGCGAAGTTCTTGAAATTCAACCCATTATGACGAAAATCACTGCGTGTATAGCGACATCCGATTTTAGCCTCCCGACACAACCTGGCAGACTCCAGATCTGAGAGTCCGGGGAACAGGGTCGCGGAAGATTCTTGGCAGATCTATTTCTGATCACCCCAAGGCCCACCCATGTTTCAACAAGGGCCATCTTCAATAACCTTACCGTTTTTCCCATAACTCTATTTCAATGCCGTGAGTCATTTGCTTTCCACATTTCCAAATAGAGGAGTCGTCCGGTCTCAAATATCCATTTTGAGAAAGACATGCTCAGATCCCTCCGGATCTTCAGGTTGTTTTATCTTATCAAGGCATTCAAACAATCGTGCTGCGCCTCAGGTCTTGTTTGTTTCGTTTTCTTGCTCTTGAGAAGACATTTTTCTTTAGGTAATCAACTGTGTCAAGCTTTTGGGGATGGATATGTAAAGACGACAAGCCTTCTCCAAAGCTTCTCTTCTCTATCTTTTCTCACTCGTCCGGCACGCTTCACAAAATATCTTTCAATTCACCAGCTGGGCTGAAATCATACTTTAAACTGAATTAATCACTTCTACAGTTTGCCTCCAGACTTCATATCAATTTTCAAATATGCAGCTCACACTCCAAACCACATCTTTGATCTTCCTCCTCTCCGCCATTTTGTCTGTCCATACGTCTCCAGTCCCAGCGAACGGCAATGATCTCCTCGATCTTTCAGTCAGAAATGAGAACATATATGTTGCTCGAGCAATAGATCTTGAGCGGAGACAAAGAGGCGGGGCTGGTGCTGGTGGGGTATGTCTTGATCATCTTTCCACATTTATGGCTTGTGCATGAATACTGATTCGTACATAGGCTGGAGCAAAGGCTGCTGGAGCCAATGCTGGAGCTGTAAGTTTTTCTTCTCCTAGAACAATCTTTATGGGATATTGTTCTGACAGCTTTTAGGCAAATGCTGGGGCTGCTGGGGCTGTAAGTGACAGACTTTAATGTCACCGAATTCTTTGGGCAGATACTGAATTATATTCTAGGCCGGAGCGAAGGGTGCTAATGCTGGTGCGGTACGTCTTCTATCTCAAAATTTGTCTATGATATTGTTCTGATGAAAATATAGGCCAACGCTGCAGGTGCAGGCGGTGTAAGTGACAGACGTTGCCGTCCTAAAATGAGTTTGAATCATGAACTAAACTACTTCCCAGGCTGGTGCTAATGCGAATGCTGGTGCGGTAAGTTTCCTCTAACCGAAAAACCTCTTCGTGGCACTCTTCCTAACGAACACCAGGCCAACGCAGCAGCTGCAGGCGCAGTAAGTTGAACACGATATATCTTGAAACACAACTAACACTCTACAGGGTGCTGCCAAAGGCGCAGCAAATGCCGTGAGTCTTGCTTGAAATCCATTTATACCTCAAACCAGGAGGACTATGCTGACTGATGTGATTGGAATCAAGGCCGCAAATGGAGCAAATGCTGTATGTGCTGTACTTCTGGACTTTCGATACACAAGTTCGCTAATCTATCTTTAGGCTGCTGCCGGGACCGCTGCTAAAGGAGCCAAAGGCCAAGGCGCTGTAAGTTATGTCAACTTTTCTTGGAGTAAGAAGCTAATCAAATTGTGTCCAGGCCGCCCAAGCTGCTGTAATTCATGACCTGATCCTCTTTCGATGTATCATTATACTGATTCTTTGATTCTAGGCTGCACAAAATGCCGCTGGTCAAGCTACCGTATGTTGAATTCCTTTCTTTTCCGACGCCTAAATTTGTACTGACAATAACAGGCCGCAACTGCAGGAACCGGAGGCAATGCTGCGGCAAAAGCAGCCAAAGCAGTAAGTTTGCTCATTGTGAGACCTCTTTGTCAGACTTGAAAGCTAATTGTCTTCAAACAGGCCGCGAAAGCGTCTGCGGCTTCCGTAAGTCTTCAATTACAGATGCGTTTCAGTCGAAATCTAACGAAAGACTAGGCCGCATCTGCAGCATCAGTAGCAGCTACTGCAGCAGCTGTTGCAACGGACGCAGCCGTAAGTCCCATTTCTGTGTCTAAATTTCGAAAAACAGCAATGGCGCAAGTGATATATTTCTGTTATTGACTTGCTGACCATTTTTCAAGGCCGCTACAGCTACCGCAACTACCGGAAAAGGAGGAAAAGCAGCTAAGGCGGTAAGAATCACTCTTATTTCTGTTTGAGAGCATAGCTAACGAGCTCAATAGGCCGCCAAAGCATCGGTATGTCGACCTTGATCATAGAACCTAGAAAGCATTCTGACAATCATTAGGCCTCTGCAGCTTCTGTTGCTTCTGTAGCGGCTACCGCTACTGCAGATACCGCGGCCGCGGCAACTGTAAGCAAAAGACTGTCCCGTACGGAGAGCGAACAACATTGACTAATCTTTCGCAGTCGGCAGCCGGTACTGATCTCCTTGCTCTTGCTGTAAGAACTCGTCCATTAAACGAATTGAAAGCATAAACTAACAACAATAGAATGCGAGTATTGCAGCTGCCAATGCTGCCGCGACTGTAAGCCAACTTCCTTGGATACTTGACTTCAAGAGCAATTAATTGACATGATCCAGGCTGCCGCTTGAAGCATACCTACGCAAAGGGCCATACTCGAAACTTGAGAATGAAGTGCAGACATTCGTTACGACGCAAGACACTCGTTCGGGGTTATTTGTAGTTTATTCTTGGTGTTATTATATTTGGAGAAAAAGTCACTGGTGACAGGTTGGGTTGGAGTAGGTTGACAACACTCGTTTTCAGGAGATGTACCCTACGACAGAAATGAAACATTTATGCAATAATGAAGATTTCCTTTGCTTCAGATTGTAGACTTCGTGACCATTGAATCACACTCGCTGTAAGTTTCAAAGGCACAAAATAAAAGTGCAGAGTCGCTTCTGGAATAATTATGCCCGAGTCAGCAGTTCAAATAATTTCATCTTTTCCCGTTTAGGAAGGACAGCCCTAAAGAAAGGAGATTTCTCCGGCTTTCGCTTATGTGCCGCACGCTGCAACGTTACCCTACAATTCTCTGGGAAAACAAGTTCACCTCCAGGTTCTTGCTACCCCGCAATACCTCTGCATCAATTGACTGTTGGCAATCTTGACAGTGCATGTCAAACTTGTACGAATCGCTTACATTCCCTTCTTGCTAGTATCTTCGACTTCGGACGAAAAGGAAGCGCAACCGGGATCAGACTTCCGACGAACCAACAATTAAAAGCTTCAAGGCGCTGTCATAAAGCAACAAACCCCGCATTCCATGTCCAAAATGCTACTTTTCGTATATGCAAGAAAGTATTGGCTAACATGCGCTTGCACCGCGTGCCGTTTTCGTACAACACAAATCGTGGACAAGCACAAGAAACCGGTTGGTTGGTTGGAGGTGAGATTTGTTGTCAATCAAAGAAACTTTTCCCCTCCCTGTACCTGACTAAATTAACCTTACCACGCCTTCCCCTCTCGCTATCCCAGATTCCCATCTAGCTCAGGGACAGGCGCATGCGCTCTACCAATTACCACGCTTGCTCCACCGAACCCAGTGAGCCTCTCACCCCAGCGTCTCTAAGCGGTTTCTATTCCTGGTCCGAGCCGGATGCAGCAAAAGAGTTGTCGATGAACATTACCCCGAGATATGCTCCAACGGCGCGGCGACGTGCATCGCACTTGTCGGAACCCTCGGCCGGATACAGATGCTCATGTTCTGAGTGGAAGAGATCTGCATGCGCACTGCAAGGGGAGGACTATCGAGATTGCGAGATGCGGGGGGTCGTTGCTCGCACCTTGTTGATCATTTTGTTGACATGATGCGCTGTATAAGTATGGAGCGGCCTCCTTCTCCTCCCGAAGAAGCGAGCAGAGTATCCTCTCAGTAATTTTTTGACTGTCTCTCGTTGTTGGGTATCGTCTTTCGCTTTAATTCGCCACGATGCAGACCACTCTCTTCCTGCTTGGCCTGGCTACCAGTGCCCTTGCCAATGTCATGGAGCGTCAAGCTACGTGCAATGCGGACAATTGTCTTCGAGGACTCCGTGGCACGGCCAACATGGTGCCTCCCCTCAGCTCTCGTCTAGACGATTGTTCGAGCTTCCAATTGGCAACAGTTACTCCTGCTCCAACGTAAGTTCCCCTTCCGACATCCCAATTATGATTGCGCCTCCGTCTCTTGCCAAACTTGTGACTAACAAACTTCATAGAACCATCACAACAACTGTAGCTACAGAGACAATCACCGTAACTGAAGCCGCCGTGACAGCTCGCGCGATCCTGCCCCGTCAGGAGACCGTATACCCGAGCTCCATCCCCGCCTACGCAACCTATTGCCCAGTGTCCAGCAGATATGCCTCCGCCTGCTCTTGTCTCGGCGTCACTGCGACCACAACAACAGTTGGGACTCCTACAGTCACCATTTCTACCACTGCAACGGCAACTGTGACGTACACCCCGAATCTATACGCTTGCTCCCCAGCAGACAGCGCCTCGGCTTGTGGTGGCTCATGCGATGGAACTTGTTTCCCGGACGTTAATGGAGTGGGATATTGCAAACAAAACAGACCCTGTGAGGGCTTGACGCCTTGTACTGCGGACAGTGATTGTCCAAGTGATATCTGCTTGGTTAATGGATGTGGAACTGTTTGTGCTGAGACGCAATATTTGTGCCCCAACACTTCCAGCGCGAAGTTCTTGTTCAGGAAGAAGAGCGAGGGAATGGAGGCTGGGAAGCGAGCAATGGTTGCTACTGAGAAGGGCATGATGGAGATGGATGACATCTAGGTGTTAGTGAGAAGTTTAGCAAGGTATTGGATAATGATTTGATATAATACAACATAATGAGAACATCAGATGCCACAGCACCGAATTTCGCCCAACAGCTGTGCGCGCTCACAGGATCTTGAAACTTTGGACACGCTTCTTGCTTTCTTCAAGACTTTCTCGTTTCGCATTCAAGTCCTGCCTTTTCTGGGAGATCGTCGGATCCTCTCCTGCAAGGGTAGCCAGCGCCGCTTCGTTCTCCTTACCATAAAGTCGCTGCGTCACATAATCGGACGTGAAAAGCAGCAACGGACCATCCGGCCCAAGCAAGTGCCTCTCGACGACCTGAAGCGCGAAGTTGTCGATGAATCGGTACAAGGCGACCTCGTGGTATGCTGCGAGACTATCGTGGGTCTTGAGAACTCCGGCCAGCTCTGCGTTGCCGATCAACAAGGACTGGATGATGAGATCTGATGGGATGCTACCGAGCTTGAGGGGCGTCGAGCCGGCTTGCTGAAGGCTCATCTTCGGTTCTTTGAGTGTGCACTCGGTCAAAACTGCTTGGATCCGCTCTTGGTGAAGCTGTTGCGTTCTGAAAACCATCATTGGATGAAGGGTAAACAGTTGCCCATCTCTTTCGCTAGCAATGAGCCTTTGGAGCTCGATTCTTGCATTTTCTGCCGCTTTCTGAACGTCGTCTTGAAGCCACACTCGTAATTTCAGCCGAAGAGACTCATCTGAACACACTTTTTCGAACAGGGAAGAAGTAACGTTCTCGACTGTTCGCTCCACCAAATTGAGAGCATTCGAGGCGATTTCTTCCCAGCTAGCGACTTGTTGTTTCCATAATTGGCTCTTCACGATTGAATTCACTTCTCCGATGTCCTCTTTGCCTCGATAATTGTTGATACAAGCTTGAACCCACGAATAGTTTTCCAATAGTTTGGGGCCCCACTCGCTCTCGTGAGTGCATTTGGACACGGCGACAGCATCTTGTTTACTTGTGATAAAAGGGATCTTAAGGCCACGAGCTACCATGTCGGCCTTGAAGGAATCCAGATTGTCTCTGATGAGTTTCCGGGCGAATTGCTTGTCGAGGGTCAGCTCCTCATAATGCCCATTCACGGCCCCAGCTGCCCCTTTCGAGTATTCTGTGGCGATTTTGTTGACGATTGTAAACTGAGCCTGGTTGGTCGCTCGAGGTTCCCCAAGTTGCTGAATCTGAAGCAGACATTCATCAAGCTTGCTCTGGATCTCGAAAATTAAATCTGGAATACTGCGCTTCACATGTCGATTGCGCATCTTGATGAGTGCCGTTTTCAGTGCATGTCTGCCAAGCGCGTCCTTCTGCAGCGAACTCCATTCCGGGCCAGCGAAAAACTCGTCTTCTTTCTTGTCTCGCTCGCGGTCACTGATACTAAGCTCCGAGGGCGATCTGTTACGCAAGCCAAACCAACCTTCTTTCAACCAGTGTGGGGATCTAGCAGGGTCGTTTCGGAGAAGATCAAACACCTGAATCTGTGAGAATCAAGATCCAGTCAGATGAACGCAAAGACTTACCCAGTCGTGAGATTTCAATTGCTTGGTGTCACATTTGTTGATGACACCAATAACCCTTGTTTCTTCGTCTGGCAATTGTTGTATCATTTGCATGATCTCCTGCCTCTCTAAATCCACGACGTCAATCACAGCCCTGAGCTTGTAAGCTTAATGTTCGCGCACGTAATTGCTCGCCAGTAAGAACACATACATGACAATACTCCGTGGATTGTTCAAGTAGTTTTGGACCAGGTTCTTTGCTGTTCGATGTTCCGAATTCGACTCGTTTCCTATTCGAATTGTTATTCTGAAGTTCATAGCTATAATCGTATGGCAGGTACCTCGGACCAGCCCAGGGATATCGGCAATGGCAAAGTTTCTTTCTTTAGGGCCCCGCCTAGTAATTTTCAAAATTGAGCTACTCAAACGATTCACTCGACCATGTTTAGGAGAGTTTCTTCTGACTGTACTCCCAAAAATCATGTCATCGGCCTGTACCGGCATTGTAAGCTAAGGCAAGTCGCTTTGGAGAGAGGGGAACACAGCATACTTGCTGAAAGATGTTCTGCATCATCGTCTTGTCAAGAGTTGCAGTCCGATCAAAAGGTATAGGCCGCCAAGATAAAAGTTCCTGTCTTCGCTCTGGGCTGATATCTGGGTCAGGCTGAATGCACACGTCAATCTCCGTTGGGTGATCTGGCGCCGTTCTTTGGAGTACAATCTCCGTCGCAAAACGAGTGCACATTTTGTCGTCGATTGAGAACGGAATATCAGTAACTGCCTGGAGGACAGAGCTTTTCCCTATGCAAACATTAAAACATATTTTCAAAGGCTTGCCAACGGCATTTCAACCGAGGGGCTCTTGCCTGTACTTTGATCGCCTACGACCACTAACTAGAAACAATTTAGCATGGCTCAAAACTTCGAGCAGGCATCGTACCTGAGGGAGATTGAGGTATTGAGAGACTCCGAGCTTCTGAAGGTCATCAATCAACTCCAATTGAGCTATGGTCTGTTGGTCCTCAAAGCCATATCCGAGTGGGCCATCTTCGCAATCTCCATTGACAGATGCCGGAGAAGTCAACTTTTCAGCAATTCCACCAGGCAAAGAAGCATTGATTGCTTGTTCAACTCCAAGGGATCCCATGGTGATATGTCAGAGAGACTGGCCTTGTAAAGAAAATCAGCGCGATTTTGATTTGTGCTAAAAATTGAATGGATTTGTATTTGGCTATTTATAAGAAGGAGTGACTTATCATTCCAATTTCAAGAGGTAAGAACACCTTTTAACATACCTAGCAAGCCCATGATGTCAATGTTCAAATATCAGCCACTCAGAGTGCATACCATTTCCTCGGAACCAACATTGACAAGGCTGCGACCAACAAAGTCTGTGACAATGCAGGAGCTCATAGGATCACCTTCCTATAGTGTTTCTCCAAAACACTTTCGATGCAAAAGTCGTAATTGTAGGCTCGGCCACGCAGGTCAGCAAGGCTTTGCCACGGCTTCGCGACATATCCCGCATCAAGACCTTAACTCATAAGTTGCTCCCCACGGATGAGCAAGGTTATTCACGGGGTTGCGTCTCGGGCCAGCGGCTGTCGATGCGGCACAGGGTTTCGGCGGTAACACACAGATCATGACAATCATGATCGCATAAAACTGCCTAGAGCTACCTGTCAGCATCTGAATTTCAACAAGGCATTGTAATGTTGGTGTTTGAGGCAGTTGCAAGCGCATAACCGAAGCGCTGAAATAGGGAATAGTAGGCGGGAACGTCAAATAATCGTTCAAGAACAGTGACTTTCGAGGCGAGATTCCATCAGCTCCGTGCAGCGATACTCTTTAATCCTTGCCAACCGAACTGTGGAATGCGACCTTCGAAACATGACGCATTTCACGGCGTGTTTTCAAGTCGAGGTCTCTGATTTTACGATCGCTCGTGGGAGAACGTTGCGTTGCGTTGGGCAGAGGAGGAAGTTTGCATCGAGAGAAATTATAGGCTTCTTTGGCGTTATTTTGTAGTACTGTAAGCGAAAGCCCGTGATTTCATCTTAACAAAAGGACATCGAGTGAGCGGAACGATAGGGGCATTCGTGAAAGGCTTGACCCTCTCTACGCTTTTGTATTTCACTGAATAATACGATATCCAGCCATGGAAGCTGTTAGCAGCAGCACGTGATGAGCTCACATTCTACCATTCCATTGCTTGAGCATGGGAACAAAATCACATCTACTTAAACTTCTATACCTTTTCTCACCTATCAACGCCGTTTTAAATTAACCTAGGATTGCCAAGGTGTTTATTCTATCCGATTTTCCACGGCAACTTCGATATTTCCAAAGCTCGAACAAATGCCAGAACTGTCATCACAACGTTCTTGAATACACAAGTTTAGGCATGAGCGAGTAGCTTAGCATTAAATACTACATCCTCAGAGACACAAACTCTTTGCTTTTACTTCTCTTCCATACTCCTACCTTTCTTACTCGAACCTATATTCACCTTCCACTTCGCCATAAGGTTTATTAGCAATGATAGCAAAAGTAATCATATGTGGAGTGTTAAGTTTGAAGAAGTGAGTCCCCATTGCGGTTGTAATGGCGCAAAGACACTGGCAGCTACAGAGGTCCAGAGCTCAACCGAGCAGGATACGAGAATTGTGAGTCGCCTAAATTTTCTAATTAGGATAAGAAAAAACCTGCTCTTCTGTCAAAGCTGGATCTCTCGTAATCGAATCCAAATATGACTCCCATGATCCTCCTTCCTTTATGCCCAATGATTCGGCTCTATATTCCCGATACCGGTTCGCTTCAGCCCCAATCAAGGTCTCATGAGTCCTCGAATCCATTCTTAATTCTCTCTCCCAATTCCTGTCATGAAATTAAAACTTAATCAAGATCAAGGATAGGTCAAGCAAGATTCGGTGCTATAACAGAGAGGTAATACACTTGTAAGAAGTTCGATGTTCGGCTCGCAAGCTTACTGGATTTGGGATATATTGTTAGAAACATGCCCGTCAAAGATGAACTTTGGGCGAAAAATCAAGATCAACAATAAGCTACTCGCAATACGGCGCTGCAAGGCAGTGGTAAGGGGCTACTTAAACATTCGATGCTCAAGTCGCACTTTGTGCTGCATTTGGGATGGTGTTTTCGAAAATACATCCCGTCTCACATCAACAAACAGGGGTTCGCGAACAATTCAGCTCTGGAAGCCTTGCCATGAACACAATGACATTCAGAAGAAGGAAAGCGCTGCAAGGAGAAATTAGACCGTCACAGCTTTACGACGACGATGGAAGGCCAAAAAAAAACTATAAGTGTTTGACCTTGACCACGCATATCGAGTTCCAGCTCCATCCACATTGTCAAACATCGGCAAGACAACAAGGACTCGAAACAATCAACCACTCAGTCAAGTACAACTCAAAGGACTTTGTTCTTCAATTTAACCACCAAAGCATCAAAATGCATTTCTCCATTCCCACAATTCTGATTGCTGCCACTGCTCTCATGAGCACGACCATGGCAGTCCCTACATCAGGTCCCACACCCTCCCATATCAATCGTGATCTCACCACTGACGAGTAGCAGGAAACGTTTTGAACCCTCGTTCCTGCGACTGCGCATTCTTTGACTCCTGTGGGCCAAATTGTTCCAGTGCAGACTCCTTGGATCCGCATGCCATAGGGCTCTGTATCCTCGCTTCCGGAGACAGTTGCGGTTGCGACGCTAACACGATCTGTTATGATAATGGTTCATCTTGTACTGAGAATGGGTGTGAAGGGCGCTGAGAACATGTAGTTTTAATAAAGTTTGTTACGGATATATGCATAAGATGGTGAGAGGGTAGGAGTGTGATGTGGTATTTACTGAAGCCGCTCTTTACAGGATATATGGGTTGATGGAAATTTGTAACTCAATTATACTCTTTTGAAATTCAACTAAACTTGGCACTTAACAATAGTTTATTCTGTGATTATTTGTGTTTTCATAAATATAATTCGCAATTCCAGACAGCCAACTGTCCCAGACACAACGCTGCTAGATATTGGGTTCTAAGAGTATCCAAATGAAGTACCCGTCGTGACATAGCTCATGCTCCTTTTGTTCAACTTTTTGTTCGACCAGTACAGAACAACTCATGCAATGAAAAGACACGAAAGATATTCAAATGCAGTCCCTAGTCGGGGCATGAACAATGGCTGTTCAAGCAGGAGCGAAATTGAGAACAGCCAATAGATTGTTTGCCGCGTACACGTGCTAATTTGAGGAGAACAACTCGTTCAATCGAAAAATAAGATGAATACTGATAGACAAGCTCAAGAATCAGATCCGAGGCTCACTTGAAGACAGCGCGGGGTAGCTTTTGGGCGATGCAGAGGTCTTAAAACGTCAGTCTCTCCGAAGAAACGAACTGCAGATTGAGCTATGCACTTCTTCGGGGCAACCAGAGGATGAATTGAATATCGAATGCAACTATACTCGGGAAAAGCTTGAGAACATGTTTGCAAGAGTTTAATAATCAGATGATGCGGGGAAGGAGCTGGTCCCAATTCGGTTAGCGCAGGGGCGCAGGCTCTTCAGAGGTTCTTCCGTCTTATTACCTCACCAAACCTTCATAACCCTCATGGAGAGGAACAAACAAAGAGATGCAAATCAGGCAGCAGTTATTGAAGTCATCCTGAAGTCCGGTTTCCAAGGGATAGCTCCCTTGAATCATGTGCCTCCGCGTTCCCAATTGGGAACGATAATCCCGTCTAGCAGCGCCTTCCGCACAGTCTCAGCCACTTGCTTACAGTCTATCGGATCCATCGTATTTTATTAATTAACCTTACATTACCGAATGGCCGTTGAATGCATCACGTCTATTGGTTACTTCGTACGTCCTTGTGTCTTTCAATGCTGCACTTCAATATCCTTGTCGTTATGAGCTTTATTTGCTGGTGGCTGAAGTCTTGAAGCTCACTGGCACGTTCGTTTATATTTCCAAGGTTTAAATGTCTCGTACGTACGCAGAAAGCCCCCAGGAATTTTTATGGACTCGTCACTATTCATGTCTGGGAGTAAGAGCGCCCAATCCAAAGGCAATATGATATAAGTAGCACTCATTCTCTTAATAAAAACTACACTTCCATAGTTGGGTTTCATCAGATAGCCTGTCGTCATCTCTGCCATTGTTTGGTCTAATCAAAATGGCCATACTATACTTCAGTAGCCTTGTCTTCCTGACATCTCTCATCACGGAGCTAGTGACAGCTTCTCCATTGTCAAGTCGTAGTCAAGATCCGAACAAACAATGGACGTTCTCAGAGGTCAGTCTTCTGCAGAATTCCTTTGGACGAAGAACTAATAAGTTGTCCAGATTCCACCTTCCCATGGCCTCGATACTTGGTATCCTTGTTTCACCAACTTTACATGCGCTCTCCTTGACGTAAGCCTCGGCCGAGCAAATCTGTAGCATCCAATTGACAAAACTCAGGTTCCACTAGACTATACCAATCGAGATCTTGGAAGATCGTACATTCCAATTATCAGATATGCGGCAACGACCACACCTTACAAAGGCATAGTGTTGACGAATCCCGGCGGACCAGGAGGCTCAGGCGTAGAGTTTCTTCAAGAAGCTCTTGGTACAGGACTTCAGGTTGTGGGCACAAATTATGACCTCGTTTCCTGGGATCCTCGAGGAATTGGTGCCAGTATTCCTGCAGCGAATTGCACTTTGCCATCGAATCTCAAACGGCGGTCACTTGAACCTCTTACTGGTCCCGAATTGGCCCCAATCTTCTTCGAGGCTAGTTATAATCAGTCAGTTGCCATAGGAATTGCATGTAAGAACTCCATTGGAGGCAAAACTCAAGCAGGTCCACACGTGACTACGGCCACAGTCGTCCGAGATATGATCTCCATGATTGACGCATATGCTGCGAGTGAGAAAGGAAAGTCCTGTGAGGACGCATCTTTGTTGAATTACTGGGGTTTCAGCTACGGAACTTTCATTGGCCAAACATTCGCATCAATGTTCCCCAAGCGGCTTGGAAGAGTTGTGCTTGACGGAGTGCTCAATCCGGATGATTGGGTTCAAGGGACCGGCCAGAATTTGATTACGTTCACCGACGAAGCATTCTCGACTTTCTTCGACTACTGTTATGCTGCTGGCCAAACGAATTGTCCGTTCTCGACTGGCACCAATCCTCATGACATCTATCTCCGTTTCGAATCCATGGTCTCCAAACTTAATGCTACATACGCATATCAACAAGGCTGGAGCAATGCAACGGCGATTGAACTTCTGCTCACCGGCATTAAACAAGTAATATTCGCAGAGATTTACGAACCAATTGATGGATTTCCACCCATTGCCCAAGCTCTTGTAGCTGTTGAGTCCGTCCTACCCAATCTCACGCTCTCCGCTCTCGAGGAACTGGAAAAGGACATAGGACTCGTTATTACGAACCCACCTGATGTCACCATCCCCAGTCTATGGGAGCGGGCTGTGTTGTGCACAGACACAGGTGGAATCGCATACGGGAAATCATTGTCTGAGATTGCTCCGCTGGTGTCACGGGAAGAGAGCGAGAGTTGGCTTGCGGGAGAAGATCTATCCGGTCAAGATATTAGCTGTGCTGGGTGGCCTATTACTTCGGATTATCGATATGCAGGTATGTGATCTCTTTGTTAATGTGAGCAAAGCTAATCAAGGAAGGTCCTTTCTATGCCAAGGTCAATAATCCGATACTATTCGTCAGCAACACTCTTGACATAATTACCCCTCATCAGAAGTAAGCTTTCAACAGTGTCAGTCCTCAATAAAACTCCCGTGCTAATGAATTCCAGCGGTGTCAATGGCACGACTCGCTTCCCCGGCTCTCAAGTACTCACTATTGATGCTACAGGTGTATGGTATTCCCCTCTCTTGTTTACCCTAAGCTGACAGGTTTCAGCACACGTCTGTCGCAGCACAGAACTTATGTGCTTTTGGCAAGATCAACACATTCTTCCAGACTGGACAACTGCCCGGCACAGATAACTATTGCCCTTTGGAAGCTGGGCCATGGAATATCACGTTGCCTGGACCGCTGAGTTCGTTTAATGACAAGCGAGATATCAAGGAGAGCCTTGTAAAGTTGAAAGCTTAGCATCTGAAAGTGCGAAGTACTCCTGTATAATATTCAAAGTTGATAACTATATTCATAACAGAGTTTTGTTTTCAAACTTTCATTTTCGTGCCTGTGCATACAATTGACAAGTTTTTACTTCTGCAGGACTTTTATGCGAAGCAGACGACAATTTTGAACTTGCATCAACTCCTGAGCGATAGGCGAAAACCACGTGAGCATGGAGGACCGAACAATATTCCAGAATTTACTTCTAGGCATTCTTGGTCATCAGACAGAATACGTAGAGGACATAAGTCAGTGTCTTCTCCATCGTCCGTGTTGAGAATGTTATCCTACACTTCTGACCTCGACAAAGTGACTATGCAACATCACGTGCACTGTTTGGCTTCGCATTTTCTCAAGCTCAACACAACACTTTGCCAATTACGAACTATTCCGAGTTTACAAATATCCAAAATCACTCACGGAGCAATCAGGGACTCAATCCTCCCCTCGAAAATCGAACATTGACGAAGTTGCACCACATCGGCCTGTACCGATCCAGAAATCGGCTGACATTCGGTCCTCATCGCACCACCCACAAACCGATATCATACGACCAACATCACTGTCCCACACGAACACACATTCAGTAACGTCGATATAAGATGAAAATAATCCGTCTACAAGATGAATATGCAAGTGTCCGTCTACCAAGCATTTCACTGCATTTCACACCAGAAATTCAAACGAGCCAATCACATTTTTACTTCCCAATATCAACGCAATAATCATGTCAGCCGCAAAGAACGTAGCTTTGGTAGCACTCGGTGCGCTCGGAGCCGTGGTAGCAGTCAATCAGTTAGCAAAGCCAGCGAAAACGGCTGGGATTGCGAATGCGATGAGGCAACAGTTGGATGAGTACAATTTGAATGTGCAGCCTGAACAAGACCCAAAGTATGCAAACCTTCAATCGAATTGTCCGAATTTTCAGGGGAGAGGAGCTGATAAGTGAACAGTGACACTATCTTCGACCGAACGAAGATCTTGAACGATGTCAAGGCGAGGAAACCGTGGAATATGAGTTATGCGGAGAAGGAGAGAGTGAAGAGAGAAGAGTAGAGATGGAATGGTTTTACAGCATGGGTCTGGCGTTTGGGTTATCGGGAATAATTGGGAATTCCACACTTTTGGGAAGAAGTGTTGCATATTGCGGGAATAATAGAGAGGATCATGGAATGAGAATCTGCACTGCAAAGGACAGAACTAGACGGCTATAGATCGCTGGCCTAGATTGCTCGCCAATACTGCATTGTAGAATCTACCAAAAGACATCGAGAACATTGTACAAAAGGCAAATTCCAGAGCGCTTAGATCTGACACTCTAATGAACGATGCCTTGAATTACAATCGAGGACACATCTCGCACCTAAAATGCGGTGGATAGGGATTACAGTTCATGCCTCTGCAACGAACGGCATCACAAGCATTCCTTACTTGGCATCGACACTAGACAAGATCAGTACGGGGTATCTACCACAAGGAGGTACTTACACATTCCCACTTTACATCCGGATCCTCGCCAGTATCCATCTTAAGAGCTTGTTCTTCGATAAAACCATATTGGAGACCTTCGTTGTTCTTAGCTATGCCTACTTCTGAGGACGCTTCAAAGATCGCCGTCTTCTCAGTATCTGGAAATATGACAGTGGTCTTCTGTGGATGTTCCTTAGGTGTAGTCACAATACAAATAGTATCATCTGCAGAAGTGGTCCTTCGATCGTCATCTCCAGTGGACATTTTGACTGTTGGCCTTGGTGGAGCTGGAGAGAAACCGGTTATCCTCCTCGTGCCTCTTGAAGCTTCGAAAGACATCGTAAGACAAAGTGTTCGAAAGCTGTCTTAGCAGATAAGCTTTTAGGAGTCGGAAATAGTCTTTACTTTATGTAACCTTCACAGGGATAGCTCGAACCTGTGGGAAATACAGCTTGACAAACAAGGTCCGTTACCCTCAGTATCATGACCAGAAACAACGTGGCAAACATAGTCGACACAAACCAGAATGTGGAGATGTGACTAGAAACTTGGACTTGATGACTCTTTATTTGATCATCAAACATAGAAGAAAACAATCCATAGGGATTGGAACTTATTGGTCTGATGATCTCACCAGAACTGTCAGCTCATGAATCTGCATCACAAACATGTGGAGCAATTACTCATTCCTAAAGGATAGCATCTCGTATCAGAGGAAGCTTTCTCAGTATACTCACCAATATCATTTAAAATTCCAAACCCCATGGATAATAGCAAACAAAATTTGAAGAAAGAGTTACGCTCCCTTCAAGGATTAACAGGAAAAGGGGGGCTTGCTAAACTAAGCGACAACCCCTATACTAATTGCACGATCAAGATTGTAGATAAACCGATAGTGCAAAGCACACTTCATTGAACAACCATATGATTTTGGTGATTATACCACAGCCTTGTCTTGAAGTCTGGATCGTGCTCGGTAAAATTGTGGCAGAAGCTAAGTGCCCGAAGAGTTGTGATTGTCTCAGCCTCAGCGGCAACATCCTATCGTTGCTTTTTCCCAGCCTCATTACAGCCTTGAAAGGTGCAGAAGATAATGACTGATCAATGTCTCCAGCTAACAGCCTACAACGCGCTCCTTCGATTTCTCTTGTCATACCTAATCAGTGATCCTTCACGGCATAATGTCTGCAGGAAATCCATGTATGTATCTTATTCTATGATATAGCGTGAGAAGCATACTGACAAGGCTCTCAGTTGTGAGCTCAGGACGGAACCACGCCGTCCCCAACACTGGATTCTTTCGCAATCATTCTGGGAATACACCCCAAGGCCAATACGCTCGCGATGTTATTTCGAACCATCCCCTACAAGACAGCAAAGTAAACGTACAGCTACCAACACCGCTGTCTTGTCTGGGAAAGGAAGGCGAGCTAGTTGAATGCACTTCTTGTGGTCAGAAATCTATCACTCGAACCAACAGAGTGATTACGATTACTACGCAGTTGGCATTCTCCTTTCATATCTGTGGAAATAAAAACTGGTGCTCATGATCATAGTGTCGCAGCTATTGGCATGTTCTTTGTATCCGGAATATTCTGCTGGATACCATATGTTAGCGATGGGTCTCGGGTGAAGGCCGTCGAGCATAGATGCGGGGTGTGTGGGGTGTTGTTGGCGAGGTGGAGTGTGACGAGACATAAGGTCAAAGTTTTTCCAAGGAGAGCACAGAGGCAACCTGAAATTGAAGCCAGACAATAAGGTAAGGAGACGGAGAGAATACCAAATGCTGGTTGGGCATCACAGCAGAGAGGGAAGAAACTGCTCTTTCCATATTAGAAGCTGGAGACAGTAAGACGTCGATTTAAGACACTAGTCCCTCGTCTGCGCCTACCTATCAATATGACCCATGTGGTATCCTAAGAATAGAGTATACCATTGAGTTGCGTTTTTTGTGCAAATCCAAGCCAGTCAGATTTTTCTTGAACGGCATTCCATCCCCTCTCTCCGAACAAAGCATTATTTTCCCATCGTCTCGCAAGAACCAGCCTCATTATTCGCCTGGGATCCCAACCAAGATAAACCTGTCCAACACCCGAAACCCACGACCAAAGCACCCCAAAATTTTGTAAACAGTATAAATTTGACGGCCAACTCAAAATGGTCTCCCAACCCTTGTTTCCGCATTCCTTTTTCGAAAGCGTCCACGGACTCCTTGTCGGACCAGCCCATTCTTTCCGTTTCTGCCTTGATGCTCTTTGTGACATTGATTACCTTCAATATTAGACTTGGGTCAAATATCTGTTCCCAGTATTTGTCCTTTCGTCCAGATCGCAACTGAGGAGACGTGCAGAAGCCGAGAGAGCTGTGGCAGGAGCCGATTCCTCGCATGGCGGTAACACTCGAGGGGAACTTATGAAAGGGGTGGAGCGAGGGTCTGAAAGATCGTTGGAGGGCTCGAGATATCGGAATTCTACGCATAGAGGTAGAGGGTGACATGGAGATGCTTTGTAGTTGTGTTTGGCAAAAGCGCGAGGCAGGAATGCGGGTCATCTACTCATAATTGATTGTTAGAGTTCATTATAGTAATTTTGTGAAGAAATGAAGTACTTACGCTCGAACACATTCGTTGTCATTCGGGGTGAGAGGTTGGAGTGAAAAATGAGGGTTGTGTTTTCGAGATTATCGATGTCGGTAGGAGGGGCGTGCCGCAAGCAAGGGGTAAATGGTGGAAGGCAATTTTGGTTTTTATTCGCTACTTGATCAGTGTAAGAATGATTATCGAGACCGCTCGACTCATCGTCTGAAACCCGCGCTAAAAGCCATTGTGAAAGAAGTATTTCGAGGTGAGTTGTGTCAAAGATCCTATCATGTGATACCCAATCAGACTCTCGATATAGATATACTTTCGGGAGAATCTATTTATGTCTCAAATCTTGGGAGATTCAGAGAGCACGTACACTGTAACTCAACGAAGTACAACCTCAACGACTCTCATAAACTTTCACCTGATCAACCTTACACCCACCATCTCGACTATGTCCACAATTCGCACAGTTGCTCTCCCACATACCAATCGCCGCTGCTGGATCACTGTCTGTCTGATCACACTGACACTTCTCATGGTCAGCACAAAACTATAAGCATCAACCGTTCCATGGGACTCACACAAAACCACACTTGCACCCATCCATACGATGCAACCGAAGACGGACTACGAGGCGAATCCACGCAACGTTTTCCATTCTTCTTGATCGGGGTAGATATCTGTGAGAACTCGATCGGATCACTGTCGATTAAAGTTGAAGAAGTTGACGTCTGACTCGCCTCTGCGTCCACTGGCGGAGAAACAGGAGGGTTTTTTGTTCGAAGCAATTCAGAATCTCGATTGCTAGCTTGATTATACGGACGACCACGCCTCTTTGCTGGACCTCGGGGCGTGTCTTCAACATCAGTCAAGATCTCAGTATCACATGGCGTCCGTCTTCCAGCAGGCACTTGACCCGCATGCCTCACATCCTCATCCTCATCCTCGCTCTTCTGACTTGCACTATGCACGCTATGACATTCCTCCGGCGGGACAGACAAAGTTGGAGTGCGCTTCACACGATGGGAAAGGTTATCCGAAGTGACGAAGCCCACAAAGCTATACGCCGGATTCTGGGGTAATAGATCCCAAACAGCGACTGGCATTCGAAGTAAGAGTAGTGTTGAGAAACTCTGGTAGACGCCTTCGATGCGGATATCTATAGCTTCTGAAGGGAGGTTCCGGAGTAATTCGGTCCATTGGGGAATATCGAGTGCGTCCCGTTCCAGCCGGATTGCTAGCAGAATTTGAGCGGTAGGAGCTGGAAGTTTTCAGTCTTTGGATGTGGCATTGGGAAAAGTGGGGATGTTTACCTTTGTGCTCTGCATTTCGCTTGCGTTTTTTGGAAGTGAGATTTGTACTCGGAGCAGGAATATCCCACGGCACGGGGCCCGGAGAAGAGGACGAAGGCGTGTCTGGACCGTCGCTAGCACTCGGTGTCGATGAGAATTCTCGTTTCGGCAATGGAGCAAGCAAGATACTCCTCCGTGGTTCAGTTTCGCAGATAATACTATAGATAGGAGTCCTCCGTGGCTGATGTTCAGGGATAAAATGGCCGTCTCTCGTTTCGAGGAATTTGCCATACTCATCTGTGCGTAGATCCGGGGTCCAGCATTTTAGCTTGGACAGAACTCGAGAATGCAGCTCTCCAACGGAGAATGAACCTCCTTCCAATTTTCTGGCCAGCATTTCTGTGAGTGCTTTTGTGAAAGAATGCTTGTCGACTTCAGGGGCTATGGTTTCATATCCACAAGCGGCAATTGCCTCCACGACGTGACGTTTTCTACCGGAGCCAGTGATTGGTCCGGCAGCAGAATAGCAACAATCATAGAGGAGAAGAACATCTGCTTCTGCTTCTTCAAACATGGACTGAATACCTCCAGAAGCAATGACTGTTTCAAAACTCCTCCGATTCCTGCAAAGCAAAATAGTGAGAATCTCCGTGACATTGCAACATATCGAAGGACAATGAACTTACGCACACCACATAGTGGAATTGTTCGCATCTAGAGCTCTCCTCGCATGACCAGCGTAATAGAAGATAAACAGTGTATCATCCTCGTCCGCATCAAGGAAGTCAATGACACGGCTTTTGAGCGCTTTATCAGGCGTCTTTACACTAGGTATCCTATATTCTTCGACATCAAAATTGTACTTATCCTTCAAGAGACTTCTTAAAGGTCCAACTTCTCGCCATACTCCCAAATCATCGTCTTCCCAGGAGACAAGTAGAGCGCAGACTCGCGTGTAGCGGCTTTGATGGCGTGTCGGCCATACGGCTTGGACAGCGGCGTCCAGATCAGCACCGAGGGTGTGGATGTTTGGGATGTGGAACTCGGTGCAAGAGATGTCATGAGCTGCTGGCCATAGTCGGATGAAACCACTGTCTTGGCTATCCTGTTGGCTGTATTAAGAAAGAAGCTCAGATATCAAGGAGGAAATCCAGACCTTTTCAACTGTCGTGACGGACGACTCGCTTGCGAGCCGAATTTGGTCTGGTCCCCGTTCATCCATTGTCAATGCAGAGATTGACAAGTAACTAGATGATAGAAGAGCTGATGCTACGAAAAATTGCTTAATTGAAAGCTCTGGATCGAGCTGTGAGGGTTTCAGTCAAAAAAGCACTTTACAAAAAGTAATGAAGCATGAGGGATATGGAAGTGGCCTCAATTCGCAGGTATCAGAGGAAAACTTTCTCTGCTGACAAGACTTGGTCGGCCATGGCCAATCTCTGCTGCTGCTCGGTGAGCATTTCGAGATGGTACATCTGCATGTTTCATGCGGGGCCATGTAATGTGATTGGCAAATTGGTAATCGGCGTATCCAATTGGTGACAACATCTTCTTGTGGATCTAAATCTTTGCTCAGACAGACTCGAAATGTGATTGGGGATGTGTTGTCTATGTTTCTGAGAATGATAAGTGCCGAGTCATTTGTTCAGGTATCCATAGAATGATGTCGTAGAAGGTTCTTCCAGCACGACTCACTCAAGAACAGACCAAATTCTATATTCCAATCATAACCACGAAATGCAAACAAAAGTGATTTAAGAACATGCACTGGTGACAAGGCTGGTAAGCATTTGGATGCTGTCACGTGTGCTTCCGGCATCATTGGCACGGAGCCTTCTTGCAACTGATCTCGAATTTTTGAGACTCCCAGATACCGACCGCCCTGTCTAGAATACATACCCTTTCCGAGAGACAAACCTATATAGCCCTGTGGCTTACGAGACGCCCATTCCATCGCCTACCCAGCACTTCCGTAGTTCAAATTACCCATACTCCGCCGCCATGATAAGAAGGAAATCAACTCCAACCCACTCCCACTATCCTTTTATAGAACCGGAGTAACTGTATTAATGAACGCCTGATACTGCTCTTCTTCGCTGACGAACTTCTTTGGTGGCTTGACGGCCTTTGGAATGGGCGTAGAAGTAGTCGTGGCCCATGGTGTAATCTGATGATTTATTTGATCACCCTTCTCGGCTTCTTCAATACTTTCCACTGGTGGGGTCTGCTCTTTATCCTTGGGCAAACGCATAGCGAGCAAAACGTATTCAGCCCTGGTAGCATTGTCCATGACATCGTCCATATATCTCCGCACCTCTTCAGGTGGAGCGACGACTTTCTGTAGAGCTTCAAGTTGACGCCCTTGATACGCAAACAGTCGAATGGTGATCGGCTGATAGTAATCGAGCTCGGGATCGTAGCTCGGAGAGTCCGCACTACTACCTTTACGAACAATCAAAAATGACGCAATGACCTGGCCACCAGGAAGATATTCCAGAATGCTGTGTCTTGGAAATTGATACCGGTCGCCATTTCCACCCGCAAATTCGAAGACAACATTTGTGATGTCGGGTTTCGTAGAGGGAACTGGGCCCTTGGAGCGGAGAGCTTGTGGCTGAGGTTGCTCAGGCTTGGCTGGGTGTGATATCGAAGTCGGTGCTACTTTCGGAGCCACAGGGGAGGTCTGCATAGGACGAGCCGTGCTGTGACCGTTGGTTTGAGGGACAGCAGAGGCTGGAGGTGGCGGAGGAGGTTGTGTTGGTCGTTGTATAGGTTTAGCTTCTGCTTCACGAAGCTTTTGTATACGAGTAAGCTCATCGATATGAGCCTGAAACTTCCTTAATTGGTCTGGCGAAGCTTCTCCATTTGCCACCGTTTTCATCAGCGCCTTCAAATCCGGATCAGTCGCAGCTCTCTCTGCCAACATTTGAATAACCGGATCACTTCTTCCAGAAGGCGGTGGTGGCGGCGCAGTTGTATGACCATTTATAGGAGATTGTACCTGCGGATTGCTCGTGGATTGAGATGACGGGCGGCCATTCAGTGCAGAAGAATTGGGTTGAGCACCGACAGGTGTGATGCTGCCAGTTGGTGTATTTGTATTTGCCATTTGGACGTCTTGATTCCGAGGAGATACTGGCGGAGCGGGTTGTGGAGGAGGATTTGGCTTCTGCAGAATAGGAGCAGGAGTAGGTGGTGGAGGCATCATTCCACCAGGAGGACCATATTGTATTATAGGGCGATACATAGGTTGCTGGGAGGTATGAATTGCAGACTGCAGAGGAGCTGCCTTTACGGCAAACATCGTTGCCTCGAAACTATGAGGGTCTGCAGATATAGTGACCGGACCCAACTTTGTCATAGACTCTTTCGGAGGATTATTGGGGGGAGCTTCTGGAGCACCCTTTCTCTTCGTTGGTTTCGTCCAATATTTCTCGAAGATGCCTTCGCTCAGCCATTTTTGTCGTGAACGGTGTAAGGACTCAGATAAAACACCACTATTATATTTATTAGTTTCAATCTGATAGTCAAGAAGTATTGTGTGATATGGGTAAAAAGGTAGGAAGAGATGTAAGCTCCACGAGCTGGAGGGGTGGCTAGCTAACCTCTCGGCGATTGTTTGAAATGTGTCTTCAGGCAGATTTTCTGGCTGCGGAGAATCGATCGTTGGTAGAGGCTTGCCAGGCGCAATACTCTGAGGTAAAATCTCTTGCACCAGAGGCTGGGTAGGCGGCAGCGTTGGTATCTGGGTTTGAGCTGGCTGTTGGGGAGGCGTCGACGATCGCTTTTTGCTGGCAGACTCCACACGCGCAGCGCGGGCCGGTAGTTTTCTCTTCCTCTCCATCGTCGTTGTCGTTCTGTAGAAGGACTCCGACGATGTTCGGTGGTCGTGACGCGTTTGGTCGCGGTGGGAATTTATCGAGAGGGATTGAGCTTTTAAACGAAGAGTGAAGCAAGTGTTGGAGAACGTCAAACATCAATCAGCACAGCCGAGCATTTGTATCCAACCCAACATCGATCCAGCCCGGAATCCAACACCACAAAAGTTCGCTCTGGATAGTATGAAGGATGGAACGTTGACGCAATCAATTCGTTAGAGCCCTTGCCATAATGTAAGTCGGGTCCTTGCTTCGTAACCTTGCGTCTATTGTTGTATTGTGAATCAAGACTCGCACCCTGAAAGTCTCACCCTCATACAAGGTTTCCACCACAGACCTCGGAATTAGTTTGTTTGCTTTGTTCAACTGCAGCCAAGAAAAGTTATCAGTGGCTATTGTACTATTTCTGACATTTTCTAGCTGTGACAATTCCTTCAAAGAATGGCCCCTCTTGCTTCAATTTTCAAGAAGGCCTATTATACACTTTTCTTTGGTATCATTCTCTACGTTTCGGCATTGTTTGCTCTTACAAATCCATGGCTACAGCGGCAGTATGTTACACCACACTGTGATGGTTAAATATTAATGGGTCTCTTAGTGCTTTGTATGTTCACAAGCTTCACACTGCGTACTGGGTCGACCACAATGTACCGGAGCAATTCGGGTTTGCGAGCAAGTGTTCCAGGAGATCCCACCATCCGTCAATACTTGTTAACAATACCCAGAGAACCAAATAACGCCTTTTAACTTCCTTACGCCGGACCATGAGACCATATACGCGTGGCACGTGCTCCCCTTGGGACTCTATGCCAGACACGAGGCAGAGATGCTACGACAGCCATCCGGACTTTCAGAAGATATTACGCAGATGAAGTCATTCCAACTTCTCAGAGATGACCCAGATTCAAGATTGATCATAAATTGTTTGTGCTCTATCGTGCCGTCATGAACGCTGCTAACCCATCATTAGTTCATGGTGTATGGCCACTTGGCATGTTGAACAACTCACGCTAACCATTATAGAACGCAGGCAGTGTAGCCCAAGGTTGGCGCACCGATTGTTATCGATCGTTGTCAGATGGTAGTACTTCGAACATCCACATCCTCGCTATCGACTATCGAGGGTTTGGTCTTTCGACAGGATCTCCCACTGAAGATGGATTAATCATCGACGGAGTTGCTACAGTAGACTGGGCCTTAAATGTCGCAAAGGTGCCCGCAAGTCGAATTGTAATCCTTGGCCAAAGCCTTGGAACTGCAGTCACAGCTGGCGTGGTGGAGGTCTTTGCCCAACGAGGTGTAGATTTTGCAGGAGTGGTTTTGGTTGCTGGTAAGACTCACGCATGAAATGGCTACCATATCATTTTCCTGCTACTCAGTGCGCTCCCATGAGGAATAGACATTTTCAAAAAGGAAAATTGCTAACCCAGAAATGTTGAAATTAGGCTTCAGTAACCTTCCCGATCTCCTGACGAAGTATTCCATCGCCGGATATCTTCCTATTCTTTCTCCAATAGGACCTTATCCCAGACTGAAGAAAATATTAAGAGATCACATCATCGACAAATGGCCATCTACAGAGCGCCTAGCAAACTTTGTCCGTCTGAGCAAGAGAGTGAGATTGTTCATCCTTCACTCAAAAAATGACCCGGAAATCCCATGGACAGAATCTGAGGCTCTGTTCGCGGCCGCAGCAAATGCAACTACGGATGGAGGCATGGAAGTTGAATTGTTCAAGAAGATGAAGGCTCGGACGACAGTTGACATGGGAGATGGGACTTTCATTAGCACTTGGAAAACAGGCGGAGATAAAATTATAAGAGAAGAGATTGTGGCTTATGGTCGTAAGTAACCTCTCCTGATGGCAGTTTGAGCACTAGTAACTTTTGAAAGATCATAGCAGGATTCTAACTTATGCTCCAGTCGCTCTGGCTGCACTGAAAGCGTTTGACTTTGATGGCTGAGAGTAGAGAAGCGTTGTGTGGAGTGTACGAAGTGAACTGGTAGGACCTGTGGAGCTGTGTAAGAAAGCTAGTACATAATTTGATAGACGTCCTCTTCGCTGTCCCTAGAAGATAATGAAATAATGTCTCCATTTTATCATGTCTTTTTGGTATCTGTTCCCTGCCACCAACGATTGTCTCAGGAACTGCGACTACTTACACACTAATCCAACAGAGCAATATCTTCAAGATAATTCTGCTGTTCTTTTGGTGGGATGCCTAAATTTGTCTCGTTTCAAAGAGGAACGGCAGTCAGCAAGTTTGATGGGTATTCGTTCCAGATGGCTGATTCAAGCCTCGCGTCGGCGTATTCCGATAACTTTCTGTAGATTGTAGTTACCTCATAGTGCAAAATGATAGCTGCCCCTAAGTAGGTACTAGGTACCTAGGTAGACAGGAGGGGTCCTATTCACGTGACCCTCAAAATGCCACTTTTAAGCCGGTTCACCCCGCCATTTTGCCCACACAGAAACAGCTATTCCGCGAACAGGCTCACGACATGGCGGACGAATCGAAAATTGATGACCCTGCTACGAGGCAGGAAGCTGCAGCAGAAGTCATCAAAGAAGCAAAAGAAGCTCCGCCAACTGCGCAGGTCGACGACGAAGACGAGGATGAAGCAGAAGACACAGTTGCGACTGGGAGCCCAGCCTCTGGCGCAGCAGCTAAGAAGAAAAAATCGAAGAGGAAGCGCATAAAGAATGCCTTGACTGGCGGGTCTTCTGGATCCTCTGAAGCTTCAGGGAGCTCCCAATCCGATATCTCGAAGCTCATGAACGGTCTGAGCAAGGACCAGTTAACAGAGCTCGTGAAGATGAATCCAGGCTTGGCACAACAACTCGGCGTAGGCACAGGAGGAGACTTGACAATGACAAAAGAAGCTACGGCTGCGATGAAGAAGATGAGCTTAGAGGAGATCATGTCTGGGTTGGCCTCGAGTGGGAAGAATGTCAAGGATATGGGACAATACAAATTCTGGGCGACGCAACCAGTGCCCAAATTCGGAGAGAGCTCAGAGAAGATTGTGGAGGGCCCCTTTAAGATTATCGAGCCCGAACAAGTACCTAAGGATCCAGGACCATTGGTGGATGGCTTCGAGTGGGTGACCATGGACCTGTTGCAAGATGGGGAACTAGAAGAAGTGTTCCAATTGCTGTCTGGACACTATGTGGAAGACGATGAGGCTATGTTCAGGTTCAATTATTCGAAATCCTTTCTCAAATGGTTTGCTGCACTTCTCCCCGCTGAGGCAAAGCTAACAACTCCAGGGCACTTCTTTCTCCAGGCTGGACGAAAGATTGGCATGTTGGCGTACGAGCCAGTGCATCCCGCAAGCTCGTCGCATTCATTTCGGCCATACCCGTCGCTTTACGTGTACGAAAGAAGGTTCTGAAGGCATCCGAAGTCAACTTCCTCTGCATACACAAGAAGCTTCGGGCTAAGAGACTGGCACCCGTACTCATCAAGGAGATCACAAGGAGATGTTACCGTCTGGGAACTTGGCAAGCTATTTATACTGGCGGTGTCGTGTTGCCAAAGCCAGTCAGCACATGCAGATACTTCCACAGATCAATTGACTGGCAGAAGCTGTACGAAGTTGGCTTCAGTCCACTTCCGCCGAACAGCAAACCTCAGTATCAAGTTCGAAAATATGCTCTCCCAGACCATACAGCAACCAAGAACCTCCGAGCTATGGAGGAAAAAGACATCGATGGTGTACTTGAGTTATTGAAGTCGTATTTGGCAAGATTCGAAATGGCACCTATCTTCACCAGAGATGAGGTTGAGCATTGGCTCCTCTATAAAAAGGATTCAACAGACGAGCAGGTCATCTGGTCCTATGTCGTTGAGGTAGGTAACTTCTCCCCTAATTGTTTTACAATGCTAATCTTTCCAGGATCCCGCCACGAACAAGATCACTGATTTCTTCTCATTCTACTGCCTCGAATCGTCAGTAATCAACAACTCGGCTCACAAACTCGTCCGCGCCGCTTACCTCTTCTACTACGCGACCACGGCCTGCCCATCTCTTACACCCTCATCCACCCGTACCGACCTCTCCAAGCGTCTGAACGAGTTAGTGAACGATGCTCTGATTCTTGCTAAGAAATACAAATTCGACGTCTTCAATGCCCTCACATTGCTGGACAACAATCTATTTCTGGAGCAGCAGAAGTTTGGAGCTGGAGATGGGCAACTGCATTATTATTTGTACAATTATAATGCGAATCCGATCGCTGGAGGCGTGAATGCGAGAAATCAAATCGATGAGAGCGGAAGTGGGATTGGAGTAGTCATGTTGTAGGCGGATGCGGAAAAAGAGATCCGAAAGGAGAAGTGAGAGAATGTTGCATATGGTGGCGTTGTATGGGTTTTGTTGATAGGATGCATATACCAAGCGATGCCTATAGTCTCACACCTGTGCTCTGTCATTGTACTGTGATTAGTGAGTTTGTTGGGCACGGTGGCCCCAATTGGGTGTCTAACCTTGGACCCGACAATTCTAGTCGATTCTTAATAAACAAAGTTGGTCCATATAACATATAAAACGTCTCGTACATATCCTGTGTGCGCTTCAGACATTAAAGGTGAAGAAAGAGCGCTCACTTACAGTCCAGAGGCTTGAATGTCTAAAGACGAGATTATTATCAATAGAGGCATAATCCTTGATCCGGGTCCCAACATCTTGCAAGTCAGAATTACAGAAAGTAGAAAATACATTGCAGTAAGTGAAGCCGACTTTATAAAAGCATCTCCATGAACAGAAAATCAATTATGCATTTCATGTACCGAAAACAACACAATACGCCCATCCCACCATCTATTATTTCCACTACTCAAACACACCTACTCACTTCCCCTTCTCCCCCTTCTCAACCATCCCCTCAATCATCTCATTATGAAACTGCCACTCCTCCAACATAAAAACATGCCCCGTCCCCTCCCTGATAACCGCCGTCCCCGGCTTCAACATCTCAATCAACTTCCTTCCATGCGGCACACTAATCATATTATCCCCCGTCCCATGCAAAACCATAATCCGCTCCCTCCCCACCTTATCCCCAATCTCCTTCAACTGCCCCGCGCTCTTGCGATGCCATCCTGCTGCTACGGCTTGCATCATGAACCCCTTCTTCTGGAACCCCTCGAGATCCAGCCGTTTTGAGAGTTCCTGTGCGGCGAAACGCTCGTAGTTCGATGTGAACATGGAGTATTTGCCGGAGGGCGGGAGGACCACGTTGGGCGTTGAGGAGGTGGGGACGATGGTATCGTCGGGGCGAGCGAGCCAGGCGTCGGAGAACAGCATTCGGGCGGCGTCGGTGACGGAGCGGTCGAGGGATTTGGGGAGGAACATGCTCACGCGGGTTTTCATGTTCTCGAGGAAAGTGGTGGTGTTTTCGATGGCGGCGGCGGTGGAGATGAGATTTAGAGAGGCGATTCGTTCGGGGATTAGGTAGGCCTGAGAGAGTATGTGAGATGGGACTTATGGCGGGGAAATGAGGAGGGTACGAGTTCTTGGGCGATCATGCCGCCCATTGATACGCCTGATACGTGTAGCTCGCGCTCAGCGGTCCAGCCGAGATGGTCTATGATCTCGATGAGGTCTTTTGCCATTTCACTTGTGGAGTACCTCATTAATGGCTTGTCGGATTTGCCCATTCCTGAGTGGTGTTAGTTATGTATTGTCTTCTTGAGAGCTCAGGTAGTATAACCAACCTCGATTATCGAATACGAGAGAAGAGTACTTTTCTCCATTTTCATGTCCGAAATGCATAGTTTGTCTTTGCCACGCCGTCTATGATATATTAGTTATTTACCACCTAGATTGACATGTTTCCGTACCTTTACTGATCCTAATCCCATGATCCACTGGAAACTGTCAGTCTCATCACGTGACCCTTGGAAGTCGACTTGGAGTGACCAATGTGGAAGACGAGGAGCAGACGGACAATCATCTTAATCGGACCAGAGCCATGGACTTCCCAGTTAATCTTGAACGGCCCTCCCCTTCCTGCAGCTACTGGAAGGTAGCCACTCTGAGTAGGGGTGAGTTTCCATATCGTGTCTGGATACGACGGATGTGCAAGGATTTCAGCAACCGTTGGACGTTGAGCAAGACTTTCCCTGCCATGCGTTAGCTGTATAGAGCTTCAGAGGAGAGGACACTCTTGCATATTGTATATCAACGTGGTTAACAGTAGTTTACACGTTGTTGATCTTGGATGCTTGAGCTTTTGGTTTCAGACAAGTGCAAGCCTCGGTCTAGATATTCGCTTATTTTAGCGGGAGATCGGCGGATTGGCAGAATCTCCGACATCTTGGTCAGATCTTTTTTCTTCGCTTTACCTTCCTCGAAAGACACCTCCAGCTTTGCATTCCCTTCTTCCTCACTTTGGACTCTGCAAATACAGTAGTCTCTGATGTGAATATAGTCAGCTATGGTTTTGTTATAGCAAGTGTCATCTACATATCTACATATCACGTGGGACGAAGGTGGATCTCCCCGCATGTGTGGGGCTACACAACGTCAAACATCTGTTTTGCTTTCATTTGGGTCCTCTTGCTCTTGTTCATCTCCCTGTTGTCATCATTTGGACCTCTAATTCATTCTCTTTCATAGTGTAAACACACAACGAGGGCAAGAATACTTCTAGTTTGCCAGACGATATCCCGCATATTCGGTTCAGTGCGCACCGAGCCAAGTGGCTCATGATCTGCAGAAAGTGGACGACGAAAGATAGTTATATTCAGTGATTCCCATCTCGTCTACGACATCTCACTTTGATCTAAAACCTAAGTCATGATGGTTGAGATCCAGTCTATCACTTTTGAACATCATCGAGAGAGCTTGGGTATTGGGGAAACAAACCCGAGGATATCATGGTCATTCACAGGAAATGCACAAAATTGGATTCAATCAGCTTACGAATTGGAGATCTCGCATGGAAGTCATGGTAGTATCCAACCAGAGAAATATCGAGTCGAATCGTCACAATCAGTCCTGGTACCATGGCCAAGCAAAACGTTGAATGCCCGAGATACTGTGCGAGTTAGGGTAAGAGCGTTTGGTACAGATGGATCAACCCCAACGGATTGGTCAGACTGGAATAGCCTCGAAGTCGGTCTTCTGGCCCGTGAAGATTGGCAAGCTCATGTCATCGCCGCTCCCAGGACATTGACACCTAGCAAATCTTTGAGGCCAGCACTCTTCCGAAAAGAGTTTCGCTTGGAAAAACCAATACGCTCAGCTCGATTATATGTTACCTCGTATGGTATCTATGAAGCTCACATGAACGGGAAAAGGGTCGGAGACCATGTCTTAGCGCCAGGATGGACCGCATATAAGTACCGCCTGAACTACCAGACACATGACATCACAGACCTGTTGAAGCAAGGTGACAATGCGATAGCTGCTGAAGTCGGTGAAGGGTGGTATTGTGGGAGATTGGGATTCAATAGAGGATGGAGATGCCTTTACGGGGACAGACTTTCTCTCTTGGCCCAAATCGAGGTCACCTACCAGGACAACGAAATCATGAGAATAGGTACCGACAACTCATGGAAAACGTCTGTCGGGCCTATCATCTCATCTGAAATATACGATGGGGAAGCTTACGATGCATCTCTTGAGATAGACGGATGGTCATCGCCCGTTTTTGAAGATCACCAATGGTCTGGTGTCGAGGAGCTAGACTTCCCCAAAGCACAGCTTATCGCACCAGAAGGACCTCCTGTCCGAAAGACCGAAGTTGTCAAGGCGCAACAAGTCATCAAGACGCCATCTGGCAAGTATGTCGTGGATTTCGGACAGAATCTTGTCGGCTGGTTGCGTGTTCATGTTTCAGGGCCCAAAGGGCACACCATATCCTTCACACACACCGAAGTCCTCGAGAATGGCGAAGCAGCAACACGTCCGCTACGTGACTGTAAAGCAAAAGATAGCCTCACCCTATCAGGAAAGCCGATTACCTGGAGTCCGAAATTCACTTTCCATGGATTTCGCTATGTTCAAGTCGACAACTGGCCCACAGCCGAGCCAAAATTGTCAGATCTCGAAGCAATAGTCATTCACACCGATATGCAGGAAACAGGTTCCTTTACCTGCTCTGACCCCATGGTCAACAAACTCCACGAAAACATCCGCTGGGGGATGCGCGGAAACTTCGTTAGCATACCAACCGATTGTCCCCAACGAGACGAACGGCTCGGCTGGACGGGAGATATCCAGATTTTCTGCCCTACAGCCAACTTCCTCTACAGTACCACGGGCATGCTCTCAAGCTGGCTGAAAGATCTAGCGGTAGAACAAATCCACGATCTCAACGGCGTAGTCTCAGTCATCGTCCCAAACATCTTGCCAAAAGGATACACCATGCCTCAAGCAGCCTGGTCAGACGCTGCAATAATGACACCATGGGATCTATACACCTCATCTGGCGACATCTCCATTCTACGAACTCAACATGAAAGCATGAAAATATGGCTTGAAAAGGGCGTTGCTCGACAAGAAAACGGACTCTGGGATCCAAATGGTCATCAATTAGGAGACTGGCTAGATCCAGCCGCACCTCCCTCTGAACCCGGAAACGGAAAAACAGACCCCCATCTTGTAGCCAATGCCTACCTCGTGCATATAACCCATCTCATGTCGCTCATCAGTAATGTCCTCTCCCTCTCGTCCGACGCAACACACTACGCCAGCGAAGCCGAACGCCTCAAGAAGCTATTCCAAGACGAATACAGTGCGTCAAATCCCACCCTCTTTCTGTACTCATACTAGAAGCCTCCATCTTCGAAATTATCCCTAGAAGTCTGCTCATAGAAGCATCTTCCCAGCTCTCAAATCTCCAACAAAACCACACACTAACACACCAACAGTAACACCCAACGGCCGCCTCGCCCCGGACTCCATGACGGCCCTCGCCCTCGCCATAACATTCAACCTCTTCGCCTCCCCCACACACCTGACCTCCGCAACCACCCGCCTATCAACCCTCGTCCGCACCTCCAAATTCCGCATCGCCACCGGTTTCGTCGGCACACCGCTCATCCTCCCCTCTCTCACCAAAGTCGGGAAAGTCCAGCTAGCGTACAAAATGCTGCTCCAGACCCGCTGTCCGAGTTGGTTGTACCCGATTACTATGGGTGCTACTAGTACGTCTTCCTCCCTCTACCCCTTCCTCTATCTCCTCCTTCTCCGTGTTTGGAAACTAAAATAAACACCAGCAATGTGGGAACGCTGGGACTCAATGCTTCCAAACGGGAGTATCAATCCAGGCGAAATGACATCCTTCAACCACTACGCTCTCGGTTCCGTCGGGGCATGGCTGCATTCCACCGTTGGCGGCATTTCGCCTCTGGAGCCGGGGTGGAAGAAGGTTCTTTTTGCGCCTAGGCCCGGAGGGACGGTTAGGACTGCTCAAGCGAGGTTTTTGAGCCCGTATGGGGTGGTGGGGTGTGAGTGGAACTTAATGGACGGGGACGGGGGCGGGGAAAGGGATGGAGAGGGGAAAGGGGAAGAGGGAAAGAAGAAGTTCTGGATGAGGGCTAGAGTTCCGCCGAATACGACGGCGGAAGTCAGGGTGCCCGGAAGGGAAGAGGTGGTGAGGGTTGAGAGCGGAGAGTATGAGTTTCGGAGTGAGTTTGTGGAAGAAGGGTGGCCGCCGAAGGCGATCTATGCGCCTTTTGCACAGTATGAGGATATGGATGATTGAGTATGAGAGGATAATCAAAAGTCTTTGTTATCAGGTACCTACGCTTGTTCAGAGTTGGGAGATGTGCGGAACATTAAGTCCATTTAATAGTTCCTCCAAATCAAAACTCATATTAAACCCAACACGCTCGAACAAACAAACATACAATGGTATCTATCACGCTCCCCTCCTATCCCATCCCATTCCATCCCATGCCTCACCACCCTAATACTGCTGCGGTTGAGCCACCATACCCGCCTGCTGCACATACCCACCCGCCGCGGCCCCACTCTGCCTCCCAATAACCTCCTTCTCATTCTGGATAATCGAGCAGCACGTACAACACCACGCCGTCATGCAATCCCCGCAGCCGCCGCCGTTGATGCCGAATTTGTTGCGGAGTTCCGTTCGGGCCATCCAGTTGAAGATCCAGCCGAGGCCGCAGCAGGATTGCACGCCGCACCACATGAGGCACTGTTTTGGTTTAGTTAGTGACGAAGAGAGGGGAGGGGAGGGGAGGGGAGGGAGATGTACGTCTTGGTTGAAGCGCTCGTAGCCGGCGAGGGAGGGGTCGCGGATGCGGTGTTGGGTTTTGCCGTAGACGAAGCAGGGGCAGAAGGTTGCTTTTAGGCCTGGGTGGTGTTAGAGTTGTAGTGGAATTGAAGGGGAAGAAAAGAACATACAGAGGTTGTCTGCCCCGGAGAAGCAGTCGAAGAGACCATTGTTCCACTCTTGACCTCCAGCGGTGACTGTCTTCTCCGTGTATTGCATTGGCTGCTGTTGACCTGGAGCTTTGGAATCCATCTTGGGAATTTGTGAGGGGGTATATTACTCGAAGAAATATGAAGTACTGTATAGAAATTGGGTATATAGCGATGATGAATAGAACACAACACAAGAAAAAATCTCAAGAAAAAATGATACAGAGATAATTTCCAGCCTTATGAAGTACCAGCTGAGAGAGTCAGCAATAGCTTCGCCGTAGGGGTCAAAACGCTCGAACCACCATGATCGACGAGTAGGAACCAGTGAGATGCACTCACAAGGGGTATCTCATCTCCACTCTGGCCTGAAATAGTATATCCCAGCAGACCCAGCCGTTGAAGGTTATGAACAGCCACTCAGAAGGCGCAGCACCAAGCCAATATCGGACAAAGTGCGACCCCAGACCAGGTAGGGCAAGGCCGTCTTGGCAGACGAGATAGGGCAGAGAGCGAAAGACGCCCCACCACATCTCACTGCCTCTTGTACCCTCTCAAAATATAATACGGGGGGATGCAGCCTCGTGAAGGGCGTGCATTGAGTTTTCAGTTACGGCTGAACATTGTGGCGTCAGCCTCGTCCGATTCCAGCAGTCAATTAGCGCATCTGCAGGCATTTGAAACGTCTGATATTCGTTTCATTGGTGCCATTCACGACGCTTGTCCCCGTTTGAAAGTACCGTTCGCCATTAATATTGGAACTCTCCGAAGCCGTGCATTGTGAGACCTTCAACCGTATGTTCATCTGATGACTATCTCCAGAGCTTAGCATCAAGAGATACTCTGCATCATCGCGAGATATTTTTGCTCATGATCACGTAGTCGGCCGCAACTTTCGTCCCATTCCGTAGGATTTTGGGTTGGGGTGAGAATTCGTCCTCCGCATAGCCTAACTTCTGATAAAAGGCGACTCCACGAGTATTACTCAGGAAGCAAGTCAGCATGACTTTTGCCGTCCCTGGGATCTTGTCTCCAATGACTTCAAGATACTGCATCAGGACCCTGCCAAGACCTGACCTGAATACGGTCAGCATCTAAAGACGTGGTCGAATAAGCGCGATGCCGAAAATCTTACCCTTGTAGAGCTGGGGAAAGATGGATTTCATAGCAATATATGACTGGATACTCGTCCTCGTACGTGGGCATGAAAGATAAGAAACCTTCGACTTGGTCGTCCAGTTTAACCAGGAGGTACTTCAGGTCGAGCAGTCTCATCTCCTTGCGTTTGGATCGAGGTTTCCATCCATCCTTGGACTTTCTGTAAGCTTCCCCACTAGTGCATTCGATAAGGTTGAAGCAGGCGTCGAAGTTGGTCTTTGGTAGTGTCTCTGCGGTCTGAAGCGTAATTTGATATTCAGCCTTGGTTGCGGGATGGATCCATGATCTCCACTGGTTGCTGCGCCACGATGTCAGATTTTGCTAAATGAAACCACTTCATCTTGAGATGTTCGAGATAGTTGATCCTTCGTGTGAACTTAGAATCATCATATTTTCAGCTCGTAGGCTGTGCCCCGCGGGGAGAATGTGATGAAGTGAGGTGAGGAAAGTGTGCTCACCTAGATGGGAGGTAGTCTGTAATGAATTGGTCTGAAGTCTTCGAATTCGCAATATCAATGTGGTCCTTCATCTTTGGAATCACATTCTTGAAGTTGTGAACATGTAAATCTGAGAAGGCTGGAAGAGGAGGAAGTTGGTTACATAGGCGCGCTTCAAAAGAAGGCTTGTTAGCTTTCGCCAAGACTTCCGCTCCACTCCTCCATCCTGTCAATCCATCACCACTGAAATACAGCAGCTCAACACCAGCAGCCATTGACATCCACCGACAATCCAAATGCCCAATGCGACTCCTCCACCAAACATGCCGCACCTACGCTTCCCAATCTAAGCTCCCACCACGTCCCCGACGACTAAACCAAACCATCTCCCTAGACCACGTACATCTTCCTCATCCCCCAATTGCCCTCCTCCTACTAACCAACCAGTTCCTCCAACGCGGCCGCGCTCTCGCATTATGGCGCACCATCATCCGCGACTGCAGACGGATCTCTGATCCCAATACCAGGAACGAGACATTAGGGTTTGCGAGAGAGGAGTTTAGGAGGAATGTGGAGGTTAGGGATATTGTATGTTGAGAAAGTTCCTCGGGGAGAGGATGTGGGCTAATTGGGGGTCAAAAGACGCAGATTCGGTATCTGATATCGACGGGGAAGACACAGTGGGAGAGTATGGGGCGATATATCGATGGGCTATGACGAAGGAAAAAACGATGGCCTGCAGAGTGGAGTGTGGAATAGTCTGATGGTGGTATAACCTATTACCATACAATAGAGCTCGCAATAGAGCCGAATTTCCTCCAACAATAGCTCAATTCCCTCTCGATCCGCCAATTGAATACCAACAACGCCAACCCATGCAATATAGTGTACATCTTCCCTCACCCATCCCTCTCCTCCCATCTGTTCCAATTCTCCCCTTCCCATAACCTCTATTTCCCCTGCCTCTGCTTATGCTTCGGATTCAACGAGCAGATAATATAAACATGTCCCTTCCCACTCTTCCCACCTTTCCTTCTGACACTCTATCGATCATCATTAGCCTCTATCCCCCAATCCCCCCTCCCAACTCCCCTCTCCCTCCCCCATCACTCCACCATCCGCAAACAAAACAAACAAAAACATACCTTACAACCCTCACACATCTTCTTAACCGAACTCCGAACCTTCATCCCTCGAACCTGCTCCGCAATCGCATTCTTATTCTTTTGCTGTAGTGATAGCAAACTCGGTCGTTTGCTCGCTGTGGATACGAAGCTCGAGAATGTCCTACATGATGCCGCAGGGCGGATGGTGAAGGTATGCAGGAGGCGCACTGCACGGAGGAGGAGGGAGGTTGGGGGTAGCATTGTTGCGTTTTGGGAGCGTTGTTGTGGAATTGGTGGATTGATGGGGGATGGAAATTCGCGATTCGGGAAAGCGTGGCGGCCTTGGGGATGAGGCTTCAAGGCTAATGTTTTCTGCTAGGTATTCGGTTTTTTTGGGATATTTCGAGATATATGACAGAAGATTGACTAGACGGCGAATTGTAGAGTTTAATTGTTACTGGAATTATTTGACAAGTTTCAAAATTTCTTCCGTTTTTGAATATATGGTGGTCACGTGAATTGGCCCTGGGTGCTTCCAAAGCCGGGAGGATTGTTTTCCTAAAAGAGAAATCTCGCATTGATTGGATATCTATCTATTTCTTTCCTGATCATCGAATATTTTGTCTATCCAGCATCGACATCTCGCCAAATGCCCTTTTGAGAATGCCCCAAACTCCCGCTAATTATCGAAAGTAGAAACCCATATGCACACCACCTCCCTTATCTACAATCCCACACCCTATTCTCGTAAGAAAGTCTTGAAGACCGCACTATCAGTGCAATCTTCCCACGGATATCCAATCTTATTCAGGAAGCTCTCAAGCTCCTTCAACTCCCCATCCGGACAAACGACTCCAGTGAGAACCTTGCCAATATCGCTTCCCGCATTTCGGTACTGGAAAAGACTGATGTTGTATCTCGGTCTTAGCGTTTGAAGGAATTTCTCCAAGGCACCAGGTCGCTCGGGAAAGTTGAACATGTATATCCTCTCATGCTTGACGCCTGATCGACCGCCGACTAAGTATCTAATATGGGATTTCGCCAACTCGTCGCCAGAGAGATCGGTTGGTGTCATTCCGCCGGCCTTGACACGGGACAAAAGGGATTCGAGTTCGGCTTCTCGTTGTGACGCTGGTGAGGTGAGTGAGATACCGACGAGTACGTTGGCTACTGCGTCCGTAGCATAGCGGTATGAGAACTCTGTGACTGAGTGAGGCATGATGGCTTTGATAAGCTCGGCAAATGCTCCTGGTGTTTCGGGGATAGTGACGCTGATGAGAGCTTCTTTCTTCTCTCCTAGTGTTGCTCGTTCAGCAACAAAGCGTAGACGGTCGAAATTCATGTTTGCTCCTGATGCAATAGCTACAAGAGCTCGTGATGTATCTGCCGAAGGGTTGGCTGCGACGTATTTCTTCAGACCTGCGAGAGCTAGAGCACCAGCTGGCTCGACAATGGATCGGGTATCTTCAAAGACGTCTTTGATAGCCGCACAAGTCTCGTCCGTAGTGACTTGAATAACTTCGTCCACCACATCCATGCATACTCTGAAAGTCTCCTCTCCAACCGTCTTGACTGCTGCTCCGTCCGCGAACAAGCCGACATCCTTCAGCACAACTCTCTCTCCCTTTGCCAACGACTGAACCATCGCATTAGCATCGTACGCCTCCACACCGATGATCTTCACATGCGGAGCAATACGCTTCACATAAACTCCAATGCCCGCAATCAATCCACCTCCCCCAACACAACAAAAGATAGCCTCCAGCTTCGAAATATTCGTTTGCCTCAGCAACTCCATGCCAATCGTTCCCTGTCCCGCAATAACATACGGATCATCAAACGGCGGAATATTCGTCAACCCATGCAACTTCTCCAACCTCCCACACTCCTCTTTCGCCGCATCAAAATCATCCCCATGCAACACCACACTGCCTCCCAATCTCGAAACATTCAAATGCTTGATACTCGGTGTCCCCTTCGGCATCACAATCGTCGCCGGGATCTTAAGTTTCCTGGCAGAGTACGCAACGCCCTGGGCATGGTTCCCAGCCGAACAAGCAACGACGCCCTTCCAGCTGACTTTCGGGTCCAGATGTGCCATTTTATTGTATGCTCCACGCAGCTTGAAGCTGAATACGGGTTGTAGGTCTTCGCGCTTGAGGAGGACTTTGCATTCTAGTCTGTTACTGAGGTTTGTAGCGTGTGTGAGGGGTGTTTCTTCGACGACTTCGTAGACGCGGGAGGTGAGAATGAGACGTAGGTACTATTTCCATCTTGGTCAACAATGGACAATTGATTAGGCAATTGAAGAATACGAACGTCGGGATAGCCATTGGGAAGCATGAATTCGTCAGGTATAATGCCATGGACTTTTTTCTTAGGGCTTTCGCTCGGCGGTGAGGGATTCGTGGAGTATTCTGTTAGTGAGAAAGTCTTTAGACAGGGTGTTCTTGGTCTGCTGAATGTGTCTCCATTGGAGTCTCCGTTGGTTTTTGTTCCGTTCTCCATGGTTTGCTCATTCATAGCTAATAGCAATTGAGGGGATAAAAGGTTGTGGTAAAAGTAAGGAGAAGAGTGAGGGTGCTGCAAGATGCGTTGTGACTCTTTGTTCGTCCCTTGTCTCGCGAGCTCTCAGTGGAAATTCTTTAGTGGGGTTGGGCGACACCGGCTGCATGACTCGACAGGGGTGACGGCTCGGATGAATTATTTTACGAAGTAGCTTCAATTACCTCATCATTTGGTCCCCTCATTCAGTTGGGAGAATAGCACAGAGCTCACACGAGCATTGACCCTGATATTGCAATTGATCCAAAATGTCAAACAATCCCCTCCCGTCCTCCTTCGATGGAAATTCGTAAGCTCTGCTACCAAATCTATAGAAAGATGGATGTAATAACTCGTACGATAGCGATTTCTACGAAGAAAACCGCTGGCAGAAATTCTCCCGCCGACTAAAAGAAGAACCCTTAATCCCACTAGGTAATCCGATACCACCTTCATTATGGTACAAGCTATTAACAACTCGTCAGGATGTGTCCTAACCTGCATGGCCCTCTTTGGCGCATCCCGCTCCATCCGCGCCGGGGACCACAATCGCACGAATCGCATGTTCCGCGCACGTATCTATGCCCAAGGCTTCACGCTCGTGGCTATAGTTGCTGGGAGCATGTATTGGCAGACCGACAGGCAGAAGAGGAAGGAATTCGATGTAGCGGTCGCGGAACGGAAAGCGAAGGAGAAGAATGAGGCGTGGATTAAGGAGTTGGAGGCTAGGGATGAAGAGGAGAAGGAATTGCGGGAGTTGAGGAGGCGGAGAGCGGAGGGACGACAGGCGATCAAGAAGGAGGAGAAGATTTTGGAACAGGTGGATAGTGGGAAGGGGGCTAGTAGTGTGGTAGAAGACGAGGAGAGGAAAAAGAGTGTGCTGGAGAGTGTGCAGGAGATGGTTTGGGGGAAGAAATAAGTGACCAAGGGATGAAACTGGGAGTGAAGATTGTACATTTGCACATGCGAGCATTTCGGATGGAGTTTGGACATATGGGATGTACACTATCTATGGTGAACAAAATGGAAGCGCCATTCAATGTTTATACAAGAATTGAGATTCAAGATGTCATGACCTCGACCACAATCGAATTATGCAAAAGCCATGCCTCGTTCAGTTGCTCCAACCCAAATGCCGTCTCCCAACACCTGAACTCCTTTAGAATGGCTCAATTCATAGATCCACCACTCCTGTTATGTCCAATTAAGCCGGCCATCTCTAACAAAGCGCGATCCGCCTCGATATCTCCGGTTCCCAGATTAACTCTTCTCCTAGCTTCCGCTTCTCGTTCTTCCCATGCCCAGCGCTGTCGTTGCTGTTCTGCTTCCGCATCTCCTCCGCAGCCCCATACTTCAAGACTCTCAACCTCGAACCGGTCTTGGAAATCACTCCTCCGGGTTTGACTATTGTGGAATGCTCCACCACCAGAAGTATAATTGTGAGTGAAGACACCAAACTCAAATGAAGAGTCAAGCATCAAGGACACAGCACCAAGGCTAACGGTCGTCGATAATCCAGCTGTCTGCTTAGCTTTGGGATGTGGACACCCAAGAAAAATGCCGGAATGTGCTGTTGGAGGTTTGGTGAATGCAACATAGTCCTTGTTGATGACCGATGCATGAAATACCTCATGAACAGGTTCAAGTTGGAAGATTAGTGTATCAGTCTCTCCGAAACACTCTTTGTGAGTTTGGTGCCAGTGCTGCGAGAGATAGACGCCATACACCACACGTGTCGATTTGCTGCTATCGGGGAACCGCTTTGGTTGAAGCCGGTCTGTAAATGCACGTTCTTGGCCGCCCTCAGGTGGATCTGATATTCGGTTCCCTGATACAAGGAGAATGGTTGGTGCTCGCCAATTGAAGACTTTTGTTTCGAAGCTCCCCATCGAAAAGCCAGCGTCGCCACCAGAGTATAGAAGCCGTAATTGCCTGAATAACTTCTCCCCAGGGAGAAAGAAAGAAAGTTGTGATAATACATTAAGATCAAGGATTTCGCCTGTTTGTGCCAAAAGTGGTTGGTCCATAGGACTAGGTAGAGGTAATGGTGCCGGCGAAGAATCCTTCCGCTTGGTGAAGTCGATATTCTTAGAGAACAAGAAATGCTCGAAAAGCGGATTGAAGCCATTAAAGAGATATGGAAATGAGATGGGTATCACAGTATTGAATTGATGAATTTTGACGCCAGGAGACTTCTCCACGTTCACAAATGCCGCCAGGATATTATCCGCTGTTTTTCGAAGTCCTTCCAGTTGCTCGCCCGCGAGTCTTTCGGAGTGTCGAGCAAGACTTTCTTGAATTCCAAGAGGAGCTATTAAAAGAAGAAGCATTATGAGCTTCTTGAGGTTGTCTGTAGGTATGGAAGCTTGTGATATTGGTGCATCGCCCTGTCTGAAGACCTCGATAGCATCCAATGATTCTAGTGCTGCCAAAGCTAGGTCATCGTCGTCCTCTTCATCCTCGTCGTTAGCAGCATCGTCCACTGCGAAGCCGGCAGCATGGCTCCTAGTATTGCTTGGCGTGCCTTGTGTATTCCCTCCATGTTCTTCAGGCTTCTCGTCCTCATGGTGGGTACCTCGATCATAGACAGCGAGACTTCGGAATAATAGCTTCGTGCGATCTCGATTGCCTTTCTTCAGCACCCTCTGATATCTCTGTGTCATGATGACAACAACCATTATCATCTGCTCGAACCCCAAAACAACTGGCGCATCTTGACCAAAGGGGAAAGCACCCAAGTAAGAGACCATCTGGAAGATAATAGAGGATGCACCCAGTATATCAGGTATCTCAAGGAATCGCGCAATAGTATCTTCCTTGAGGTAGGATATCAAGTCCTGGTGATCTGCCAGGCTTTTGAAGACATCTTGGAAGGAGTAGAGTTCGAGGGGAGTAAAACATCGTTTTGCGAACTTGAGGGCCTAGATAATGTCAGTCAAGGCTCCAGCGAGGGGCAACAGAGCATGTACCAGCTCATGGCTCAGCTGTTCGGTCGTGGGATGGTTCCCATTGTCACTGGATTGACCTTGCCCCATGATTTATTCATTGGTCGCGAAATTAAGAAGGTTTCCAAGTCCAGCTTGGGTCGTGGTTGTGGGTTGTAAGCAGGAGCATGTGAATTAGTGATGATGCCCCGCTAAGGCTAAATTTGGGCTTCGAACGAAATACCTAGGGACGCTAGGCTACGACTCTACTTCTTCATCAACTCCAGACTTAAGCAACAATTCCTCCAAACAAGTGCGAGGAGACCATTGTAGAAACGCGCTATCTCATATCTATGTAAAGTACATGTTTCCGATCCTAACCTACTAGTGTATGCTGCTTTGATTGCATTGCAACAAACGATCGTTGTGACCAATGGTCCGGAAGAAAGCCAAATTGTTTGTCAATCAGTGTTTCGTGGTACTGTTCAACATCTATTGAAGATCACGGCGCACCAGTACCCATGGATCTAACAAGTTCAATAATTCCTTGCAGAAGATCGTATGTTCCTCAAACTTTCAGACACAGCACGAGTAGTGATGTCCACGAAACGAACCGACCTGCAATGGCAAAACATACGGGTTTTACGAGCTTCATCAAGATCTCTTCTTCTTTCTACCATGATACTGTAATGATACTGTAGTAACATATTTTTCAAGTGTTACAACTTACTGGTAACTCGAGCAGCTTTGGTCAAGCTTCTCATGCCGTTGAGCCTGAATCTTGTGCCGGCAATGTTGCTGATACTACAAATATTATGGCTTGTAGGCTTGCAAGGACTCAGAACAGGTCACCGGCGTTCAGATAGGCTCCCTTTCAATCTATCCTCTCACCGATGTTGGAGATTCTGACGCATGGTCTTTCGGGCTAAATCGAGATTAGTGTCGCAAGGCTCTGTAAAGAAACAGCCTCGTCTCCAGTGGCCTTTCAATAGGACATCTAACAATGTTGGTTGAAGCCTGTTAAATATCCAATCATCGAGACAACGCGTATCGGCGTTCCCGTACCGCCAGAAAATAATCGCTGTCAATTGGTCGTGCCACATTGTGGCACAATGCCTCGTTGATTCGGCATGAAACCCGACACAGCCTTGGCCGCGACCCTGAAAGGTCACAGTTCATGGAAGTCCAACAGCAGGTAACATAGCCATCAGAAGAGGATTCAAGAAATGTACATAATGGCCAATAGCTTCGAATTTCGTTATGATCATTCTCGATTGAACTTCACGCACTTCATCATTACCGCCCTTTGTCTCCTTTTGACTGCCTCTACCTTGACGTTTGCTTTCATTGTCACACAATTCTAACAACTTCATTGCACAAATTCCATGTCAAAGGCAACTAGAAGCGGGTAATCTCTATTCCTTTCTGGTATTTTCGAGCGTATGCATTAAGTAAATTGAGTGCACACGAGGAAAACAAAGGAGTCCAGGGACATAAATTGAGGTCAGACCTGGGTTTTAGTCTCTTCAGAGCTACTTAACACCATCTCTCCCCGCCATCGACGTATTACAATCTGCAATATCGAAATGTCCCCTGATCACCTAGAAAGTTGGGTTGAGCAGCAATACAATGAAATCGGTTTTGGCATTGGCGGCGGTGGTCCATTTATTGGAAAGTCTGCCCTCAAACAGAAGTTGATCAACCGGTACCCAATGCACAAGCAAAGAATAAGACAACTGGTTAACGCGTAAGTAAATCACCTCGCCTGCTCGAATTTGCAAGACTTATTCTTTCACCCAACAGCATCAAACACCAAGACCAACCGCGATCTGTTCAAGCGTCGCAATCGAGCTCACCTGCAACAGCAATATCTTCTCAGGACCGAAAGATTGCACAGTCTCCACCAACATCATCTTCTAAGACAACTTTGCAGTATGCAGCCCGACCACTATCAAACCTGGTACCAGCTACTGCTGAGTCTGAAATGAGTCCCACTGGTAGTCCGAATTCAGATTCGGGATTTGCATCATTCTCAAGCGATACTGAACACGTTCGAGACCCTCTTCACTTGATGTTCCCAAACTGCTGACCATTCAAAGCAGAATGAGAATGGCCCGAGCCCGAGAAATGCGCCTACGATGAATTTCCAGTGTCATTCGCCCAAATCAGAAGATGGTGGAGCGACATTGGAGGTCTTCTTGTCAAGTGGTTCGTGGTCTAAGACAATTACAAAAACTCCAGAGAAGATGGAATCTCTTGCGCAAAGCTCTTCAAATCCAAAGATCTTGGGTAAGTCCACAGTGTCTACATAACATCTTGCAAGCTGACAGAGTTCAGAGCTCAAGCAATTTATCAGTGAAGCGGGAAATCTGGACACAGCACCGCAAGGCAACACTGAAGATGCTGATTCCATCTTGCGCCTTCAATTGGCACTCCTTAATCTACCTTCAGGAGAAGAGGGAACGATAGAACAAACTTTAATTGACAATGTCAAAAACGCTGTGTTATTTTCCGCTGATGTGCTCGGACGTTTCGGCCAGAATGTCCTGCCGCAATACGGACTTCTTGGAAGCTCCGACCAGACGCCCTCGACTACTGCATCGGACTCGAGACTGTTCCTCAACACCAACGTTCCATTCTCAGCATTTGTTTGCGGAGTACAAGGGAGCGGGAAGTCGCACACAACGGCATGCATGGTTGGTAAGTTCGAAATGTTACGTTATGAGAAACACATCCACTAATTGCTTTGCAGAGAATTATCTCATTCCTTCCCCAATACTGGGAGTTCTCCAGAAGCCTCTTTCTGCTTTGGTTTTCAACTTCGCCGAATATTCTTCTGGTGCGAGCTTCAGACCGTGCGAATTGGCCTTTCTCGCTTCTCCTGGTTCGCAACTCCCGGGTCATCTGGGTGTAAAGAAAGTCAATGTCCTGGTCTCTCCATCAAACTACCTATCGCTCAAAAAGCTATACACCCAGATACCAGGTGTCACCGTTCAACCTTTCAAGCTGCGCCCAAAAGATCTGAACATCAGCACCATGCTGACGCTAATGTCTGTCGACCAAACCCAAGCAACACCGCTCTACATGAGCGTCGTCCGAAAAATCTTGCGGGACATGGCAACTCGGACCGCTGGAGCTTTCGATTATCGGGAGTTCCGCCGCCGGCTCGACGGTGCGAAGTTGGATAAGAAGCAAAAGGAGTTCTTGAATCAACGACTCGATCTTCTAGAATCATATCTTGATCTTGTTGTGTCCACTACGAGCCCCAACTTCGCGGCGGGCGAGATAACTATCATAGATTTGTCTTGTCCGTTTATGGATGCTAGCACAGCGTGCGTCCTGTTCAAAATCGGCATGGGTTTGTATCTGGAATCGGATTCGACAACCGGTAAACTCATTGTGCTTGACGAGGCACACAAAGTACGTATAGCACCACGGATCCCCCATTTTTTTCTCTTTGCTAAAAGTTGGTAGTACATGACCGATACAATAGCCTCAAAAGCGCTTACAGAATCCTTAATGGGAGTCATTCGCCAACAACGTCATTACGGCGCCCGAGTCATTATTTCCACCCAGGAGCCGAGTATCTCGCCCAAACTCATAGACTTGTGCGCCATTACCGTCATGCATCGGTTCACGAGTCCCGAATGGCTTGATGTTCTACAGAAACATATCCTGTTCCTAGACAAAGATGGCGAGAAGGATAGTAAATTCGGTCTGCTGAGAGATATCATGAGCTTGAGGACGGGCGAGGCCCTAGTGTTTGCTCCGACGGCGAGAATTAGGCCAAGTGATGAGGCTGGAGGAAGGGGAGTTGACGCAGATGCGTTGTTTAAGATGAGAATGCGGAAGAGGGTTACTTGGGATGGTGGGAGATCGATATGTTGTGTCTGAGTTACTTGGAGTTAGGTGGGGTGGTTGGTGGTGGAGTATGTAAATAATGTAGCACAAATAAATGTACGTCTCGTTCTTATCACTGCGTGAGGATATTTTTAAGCAATATTGAGATAGAAACCAAGATCCTTCCGGACTGTGTTCACTGCTCCCCGTCTTCGAGGAAGTAAGCCATGCTCACTTGAGACTGCTAAACGAATCCGACTCAACTCTACTAACAGAAACAGAAGTCTCGATCTATTGTGAAGATTTTTGCATAAGATAATTTTTGTTACATCGCGCCAATCCTCCACCTCATATTGCGGGTGCGCCGAGCCACCATGCACTTAATAACATCTCGCCGCTCTACTCACCCTCGCTTCACCTTAATCTCACTCATCCTCACCCGCCCTCTCCAGCCTCTTGTGCACAGTCCATCGCCTCACCTCTGCTCACTCGTCTCGCCTGGGATATGTCTGTCCCCGGTCGGCTCGGCTGTTGAGAGCCTTAAATCCTGGCGAGAAGGATTCAGGGGAGCCAGAATGGGCTTCTGAGGGCGGGAGGAAGGGGGAATGAGCTCCTAGTACTAAGATAGTCACCATCTTAGTATTATGCATCAATGCTATCACAATATTGTAGACGCGGAGTTACGATTCTGCCTTGTAATGCACAAGCTGAACGAGACCAAAAATAAGACTTCAAAGCCGAACGACGCTAATAGTTTTCAGATTTCAATTCGCTGGATTATTCTATCTCAACACGGGTCTGGAAAAGCGACTTTTCTTTAGACATTGTCCCGTTTTTTCACGCAGAGTTAGATACTATGCCTAATCGTTTGAAACCCATATTAGCATCTGATGCATCTCCTATACGCTGAAGCAAAAGCGCTATATTTTTCTTAATAAGTAGAATAAAGATCTCTTTTCGTTCCTGAGTAGTAGCGAAATTGGGATCAGGAATAATTGCGGCATCGAGATAGAAATTGGTATAATGCTCGGCTTCGTTTTCGAAAATCTCGGATAAACAGCCATATGATACATTGTTATGCTTATTATCGACAATGCCCATTCTCCGGAGTGGTCCCTCTAGTATTAGTCTTCCGCTTAGGACCTCACCAAACTTGCTATGTCCTTTGGTCAAAGTCCAGGCGTCAATTACTTTTGCCCAGAATGGGCCCTTGCGGGTTCGCATCGGCGTATAACCAACGCACGTTGCCGTCAACTGAGGCCCACGACCACGACGGCGCTCTATACTCTGAGGGTCGACCCTGAACCGTTCGACGTCCAACGTCTACTGGTCTGTGGATCCAAAGGAGGTCATCCAGAAGCGAGCTCCGCCAAAGGCCGCCGAGATACTCATCATCCTGCAGCTGGGCTTGGAAAGCCTGTGCGAGGCCCGATAGAGCGGGTAACTTATCAGTCGAGAAGGAGAGGTCCCTGGCTGAGTAGTCAGTTACTAGGACCTGCCAGCGGTCCTGTAGCTCGCCCACTGAGCAGTTATCTGGGAGGCGGGACGTATGGAGAGACTCCATTGGGAGGCCCCTTTGCGTTAGGGTCGTGGTCTGGCACTCCCATAGTAGCTGGTCACAGGTATATGTTACGACTCGAGGTGAGAGAATGCGCTCCTGGAGGGTCCAGCCCCGATGGTACAGAGGCATGTCGCTGGAGTCTGAAGAGATGAGCAGCTTCGAGAATGCGCTGCCTTGGCCAATTTGAGGGTGGCTTGACCACAGATTAATCTCAACTGGAGCGCTTTCGCTCCTATAGTTGAATAAATCGAAGATGCCATCGTAAGCCGATGCCGCGCTGGCAGCGGCGATGGCGAGCGAGGCGTTACCGTAAATCTGGTGCATTCTTGTCGCTTCTGAGGCCCAGTCTTCTGCGGCCTTCGGATCCGTTCCTTGCAGAATGCACAGCGCATCAGCCCATAGATACTTGAATCCAAGGCGTCGCGTAATGGTAACTGCATCTCGAATTGTGGGAGGGAGGTCAAGCTCAGAAAAGCCTGCTTTCCGCCTTTCAATGTTTTGGAATGTCGTTCGGTATTTCTCCCCGGCTTCAAAATCTCCCTTCGAAGACGTGGTTCCCCAACAATAGCTTAAAGCTATATAGGACTGTGACGCTGATGTTGCGCTCGACGCACTACCCTCAAACGTTTCCACTAGCTTTATGTTGTGCTTCTTCCCGTCGCCATCGACATCCACAAGTCTCGAGGGCAACCGAGCTTTGACTGAGCTTGGGTGATTGCATTTTTGGTGATAGTCTGTACAATTTTTGACCCAGCTCTTGACAAGATCGTAATTATCCTTCGAGTCTGTCTGTTGAGCTGGAATGCGGTATTGAAGCAACGCTGTTATGGAAGAACCTGAGGAAATCTCAGATCAGTTGAGGTACAACATATATTGCGCTCCTAGCCATACAATCACCTGTGCGGACTGTAGTGTAACTTACCAGGTGTAGCAGTGAAGACGAGAGACCCAGAGCAAATGTGGACTTTGTTGTGTTCCAGATTTTTCACATATCTTTCAGTTCCACCCAATGGGCTAATAGCTGCTTGTAAAGCGTTACCTCCATGTTCGATGACATATAGAGACTTGGGCCACTTCTTGTTGTTCATTACCAACGTCCGACCGTAGCATACGGTGATACCTTCGATTCTTTCCTCAATTATAGTATTCACTGGAGATTCTAATTCAGTCTGGAGCTTTTCTATCAGCCGGCGTGCCTGTTGCAGTGGTCGTGCCCAAAGCTTGACGAGACCGTCTGGTACTGGGCCTTCCCAAAGTTTATCACCCCATACAGGATTGGTCCAGCGTTGAGCACTTATAAAGTGGGTTTCGTGCTTCATCTCAGCCCGCCAAACTTGTTGAGTGCTTTCAACATCCTGGACCTTCCATTCGGCTCCACAGCCACAGTTCTGGAGCGCTTGGAGGAGAAGTAAGCAGAACCGACAGTCGGCAGGTAAGAGGTTGTGGGTTAATCCACTGTCAGAAACGAGTTCGTCAACTGAAATCTTCTGACAACCTTCGCATAATCTTGTTCTTGAGTCTTCGTCCATCATTGCATGCGTCGCTATTATAGGCAAGGGAACCAAAGCTCAAAATTTTGACTGGACGTCAGTCGTGAATATAAGGTGTATGGCTTGCGGAAATTCGGCACTATTGGATGCCTGAATGCGTAGGACCCAACAACTAATAATACATTTGGAGTACGCATGTGTTGTCGAAGCTTGGCAGGCTCAGTCTCCAATGACCCACACTAATTTTTTTAAGTAACGCGTTGAGCTTAACGCATATTGCTATGTGAATTCTGGTTAGTATACTTAGTAATATTGCCATTGTTTTTACTTAAATTAACTATATTTATAAACTATAGAAAGTATGGTAAGTGAGATGGATTTGTTAAGAATGGAAAAAAAGAAATGAGGCAACCAGGCAACTCGGTCCCGCCCGACTGAGGTGAGGGATCCCTCACTTTGTATAACCCGAACTAGGCAGCAATACCGATCATGACATCGCTCATAGTACGAGAAGCCCTCAAAGCTCTGCCTAATATATTGCGGGAATCTCCAGGCAGTAAGGTTGACCTTCTTCCCAACACAGTACGCTCGAGCCACCACAGCCAGGGATCCTGAATTGGCTCCGGAGGCCTTGATTGACTTTTTTATTTAATTTTGGCTGGTGGCAGCTGCAGCCGAGAGACCGAAATAGGTTCAGCGCGGGTCTGTCCACGATTGCCTAACTGGGCCCTCTCTTGCTCTTGGCTCCTCCAAAACAGCCGGTAAAGCAGCTCTGCTCAGCTCTCTAAACAAAAACAGTTTTTCTTTATGTTAGTATTGGCGTGTAATAATGGTGTGTTCCCTTGTTTTCGGTTGAATGTGATTACGTCTGCTAACGGATGTAACCTTACTTAAAACAAGGTGCAAGCCATACAAGAGCGGTTATCTCAAGTCTTAGAGGTCGAGAGGCATTGCAGCTCTACTGAAGCTACCAGACTAAGTGATTTTAGGGGGAAAAGATAACTTGTTCGCTACCCTGAATAGGTTGCTCCTTCAGCCGCGAATTGGACGTCCACAAGCCGAACCCTCCCTGTTACCTTTCTCATTCTGCAACTCAAAATAGTGAGTGAGAATCAAGTTGTGAAGACAAGTCACATATAGAGCCAACGGTATAGTTACACTTCAATACATTAATTTCAAAACTAATTCCACACTCTAGGTCTAACATCACCCACGCCAATTCTTCATCGTATTCCTCCTCCTTCGCTCCTTCGCTCCCAGCGTCACAAAAACAACCCCATTCCAAAATCCACGCAAAGACCCCGTTGCACCAACAGCAAGGAGCAACGGATCCGACACAAAACCAGGATTAACCAAAGACGCCACCCGGTTCGTTGTAGGCGCAACCCAAATCGCTAATAAGACAACAAAAAACATCAGCGGCATGAGTATATAGTTTCTGAACGAGACAGGCGAGCGGCTGCGGCTGCGGGGTGTATTTTGCAAGGCGATGGCGTCGGATGGACTCATATGCGGGACGGAATTTGTGATTGAGATAGATCCGCGGGCTTCTTTGGCTGCCATGGCCATTTCGGCGTCGATGGTTTCGGGAGAGTGGAGAGTGTCGGCGGCGGATCCCATGGTGTCTAGGTCGAGGTAGTCGTTGCTGATGGATTCGAGCATTCGTCTTTGCTTGATGATTTCTATCCCGACGAGGCCGTAGAGTATGAAGGTGATGAAGATTATCAACCTATGGTGAGACATTAGTGTTGCGCTTGAGAAGTCTCGGGGAGGTTGCGCACCATATTGGTCCGTAATAGAAGATTATTCGGAAGAGTACCCATTTGGGAGATATTGCACACCAAAGCTATGAAAGAACGTTAGGTTACTATTTGCCTTGGAATTGAAGGAATGCTTACTGTGACACTGCCGTATATGGGCCCTTTTTCAGGTGTATGAATGAAGAGAAAGGTCAAGGCAGGAATAAAGACCACAGTTGTTATTCCCACAGCATATTTCAGCTCGAGCCTGCGCAGATCTTCCGTCTCGTACTTATAGAATACAATCAAGAACACATCACAGGCCATAGCGAGTGTCCAAAGCACATCTGCCAGCGGAAACCTATTAAGCGTGTTAGCGCAACTTGCCAGCAGATTTTATTCGAGGTCGGACATACATTTGCAACAAGAACCCCTGAAACTGGCACAGCGCCGAATGGTTCCCAGCCCGAGGACCACTGAGAGATATAGTCGTAGCCGTAACATCAAAGAGGTTATAAAACGCATTGATAAAAATAATCCTATGAATCGGATTCCGGAACTGCCTCGAGAAGCAAAACGTGCCGATAATCGTAAAAATCCCAAGAATAGAGAGCACAGAAGCCGAGCGCTCGACGATAGCCAAGACGTGCAGCTGCTCAGCCGAGAGCGTCATCTTGGAGCTGTGCGTCGTGTCCCGGTGGGAGAAACATGTGGATGCCTCTCACGTGACCAGTCGTCCACAATATCCAGCTGTATAGGCAGAGGGGCCGAGCGAGCGAGAGGAAGAGTCGCGTTTTATGTACGGTAGCAGGGTGAAGATGGAATAAAAGCATTTTCGGGGTTCCAGGACGCTGTGCCGATAACATGTATTTCATGGGGGATGACGTGCTCCTGCCACGTTCTTACACGACGCCCAGCCCTGGGATCGGGTCCTTGAAGCTGTTCAACAAGCATTTGCAACAGAGATCAAAATACTGAGAACATGGCCACCTTTCGTAGAGTTAAGAGCGAATTCTCTTAAATCTTTCGTCATCGCATGGCGAGTATATCCTCCTAGTCTCCGATAGAGTTTTGAGGATGCAAGCCCGAAAGGAGGCGCCGGGAACACCTTTAGCGAAAAGGAATATGGCAAGAAGCAAAGAAGAATCTCGGCACGAGACTGAGTGCTTATTCCTCCATTGATTTCTGGTAACTGGCGCGAATGGCGTCAACTCGAAGCATGTGTCAATTGTCAGCCTTTGTTCCCAGGTCGTGGTACTGGGATGAGGACTTCTTTGTCAGAGTGGGGTACAGTGCGGGATGACCTTCTCAAAATGTGCTGTACCCTATGATCCCTTGGAGCTTTTAAGCCCCTCTATCGCTTCATTGTTACTAGAGAGGAATGAGATCTTGTGCTACTTGAACGCAGTTTATTGCTATACAAATTTCCTTGTTTTTGCTTGTGCAATGCTTGCTATTACACTTTCAAGCAAAAATTCTCAATATTAGTGGTATACCAACAAGGAATTATGAAGAGGTACTCTTGCTGAAAGGCGTGCTCTGAAGAAAATGGGTCATGAGGTACCTGTTATTCGTTTTTGTGCAGAGCTTCATAGCTCTTGCCTTGGCATATTGTCGCAATCCAAAGCCAATTTTTGCAAACAGTCTTTTCAATATTTACTCGCTTAAATCAGGGGCCGATATATGAAGGTAGGCTATGCCAGATCCTAGTCCCAGGTAACTCTAGGCTAGAGGCGGGTCGAGCCTAGTCTTTGCGTTTCAGTTTGTCAAAGCTGAGATTCTGGGGAAGTGTGGGAACTGTTGTCAAGGGAGGCTACAGACAAATAATGCTACAACGACCGATGTGGAGGGAGTGGAATGGGTCTGCAATCATCAAACTTGCAACTTCAAGTCTTGTGATTCGACCATTTTCGTACTGGTATGGATAACATTTTGAAGTATTAGTAGAGCGAGACCAAATATAACGAAACGGAAAACTGTTATTACTTAGGTAGCCCAAATAAATAAGGATATAGGAACAAATTCGAACTCCCACGCTCTACAAAACCTCAGCTCCATGTAGATTATCCAGAAAAGTGTCCCGTCGCTTCGATATCCTCGAAACATTTCAGAGTATGCTGCACAGACTTCTCTGCCCATCCATCTTCTCTCATCTTCTTATACTGCTTTCCAATAGCGACCTGCTCACCGTTGTAGTTTACCCTATAAGACCCTCCTCCCAAGACCCCATCCGAGCTTTCCGCAACCCCGATAGCACCCGCTGCCGCAATGTTCGCTTTTCCATCAACGGACTTCGGAGGGAATCTCTTCGAAGCATTGAACAATGTCCTCTCACCACTCTCCTCACAAGGCACGGTTGAAGGAGCGAGCTTCATGATCGGCTTTAAATACTTGATGGAGGCTTTGAACCACCAAGGAAAGCTGGGGTCATTAAGCCCCGAATCAAATCCCTCATGCAACACCAAGCCAGGGAAGTAATGGCACAAAGATAATTTGCCCGGGTATTTGGCAGCAAGGTATTCGAAGAAGAATGTTTTGAGGTAGGCGGCATGTGAGCCGGAGCTCATGAACCCATAGTTCTTCGGGTCGCGGAGGGAGAGGTCGTCAGGAAAGAAGGAAGCGTCGCGGCCGGGGCCAAATACTGAGACGACATGTGCAGGGAGAGAAGAGGATAGGAGGAGCGGGAGGAGATTCGTTGTGAAGCGAGCTCGCGAGTAGAAGAGGAGGGACATGAATGTGTCAAGGCCTTCACTTGTTTCTGCCATATTAAGTCAGTACATTTCGTACATTCTGCAAGATGGAAAAGCACATACCATTTCGTGGATCCCAAGGCTTGAAATTCGCGTGTGACATCACCAGAATGTCTATCCTAGGTGTTTCTCCCTTGGCACTGGCTTCCTTCTCTTCCGTCTTGATGAGTTGCTTGCAGGTAATGTCAACTTCTTTCATGAGCGCGAGGTCGTTGGCAGATTGGAACAGAAACTGTCCAGCTGGACATGACTTCTGACACTCAGCGATGATTGACTCTGCTGCTTTCGCGTTCCGTCCCACGATATAGACTCGCAGACCTTTTCCAGTCTTGCCGTGAGTTTTGGCTAGGCATCTGACGGTGTATGCTCCAATGCCTGAAGTAGCTCCGACGAATACAGCGACGAGGGGTTTGCTGACGAGTTCATCGTTACTAGATTTGACGAGGTTGAGCTTGACCATTGTTGGAGATAAATTGACTGCGTGTTAGGCGATATAGAAAGTCTGCGTACCAAGCATGGCCGTTCCTGGTATTGAGTAGACCGTTTGGGGACAGATATTAAAAATACAAAAGGGAGAAAGAGTCAAGCGGTCAGCATGGAAGAAAACCTACCTTTATATCAACAGGAATGACAATGTCGATACTCATCTTACCTTGAAGCCACGCCGGACATTGAGTCGTGGAGGAAATCCGAGAACATAGTGAGGTTGGTTGATTGATTCTTTGGCCTCGTGCTTGACGTTAGTGCCCGCGATATTTAAATACGAAAGCAGGTTAGCGCGAACAGCAAGCCTCGGATCCGCATTCGGTTGTTGGCTTAGCTCCACCCCTTGTCTCGGACTTTCAGACTTCACCTCAACTCACATATGGGTTTCCATTTGACCATACAGCTGCAAAGATTTGATGTAAAGACGTCAGATACTGGACTAAGCTAGTATCCAGTAGACTCCAAATCCAGCGGAAAGCCCAAGGTCGAGGTTTGATGCTTCAACTCCGCAGTCTGGACTCTGTGGACATCTTGGCAGCTTACACGCATCACGGCACCATTCCTGCCGACTACACCCAATGTGCATCATGCTATTGATCAAATCAATACGCATCTGCTGGAGCTCGGATTAAGGCGAACCTTAGGGAGGCCTTAACCAAGTACTACACCCAACGGAACAACACTTGAGGAAAATCAGTAGGCGTCATGGACATGGATGGATGTCATTGCAACGTCCCGGTCCTCAAGCCCAACGTCGAGTCTCACAGGCACGGGAAGTGCCCTATCAAGCCATGTTCATATCAGACGCTTCCTTCGGAAACGTCAATTCGACTCCTCAAGCTCCACACTTTTCCTGGTACAAACCACAGCTGTGAAAAAGACTTATTCAGCCCCTTAAAGTGCTCACTGGTCACTGTCGACCTGTCAGACAATCCCGCTTATGCGGCGCTCTCCTACACCTGGGGAGATCCGAAGATATACTATTCAAGTGAAGACGAAATTGTCGCCCAGTCAGATTGGTATTGTCAATGTCATACCATGGAGATCGATGGAGAGGAAGTCACAATTTCTACAAACCTTTACACTGCTTTAATATCCCTTCGATACGTCAAGTCAGCTGCGAGATACGCCGAACATAACAATGTTCATGAAGATTGTATATACATCTGGATCGATGCGCTTTGCATAAATCAATCAGATGTTTCTGAGAAGTCGAGCCAAGTTCAGCTTATGGGTCGCATCTACTCACAAAGTTTGCATGTCCTAGTATGGCTCGGAGGTGCTGATCCTATCTCGGATTCGTCAATTGTTCTCCTTGAAATGCTCATTGCGTTGTGCCTGCCCACTCGAAATGCGGACGGGAAATACATCGGACTGGAGCTGCTTCCTGAAATGGCTCTCGATGACCCACGCTTCTACGAGATTCTTGGCCTGTCAGAGCATATATCCATTCAGATATGGAGTCGTCTTTTCGCATTTCTCAACCGATCGTGGTTTCGACGCGCATGGGTAATTCAGGAATTAGGACTTGCTGTGAAAGCGACCTTCATCTGTGGCCTGCATCTCTTTAATGACGCCCATCTCCGCAAGTGGATTCTTCTCCTGTCGGACATGAAAATTTTGTCCAAACTTGAGGATCTGGAACCCCTGCTTGTCAGTGGTCACGAACTCACAGAGCACCAGCTCCTACAACGTGCTTCATGGCCGACGACAAGCTCCTATTCACTGTATAAAAGCCAAGATGTAAATGCTTGGGACATTGACATGTTCATGTTTCTCGAGTATGTGAGGCAGAAACGCAAGGAGTCTAAGGAAATATCTCTATTAGACCAAACTGTCAAGCGGAACGCGGCTTTCCTACCCATAAGTCAAACTATTATGCTTTATCGTTCGACCGAGGCATCTGATCCACGAGACAAGATTTATGCTTTTTTAGGCATCTCACATGGAGGAACTGTACCCATCCCCCAGTCGTTAGCTCCTAATTACTCGCTTTCACCCCGACAGGTATACATTCAGTGGGCAGAGTTCATGATTTCATCAGACACGCATCTTTGCTTACTGTCGATGGTTGAAGATCACTCTGTACGGAAGATGGACGGAATTCCGAGCTGGGTACCTGATTTCAGCACCGAGTGTCGTCCCGTTCCCTTCCGCAGGCAATCCCCGTTACCATTCTGTGCCGACCGTGGACTAGGACCAATGCTTGCAGCATTTTCCGAGCCTGGTGTACTTGAGGTTCGAGGATACAAGCTGAACAGGATCACTGCTACTGCCAAGTCCAGTGATCTGGAGCAAGGGGGGATAAAAGCGATTGCCGAGTTCCTCTCAGCTCTTCCCCAAGGGATGATGATTAAGCAGCCCAACACTCCGCTGCAACAGGGCTCAACGACAGTCGATGTCGATACCTATATGCCTCAAAGTCGTCTGGACTTCTACTGGCGGACTTTGATCACTGATCGTTTCACCAAAGAACAGCACCCCGCGCCACAGAGCTGTGGTCAAGCTATGAGGATATCCTTCCGTAGATGCCTATCTCAAACCGCGGCAGATTTGATACATAACTCGAAGACAGGGGATGAGTTCACTCAGCGTTGGCAAAGTTATATGGAGGATAACGCCGCATGGGAAAGCCTCTTGTTACCTGGTGAAATAACACCACTTGTAAGCCTCAGAGAAACCCCTCCCCATACAATCTTAAGCTAACACGTCCATTAGCAAGAACGACTAGCAGAAGCCAATTCAGCAGCACGTGAAACCCAGACAAGCCAACTGATTGTTCTTAACGAGGACGAAGACTTCGGCCCCAATACTCCAACAGAACTACTCGCCAACGGCCAAAATCTACCTTGGGAGATAGGCCTAGAGGCCGATTACATGTATCGCAAGAAGGTCTGCCAGAAAATGAGAAAGCTCGTTATCATCAGCCCAGGAGGCCTGGGACTAGCTCCGGATTCTGTCGCGATAGACGACGAAGTCTGGATCATTGCCGGATCACAAGTGCCGTTCATCCTAAGGCCAGTGGGAGAGAACAGGTATAAATTGGTGGGAGAGGCTTATGTACATGGTGTCATGCATGGTGAAGCAATGGAAGGAGTGGATGTGAGATATCTGGGCATTCGAAATATTCTCTTGGTCTGAGGGATGCGAGTGGGCTTCTTTGCTTGGGTGGAGAAGTCGAGCTCCACTACTCCGCTGGGTACCGAGACTCTCTCACTTATCATGTGATTCGTTTTCCTTCTCACCAACAATTGGCACCGGATGGTAATTTCGACTAGATGGAATATATATTCGAAACTCTATTTAGTACGTATAGAATCACCATATCGAGATATACACTCTGCCTCAGGCTCGCACACATAGCGATCACCTGATTCTCAAGGTATGAAGTCGACGACAGTGTCAATTGTTTCCTTGAAGAGAAAGATTGCCTGCAAGGAACAGTCCCTAAGGAAGGTCTAGATTTATCTACATTGTGGGTCACGCTAAAGTTAGGGTCCAAGTCACATTATCTCGTTCCCTCGCGCTGATGCGACAACCCCGCCAATACCCTCCTTTTGTCGAATCTCAACCTCAATAGTAAGCGAATCTTTCTCCACGAATTCCATACTTGGGGCTCTATAGATCCTTCGAAGCTAGGTTCGGGTTTGCTTTCCTTTTTATCCTTAGCCGAAGCCAAGCCTTAGTAACGGCATAGTATCCACTACCAATTCGTGTCCACTGCCGGTGTTCTACTGCATCCTTTTCAACAGCATATTATTACCTGCCCATTTCGACGTCATATTTCCACCAAAAAAATCGTCGTTACGCACATTTCTTCCATCTAGATTTCTTTTCAAGTTGTTTTCTCCGCGTCGTGGAAGAGAAGCTTTACTAATCATGACACTTATGCATTCAAGTACTGAACCTACTCTGCCTGCTGACAATACCTCGAATAATAACAATGATCCTTTTGCCTTCGTTATAGTATCTCATCCTTCAAGAGGGAAAGACGCAGTGCTCCAGAAGCAAGTCCGGCGACATGTTGCATATCGCTGGCACGAGGATGCGAGGAGGAGAAGCAGCAAAATAGTCAAGCGTCAGCCGAGGGCATTGGCACAAAAGGGCCAGGAGCCAGATGAGAATCAACAGCTCTGTACTGTTCAAGATGTCGAAACAACGAACTCTGGAGCAGAAGATTCCGCAGAGATCACCACTTCTGAGACTGCCCTCACATCTCCACGCACCGGGCCAGGCCTGGTAGGGCATCTAGGAAGCGGACGAGGCGATCCATTCAACAGCTGTGCAATACGAATCAGCACTATGGAATCCTTCCTTCTTGACCACTGTAAGTATTCTTCCCTCTGGCATAATGTTCAGGTCCCGAAAGTGATCATACTTTGTTGTTCTACATCATGTAAAATTGAGGATGCAAGCGAGTTTTCGCATTTTCATTTCTTACTTCTGTACAGATCCAGTGCCATAAGCCAAGGTTCGCAGCCTATTATCGCTGATTAACCCCAACACTATCACTTGTCTCCCATACTGACACACCACAGACTTCCAAACCTTCGCCGCCAAAGTCTCAGCAATCTACAGCTCCGCGGAGTCTGCGGAAGTACAACTAAGTGGTATGCCCAGAGAATGGGTTTCCTTCCTAATCACCGATACTGGCATCCTTGCCGGCGTCTTCCTTCGAGCGTGTCGAACATTAAGTGTTGTGACGAGCAAGCAATACCTTGGTAAACTTGCGTTGAAGTATCGGGCGAGGTGTATTGAAGCGCTTTCTACGAAGATTGCTTCTATGTCGACGGCATTGAGCATTGAGGCTATTGCTATGATGTTGATGTTGACTACTGACGAGGTAATGAGGCTTCAAGTCCTTGTAAAAGCAGAAGCTGATTGGGTCACAGTTCTACATGGGTTCAGCGACGAGTATGAGGTATCACGTGAATGCTATGCAGAGAGTCGTTAAGTTGAAAGGGGGACTTCAGGATACAGCTTTAGAAGGAATTATCTTGCGACTTATAGAGTGGTGTGTATCCTCTGTTATCGTCAGACATTATTCTTCTGATGAGTGGAATAGGAACGACCTACAATGCACGCTACTAGCTCGCAATGAGGGGCAGCCAAGGCGGTATCCGGCGGTTGATATTCTGACTTCGGGATTCCCGGTATTTTCTTGAAGATATACATGCATTTCATGTCAGACATTCTTGTTGCCATATACTATACTTAGCTCATGGTCTCGGATATCCGCAGGTTTCAGTTTCAGAAAACCGTGGAAACTCAAAAGTTGGGTTTGGAACCAGATTTTGAGCTGTAAAATAGTGCATACGTCAAGTCAGAAATTCTCTACAGCCAGTTACAGAACCAGTCATCGCGAATGAAAGATAGAAGGAAGATGAATCTTAAAACAAGGTATATGAAATATATCCGAATCCTTCTGGTACACAAGGAAAATAGTCCCGCAAGCATTCGGAAATGAATCTCAATCATCGATAAATTATAGCAAAGTATTCGTCTCATTCCTCCGCATCATATATATTATCCTCAATGAACCCACCGGGATCCCAGATGTCCGGCCACGTAGACGCTTCCCGTGGGGGCGCGTCCGTCTCCATACTTGCATTTGAATCCAACGAAGCCGGTAGCAGATATCCCTGGCTCGAATGGGAAGTCTGCGGCATCAAAATCGATTGGTGTTATTGGGGGAGAGTAATCTCCTGTCGACCACTGTCGCTTTCGATCATTGATTATTTGGTCGAAGCTGGTTATAGTTCCTTTTGCCCAAGAGAATTGAACAAAGTCCTGGTCTTGAAAGGAGACAGGGTGGCCGTTGTATTGAGGAGGACTTCTCATGTTGCCAATGTCAAGTGGGTTTCCCCTCTTATCTTCGAGATCGGTCTGATGATTCCATAGTCAAGAGCCAATTTCAAATTGTTCATCATAGCCACGCCAGCTGTCCAGTTCCAGGGTAACAGCAGCTTCAAGTTCTGGTGCAATCGTAGAAGAACGCTGCTGGAGGTCGAAAGGCGAATGATATTGTTCTTGCTCATTATCGTCGCGTGAGCTCGTATGATCGGTATGTAGAGAGACGTTAGTAATTCCACCTCGCTCCCATATGATATCTCCCAGCTTCGATACTAAATCTGTGGAAGGTTCAAGGGAATCAGAGTGCTTTGCCCAGAAATTCTGAGCACTTTGACTTGATTTCACAGCGTCTGATGCTTCGGATACTGTCTCCAAGAGGGGAAGTTGGCGGTGTTTTTTTGAGCTTGCCTTGCTTTTATCGATGCTTTTCTTGAACCCGGTGGACAGAAATAATCCAAATAAGGTATTTCGAATAGACTTCTTTGATTCTCGTGGTGGTGGTGCTGGTGCGCGTCGAATAAAGAAGTCGTCGTAAGCTGTAGCGAGAGGTGTGGCTCCATGATCAACCAAAAGGACAACACAAGACAGAATTTTGGCGTAAAGCGCAGTGTGACCATCCTTCTGTGCTTTCCACATGTGAGTGGTGGCATGCGCAACAACACTGGTTCCCCTATAGCTCCTACTATTAGGATTGGCACCTCGTTTCAACAGGTAGTCTACTCCATCGTAGATGCCGAGACTTGCTGCAACTGCAAGAGGAGTGTGACCATGGGAATCCCTCACGTGGAGATCGAAATCGTTACGAACTTTTTGAAGTAGTATCCGAAAGTGGAGCTGTTCAGTCCATGATCTCAGCGCTACCAGAAAAGGCGTCTCGGAGTATGCGTCTGCAGGCATAATACGGTCTCCAACTCTGACTTTTTTGCCCATTTCTATATTTCGGAGCACAAAGCTCGGAATCTCAGGATCGCTACAGTCCATTAGTGGGATATCGCCGCTAACAAAAGGCGATAATTACCTTGGCTCCAAAATATGTTGAGCTTGGCATACTTTGTCTGCGTCGACCATCCAGTCCGCAGCATAACTCAGGAACGCACGTGTGACTGTTCTGCCATGATAATCAATCATCGAGAAAGAGAAGGTTGATGTATGGGAGTCCACAAGTCTGAGAAGGTCCAGGAATTTATCGAAATCTTCGGATTTGCTAAGTCGAAGAACGTGCATGAAAGTCTCTCCAGATGTGTTCCGCGAGAAGGATTGTGTTTTCGAAACTTTACCATAGGTTTCCAGGAACCGGACTATGCCTGACAAGTTACCAACTGCCGCGGCGTGATGTAACGGCGTGTTGCCAAATTTGTCCACGTCCATGGAAGCAATAATGTAATCCTCTTCAGAACGTGCGCGGTAGTGTACCTCTTTCGTACCGCACGTGGAACATTCGATACCTGGAGCTGGAATTTGCGCGAAATACTGACAACATGGTCGCTTTTGGAATGAGATTTCGGGACAGTGGAGTCTCTCGTCGGAGAAGGGTGAATGCTCGAGCCCATCCCAATTCACAAACTCGTTTCCAGTAGTAGATTGGCTCAGAGTAGAGCGTCTACCGGTAGAAGTACTAGACATGTGGGTAAGACCGGAGATCCAAGAGTTCGTTGCAGACATAAGAGAGTTGGCATGGCGAAGAGATCGTGACACTCGTGATGACACACGATTCCCAATGCCTTGGTTGCTGGTACCACTCATACGACTAGCTCTCGTGCTTGATCGGCTTACAACAGGTGTATTGTCGGTCTTCGGAAGTTCCTGTGCGAGTGCCTCTTCAGGTGCTACCGTCGTTTCGTCGATTGAATTCGTGCTCTGGCTGAAGGTCTCAATCTCGCCCCATATTGCAACTGGAATACTCAAATCCGCAATGTTGACGTGCGCTTTCTGTGCAACATTGTCGGACAAGTCTACTTCTTTATTACTGAAGCACTTTCCTTCTAGGTCTCCAGCAAGAGGGTCATTTCCGGCGGAAGCTGCATTACTCGAATACCATTGGCTGTAACCAGGGAAGATGCAAGCATCATTTTCGGTTGACTGATGATTGTAATGTTGGAGGGGGTCATATAGGACTCCTGACTTCACTTCTTCCAAAACATAATCTGACTGTATGGGCTGTATTGGCTTCATGACAGAAGCGTGAGATCGTGCGATTCGTTTGTCATGTCTACGCTTCTGATGCTCTCTCCAGGTCTTCAATTGTGCAAACCGGTGAATGCCTTGATCGGTACCAGTGGGTCTGTATTGTCTCCACCTATGTTCGCTATCGGGGAAGAGTTGGCTCAATTGCTCATGCACATTTCTTTTCCTAAGACTCATCAGCACAGAAACAGCTGCACAAAATCATGACAAGCGTACCCTGGGGTAAATCCATTCGATTTCAGCATTTGCTGAATATCAACGATCCTCAAATTCGTCATGAGATAAAGACGAGCAAGTTTTCGTTTCCTTGATGCGTCCCAAGGGATTTTCGGACGCCCGCCTCGTTTTGGAAGAGTCATCTTGGGAACTTCCCATCAAGCCCTCGCGGGGCTTTGGGCAATCGGGGGAAAACTATTTCCGAGGACTTGACGCTCCAAGCACTTGGAAGTAGAGTACCAAGATCATCATACTCAAAAGGTGTTCGTAAATCTGAATCTTTGACCGTGTCTGCAATGTTATACAGATTAAGAAGTGCTATATGAAAAGAGGCTGTGGGGGAACATGACATATATAGAGGCGGCAAACTGATGTTTTTGCACGTTGCTTCTCACCCAACCATCCGTTTGATGGAGCTAGGCCTAATCGGAGGATGAGGCTGTCCTTTAGTACCTAGGTAAGGTTAGTCCGCTAGGTCGGGCGACACATGCATGATGACAGCTGATCGCCAGCGTGCAGAAACCTCGAATTCCAGGTTCTGAGACACGGGTTTTTTTGTAAAGGTTGAAAACTATGTCATATATCAATTGTGAGGTTTCATTAGATAGGGTGAAGCACAATAGCGATGGCGGTACGAATGAGTATAGCGAATAACCCGACTTCTCTGAATTCGTAAAATCTAAACTCTCAAATCCAAAACTCCTTATAAGACTATTCCCATTAGCATCCCATTGGTGTGACGGCGGCTTCCTCTTGGCGCTATCGCATGATTTCCACGTGGCACAGCTTCTCAAATTCCCAAAGCTACTTTATATTTACCATTTCTATATCAATTCATTTTAATTTAATACAGCTTTAAGCAAACTTCGATAAAACAATAATCAATTAAACTAATAATAGTTTATATATATCACAACGAGGAAATGTAAACTAAATCGAAACAAAACATCAAATTAACAATAATTAACTACTCGGACAAAAAATTCCATCACCTAAGAATGTAATAATATCCGCTATCCAAACGAACTCACCAAGGCTTCAAACACAATCTTCCTCACCTCTGCCTCAAGGCTTATTCTTCTTCCTCGGCGACGTCCTAGTAGGAGGCAACCCTCTCCTCTTCCTATCCCTATCCTCCTGCTTCTTCGCCTCAATAGCATCCTGCTTATCCTTTGCATCCCGAATCACCTTCGCAGCATCATCCGCGACCTTCTCTGCCGCCCTGCGCGCCGCTTCACCAACCGCACCACCGCGCGGCGAAGGTGGTCTCACAGGAGGCGCCGGCGGAAGAGGAGGCGTGGCACCAAACAGGCTTCCCAGATTTGGCCATCTCGTCTTGGGAGTTGGAGGCGGTGAAGTGCTGCTTGACGGGGACCGTGATGGTGCAGCTGGCGGCGTTGGTGTTCTCTGCGGTGTAACATCCCGTAGTGGAGGCGGAGGCGTACGTGCTCTAGGCGGTAGAGGTAGTGTTGTCATGAACATGCCAGTTTGCCTGTCGATGCCGAGATCAAGACACGCGGTGTTGTATTCTGCGGGAGTTACTTGTTCGAAGCGTTGCTTGCCGACCCTTTCTGTGATTGCGTCTTGGGCGATCTTTATTTTGGCATTACGGAGGTGGATTGCATCGCGCTTTTTCATCGCCTCGATCTCCTCGGGCGTGTGATAGAATTCCAGGACATTGGCGTCAGGGAAGCCAGCAGTCTGTTTAGCTGCTTCGATGAGCTGTGCACGTTTTTCTGCGATGGAGATGCTGTCTGGTTGCCAATCTGATGGGACGTTCGGGAGGGCAAATGGATCCTTTGGCTCTGGAGATGGGTTTCTTCCAAACAAACCTGGTCGAGGAGTTGGAGGGACTTGAAACTCGGGAACTGCGGAAATGTTAGCCAGCTATAGAGTGGGAAGGAAGAGGTGACCTACCATCACGAAGATCCCATTCCATAAGGAAGCTCTGATACGCTTGTTGATATGGAGTTTCTCCAAAGGGAAAGTGAGGCGGTTGTCCCATAAGATGCCTAGCTTGCTTCTTGGTTGCTGCAACCTGTTGTTCTTGGACTGTCGGTGGTTTCAAAACAGGTACAGGGGCATTTTCACCCTCTGGATCCTTGGGCCCCTTTGATCCCTTTGGTACCTTTGGCGCCTTTGGCAGCCCTTGAGGGTTCGGCTTTTCCTGAACTTCGGGGCCTGAATTTTTAATGGCAGTCCTCGTGACCGTGTCCTGACATCCTGGCGGCCATCTTCTCACGTCGAAGAACCGAGTGAGTCTCCGCTTGGCCATGACTTTCCGCCCTTGTATGGTCCTCAATTGCGGTGCCCACCTCTCATTGCTGAACTCCCACAAGCGCTCCTTTTGAGGGAAACGAGGTTCCCAGCAATTGCTCAGTTCTTCGATCATTTGCATCTGGAGCAGCATTGCGGCTGGGGTTTCAGCTATACGTGGAGGATTTGGAGGACTCCGGATTAGAGGAATATTGTTTTCTACAGCGAGTAGGGGGTCAATCTTGTTCAACTCTAGTGCCATCTCCTCAACTCTCACAGCATTTTGTCTGGGGCGTTCCAAGAACATTCGTTGTTGGGTGTTGAAGATAGCGGACCATTGGTAGTTCAACAATTGATGCTCGGTCATCGTGGGCGCGGCCCTGGTTTCGAGTGCAGCTTGAGTATCGCGGCCAATCCTATATGCAATGAAGCGCAGATGTTCGTACTTGTTAGGTTGAACAATCGGAGGGCCTTTCTTCCCCGAAGCATCATACTGGACGATGTATTCGCTTTTGACAGCGTCAAACACCACTCCAGCAGAAGTGCGCACAGCCGCTCTGGATGTGATGTATTTGTTTTCTGGATGTCCATTCACAGGTATCTTAGCAACCAACGTTTCGAAAGGCTCAAAACGGCGGTTATTCACGGCTTGATTCATGCTACAGTGACTCAGTACTGGCATCAACATCAGGGTGCTCCACTTACTGTATACGACGTAAGACTTGCAATTGAGTCAAATGGGTAACTGCTGTTTCTTCCGAATATAAAGACGGCGCTACACTCAGGCCATCTGTTATCGCTTTTGAGATTCGGGCTGTATTGATGTGTTGAGTAATTACTGTGATTGTATAGCCCTGTGTAGTAGCGAGCAACGGATCATATATCGGCTGTGCCAAAGGATCAGCATTAGCGAGTGCCATTGGCGCTGGTAACCAAGTTCGATTTTGCCAGTCCATGGTATCTAGCTCTGCTTCAAATTCCTTCGCCTCCTCCTGACGCTTGAGGAGTTCTTGGTAATTCGGCGTATTTGATACGAGAGTCGGGAATTCTTGTCGAAGCTCGTCCCAAGATGGCTCAGCTATTTCGGCAAGAAGTAGCACATCATTTCTCGTCAGTGGAGGGCCACGATTCAGTGGATGAGCCGAGTCTTGTGCTGTCCCGTTCAACAAACAATTCAGGATCTCTTGCAACAGAGGCCGTGGAGCGTCCAAATTAGCGTGCTGTAAATGCAGAGACACTGTGGCTAGTTCTCGTAGCCATTCCCTCTTGGCATCTTCAACATCACCATCATCTGCTCCGGCAAATGGGCCATTGTGGTTAGCAGGGACTGGCAGTTCGCTTGGGTGCTCATTGTGTTCTCGAGTGCGGGCGAGGCTGTACTCTTCATCTTTTGCTTGGTGGAATGCGGTGAGTTTCTTTGTGTACTCAAAGGTGTCCAGTTCAACTGGGCGATTCCAAGGATCCAAAGGTAGACAGAGTGGAACGCCTTCATCAGGGGCTGTGTACTCTTTGGGCAAATCGAGAATCCTATAGATATCAAGTGGTCTATGCTGTTCTTGATTTGACGCGAGAATGTTCAAAGCAAGCTCGACTGCTGCTCTTTGGATTCCTCTTCTTTCTGCTTTGGAACTGAAATTGACGCCCCCTCTATTTCTGGGTCCGCGTGGACCAACAGTGTTATCAGTCCCGGGCGGGATAGGTATATCACTCGTGTTGTCTCTCACGCGTTGCCTCAGAGTCGCTAGTTGTATCGCCTGGATTTCACAAGTCAGCATCGCTCAAAGTACTGCGAGATTTGGGTTCTACCGGCAAGTTGACCATCCATTCTGTCCACGCTTGAAGGAACTTTCGCATCACATCTACAACCTGTGAAGTGTCGAGCAAAGCAACGGTGGTGGTGGCGGGCGGCGCATCACGGGCTTTCTGCTTAAAGAGTGCGAGTTCCGCTTTCGCGGCACTGAAATCGGCAGGGAGTGCGTGAAAGAGCAATCTCTCCTCCCGAGCCGGATCCTCGTCAAATGTATTCGCATAATCTCTCATGTCCAAATACAAATCATGCCAATTTCTGACAGCATCTTCTTCGAGCGTTACGCTAGTAGTAGGATACTCTCCCGGAACGACATCCTTTAGCTCTGCCTCCTGCCATTGGCGAGCACGAGAGCACACTTCTTCTATGGCTGTGTCTACGTACCACCATTTGTCAAGAAATATCCCACTCCGAGGAATCCTCTGTTTGTACTCGGTGAACTTTGCTGCCCATTCTTTGTAATATAGATGACATTGGTAGGTGTCATTTGGGCTTAGTCCAGGCAGCTGAACATAATCTTCCCAAAGTCTGTCGAGACGAACCTTGAGTGTCTTTAGCGCAGGAGGTAGCAATGCCTCCAATAGGTAATCTAATTCCAGCTGTTGGCGGGCTGAAAGCTGATTGTTTCGCATTTTCGTCAAAAGATTGTTGATCTCTATCTCCACGGAGCGGATTTCGCTCTCGGTTGGACTGGCAATAATGGGAACAGCTCGAGGTGGATGGTGACCACATAGTGGCCTGTTCGTCAGAGCATCGATGGTGGGGAATGCCAGCTGTGTAGCAGGCTTGGTTATATGCTCGTACATGTGGGCCCAGTTCCAGTACAGTAATTGCATGAAGTTAGTAGCTAACACCGCCGTGCCAATTTGTCGTGCATTTCCAGAACCATTGATGTAGCTCGTGACCAAACTTTGATATGCCAATGAACTCGTCGATGAAAGCACTGTTGTGAGAATTGCTTTGAGGTTATTGAGCTCATTGCTCCTGAGACGGGCATGAGTACGCACACGTGCTGCGACTTCAAGGAACGCAACTCGCTCATTTTGGAATTGTGGTTGCTGCCAGACACGGTCGAAAAGAATGGTCGCAAATCGACGGGTCTCCTGCTCGAAGCCTCTCGGATATGGAGACGCAAGACCGTTGAGAGACGGAAGTGCGAGTCCAAAGTACATGTGAAAACGTCCGGGACTGTACTCTACGATCCTTACGCGCCGTCCAGGATTTCGTGCCGCTACTTTCATGTCCAATAACCAGAGACTGAAGGCTATAGCTTCTGTAGTTTCTATGACAACATCCTGCTCCGGAAGCAGAGGAACATTAGGTTGTACGCCTAATGCGGTGTGAATTCTGTCTCGAATACGCTGTCCATAGTGACGATATAGTGGAGCCAGAAGCAGATTGACGTCCTCGCCCACAGGAACTGGCCTAGTTCCCGCGAAATATGAATTAAGAGTTGCCAATAAGCGACTCACATGCTGTGGCATTTGTCGTGAGCGAGCACCACGTCGTAAAGAGAGCGTCTCTACGGGTGTAGTGCTCCCATGAGCTGCTGGCGTCCAGTACCTCCAGAAGTCTGGGTCCTCGATGAATACAGGAGCTTGTGTCGCTGCCGCTTGATTGATCGCAGCGCTTTTGTCGGGTTGGATGAAGATGCCTGCTTGTGGAAAGGAATCCAGCCAGTGGTCGTAAGCAGTAATAAAACGGTTGTTGAGCAAATACCATTGGTCTGCATCTTCAACGTCAGTAGCACTCGGGGCTACACCTGCTACGAGAGGCCTTCTGACCCTCGCCTCGACGGCCCATAGTTCGGCCTCAAGTTTGGATAGATTTTGGGGCATCAATCCAATCATTTTGTCGAGCAATTCTTCGGCATCTTCTCTGTTCAGCTGGGTGTTGGTTGCCCGCATTTGTAGCAATTCATTGATTCGGTTCCTAAGTCGAGGCAGAAATGCTTGCCTAAATGGCTGTTCGACTGCAAATACATTGGGGGTGGGAACGGGATCTGGATCATGTGGAGTTAAAGCACTTGAATACAACGGATTGTTCGTCGGATCGAGGTTTCTCGGTGCCGTTACCCTAAAGTCGTTGCCGGTGCCCGTTAACGTTGGGTTAAACTCTAGGACATCTCCAAGATTGTTATCCTCTCGGTTCGTCGATATACTGATATATACGCCCCTACTACTAATGATCAGTTCTTGTTGCCATTTGTTCACTTCCATTGTGGTCTCGCGCTGCCATCTTGACAACACTTCCTGTGCAGACTGTTTCCTGCTTCGCTGGAGCGCTGTGCCATTATCTGGGATTGAATTCACGTAATCTAAGAACCATGAATTTCGCCGTCCTAGTCTCACGATGTAAGGTGGTAAAAATTGCCTTAGAAGACCATTTAATCTGTCCCGGTCCGCGGTGACTTCCGGAGTTGGGGCTTTGACTGGAGGAGTCGCAGGCACCACGGGGAGCTCGTATTGTGGCCTGAGCTTCCCCAAAAGGTCATTCAATTCACGTTCAGCAAAGGCGATTTGACGCCTGAACCGGTCGAAATCAACCTGCAAGGTAGGATGTGGGCCTGAAGTGCGCTGCGCTGTAGGAAGATGGACGAAAAAACCGTTTGCCGTGTTGGGCACTTCGCAGACAGGATAAAAATTGCTCCGCCTAGCACGGCGACGATAGTCTGAAGTAATCGACCCAGAGGAGGACCATGAGCTATTCGAGGTGTAAGAGCCGGGTGGCGTTGGAAGTCGATTGCATGACGGTTGGGTTCTATTGCGGGTGTTTGTTGTGCTCAAATTCCCGTCCTCAGGTTCGCTGCTACCGGTAACACTAGATGATGACCACCCGCTACTACTGCTAAGGTTACTGCGATTGCTGCGATTACTACCATTACTACCATCAATAGAGCTGAGTCGGCTGCTTTGATTGCTGCTATTGCTAGCATTGTTCGCTTCGTTCGAGGCTAGGCTTTGCCATACATCGAGGGCGTTTACTGCTCCATCGCCCTCTTCGTATATCAGTGGCCCAGACCGAATGTATTCGAGATGCCAAGTGAGGACAGCTTGTTCCACAGGATCTGTGGGGTTGGCTTTGACGCAGGACTGTAGGTGCTTGATATACGGCGGGATCAAGTCACCAACCCCTGCAACTGCGCTGAAGGCACCCAGTCCCTTGAGTGATTCCACAGCTGTCTTCGTCAAGTCCATTCGGTCTCGTACTCTCTTCGTCGCTCTCGCTTCGTCCAGGGCGCCTCGATAATACAATATCCCAGGATCATCATCCGGGTCCAAAAACGGCTGCGGTCGCTTGATAGATATCCTGTGCCCCAGTAGCCCTGAGACCCAGGTGGCAAACAACCGATTTGCTTCATCCGTTAAGCTTGCTATTTTTTGATCCCTCTGTGGTTGAGCCAAAGCCTGGGTTTGAGCATCTAGATTGGTGATTTTATCATACGCCAAACGGAGCCCTGGATAAAGAAGATCGTTGAAGGAAGGTCTAATTTGGTTTGCCCAAGCGCGAAATGGACCTGGAGGTACCGGTGAATTGAGCCACCTGTTGATGTTTCTTTCGAGTCGGCGCATGGTTACGTCCGGATTCCCAGTGATTGTGGTAGGGCGCCAGTACAAGACGTCTGGTGACTCTGGTCTGTGAGCTGGAATCATTTTGATGTTCCAGACTTCAGGTTTCAGAGAGCGGACCCAGTCATCCCATAATGTTGTAACGACATCATTGAGTGCTGTCCAGGTGTCGTTGTCGAGTTGGGTCAAGGACTGTGGGTCTGCTGCCCTCTTGTTCCTGATCGTTATCCAAGGCAGCAGGAGACGTCGTAATCTGGGATATGCGAGTTGCATCAGAAGATCCTGACCTTCAACATCGCCATTGCTTCCAAGTGTGAGATTGACGCCCGAATTGTTTGCTAACTTGGTACTTATCAATAGCCGAGTTCGGTCGACTTCTGCAGACATTGGTAAACCCAATCGTGGCTCGTCTGTGTTTGGCATAGCCGTCATAGACCAAGGGAGATATATGATGCTAGGGTCGGCCTCTTTGATTTCACCAGGACGTAGATACCGAAACTCCAATTGCAACCCGGCTGTTACTGCTGCCGCGTACCAAGCCTGTCGCAGACCTGCTGCCGTAGCATCGAGGGTGTTCCATCGAGTTCTCTCGGCGAGGGGCAACTGATTCAATTCTTCAACCCCGTTACTCCTCAAAACATCATCTCTTGCCTTCTCCGCGTCCTGAACATTTTGAGGCTGGGCGTCTCGGACCAGCTTTTCCATCAGCCTTCCCTCGGCTGGGGCCAAGATCTGCCAATTATCATTGGCCCTGATAACGTTCAAGCGGTTCTGAGCAGCTAACAAAGTTTCCGTCCGATCATCGTCAAGTACTCCATCATCAACGTAGAACACACCAGGCAATTCGGTCTCAGTCTGATGCTGAGGTTTTCTAGGGATCAGATATACTCCATCGTCGTTGAATGTGGTGACCCAAGCTATGAATGCATTTTCGTAGGCGGTTTTCACTGCCGTTTGTTGTCTAATCTCTAATGGGGTGAGCGGTCGATTAGGCTGCGTAGCTGGATCCAAGGTGACTTGGGCACTAGCTAGAAAAGAAGTGTACTGTTCGTGCAAGCGCTTGAGTTCGTTTGGGAAGTGGTAGCTGAGAAGATCTTCAAGCTCTACCATGTCTCGTGTAGAACCACGACGAGCGCTGGAGAGGAGAGCGTTGATCCGTTCTTCTCTCACAAGCAGGTAATCTGGCAGGGTACCTCGCTCAGGTCGGATCCTGAGACGATGGGGTGGCAGTTCGGGAACTTTGTACCATGGTTTGTCGTCAGCAGCTGTAGTGCCTTTCTTTTGAATCCCTTTCGTAGGATGCATCCATAACGGAATGAAAGCTGGATCCTTGATAGCCCAATTATAAGCTCGACTTTCCGTATAGAGTAGATTTGTCGCCTTGTCAATGGTGTTCGGATCAATCACTGAGTCATTTTTCATTGCATCAAGAAAGGCGTTGTGGTCAGTCTCACGCTCCACTGTGAATGGCGGAGCGTCCTCTCTCATTTGACCTATAAGCCCCAAGGCAAGCTTCTCATCCTCGATGATAGTCGAGGTGGCCTCGTTGAGCAACCGAGTAGAATATGGATTTCTAGGAGGCAAGTCGGTACAAGTGGTATCTCGCCACCCATCATCGACCCCTTTTTGCCAGTCACGGTGCTCCTGGACCATGACCTTAACATTATTAAGGCGTTCTGCATCGTGAGGCAGTTTATCCTTTTCGATCTGGGCAAGAAGTTCCTCGATTTCATCAATCTTTTTATCAAACTCCAGACATCGATCAGGATCCTCATCAGCAAGAAAGTTCTCGGCGGTCTCAAGTCGGGCATCAACTGGTGGTTGTGGATGGCCTTTGAAATCCCAAGCTGGTGGCCCTGTAGGGCTGTGGAAGCTGTTAATAAATGACACTGACAGAGGTTTTGAAGAGAGGGTTGTTGATCATACCCAGGGTTACTCATGGTGAATAGAACCAATCTTCACTCCCTCATACATCCACCAACATTCGCATGAATCCCACTGGTGCCGAATGCGTCCTTCAGTTGATAGAGCTGCAAGTGGTAGCTTGATTCACTCTGGTTCTTCTCATAGCATGGTACTTTGCGCGAAAAACGACGTTCGCAGGATATGGGATTGTCTCAGATGATGCATTCCTTACCGCGAAGGAATATCAACAAGTATGGAATGCAATTAACAGATTCCAGCCACTTGGCATCCGGAAAATCCATTATGTGTTCGCCGCGTCAACGGGAAAGGCTGGAGGTAGCGAATAATCTGCTGCATCCACTGAGGCTTGACTTGCTGGTGTCATGTGATCTTGAAGTCACAGTGGGAGCAGCTCGAGTGACTTCCATCTTTCTGCTTTCATCCGAGCTTCCTTATCAACTCCACCTCAACAACACGAAAGCAGCTCCTGTCAACCATAGTAGCAATGTCTATAATTACAGCACCTCGCTGCGGCCCTTCGTATGGGTTTTATTTCCTGATGATCGATACGGTCAGCGAACGGTTGTCCATGCAAAAGGTTGACAACATTACTTACCTCCCACTCTCAGTACTGGATTCCAGCTAGAGCCAGTAGCCATGGTCTCAACACGACTTCAAACAGGAGCCATCAGCACCAGGAAGTACACTCCGCTCAGCATCACTCTGCATGACCTCTCCCTCACTAGTCCAACATCTCCAACACGTCCAAACAACCGCAAAAATGGTTCCAGTTCGCCAACCAAGATTCTCAAGCCAGTAGCTGGTCGAAAAGGGTCTCTCAAGTCATCCACGGCCCCTAAACAGAAACTCAAAAGCGCTGCCGCAAGGTTGACCAGTACTGAGTTAGAATTGCTCGACACTTCACTTAGACATAGCACAGGAAAAACGAGAGAAACAGTTGGCCCCTTTCCGGCTACGCCAAAGGCCAAACGTTCGCAGAAACTTAGGGCTCGAAATGCCCAAAAGGTTCCCGCAGACATGTGTCCCGGCAACGCTGTCTTCCCATCTGCCATATTCGGTGCCAGAGAAGAAGTTGGTCTATCCAAAATAGGTCGAGCAAACAAAGAGGTCAAACTGTGGGAAGAGATTCTCGTAACTCATCAAGAGAATGTCCCAGACTTGGTGCCCATCGTCGAGGAGAGATTACAAGGCGCCAAAACCAGAAGGGCATGTCTCGATGACAAGCTCTTGGCGAACTTGCAAGTCGGGTATGTGCAAGAAATCATTATCAAAGCCAATGCTAACAAATGGCAGAGACATGGACCCAGCAGCATCTGCTATCAAGGCCCGACTCCAAATCCTCCAATATGGACTTGACACATCCAAGTTCAAACCAGAATCCAGAAACATTAAGTGCGCTATGGCAGCATACAAGTCCGGCGCTATCGGATATCAAGGTTATTATACCATCATATATGCAGGACATGTAGTAGACACTGCTCCCACCTACGGCGACTTCGTCTGTGACCGTACCGAGCGATTGGACCGATATTTCGCGATCCATGGCGAAGGATGGATGTGGTACGAACCCCCATTGAAAGTGCATCCAGACAGCACACCGAAAGCTCTAGCTACCGCCACACTTCCACGAACCGAAAACTGGTCAGGTCTCGGAGCCTACTACGTGAATCAGGGATTCTGGAAACGAAGCGGTTTCGTTCGCCGCATGGCACAAACAGCGCAAAACATGCAATCCAACTTAGAGGACACCTTCGTTCGCGACCCAGTCGATCCTATGAAGGTAGATTGCCAACAAGATGGCCCTCGACTCTGCTACCGCTCCATGATGGACTCTGGTGCCACCTTTCCTACCTTACACAACGAGGATCTCGTCGCGCTCGGGATCAGCTCGCAAGACTATGGCGCCCAATCCATGGCCATGGTCCAAACAGCAGCTGGACCCTCATATACTCGCATGGTACGTTTAAATCTGCTCTTTTCTCGCAGTAGTCCCAGTTGGAGCCGCTCGGGTATTCCCCGAGAGCCACGAACCAGTTCCGCTCTTTCAGCTCCTTGACTCCCAAATCTCTGTTCAGACCGTGTATTGACTTTTCACAGTGGGAATTATTCGTCTGCGTCCTCGACGAGAACGGAAAACAGCTCGTAAACGCATTCGATGCCGTCTACCCACTCTCGCACCACTACCTCGGCGGCCTCTGTCCCGTCATGAACTCCCTAACCAACCTACAATACGACGAGCAAGGCATCGAAATCCCCGCTCGCTTATCAGGCATGGTTCCCTTCACCGCATGCTACGTCTCCTCCACACCAACTCGGAATTACATGTTCCTAGGCGAGGATCGCAACGATGTCCTGGGCAGCCATCGCATGCCGGGTCAAAAGAAGTGGGCGATCGAGATGGATGCCATTGAGCCCGGGATGCCGTTCGATCGGTATGGGAATCCGAAGACGAGCTTTAATCATCGGGATGGGTTGATTACGGATGTGGATCATCCGAATATGAGCCATTGTTCGACAATTACGTTCTTGGGGGGGCAGCCGGATGAGACGGTTATTGTTAGTAACCCGAGTAATGTGCAGTTTATGAATCGGGTGAGTAGCCAGATGGCTGCTGGAAGTGGGCCGTAGGGGAGGATATGTAAGATGGTCAGGAGTGTAAGATATAGGATGCGATAACTCCAAATGATCCAAGAGAAAATGACCCCAGGACTTATTCCCAACTTTCGAGATCGAAGCAGCACTTACTATCTATCCTCTCATTGACACACACGTAAAGGAAATTTCTCTTTTCGTCTCTTCCCAAAACCCATTTCCTCGAAAACCACACATGAAAAGAAGAACTTCACTTGCTGCTCTCTCAATGGTAACACTCCCTTACATCATGAACAAAAATCTCGAGGAACAAATATACATCACACTCGATACCATTCTTCGTCGCCAAGCAAGCCGCATGCATCATAAAAAAGACATCTCACCTCACCTCACCTCTCCTCTCGTTTTCGCGTACAGGATCTCATGCGCATGCAACTCTCCCAGCCCTTGCAAAAATTAGTAAACCAATTTGAGAACAATACCAAGCAAGCAAGCAAATCTCCACACTGCAAACAAAACATTCCTCTCCCAATCTCCACATCACCTGTCCCCGTGGCAAGGAAATTACATCTCTCATTCCTCCCCTCCCCCCTCGTCGCTTGGCTGGGCAAACTTCCGCAACCACCCAGCCAAGCAACCAAGCAGACAAGCGACGATCTTTCCCCCTCCCATCTATCTTTCCCTCGCCATCTGTGTTACCGTACTACTCTCTCGCTTGAGATGGACGGATGGGACGAGAAAGGGTCTGGTTGGGGGAGGTCTAGATCTTTTGATGTTACAGTGCACACTGCGGGTGTTTGCGGGGTACAGAGAGAACGGAAGAGTATAGCACAGGACGAGGGCAGGAAGAGGGAAGGTCGTTACGGGGTTGTGGTGCACGGATTTAGGTGAATGGCACGTGTGAGATGGAGAAGAAGGATCGGTTGAGCGAGATGTAGAAAAAGGCTCCACTGGGAGGTCATTGACAAGGCATTGGAACACAAATGAACAAAAGGAAAGATGACAGGACAAATGATTTCTTTGCATGCCCTCGGATTACTACTTATTTGATTTGTATCTTAGCCATCCACCAGCCAGCCAGCATGCAACCATCCATTCCTCAATTATCCACCCCTCCCTCGGGTATCATCCCCGTCTTTCCTTCGACATCCATCCACCCATTTCCAACGAAGGAAGTATGGAGGTGTAGTGTAGTAGTAGCAATCTATCCTATTCCCGTGCGTGCAGGCATTCCATTCCATTCCATATCCTGTTTTTCCCTTCCTCTCTCCACTCCATGCTTTTCCACCATCATATCCGAGAAGAATGTGCTGTGCAGGAATGGTATTCGCTCATCAAAGGATCCTTCCTTCCCGTCCCCAAGCTTGGTTTCGATTCGAGAAGGTAGAAAAAGAAAAGAAAAGTAAAATCAATTCGCTAAACAGAGACAAACGATGAACAATTGTGATCTGGGTGTTGAGGGAAAGGGGAAAAAAACTTTCAAACGCTAATGCCGAGTAAAAAAGGAAAACGCTGATGCCAACAACAACACAGATGGGATTTCTTTTGGGGGGACGATTTTGGGTTTGCCGTGTTTCCGGGAAATGTGAAATATCCGAATCACAATCAGTACAATTGTGGTACATAGGAGAGGGTTCCGGGTGCAGATATGGTATGCATCGGAAGTAAAGCAGTTGGGGCAATGCAAATCAATGCATGCTTATATCTTGGTGATATGTGTGGTACTGCGTTTGTTGATGGACAAATGGGTTGTTTCCAGATGGCGTGGGTGTGATCGGACATCGAGGTGCTTGGTGATACTTCTCGTTTTCGTTGACGAAATACTCGCCCTCGGGAGTGATGGGTGGCGTTGGGTAGCCATTGACCACGTTGCCGTATGGCTGCTTTTGTGGAGTGTTGGGGTACATGTCGACGGTATTGATTGGCTTTTGCATGATCTCGCATGGTGGCGTTGGTGGGCTGGCTCTTCTGTTCATGGCTTCTTGTTGTTGAACGGTATGCTCGAGGATGCCGGCCACTTGTGACATGTGGGGTGTTGCATACTTTCGGAAGAGGACCTGGGATGGGGTTCGGACTTTGCTGTAGAGCTTGACGATAACATCGCTAACTTCAAAGTCCTTGCCATCAAAGGGATCAGGTCGGCCAAGGATATTTCGAGCCAAGGCCAACGAGGCACGAGCCATGACGGAAGGCTTTCTCGAGACAAAGTCCTTGTGGTACATGGCAATTTCGCAAAGGTACCACGACATATGTTCGACCTCGAGATCCTCGTATGCCGGGCGATCATTGAAGGCAATCTGTAGGAAGCTGTCGACGGTGGGGTGTCCGATCATCCACTCCAACGTATTCAACACGTGCCATTCCATTTGCGTGAACATATCCTCATCATAGAGAGAACAGCACATTGATTTCAACTCCCGAATCATTGGCACTCTCTCCTTTCGGTCACCATACTTGGCAGCGATTAGAAGTGCAGCACATCCAACCAGTTGGTAGTGTCTCTTATAGACGACACGCTTTGAGCAGTATCGGTCCAGGAGATTAACGGCGAGGAAGAGCGTCTCGGGGAGAAGTTGAAAAGCAGCGTGAGCTTCGATGAGGAAGTCGATCAGGTACGGTCTCATAAACCACTGAATCTCTTGCTGAATGTCAATAGAGGCGACGTCAGGAAGGGTTTCATTCTAAGTGAAGGTCAGCATAGTGTATCTTGAAGTGAAGGTCAAGGCTAATGACCTCCATATGCTTCATATGTCCGATGATGTCCTCGAGGTAAGCTTCGGACGCCTGTCTTGACAATTCATTCGCCATGGCTTCTTGTTTCCGACGACCAACTATCTTTGCGTATTCGTGCGCGCTGCTTCGTTGTGGATAGGCATCTTCAACGAAGAAGCTCTCACAAGGTTGATGGTGATAAGCCATGATGAAGGCGAAAGGATTCGAGGATTTCAGTATCAGAAAGAATGGACGTCAAGTTCTCCAGGAGCTTCGACCGACAGTGCTCGGTAGACACTGACTGGATTGTAAGAAAGGAATGTACTGAATGGTACCCAGAAGAAATCTCGGCTTTGTCGAGGTATTAGAAGATTAGAGAGAGTGTCGTGTTTTGTCGAGAATTAGATCAAATGAATGACAGAGGGCAAGAATAAACTGCCGATCGAGATGAAGCCGTGGTATCCAAGGTGACGAAGACCTGGGTAGTTAAGTCAAATGTCACTTATCGGAGATCTGATGTAAGTGAGATTAGCAGAGATTTTCGAGATTAAGTGGAGCGAGGGATGCAAGCCACCAGCACCAGCCGACGGTGGAACAGAAGAAGTCAAAAGGAGGTTGTGGAGTGGGAATGTTCGTTTTGGTGGGTATCAATTGGGGAACGTACCGACTAATCGAGAGACTGGAAGGCCTCGACGGAGATACTCCCTTGACTGTCTTGAACCTGAGTGCCTGACACCGATTGTCCAAGTATGAGGATTGTGTTGTAATCTGCGAGAGAAGGCGGGATGAACGAGTGAACGTCTCCGGCCTTGGCTCTTGCGTATGTCGAGGAGGATTGGGTGAGGTTTGGTGGTGGGTGGGTGGTGGGCGTCGAGGGGAAATCTGGAGAATGGCACCTGATACGCGACCGTTGGCATGTAAATGCTAAGTAAGGGCGACCAGTCAGCCTATGAACGAGGCCGGGGATTCGAAGGTCAAGACCAAAAGAGAATAAGGTTGGCAGGCCTGGATGCTTACCTTTATATGTCGAGTATCTCTAGTCTCTGCGGGTGGATCGTAATCTTAAAATTGGATTGTGTTGATGCTGCGTCTAGGAAGCTCCTTGACACGGCAGACTCACGTCCAAGAGGAAGATTGATGATCGAGGAGGGGCGGTGAAATGATCGTGAATTGATTGAAACTTCCAGAGCTGTCAACGCGAGTTTATGCGTGGTGGTGAAAGGGGGGGTTACTTCTGCAGACACGAAGGATTGTTTCGGATGTTCGAGGCAGATAGAAAATCGAAGTCTGTCGTCGACGAGATTCGAAGATGGCGAGTTCGAACAAAGGAGGATTGAGGGAAACGGTTGATGCGGAGGCGGAGGTGGAAGAGTGAATGTGGTGGTGTTTCCCTTGAATTTTCCTGGAGGTGATAGTCACGGACAGGCGAGCGAGCGAAAAACGATGGTGCAGTCGAGCATCACCCGTTCAATTTCACTCTGCGTCTCCTTCAACGTCACGGTATCAATTGATGTTCCGGTCGGGAATGGGCCTCCTGATTCCTTTTCCCTCGGTGGTGATAGATTCGAGGGTATGAGGGGGGAGGAGAGAGGAGGAGGGAATGAGGAGGTTAAAGGATGGAAGAGAGACAGAGAGAGTGGAAGGAGGTGAGGTGAGTGAAGCAAGCGTGTGGTGGAGGTTCCGTTAGTGGTGGTGGGAGGTCAGAAAGTAGAAACGGAGGTGATCATTGGGCTAATCCGGAATAGGTCATCAAGCCTGTTGAAGCCAGTGAAGCCTATGGCAGCGAACTGGGATGGAGAGGAGAGCTGGTCGCTGGTCAGAGGGTTCTCCACCACCACCACCCGAAGACTCGCTAGCAAGCTGATGCTGCACTGCTGCACCAAGACCAAGACCAAGACCAAGCAGAACAGAGCATAGCAGAAGAGCAGCAGAGTTTCCAAAGCACCCAAGCACACCAAGCGGACCAGCCCAAGAGGAGCAATGCAGCAACAGGCTAGCAGGCTATCAATCATCAGAGGCCTGCCCTGGCCTGACCGGTCCCTGTCCTGAGCGGCGGGCGCAGGTCTCTGCCATTGATTCCTTGGCTTGGCTGTGGAGTGGAGACGACACCAAAAGGCGAGAGACAATGGTCGCCATTGAGTGGGTGGAGGAGGATAGTGGCACCGACGAGGATGAAAGACGAGAGACCGCAGAGGACGGGGACGGCAGCGAGGTCAAGGATATGGGTACGGGTTATGGGTATGGGGGGACAAGGGCAGCAAGAGCCCGCGAGTCTCATCTGGCCAGTCAGGATGCCGAATTGATCATTTCTGAACCAGCCTGAGTTTCTCGCTACGAGCCTACGAAGAGACAACTCGAAAGATGGACAGAGGAACCACCGAGCAGGCAAAATGAGAAGAGTCCGTGAGAGACCGGGCGAGAAGCCTGTGCCAGTGCAGTATGTTCAGTCGGCAGGTACTGTATCAGCGAGTATCCATCTGGGCGGATTGTATCAGGCAGTGTCAATAACGACTCCACTGCTCAAGGTTGGTGTTCAAAGCATACAAAGCAAGCAAGCAAACAGATCCAAGCCAATGGATCACTGTGCATCAATCTAAGACGAGCCCCGAAGAGGGCCGCTGCTTGAAAGGGGGAAGGCGAGCTGAGCCACGCCGCTCTAACATCCTCACCTTGAGCGAGGGATGCTGCTTCAAGGACTCTTCCCTTTCGATTCATAACATTTCCATACCTATCGAAGCACAACTCCATATTCACATCATTTATGTATACACAACTCCCTCCCCTCCTTCAAAGCAGCACCCATCCCAAAACAAACAAGCATCATCCTCTCTTCCTCCAAAAGTCGCGTTTCGACACGACCACTGAATGGATCCTTTCCATCAACTCAAGACGAACCGACCGACCGACACGCCAAACAACACGCTTCACGCTCGCCTTCCCAGCCCCAAAACGCGAACCCACTGGCTGCGCTGCTACTGCTTGCTGCACACACTTTCACCAAGACACACATACATGCAGCTGCAGCCCAGGAACAAGGTCCTGTTCCTTGGATCTGATCTCGCGACTCCCGGCCTTCATTGGTCCCGGGTGTGCCATGCAGCTGCAGGGCCATTATGAGATTTCATGGAACAATAGCTTTCGTGCTGTAAGTAATAATAAGTCATCCATCATCATTTCTTGTATGCTGCAGCTGCAGCAGCAGCAGAGGAGCAATTTATTATGCAAGCACTCTACGTCTCGCGTCTGCGTCAGTCAATAAACAGTCTTGCAATTTACATGAGGTCTTGCATTTATCTCTAGTTACTGCATTTCGCGTTCAGACTGCGGACCCAGATCTGCTTCATGCAAAATGCACAGAAAAAAAAATAGAAAGTTCTCAAACATAAGTTCGCGTGCGTGTGCGTGTGCGTGTGCGTGTGCGAGGGTGCGACGGAAATGGAATGGGGGTTCTCGCGGAGAATTAATACAGCTTCATTATTATCTGGATTAGGAAATTCGTCTCCTTTATTTCTGCACAGTAAACTCTCTTTGCTGTGCTCCTCCGTCTGCCACTCCATTATCGTATTCATTCAATTCAAGATTTTCTTACTTCAATTCAATCGAGATACCGCATCTCATTCACAAATCAATCAGCTCGCCTCCTCACCTTGTCACCCATCATCACCAGCCACCCGAATCGCTGGCCCAGAATCGTACAACGCATCAGCGAGACAGGCCGCCGCATCTGCAACCCAATCTTGGTTATCTCGCTGCTGCTCGCTGCAAAGGCACGAAATCTTGAAATTCCCATCCTTCTTTTAGTTTAGACCCCCATCTCGGTCCCTGGAAGTAAGAATGATTGGCGTTTAGTGGTTAGGTTAGTGGTTAATCTTTATCGTTCGAGCTTGCCTAGCTAGGTCGTCGTGACAGTGGCCTGGACTGAAGATCTAGAGGCCAGTGAAGGTGAGGGGATGATGCGATTTGAGACTCGCTTTCACGGATAGAGGGAGGAGAATCCGTTTGATGTGATATTCGGCGAGACCGTTCAATTCGTTCGTTGTGTTCCGAGGTATCGGGTACTGGCATACTTCAACACAAACTTCATTCTTGCTCTCCACCAAGTCCAGTGCCAGAACCGAAAAGGGGAAACATACCATGCATAACATCACAATTCCATCTCGCACCCAAAAATACGGATAGATCCCCTCAATGAATCCCCACTCGCGCACTAAATACAGATGCATAAGTCCATCCATCCTTGCTTTACGTCATCTTTTTCGTACCTCCATTTCCACCCTTCTATTAAATAAATGGCAAAGATTTGGACGCGCGCTTCTTCATCCATTAATGAAACGATGAATTGAACATTATTCTGGATAGCGTTATGATATTGAATATGTTAAGGTCCAGTTCATCCTATCTCCACCCGAGCCGTCTACCGTCACATCCCATCCCATCCTATCCATAATAGAGAAACTGGCATATACCTACCTTCCGACCAGCCTCCAGTGGATAGGTACCTAGCGGATAGGGAAATTTCAATTAACGCGACCACCACCACCACCTACACGCGACTGACTACTGTACCTTGGATGACGCGTGCGTGCTAAGAACAGGACGAGAGACGAGGGTTTATTAGCAGAGCCGCCGTCGCATGCACGGACGGGATGGGATGGGGTGGGGTCTTGTTGCTTGCTGCATTAGTAGGGATGGATGGATGGATGCGATGTTAGAGTGCAGATGGATGGAGCATGCAGGAGAGGAGAGGAGATGGATGAGAAGATCAGGGAAGTTGGATTTTAGGGTTCGGTGGATGAGTGGTGGGAAGTATGAGATGAGATGGAGGAGAGGAAGGGTTCGGATGAATTAAAGACTTCTTTCTTTCTTTCTTTCGTACACCAATTAAAACCCCAATCGAGCTGTTCCGGAAATACCTAATGAGCCTCAACTACACCACCTCTCCTCCTACCGCACGCTCAGAATAACCTCTTACAATACGGTACTCTCGGTCATTTCCAACCCAAACGCATATCACGCTTCACTCTCACCTGGGATATCTCGGACTGGGTCCATCTATTACCTAGGTACAGTACCCATTCTCCAAACCTTCCGTCAGAATGTCTCACTCCTCGGCCTGCCGGCTTTCTTCTCGGTACGGGCCTCACTAGCTATCCTCCACCTCTTCTGAAGAATTTTTCTTCTGCTTCTTCTTCACCGCAATTGATATCACAGCTTGTCTGTCCACTCGCGAGGTTTGTATTTGAAGAAAATGAGAAGAGGTGGAGGGGTGGAGATAGTGGAGAGGAAGGGAGGAGAGGGGCGGAAAATACCCATGAGAAGTTAGCTGTCACGAGGAGAATTGCTCTTTTCGACGATCCACGAAGTTTTTCTAGAATGCCTCAATATCCACTCGCTGCTTTTCTTATTCTCTTCTCTCTTCTCTTTTCTCTGGCATGAGATCCATAAACGGACATCATGCACCTCAAGTACATGCGGCTCTGCCCGAAAAGTCCCTCTGTATGGAGAACATATCTCATACCCTCCAGCAAAAACTCCACAATCTCGGAACCCGGAGAATAGTCAACCATCCAGAAGATCGGGATTGGAAAATTTGCTGCGTCAACTTCTTTTCTTTCGAAGATGCTCCCCGCAATTTGACACACACCTCTTTTTTGAGTCATGGGAGGTGTAGACTCTATACATAAAAATGGAGGAAAAGAAGAGGACAGAAAGCTGCTGCATATGCGAGAAAGAAAAAAAAGCTTGATACTGTACCCTCAACTCTGGACCCTTAAACTCAATTCCTAACACACCCATTAGTCCCATCATCCCTTCAACATCAAACCTTTCTCCCCTCCACTTTCTTTCTTCCTAAACACATCAAATTCCCCTCTCCTAAACCCCACTCCTCGGCACCCTCGAAACTTAAATCTCAAAAACTAACTACCTAAACCAGATCACTAGCCACACACACCAGATCATCAAGGGTCAAAGCACCCTAAAACAGCTCGCTTGCTCGCTCATCAGCCTCACTTCAACGCGTTCTCAGCATCCAATCGCTGAGCTGAAGTCTATCCTTCCTTACCTAGGTAACCATGAGGATTTTCGTTCGTTCGTTCGTTCGCTCCTCCCCGAGGCACGGATTAGGAACGGAGGCAAAAAGAACATTTTGAAGATTCTTCTCCTCACGGCTTTGTATGTATGTATGTATGTATGTATGTATGTATGCAAGAAGCATCACAGTAGCATTCTCTTTTCTGCCTCGGAATCTTTTTTTTTTCCATACTTATGCAAAAGACCTGCACAATGACACCTTCCCCACATTTCACAACATCTTTTGAACAGAGAGCAGAGCTTTATTCGGTATTTGCCGCCCACGGCTAAATCCTCCCCGCGTCCAGGCTAGAGGTGCAGTTTCCAGTTCTCACTGGAATTTGGTAGACGCTAGGTATCAGGGAAGGTTAACACCAATGGCAAGGTGGTTCGAGAGAAAATGCTGTACCCCAGGTTGAGAAGCAGAAAGTAGGGGTCGGACCCCGCGTTTTGCTAGATGGATGGCTGGATACCAGGAAATAGGTTTGTTGGTGTTTGGAGTTTGGCCGAAGGAGTGCAGTTGTGTGAAAGGGGTGCAGAACACGAAGAGTAAACCGATATAATTAATTCTCAAGGTTCTCTATTCCTGTTGGAAAAGAAAGAGCAGAGCACTGACAATAATTAATAATAATTCTTTGCACAGACATCTTCCTTCCTTCCTTCCTTCCTTCCTTCCTTCCTTCCTTCTGGAAGTATAAATCCACACATACACACAGACATACATTTATGTATGTACAGTACACAGACATAAACGTCCTTCCATATCAACACACAGACTCCGATATCAACACTGACATGGCGCCATCCTATCCCATCACATCACATCTCACAATCCCAACCTCAACATCCCTTGCTTCCACCCGGAAAAGCCGCACCCGAAGAAAACACTGCAAGATGCCTGTCTTGTTCCTGAGAAAAATTTTCCTTCTCACATCCATCATGTCTTGAGGCTCGGGAACGTGGGACTTGCATAGGCATTTCATCTCACATATATTGAGGCTCTTTCTTCTTCCCATCTTTTTATTCTCCACGTGGCTATTTCGAGGTATCATATCCAATTCCATCTCCCATACCTACCTACCTACGCTCAGACAAACGCAAACAACCCTCCCCTCCCCTCAAAAAAAAACTCCCGACGCACGCACAAACACCCAAATTCCCAAAACAGACGACGTGAAAGGAAAAGGGGAGGTCAAAGCTGTACTGTACCGTAGGGCTAGGTTCAACCAAAGAGTACGGTAGGTAAGATTGACGACGATCGAGGAGCTCATCTCCGCTGCTTGTCTGTCTGCAAGTTAGGTTACGGCGCCGTAGCAAGTCAACGCCTCTGAATGAAAATCAAACATTTACGACGGACGCCGTGTAACTGTTGCTGTGCTGCGAATCAATCATTTCGATTGATGAAACTACAGGATCCAATGAGCTGATTTTTCTTCCTTCTGGTCCTTCCCATCCCAGTTTCCTCTGGAACCGAGGATGGATTTGAGCTCGCTGACTGACAGTGCCTGTGCTTGCTTCTCCGCAACTCAGCTAGGGAGTAATATTTAGCCCTACGCGAATGTTCGAGCGCTGCTTCGCTGGTCGCGATTCCTTCCTTTCAGAGAAGGTCAGTCAGTGAGCAACTTGAGCACAGACTGTGACGAGATGGCTGGGCTGGCTGTCTGGGCTATCTTGACGTGATGAGATGACGAATAAAACGGTTTGTTGATCTGATCCTGATCGTGTTCTCTTGCTTGGGGCGATTTCTCGCGATTGATTGATGAGTTGCAGGAGCTGGAGTGAGACATACATATGTACTGTACTGTACCGTATGTACATAAAAAAGGGCACGTCATAAGCGCTTCTTTTTTGTTTCTTTTGTTCGGGTTGGTGAGAGTGATGACCCGGTATGGACATTTTGCGATGCACCACACCCTCAATTGTCCCCGGGCCCTGGTTCCTTAGACAGACGCCCCCCCGCTTCCAAATATCCTGTTATTAGGGAATAAGTAGTGCAGTACTGTACAATACCTAGCTGCAGAACGCGAATCTTCGCGTTAACATACATCCATGCATGCATGCATGCACCACCAGCTTGAGCCACAGGAGCGTACGCCACAGGCATGTGAAAATCGGAACGGCGGATCCGTGGGCCAGCAAGCAAGCCACAGCCGCCCGCGAGCGGCGAGACCGCGTTCCAATGGTTTGCTGCAAAGATGTAGCTAGCTAGCTACATATGTGAGTCGCATGTCCTCATCTCAGCAATCGACGAATCGAACGCGTGAGGTGTGGTGCGTTTAGGGCTGAGATGGCGAAGGTGGGTGGCAAATTGAGGCTCTCTCTCTCTCTCTCTCCCTCCTGGATCTCGCATTGCATTACATTGCATGGTAAATTACCTTTCACTTCAGAGAGAGGGGGAAAATGGATCTGTGAGCGCGTATTTCATTTCCTTTCGCGTCTATCTAAGTGGGGTAGTAAGTATTGGTTTCCTATAATAATGTTCTAGAAATGTTCTGGAATTTTTTGGTCCGTCCGTCTATTGATTGATTGATGGATGGAATTGATGGGGGTCCAATGTTTCTCGGGAATTTGATGTGTTGTTCAAGGGAAATGGAAGCGAGATGAGCCCCTTTTTGGATGGGATGGGATGGGATGGGATGGGATGGGTTCAGCGCGAGACCAGTGATTGAAGAAGATAGCGGGAATTGTTATAGAGCATCTAATGAGTTTGATTTGTGGATGGAGAGAGGGCGGGACGGACGTGAGGTGGGGTGGAATAGGAAGGTGGAGGGGAGTGGTGGGGAGGAGAGGAGGGGACGCGCGCTTGGGTAATGGTTGTTGGTTTGTACAGTGTTTGTCGTATTTGAGGCTGAGATGTTGTCATGTTTTTGCGGGACATTGCTCTTGGAGAGAGATGATGATGATGATGATGATGATGATGATGATGATGATGATGATGATGATGTTGGGATGATGGGAAGAAAAAGGGGGAGCACGTGATTGGAGTCCAGCATGTAGGAAAGGGCCAAAGTTGGTTCGAGATGTGCTTGTTTGACTGTACAGTGTCTGTCTGGTTGAGTCTTATGTTGGTTGATTTGGGAGTTTATCTATGTTAAGAGCGTTCTAGAATGTGTTCTCAGACGGATGCTCAAGTTTGAGTTCAATCAAGTCAAGGATGTACTTTTTGATGCCAAAACATTCCTTTTCATCACACACTCTAACTTTTAAGCTCTATTTTGTTATTCTCCCTCCTCAAATTACAGACTTTTTGTGTTCATATGTCCCTTCATAAAGCATTACTTTCCTCAGCGCAAATGCACGGGACCGAGACCTGACTTTATACTTTCCAAAAGTCGATAGTTTAGAATTGGTTTGCAGATAGG